GGTCTTCCCTCTTCCTTTTTCCATTTTTCATTTTCATTCTTACTTCTTTCGTTTTCTCCTTGTTTTCCCGATATTTTTTCACCCTCTCCCGTGGATGTGACGATGGGGTTTTCGTATCAAGGTAGGGAACCAAGTGAGTTGGCGCGCCATGCAACAAGACACAGAGGAGTGCTAGCTCGGAGGAGTGAGAAGGCCGCCCTTAGCAGGGTTGCACTCGCGTGCGCAGAGTATCATGGTACGTTGAAGAACAGGGTCTCATGTTCAGCCTCTTGGAAGGGCAACCAGAGCGTCGATTGGCCGAGTATAGACGCGGTGGGCCGGCCCGAAAGTCGACCGCGCATTAATCGACATGGATATCGAAAGCAGATGCCTCTTCACGGTCGGGAGCGATGACTTGGCGTAAATCTTATCAAAGGCAAGGCGCGTCGGTCGTCCTTATTTTTTGGTCTTGATTCTTCTCCTCTTTCTGTCTCTTTCTGTGTCTCTCCAGCCCTTATCCCTCTCTTCTTTTTCGCTGTTTCTTCCTGGCGCTTGGTGGATGTGACTCTGGACCCCAGGCCTTGCATGTGCTGAAATAAAGCCCGGCGGCAAATGCTACTACCGCACAAGGGAGAGACTGCTCCACCGCGCAGGAAGCTTGAGAAGGCAGAAAATGTGAAAAATGATATTCGGAGGATTCCGGCTGTTCAAGAGATCCTCGCATGTACTGTGAAAGAGAGAGCGCGCAAGTACTATGTTACCAGGGTCGGAAAAGAGGGGAGAGGGGGGGGGGGTGGAAAGTGTATGCATCCCTATAGAATCCATCACGTCCGGGACACGTTCCCCGGGACTGGTGGACGAAACTATTGACGAGTTGCGTCGCGTCGACTGCAGTCTGTAGACCAACTCAACGGTCGCTCATTTCCGATGGGTAATGGGTGTGTCGCGAGGTGTGTGAGAAGCAGAGAAGGTGTGCCGTCGGCGATCCTGCCTCCCCGTGCATGGCAAGATCCTGTACGGCGAAAGCAAATCTGGGAAAAGGAGGGTTCCATCGCATGTACGAATCTTGGGTTCGTTGCCCTGCAAATCGTCAAAATCCCTTGTCTTTCTCCTCCTCGTCGTCTTGCTGCTCCAGCAATTGCTGGCGGGCCTGCGCTGTGGTGATGGATCGAGACGGGCGCTGGCCAGGCTCGAAACTGGATCGAGAGGTGGGCCAACCACCCCCGCCGCCCTGTTCCCGGATGAAACCTCGGTGTGAAAGGTGCTGGGCAATTAGAGGGAGAAGAAATAGTGAGAGTGGGGAGAAGAGGGAAGGGGTAAACGGCAGGCATCTAGCTTCAGGCGGTACGAGACGCCGGTTTTCGTCGGTTGCCGTGCCGTGTATGAGAGGGACCTTGTGGGTTGCATGCTGTCAGCTGGCAAGAGCACCTTGCCCAAAACACCCCCTGTCCTTCTCAGGGTAGCAATGCCACACCTCTCAAAATTGCCAGGGCATGCAGGGGTCTGTCTGCAAAGTCTGTGCTGCTGCCTACGTACCATGTACGCTATACTTAATCACCGTGGTATTCTTTTCTGGTGTAGCGACGTGCATATGAGCGAGAGAACAAAGAAAAAGAACATGACAGGGGAAGAAAAGAACAACAAGAAAAAGAAAGCACGGTAAAGTATCTTCCCCCTTGAAGTTAGGCCTGTAACTTATCATCCTCAAGTATTGCATCCAGGAATTCGTGGCATTCAACCTGTGGACTGATGGGCGTGGGCATGGCGTGGGCATAGCCCGGGGTATGGCACGGACAATGGTGGTGAGGGTAATGGGTTGATTCAGTTCAGCTTGCGATAACCATCGCGTTATGGTATGTTGAACATTCCCAACTCGCTACCACCAAGAACCAATTTTGTTGTTGTTGTTGATGATGATGATGATAAGACACACGACTGAGACCCATCTGCAAGCAGGCATCTTTCTGACTCATGATTTTAGAGTGTACCATAGTACAAGGCCAAGTCGAAGGACTCCTCCCCTCCCCAAGACTGACCCCAGGAAGGACCCCCCCATGAATTGCTCTTCCCCCAATACACGATAGTAATTTCCCCTGCTAGACAAGTCACATATACTTCGATAGTACAACGATGAAAGTGCCCCACTTGTGACAACTACCCCGCATTTTCGCCCATCTCGCCCCAGCCTTTTATTTTTTATTTTATTTTATACTATACATAGCACCCCAGGGAACCCAGCATGCGCAGGTACATTCCATACTTTCATAGTACAATATGCTTTGCCATAGTATGGTTGTCGTATGCTTGCCCCTGGCCTTCAGCTCGGCCAGTCCCTACTAATGTGATGCGGGCCGTTGGTGGACAGGGCCTGCCTTACGGCTCGCTGACGGATCCGTGGTATGCGTTCCCGCACTCCAAGGTACTGTATGATCCACCAAAGAGCTGCTGAAGGTCTCGGCGCACCATTCTCACGTCCTTCTAGGTCTGAGACATTCAGAATGGATGGGATGCCGCGTTGGCTTTTCAGCACAACATGGCCTTCCCATTCCCCCCCCCCCCCCCCTTCTCTCTCTTTTTCTTCTTTTTGGCATTGCTCACACACATCTCGGTAGACCTTCATGATGGGTGAGAGAGAAGGCATTGGTAAGGCTAAGGGGAACCGCTGATGTTCGCATCGAGACCCCTGTGCCACTTTATCCACCGGGACGGGGCACCCCTGCAATGACGACAGGGCTGTTTCAACGTCAGTCGTCGCATCCGGTCAACATGCGACTTGGGCGACTGACATAATCGCCGTTTGAGGGCATTCACCATCCATACACTCACACACCCTTCACAGGCACTAGATCATGACGATGACACCTGATGGCTTGATAAGTTCTACCCGCTTAACACCCTACACCTGGCTCTCTTACCCCCTGTCCTTCTCCATGTGACAAAAGACGCCCCCCCCCCGGGATTTCGGTATCGGCCTGTCCTGCTGTCGCGACAGCCTCAACCTTGACCTCCTCCTTGTCGCCCCTCCTTGTCGCACACCTCGCACTCGCTCTCCACTAGGAAACCACCTCGTCAAACATTCAGACTAAAACAAAGTGCACAAAAAACTCACAGGCCTCTTGTATACACTTCCTGGGTAAAATGCCCCGGGTCCCGCCACCCTGCAGGTACAGTACCCGCTAGCATTGCCCATAGGCTCTAACCTTTCTTCCTGGGACCCGAAAACGAGACTGACCGGCATTTCAGCTGCTACAATCAGGTACACAGTGACCTTACTCCTCCCTAGAGAACCGTATCCACCAAGCCTCATCGATCGAGTACCAGAAGTGGGTATCCTGCCTTACCTCGAGACTGAAAGACAGAACAATAAACGGGGAGAAAGACGGAGAGAGAAAGACAGAAAGAGAAAGAGAAAGAGACGGAGAGGAAAAAGAGACATGGGAAACCACAGCTGCGGATCCGCCCACGACTTATTATTTCGCGATTTTACCACGACTCCTTGGCCTCATCTGCGTTTAGCCGCCAACCCCCCTGGAACCTAGAGAGCCGACCAACCCGCTTTTGTCACTTTGTCTATGCCATCGAACCCATCGAAGCGCCTGACGCGTCCCATCCCGCGCGTTCTGCATGTTGGGCCTCCACCGGCTAGGCATAAAAAGAAATAGAAACAAAGCAAGCAAAGAGGAGAGAGAATACTCTTGTCACGCAGGGGCCCAGCCCAGAGCAGACTAGCCCCGAGAAGAGAGGCCAGGCCATCAGTGACCACTGCCAACAAGGGCTGGTTATCGCGGGTGGGAAAAAGAGTGACTTGTGGGCGAGGGGCTCATGCAGACGTGTTGCACGGCATTCTCCTCTTTCCCCAGCAGTCTGACATGGCTTCACGTCCAAGCCTGCAGGCGGCCTTGTCATCTCCTGCGGTCACCCACAGGTCACAGCGACATCCTCTGCAGCCGACCAGTGGCACCGTCACAGGCCCTCCAGAACAGCAGTCTCCTCCTCTGCCGTCATCCTTGTCTGACTTTGCAGCAGTCGGACTGGACCTCGTGCGCGATGACGGAGACGAAAGGCGACTGGCTGATCAGACCAGCCATCTCACCCTGCCGATACTGCTTGGGGATAGAAGTCGCAGCGCGCAGGCCTCGTCTGCATCTGGGCCCGGCGGTGCCGTGCCGGAAGCGTCCCGCGGCCATAGCCAGGCCTTCTCGACCCTTCCTCCTGCAAGGGAAGGCCCACTTCCACCGCAACATGTGCGACAGTCTGCTCCGTCCGTCCAACCACCGCCGTCGACGGTCGTGGTATGGCACCCCGCGAGCAATGATGCCCAACCCGCCCAACCCGACCCACCGATATCACACGAGCATGCACGTGAGGAGGCGAGGATGAGGGATGGCGGACAACTGGTAGCAGTTGAGCAGGAAGAAACCGGACACCGTCGGATGCAGGCTGCCGACCCTGCTACCATCACCGGCGCCACCACCACCACCACCACCACCTGGTTCATCACCGACGTGATACCTGGCTGGACATACGAGTACCCCTGGGCCGCGCGGGGTGATGCTATGTTAGGCCTTGCTAACCTGCCCAACGAGTTGCTCCTTCATATCCTCAGCTTCCTGGACGTGTCCGATCTGCTGGCCACCTCGAGAGTGAGTCGATAAATCACGATCTGTCCCGCGCCGCCCCTCCACCCACCTTTGCCATACCCTGCTATCTTTCCTCGAGGGATCAACCCAACCTGGTCTGCAACGCCATGGCGCGGAACAAGTTGGGGGGAGTGGTACTTCCAAGCTTTGCATGGAAGAAAACGCCTCGATCCTCCACCCGCCCCCAATCCCTCCACGTCCCCTCTCCCCCTCTCCTTTTCTCTTTCCCTCTTTTCCCTCCTGGTCATGTTGGTACTACTGCAGAGTCATATGGTTGGGGCGACCACCCGCTAACTCAAGCTCCCCCTCCCTCCCCTTCCCCAACAATAGACGTCCCATCATTTTCGCTCCCTGGCCCTCGCCCCAATCATCCATCGCCACCGATTGCGCCATGCCCGCGCTGTGTTACCCCCCCTCCTGACAAGCCCCTCGCGACCGTCCCTGTCCGACCTTATGGCCCGCTCCATCTTCCTGACCAATACGACCGTTGTGTCCCGCAAGCTCGCCCGTAGCCTGACCGCCATCCGTCTTTCACGCCGGCTCGCCGTCCGACCGCCGCCCGAGGCCCTTGTAGCCAGGTCTGTCCTGCCGCCCGAGTGCGTGCCGGGTCAGACGAGAGGGATTGCCCCGGCCCTGGTGGCCAAGACAAGGGCCGTCGAGAGGGAGAGAATCAAGGACGGCCTAAGAAAGTGGGTGGGCAGCGTGTGGGAGCGTCGGTGGCGGGAAAAGGCCGAGGACCGGCGGAGATGGGAGGAAAGGAGCGGCGTCGGGCGGGTGTGGAGGCTGAGGAGGTTTTGGGAGAGGGTTGGCCGGGGGGAGATCGAGGCTAGGTAATGTAGAACAGAGAGGTGAGATGTCGACCATTTTCCTTTTCTTTTTCGATATGTTCTCTTCCCTTTATAAATCAAAGAGGCGGTGTGCAGTTTCGTGTTTTGAAATATCGGAATGTGTTCCGAAGGAATCGACCTGCATGCCGACGTTACCTCACAGTCAATTTGGCTTTTCTCCTCTTCTCCTTGTGGGAGCTCCAAGTTCCATTCTGTTTTTTTTCTGCTTCTTTCTTGAGGGCTGATGTTGCCGGAGAAGGAGAGGGGGAGGGTGGGGGGGAGCACACCGCTAGAACACAGTATATCAGTAGACAGCAGATAATTCTTTGAATGCAGCAGGTTATGCCAAAATACATTGTTTCTCAAAGCAATGCTTCTGTGTAAACGCCGATGCTGAAAATCCGATCCCCCAGATGTGATGATGCCTTTTGCTTGTCCTGTACTGTCCCTCCCGTGTCGTCGATGCGATATTTTCTTCTTCTTTGTCTTGAAGAGTAAGAAAGAAAAAAAAGGAAAAGGAATAAGATGGTTTCTACGCCCGAAACCGAAATCCTGCCCAGTCGTCGTCTTCTTCTTCGTCGTCCTCATCCTCGTCCTCGTCATCATCGTCTTCCTTTTTTGAATCCTCGACGGCTGCGCCGTTCACAGGCTGTTTCGTCTCGGACACAGTCGTGCCTTTGCCGTCCGGAGTGGCCATCGTAGACGCAGAAGTAGCAGCAGCGGTAGGGACAACAGCAGGGACACTGCCGCGTCGTAGAGCCTCCCTCTTCTCCTTCAGCTTGCGCACCCGTGCCTCGAGCTCCTCCATCTCCTCGAACTCGGCCTCCAGCGCCCGCGTCGCTTCTTCTTTCTCATCTTCGATCTCAATATCTGCTTGTGCCTTTCGTTTCTCCTGCTCCTCCTCTTCTGCTTTGGAGGCTATTTCCTCTGCTGTCATAGGCTTGGCGCTTATCACGGCGACGCTGGCGGTGTCTGTTGTTGCCGGGCGGTCGGCAGGGGCATTGGGAGGGGGTGCTGTGTTGACGACCTCGGCCATGAACGCTGCCCAGTCGTCATCTTCGTTCGCCGCGGTGCCTGTTGTCGTTGATTTCACGGACGGTGGACCGGCGGCAGTCAATGATGATGTGGCGAAGGCTGCCCTTGGGGCGGGCTTGGAAGTAGCGACGGCAGGTAGACTCGCCATTTGCCTCTCTTGTGGTGCTAATGGGCTCCTGACCACCGATGTAGCTTTGGGTGTCGAGGTGGTCGATGCTGCGCTCGGTGTCGCAGGTCGAGAAGGAATCTGTAGCTCGACGCCGTGTGATGGTGTCCCTGAGATCCGCCGCACCAGGCCGGGTGGGGAAGTCATGGAAGGTGTCTTCTTGCTCGCCTCTGCGGAAGCGGGCGAGTCTAGGCTCGTCGTCGTCGTCGTCGTTGGTGCATCAGTGGCCGAGCTTGTGGGAGCAACCGCTGGGGAGTCGGGCCCTGGCCTGCTCCTCTTCTTCCTGGACACCTCGTCCTCCCCCACCGCGTCCGGCATCTCCACATCCTCATCCTCACCATGCTTGCGCTTCTGCCCCGCCCCGCCAATGATCTGTGCTAGAAGGGCCTCGTCGCTCAGGGTGTCCGTGCTGGATTTAGCCCTGTGAGAGACCCCGCCGCCGCCACCGCCATTGCTGGTCATGTTGTCCTGGGTACCGCTAGTTGGGCCTGCTGCTGCTGTTTCTGTACCTGCTGCACTGGCCTTCGCTTTCTGGTGCGCAATCAGGCGTTGCCTGTGGCCTAGGCTCCGTATATGACCTTCCCACAGGGCCTCGCTCTTGATACCCTCGCGGCAGACGCTGCAGGTTAACTTGCCCAGCTCGCTGTAAATGGCGTGCGGGTGCTCTATGCGCCGCGCGGCGCGCTGCTGCCGCAGGAGAGAGCGAGCGTCGGCCATCGTCGGCTTGTAGGAGCAGGAGGAGGAGGACGATGCTACCGCAGGGAGGTGCGAGGAGTTGGCGGCATGAGAGCGGTGTCTGCCAGATGTCGAGGTAATTCGGCCTGGAAGGGGGGTATGCTTTGTGATTCCGTAAATATTTAACTTCTCCTTTTCGTGCAGGAGTTGCTGGCGCCACAGAGTCTTGAGGAATGGGGAGCTTGTTGGCTTCGCGTGTAACTTGATTGGGATCGACTTGAATCTGTCCTTGTTGACAACTCAACGCGAGCAGGCTAGCCACCATTCTTTCTTTGCCCAGCAGAGAAAGAGCCGTGGAATGCCCATAGGTAGCGCCACAACTGTCAATGAGTGGATACCACACCTGCAAACGGATAAGGTAGGGTCAGTGCTCCTCCGCATCAGCCACACGTAATACCTCCAAGCGGCAGGCATGTTGTTGAGCTAATGACATATTCTTTTCTGTATCATGGTAGTACATAGTAGGATTCCAATACCTTTCCTTGTACGTTTCAACACACCACGACCTCGATTCCTCCTTCGACTACCAACCGGCCCTATGATTTGATCTTGGCGTCTTCTTGGACGGAGTGATTGAAGTCTGTGTTTTGTTGGTCCTTGCAATCGCATAGGCTCAATTCCTACTCGTGCGGCGCATGGCGTGGTCACCTGGGAACTGATTACCTCCCGCCTGGGAAGGTCTCTTCTCTTGTTCCACCTGTGCCACAGCAACAACTCCAAACCTCGTTCAGACGACGACCTCCTACTCTGGGGTTCAAACCAATTCGACGTACCTCTCTTAAGAATACTGGCGTCCTCGAGAGAACAGACTGCGTGTGCGAGAGCACCGTGTTAACATGGCGGATCAGGCTCAGACTGCGGCCACCTTCCCGAACCCTCCAGACTTTCTCTGGCGTGGATTCACAACCGAGAATGTCGCGCGCTTCGAGGAGGCAAAGAAGACATGGGAGGAGGCGCATCCCGAGGCCGCTTCGTCCAAGACAGTCACACTGATCCCAGACTTACCAGAGGACCTCAGACAATTTCAGCCGCCTCCGGAACCCACGGACGGTCGATGGCGAATGCTTGGGGATCCTTGGCAGGTGAGCAAGCTCACATCTTGATGCGGGAGCGCGAGCGCTCATATCAGTGCAGAAGAGAGAGGGCAAGCAATGGTTGACATTTTGTTCTGTTCCAGCTGGAAGTGACTGTTCCCGACGTCGAGGAGTGGAATATTAGGCGTCTCGAACCCGCACCGCGCTCCGACACCACCTCCCTCCCTGCCGAAGACACAAACCGTGACCTCGCCCTAAATCTCAAGCGCCTCGCCAAGTCCGCCCTCCTCAACTTCCTCGAGTTCGCCGGCGTGGCGAGCGTCGACCCCGACGGCCTCTGGGAGAAGACCACCGACATTGAGCACATTCTGATTAATATGCACAGTGGCATCAATAAGTATCGGCCCCACCAAGCGCGAGAGAGCCTTATTCAGACCATGCAGAATCGTCTCGACCAATTACGTGCCGAGACAGCCGCGGTCAATGCGGTCACGGACAAGGCGAAGCGGGTGCTTGAAGGGCTCGGGAGCATCGATGCGCCTGGGGAGTCGCAAGAGCTGCAGGAGAAGGGCATTGTTGACGAGATAATACTGGCAGACGACGCTAGTGAGGTCTGGGAAGAGTCTACTTCTTTCAACTAGATGGCTATTTGGAGGCTGTTTGTGGCCATGGCGTGACGAGAACAATCTGCATCTAGATGTAGACGTGGACGATTCTTCGCAATTGGAAATTGTGGTTTCTAGGCGCATTACGGACATAGGATCATACCCCGGTGAAGTTGAATCAAATTGCATTTTCCTCCAACCCAGTTTTGCCATCGCATGCTTTGTGGTACTACAGTCGGAGGAGGTTTTATACTGAATGCCCGTATGACAGACTGCTACGGGCTCTCAGCTGAAACACTCCTGGCTCTTCTGTGAGAGAGTAGATGTAAACCTAAGCGTGCTCACTTTTCCATGTACGATGCTTATATCATTCTGTTTACCATCGGCAGAAGAAGTCTTCCCTTTAGGTGAACACCATGTTAGCTGCGAAACCGCCTGGCTACTGTTTCCGAGAGAGAATATTATGCAGTGACGCGGTTCATTGCCTCCTAATTAAAGTTTCTTTCGCAGTGGTACATCTATTCCTTGTCGGACATATGTACCTGAGCGCCTCCCTAGGTACTTATCCTTCAGCCTCTGAGTGACCACACTTGACTGTACTCCACATCGTTATGGCAGGGCTGACTTGCGCAATGAGCCATGTCTACAGGGCGGGAATTGGAAGATTCATTTGAAATGAGATCATTTGAGCAGAGTCAACGGAGGTTTGAGCTCCTCTAGTCTCTAGTCATCTTATAGGTAGGCGTCTAGCTTGTAGCGCTTGGGTAGGCCCCATCCATCTTCTAGAACTGGTCGTGTCACTGTACTCTCAGAGATTGTAGGCACAGCAATAGGAAGGAGCACCCACCAGGGTCAAGAGTGCTTACAAGAGGACCACCTCTCCCCGGCCAGCTTCCACTGACTAATACCATCAACAAACATCCTCTCTTCACCTCTTCTTGTTTCCCTTTTCCCCAGATATGAGTTGGGTGGACCAGTGATCTTATGTTCAGTATATCAATTGCTATACATAAAGCTTGCATTAAGTACGATTTCAGTCGTGATCATTGGCGAGGCGTCTACTACTACCCCGGCGGCCCCCTCTACACACGGGAACTTTAGTTGCTTGCTCTTGTGGGCAGCTCAAAGCTTGAACAGCCTTCTCCATCCGATGCTCAACGTCCTGACTCTGGCCAGCCGACCCTCGGGCCTGTAATAAAGCTTGCCGTGGCGGCTGCTCTTGTTGACCCCTCAATGCTGTATTACCATGGTACAATACTCACAGCTCGTCGATTTCTGATCAGGAATTTTTCCGCGAGTCCTAATTCGTGCTATCGGTTACACTATCGCTGACACCTCGCATGTCTCAGACTTCGATATCGAGACTACCACAGGCAGCCTCCTAGACGTACGGTCAGATTTTCCGACAACAATGCTGGTGCCGTGACGACCGGCCACCTCTCCGATGCAGTAGATTGAGATTTACCGTCAGTACCATGTCTCAATGACTATCTAGCAAGCGCCTTCGAGCTGAAGTCGAGGGCCAGCAGACAGACATTGCGAGACTCGAAGCCACGAGGTTGACCAGAATTGGGAGGGGAAAAATGTCACAGAGCATCGTGCCAGATGGCCCGACTTGGGGAAGATCGCCCTGCTCCAGGGCCAGATATGGACGATACAGCGTTGTGCTGTGTTGGCCGCCCGCATGTTCCTGCCGTCGTCGACCCTGCAGACCTCCCAAGCTTGACAGATCGAGAAACGATACGCACGTTGAGGATGTCGCTCCATTGGGCCCAAGATGTGTGTGTTCCTGAAACGTACGCGATCCTGGACCACTTTATGAGCTTCAAGATAACGATTACAAGTAAACTTGCAGCCCCTCCCTCCCTTCTCCTCGGCCCAGCATGCCGTGCTGTTGCTGCGGCTATAATCTGAGTCAGATATTTTGTTGCTAGTATGGCATTAGTGGCCCGAGTCAGACACATTCATTCCCAAAGGAGAAGCTTGAGAAAAGACGAGAAGACGAAAATGAAGCGCAAGTGTCAGCTTCAACTACCGACAAACTTTGTCTGTTGGATCGAGCCAGCCTGTGCTGCATACTACAGGGGGCAGTTGAGACGTCCTGTTGATGTTTCATATCTGTGATGTTGACTTCTAGGCAACCAACTTCTTTGGAAATCTTTCAGATATCACGGGTGTGAATCTTTGGGTTAGGACCAAATGGACAAGCCTCTCCTCAGTGAGGAGAATTGAGGCGATCCAAGGCAAGCCCCTCTTCCCCCTCTCTCTTCTCTCTGTCTCAAGCATCGCTTCTGTTATGTTCTCATGACCTGTGGTGAGAACCTGGGCTATCGACCACCTGATAACAAGGGTCTTTCGAGCTGAGGCTCTGAAAGCGGATCGCTTCGTGCATCGGGGCGGGCCCGAGCAAATCCTTCGAGGACCAGGCCCCCCCTCCACAGGCCCCCTTGATTTGTCGAGCCGAGCCACTTTATTGCTTGTTGGTTGTTAGTCCTGGTACTCACATCACCTGCCGAATGCTTCCTGAAGGCTGCGTATCCATGCGCTATACCGGAAAGTGGATGATGTTCAGCTCAAAAGAGATCGTCTCTCTTTCGTTTGGGTTTTGTTGGTGTGGAGGTTGGGTTGCTATGGGTGCGTTGTCTGCTTTCTGGGCGGTAAGCCGTCAATTTTGTTCGCTGTCTATCGCGGTTTTAGGAGCCCCCCCTTCCCTATTGGTGACCGCTATTTGATCTTCGGTATCGGATCTGTATGATCGTGATCCTTCGCCGCAGCTCAGCAGCTACCCTTCCCCATGCGCGGCTGCTGGCGCGCAATGGGCCCTGAGGTTAGAAGATTTCTTTCGCGATTTTCAGCTCCAACCTCAGCCTCGTCGGATCTTTTAAGGGGGACTGGCCAGTCACCCTGTGATTGTTTGCAGACCCAGCTCTGTCCTTCATTTCGTCCTTTGTAGGGTCTGATCGTAGCTTGACGGGTTCAAAACCAGAACAGCAGCTCTCTTCTGCGACACTGGTTGATAACACAATGTGCGTTTAAACGTCAAGACATATATGCTTCACCCCCTCCATCTTCATTATTAGATCCGACGAGCTCTCCTTTCCCTACATCATATCCTATTTATAATACTCACCTTTTCTGACCCTCTGTTCCCCTTGGCCACTGGTATTATTGACCACAATTCATAAATACTGAGGGGAAACGAAAAGAAGACCCCCCCTTTTTTTTTCTCTCAACATGGATTCATCAGACATCGTGGCCATTGTGGCCCTGATTGTCTCGGTCATCGCTCTGATCGGGACGATCCTCCAGCTTCTGCAGCAATACTTCTCCTCGGCTGAAGGTTACAAGAATTGTGGTCAACAGGTCATGGGCGACTGGTCCCTGACGAGGAAGAGGAGATTTCGCGTGACGGAGCTCCGCTTCGAGACCCAGTTCGAGACGCCTGTCATCTTCATGTGCCCGCCCGACAACACGAGGGGCCCTCTGGGTGCCAAGGGACCCAACACGCCGCTCTGGCACATCCAGGGCACGCCTGAGAGCGAGAGGGATACTAAGACCCCGTCCGTGGAGAAGGAGAACGCAGACAAGAACAAGCTTAGGGGTTCCAAGAAGCTCAATGAGGACGTACACACGGCAGACAACGAGCGCGCCAACTGGTACATCCTGCTGCAGGCGCTACACGCCATGGAGCGGGTCAGCCAGGGCTGGCAGGACGAGAAGCTGGCGGCTGACAAGACGGCCGTGGGTCCCAAACGCATAGGGGAGCTTCCGGAGCATGTCGCGCCCTGGCAGGAGCACTCGGTGGTGGCCGCCATCCAGCCTAAGCGCAAGAGCTGGGACGTCATGCCGTCCGAGATAAAGAAGCCGTACGCCACGACAGCCATGTGCCACATGATCGAGATGGCGGCTATGTTGGGCCTGCACTGGCGCGAGTTTGACCGGTCCCAGAACAAGTACCACGCCGAGGGCAACGGCTACCTGCTCACGGGCCACGAGGTGGACGACCTGGGCATCATGTTCACGTTCCAGATCTATGCGCAGAACGCATTTGGGCAGCACCGCATCATCCCCAACGAAGAGATCAAGCTGCTGGCTTTTGGCAACGTGTCGACTATCTACCGGCCTGTGCCTCCAGGCGGCACGGGCAAGATCCCTTATGACATCGAGGACCCTAAGAACACGGGCGTGCTCCAGTTTGGCAACACCACAGAGCTGGCGGAGTCCCTCACCCACTATGGCTGCAACTCTAAGACGACCAACTACTTTCGCGACGACAAGAAGAAGCATGGCCATCTCTTCCCTGGTGCGTTTTCAGATCGTCATGAGAAAGACCCCTGACTGGACTGACAACCCGATACTAACCCATATGTGTGTGTGCAGTTGTATTTGAGGTTCTAGGCATGGTGGCCAAATCCGTCTACATCCCCAACACATACTACCGTTTCCTTCCCAACCCGACGACTTTCAGCTGGAACCGCAAGAACTTCTCCTTGCGCAAACTTCTTCTCGAGTTCCACAGGTCCCTCAAGGAGGACGAAAACTTGTCGCCGCTGACAGAGCACCTCCAAGCGGTCCTGGATTGGAGCGATGAGCTGGCCGCGCATCTCAAGAACTGGCCCAACGAGGATGACTTCTCGCTGGTTCTGCTGAGCTGCCTGCACCGGTCCATCGAGCGGTGCGACAAGTACCTGGCCCCCGCTGACAACAAAGCCCGCGAGGCCAAGAGCAGGATGGTCAAGCTTGTGGTGCGCGAGCACGTCCAAGAGGTCATGAAGATGCTCAACGAGCCCACCACCAACCACACCAACACCAACACCAGCAGCACACATCCAGTATCCCCTCGTGCCCAGTCCCATCACGAGGACGAAGACTCGTCGTTGCTGTCGTCGTCCGCAGCGTTTGAAGACCTCAACTCGGCCGCGCCAGAGGTGCGCAACGCCAAGCTGATGGAGATCTACTTCACCACGGTGCTGCGCAACGTGATGGTGAACTGCCCCGAGGTGCTCAAGAAGCGCACTACCACCCCATACGTTCCTTCGGTGGCGTCGCGCACTGATCTGACCTCCATGGTGGGGGAGACAAACGCTGCCGACGACGACAGTAGCAGCAATACCGACGTGTCGCCTGCGGCGCGGTCACAGACGCTGACGCTGTCTGTGCCGGGAGGACCGGGGACGCCCGGGGTAGAGGTAAGCGACAAGGTGCGCAGGTTGCAGGAGAGGCACCAAGAGGAGACGGCGGATATATGGTGCACGCTTATGTTCCGTATGCTGTGCTGGTTGCTGCTGCATGACTTTCACAAGAAGGACGTGCAGATCAGCAAGAGTGAGCTGTACGGTAGCAGGCTGCCTGTATACATTGCATAAGGGTAAACCGCCTTTCCCAAGAAGATGATTGAAGAGGGAGCAGGGAGAAGAACATTAAATTTCGTACATTTGCACAGCATGGATGATTTGCGCGCATTGTATAAGTACTCGACGACATATCGTATGTATGTATGTATCATGATATATTGATATCAATGTACAACACAACTAATATAGTAATGACTCTATCCTCACTTAACGAGTCATCCATTCTCATCATTCAACAACAATCGTACATGAGGCACACCACCCAAGCATGAATAAGTCACAAACGGGCCCTGAGCGAGTCTCAAGTGGCAAATGCAAAGCCAATGTTTTCCAAAGGACGAATGTAATCTCATGGACAAAGACAGGAAGGCCGGTTGAGGTGGACACGACGATCGATCCTTGATGCAAGTCGGATTGAGTCCCGAGACACACCCTTCCAGGCTAGGGCGGAGCATCGTTCCGAGGGAAACTTTCCCGAGCGACTTTGACTGACCAACCTGTGACTAGAAGCAAGAGGTGGAGCTGGGCCTTTGCATGCATGATGAGTTGGCCTACTGCTGGGCGTTGGTTCCAGGGGGGATGGGGCTACAGGAAGAGCGGCAAGTGGGAAGAAGGGAAGGTGGTAAAGAGGGACAAGGTCTTCTGCAGGACTGCCTGAGAGGAAGAGAACGATGCCGCCTATCTGGGCCCCATTGGCCAAACTTTAGTGCCGTACATAACATAGTACAGTGTAAGCTGCTGCCCAAAGGCGGACCTGGGTTTGTACATTCTTTGGTTACGCACGTCACGATACTGGGTGGCGCCACAGGCTGCGCTTTTGCTGTGCTGGGAGGTGGGCCGTTTGCTGGCTGATCAGCGGTTAGGAAAGGGGAGTCATGATCCTCCACCGGAAGCGCTTGCAATTGGCGCCCTCGCCCTACGTGGTATGTTTGGTCAGGAATCGGGCGGGACCTTGTTTAGGGCCTGGGGGGCCCTGGGCTTGGGCCCGAAATGACCCCGCTCCCTTGCACCCTCCCAGCTGCCTCCCTCCCTAGTGATACCTAAGGCCGTGGTTTTGGTGTTGTTTGGTGGTGTAAGTGCTGAAGGGGCAACCAGAGCAACAATAACGCAACCGTCTTCCCACCTTCTTTTTAATTCTCGTCCAGCTCGGAAGACTGTCGAAAACTCACTCAGAACCTGTATTTCTTTTTGTTTTCTTTGTTATCATCATTGATCATTCTTGCAAGGTCAGTGGTTGGAGCCATTCCACATCTTGAAACCGAGGCGACTTTTGACCGCCTCTATTCCGTCATAGTCGGGCGTCCACTTAGGTCAGCATTAAGTCGTGCAGTGCAAGCAGCCGAGACACGCACATGTCAAGCCCCAGGGGCTTCGATTTATATCTCGAGCTCGTCTTCTGCGTCCACTCGACCACCAACATCACCACCACCGCCCACCACACCTCTTGACTGCCTCTGAGCTCTGCGGCTGGTTCGTAGAAAGAGTTCATCGTCGTTGTCAAGATGCAACTCACAGAGACGGTCACCATCATCAACAAGTCGGGCAAGATTATCACAAACGTGAGTCTCCTTTTATCTAACCAATTCTCCAAGTCCATATCCTTCTTTAAGAGAAAGAGAAAAGAGTGAGAAGAGTCGCCGTCCCTTCAATGGTCATCCTGCCCCACCAGGGATCAGAAAGATTGGTCATGAGACTGTCATATCATACAGGATGCATATCATGCGCTGACAGCATCGCTCTTTCATCGTACTCCAACAGGGCAAGCATGTCGTCAACATCTTCAAGGAAGCCAAGGCAGCCTACCAGGACAAGAAAGCTGCCATAAAGGCTGAGCGTGCTGCTGCTGCTGCTGCTGCTGCTGCTAGTGGTGGTGGTTCCGTCGCCGACGAACCACGTCCTGGCATCCGCAAGGCGCACACGTTCGACGTCAGGTCTCGAGGCCCCGACCTGCACGACGACTATTACTACCCCGCCGCCGACGAGTACGACGACCACGTCTACGATGTCCCTCGAACCGAGTACACCCACTCGCGGTACCTGGAGGACGACTCACATTCTCGCCACCAAGGCCGCAGGCGGTCTTTCGGTGACGATGAGGGAGCGTCCCAGGCGAGCTCGAGGAGGAGCCACGCCACACACAGGTCGAAGAGGTCGCATGCCACGTCCAGGCACGACGGGACCATCGTCTCGAGGAGGACGGCGGTAACGACGGCGCTGACCGAAAGCAACCTGCGCACGCTCACCGAGGTGTCGGCTACGACACCAACGCAGGTTCCGCGATCGTACCGCCCGCCCTACGCCGAGAGCTCCCCTCGCGATATGGCCCTAAGCAGGCCCTCCCTCGTCCATGCAGCCACTGCCCCTCACCTCGGCGCCGCGGCCGCCACAGGTTCTGACCTTAGCCTCGTTGGGGACACGACAGGAAAGAAAAAGAAGAAGAAGGAGATCGACATGAACCTGGCCTACGGCAACGTCCCGCCAGACCTAGCTTCGCGCACCGATCTGGGCCCAGCCACGCCGGCAGAGGAGGCAGATGCGGCGCGGCGCGAGGAGGCCAAGAAGGAGGAGGAGGCGCGGAAGTTGATGGGTCGCATCGACACCCTGCTAGACGAGGCCGAGTGCGTGCAGCACACGGCGTCCTCGATGATCGACCACCTGCAGCGCAAGCCCGAGGCCGCGGCCGCCGTCGCACTGATGCTGGCTGAGCTGAGCACCCTACTCCGCACCGTCAGCCCGGGGTTCCTCGCCGTCGTTCGCGGTGGATCCCCTGCCGTCTTTGCTCTGCTGGCCAGCCCGCAGTTTCTCGTCGGTGTCGGTGTTGCTGTGGGCGTCACTGTTGTCTGCTTTGGCGGCTGGAAGATCGTCAAGCGCATCAAGGAGGCCAAGGCCATCGCTGCAGGCCGAGAGGCGAGTGCGCAGGCCTTTGCGGCGAATCAACAGTATCAACAGCAGCAGCAGCAGCAGTGGGTACCACCGCCGCCGACGCCGTCACAACATGCCTTCGAAGCCGGTGCCGCGTATGGTCCGCCTGGCCCGGGCAGCTACGACGACGCGCTCGTCCTCGACGAGGAGCTCAGCACCATCGAGTCCTGGCGCAGGGGAATAACGCCGTGCGGCGACGATGGGGAGGAAATAGACGAGAGCGTGGACCTCGAGCTCATCACCCCCGAGGCTGCCCGGTCCGTCCGTGGCGATGCCATGTCTATCCGCACCAGCCGGACACACCGCTCGCATAAGTCGCACCGCAGCCACCGTAGCCACCGCAGCCATAGGCCGGGCAATGCGGACGAACAACAAGAGGAAGACGAGGAGGAGATCGAGATACCTATTCGGACGAGCAGCAGAGCTCACACCAGCAGGACCGGCGATGGCGCCGCGAGCGAGGCGGGCAGCGAGAGGAGCAGGCGGACCTCGAGGTCCAAAATGACTGTCAAGTCGCACGTGAAGGCCATCGAGGACGGGAGTCGCCAGGCGGATAATACTCTGGAGGCGGTGCTGCGGCCCAAGGAGAAGAGATCGACAATGCTCAAGACGCTGTTCAAGAAGAAGAAGGAGAGGGAGGATGAGGCTAGGGAGGTTGCTGTCTCGGTGATGGCATGATGAGGTTTGGAGTGAATTTCTTTTCTATCTTTTTCTTATGGGAATTCTTTACAAACGCATTAATGGACACGGCAGCAACAACATCAAGAATAACGCAACAAACAACATCGGATTGATATTTAGAGGTACACACCACGAGTTTCACGACATAATGAAAGATCGCGATTGGATTTAGCTTCGAATTATGAGAAAGTATTTTCCATGTCATTATTCCTGTCCTTCTCTCTTCTGCTACTGCTTCCTCGCCTTTTTTGACTGGACTGTCAAGTCATTGATGTTATCAAAGATGGTACAGTCACTATCATCCTCGCACATGGTGGTCCGTCCCAGATTCTTAGTCACAGGTCCCGTCGGGCCCGACGTGTACAGGCACTCGCCAAACAGGCAGTACTGCCCGTCATCGCCGTCCGCGTACTGCTCGTCGCCCCAGTAGCCCTCCCACGACAGCCAGGAGGCGTCCTCGTCGGCTTCCTCGGTTGCGCCGGTGGAGTTGCCGCTGGCGGTGGTGAAGGTGTTGGTGGTGGTGTCGTACCAGTAGCCGCGGTAGTTTTGGGTCATGTCCCCTTTTTGATATGTAAATAAATAGGGATATAGATATATACATAACATATTGTACAACCATAAGGAAGTAGAAAAAAAAACCAAAAAAAACTTACAGGCATAGCCAGCATCTGTAACATCCGTCACAATACCCAGGGCGATGGTGTAGTCTTGCGAGCCGGCAGTGGCGTAGTTGGCGTGGCTCCCGTTGGCGATGTAGGTGATGGGCCGGTCGCCGGTGAAGTCCATCACGTCCCAGTAGTAGGCGGACCCGGCTGAGTGTTCTGAGAGGTAGATTGCGTAGGGTTCGCTGTCTATGAAGCGGATCTGAGTGATTGTCAGTAGACAAAGAAAAAGAAAGAGAGAAAGAAAAAAAAAGGAGGGAAAAGGAAATGGAAAAAGAAAATAGTCCAAGCTTGAGTAGTCGTTGACAGGAGAGGAGAGGGGGGCGGGGAGAGGAACTCACCATGGCGTGTTCCCAGTCACCGACGTGAAGATCGAATTCAATGTCAAGGACACTGGACGCATGGTTCATATAGCACGTCAGCGAATGGATTATTGGATCTCATCTTGTTCTCCTTTTCAACCCAGTTTTCCCTCCTCTCCATACTAGTAGAACGCAACTTACGGTCTGCCATAATTATAACTATAAAAATAAAAATAAAACACATCTGTGGTACTGGCGTTCTTCTCCGCCGCGATGATCAAGCCCGGGGCAGCACTATACCCAACCGCGTCCGGGATGCCATAGTCCGACAGCAGCCAGGCCGGGTCATCGGCGATGTTGTCGGCCGAGGTCAGGTACACGTCGCTGGCGTAGCTGTCCAGCGTGTCGACAGTGACAGAGCCGACGGCGCCCAGGGCGACGTAGTTCTCCTCGGGGATGGTGTTGTTCAGGTGCACGGTGATGTCGGAGGGGAAGGTCCCCTCGGCGCTGTAGAGGTAGGACCAGGGGGCGTAGGTGATGGCGTAGTCGGGAAGGGCCTCGCGCTTTTGTAGAGTTCTCCTCTTCTGACCCGGGGCTGCGCTGGTCAGGCTTGGTTGGAGGAGGAGGGAGGAGAGGTGAAGGAGGACGGTGCCAGTGTTGAGCTTCATGATGGCCTATTTTGTGTGAAATCTTGTTCCTTGTACTTTCACTAGCTGCGTTGCGAAGAGGGAGAAGGAGGATGATGATGATGAGGAGGAGGAGGAGGAGGAGGAGGAGGAGGAGGAGGAGGAGGAGGAGGAGCAACGACGTTATTAAAGTCTGTTAGAGCACGATGTTGGAGGAGCATTAGAGAGCTTCCCTTTGCATATATCATTATTCACATCTACAGCCAGGGGTTCCATTCCCGATCTTGCGATGCCATCAGTGGCGGGCATGGGGCTAAATGTGGTGTGCTAAAATGATATACTCCATCTGTGTGCGATGTAATTATACCGCACACATGCATATGCACATGTAGGCCCTGCTGCAGCAGAGACAATACAACCTTAATGTCGTAGTGCTTCGGTGCTACTGTCCCCATTCAGCTCTGCCATGATAATAGAGAGCACACCTGAAGAGGAGGGGGGGAGGGGTGACAGTGAATAAACGTCTGCCTGGCGCCATCAAACCCGCGTGGCTTGAGTTATTCGACATGCAATTGGACCTTGAAGAGGAACAGCAGGAGGAGGAGCCCCAGCTGAACTGCCGGCGATCCGTTCTGGAGTAGCAGTAGATGCCTTGCCTCATTTCCAGGGTGGAGGGGAATGGGGCTTGTTCTTCTCCCAGGTGAGCGGTTCGGGAAGGTCGACCCAGGTAGGTGCCATGATGAGGCCATGAGGCGGACAGAACCCGGATCAGATTTGCTGCATGTTTATCGCTAAGACGCTTCAGCAGGGAAATACGGCTTGGAAATAATTTGCCCAAATTCCGGCTTACTTGCCCAAAAGAGCATTTTGTTTCCTCATTATTCAAGGGTCTCTTTCCTTTCCTTTGACTGAGATACTCATGTACTTCATTTTGAACTGGTTTGAAATAGCCTCTATCTACTTGGGGGTTGACTCGCGCAGCCTGGACGCGCTGACCCTGATGGTAGCTTTGAGGCTTATACATTGCTTCTCTCAAAGGTGAGTGGGAGACTTGGGCTTTGAAAAAAAAGAATTTTCAAAGATCTCCATCAGGTGCTCATTTTATCTACCTGAGATGCAGTGCTGTGATGACTTAATCATGGCTGTTTGACCCGAAGCCGTAGAGCAAGTAGTATATGCCCTGCGAAAGTACATGGTATGCACCGTTGGGCATCGTCTGTATGTCAGATCCCTCGACCATGCGCCTTCTTCTCCCAGTTTGATATCATCGAGAAACAGAAAAGTAGGGAAACTTTCGAGCTTAAAACAAAACCCAGCAGCAAACAAGGTCATGTGTGCTGTGTAGGTTCATTCCTCAGCTCCAACCTTGAAGCCTGAATTCAGCAAAGGACTCTGAGCCCTAACCCTCAAAGCTATCCCCCTTTTCACTATGCTAAGTATGTCACAGCATGCTATCCACTACTTGAAAGGCGGGGTACATCTTCAAAATGCGGGGTAAATGTTTTACCACTCCAAGAACAGAGAAACCCTTCAAGAAATCACGAGTCCAATCAATACTTTTGAAAGGTCGACCCTGTAATCTGGGGAAAATCTGGGGTTGCTCTCGACCAAGCATCAGCCCATTTTCTCGACATCACCGCCCGATTTGCTGGTACGATCAGATCAGGGTGTCGTCCTGGTCCTTTTTTTGGTTTCAGGGTCTACTACGGAGCAGGAACGGAGATGCTCGGCGGGTGGCAGAAGTAGATACCGAAGCCTCGGCCGCGACGCGGATTTATAGCTGCGGAATAAAACACACATCACTTACACAGGAGCACACTGATTACGTTGACTTGAACGACCGCAATTCCGGGACGAATTTGTATATCTTAAGGGATCGTGTCGTCTTTGACTTGGAAACACCAGGTATCATTTCTGCTGGAGAAAGAAAGCATCTCTTTCCTGGCATAAACAAACCAAAAAGAGCTGCTACGCTAGCCTCACTCATAGATCACACCTTCCCACACATCATCGACCAGCAAGCAGCACCGCAAACCTGGCTACCTAAGTGAGGATATACGACTGGAACAACCACACAAAAAGAGCCATGACATCCGAGGCGGCGCAGGCCCTCCATGGCGGGGAGTATCGCCAGTTTCTGCCCGACCTGAGCATTCCTAGGTTTACCACGATGCAGAAGCAGGACGCTCACGTCTACGCCAAGGCCTTCAAGGAGGGCGGCCAGCCTCCATGGCTCCACGCTCTGTATATGCATTGGCTTGAGCTGCTCAAGGAGCCCTTCAAGGGCGTCACCACTGATGGTCTGTCTGCCTGCCTGTTGTCGTTACTGTTTTTTCTGGAACCTGTTATTGTTGACATTCGAGCAGGCAAGACAAGGCCAGATCTCTTCCAGCTCCAGGATGAGGGCGTGCCCGTCGCCGACATCGTCAGCGCCGCCAGCGCCGTCCTCGCCAGTCTCACGCCCGAGCAGACAGCCCGCGTCAAGTATCACATCGACGACCCGCAGTGGCGGACGTGGAGCAACCCCGAGTTCCTGCTGAGCGACAAGGGCATCCGCCTGGACGAGATCAGCCCAGACCTGCGGGACAAGGTTCTGGCCGTGCTCCAGGCCACGCTGTCGCCCGAGGGCTACCAGAAGGCCATCGGCGCCATGCGTGTTAACGGCTTCCTGGGCGAGCTCGTCAAGTCTCCTGCCGTCATGAACGAGTTCAGCTACAACTTTGTCCTCTTCGGCGAGCCCTCGTCCGACCGGCCCTGGGGGTTCTCCTTCTACGGCCACCACCTGTGCCTCAACGTGTTTCTCTACAAGTCCCAGATTGTCATCTCCCCCTGGTTCACCGGCGCCGAGCCCAACCTCATCGATGAGGGCAGCTACAAGGGCACCCGCATCCTCGAGACCGAGGAGAAGCTGGGCCTCCAGCTGATGCAGGCCCTGCCCGCCGAGAAGCAGGCCAAGGCCCAGATCTACAAGCTCATGCGCGACCCGGAGATGCCCCACGGCCGCTGGAACCACGACGACCAGCGCCATGTCTGCGGTGCATACCGCGATAACCGCGTCGTCCCTTATGAGGGCATCCTGGTCTCCGAGATGTCGAGCGAGCAGCAAGATCTCGTCCTGGGGATCTTGGACCAGTACCTCCTCTACCTCCCCGCGCAGGCCAAGAAGGTCAGGCTGGATAACATCAAGTCTTGGTTCCACGAGACCTACTTTTGCTGGATCGGCGGCTACACCGACGCCGACCCCTTCTACTACCGCATCCAGAGCCCAGTGGTCATTGTTGAGTTCGACCACCACTCGGGCGTCTTCCTGACCAACAAGGAGCCGGCCAAGTTTCACATCCATACTCTACTGAGGACGCCGAATGGCGGCGACTATGGCGTGGCGCTGAGGCCGCTGATCCCAGGGGTTGAGCAGGGCTTCATCTGGCCGGGGGAAAGGGATTAGCATGTAGGCTAGCGATGTTAAAAATTTTGGAAAGCATGGAAATCATGGATTATTACTGGGTTTAGAGAAGAATCCGTTTGAAGTCACTATTAGATCGTGGCAAATGTTCTAGCAAAATGAGATCCCATGGCCTGATTCGGAATTGTTCTTTGTGAAGATCTCCTTAGCAAATCATGTGAACACACACACACACACACACACACATACAGAGAGAGGGGAAGGGGGAGAGAGAGAAAGAAAAAAAAAAAAAAAAAGAGAGAGAGAGAGAGAAAGGCCAATGAATATGTCACCGATTGTGAAGAAAACACTTATGAACGATCTTTGCTGTTTCTTTTGTTTGCTTTTTGTTTTAGCAATATTCGTATCTATTATATTACGAGCCATAGTTCACACTCCTAGTTCCTAGACGCCATTCACACTATTTATACGAGTTTTCTCGGTTATTTTGTTTCGCAAACCCACACAAGTGCCATCGAATCGTTTCGTAAATAGACATGACCAAGAAAACCACACAAAAAATATAGTGCCCCGAATATGTACAACAGAAAAAGGGGCTTTGCAGGCCGCATAGCCGGGGCAGGGGCAATGTTCTCTTCTCTCTCCGTTTGAGAGGGAGTTTTATATGCCCGAATCGTCCTGCACGAGGGCGACCTTGTTGGCGTAGTCATTCCAGGCGCTGCAGGTGCTGTTCATAAGGTCGGCGTCGATCAGGTCGACTATCTCGGACTCGCGCTCGACCATCTGCACGGCCAGGCCCTCGGATGTGTGCCAGGCGATGTGGCAGTGGGTGAGCCAGACCTGTGAAAGCACCAAGAAAGTCAGAATTCTGAAATAGAAGTAGAAGTATGGCGGAGACAGGAGGGAACTTACACCAGGGTTGTCAGTAATGAATGCAATGACCGTCCATCCGCTTGCCGGCAGCATGGTAACATCGCGACGAGGCACGTTGACGGTGGAGAGGTTGGCGGTGGCGGAATCAAAAGTGCCGGTTCCGGCGCCCAGAACCCAGAAGTCGTGGCCGTGCATATGCCTGCATGATCAGTCCAAGGTTAGTTTCCGAGATCCATCTTCCATGGGACGTGAGTTTATGCTAGTGCTCTCCAGGGGGGAAAAACTGACATAGGATGGGTGACACCCATGGTGGTCTGCACAATCCAGTAGACCCACTCATTGGCCTGAGGCAGCTGGATCACGTTCTGGCTCTCACCCCACGTGTTGTTTCCGTCGTAGACCTGCTGGATGCTGGGATAGCCCCACTCGTTGATGAAGGTGGTGTTACCCATGGCCCAGTCGACACGTCCAGCCAGCTGCTCGACAGCGACAGCGAAGTTATCCGTGACATCTGCGGATCCGCCCGCCGGGATGGCCAGATAGGGAACCAGGCTGGCTGCGGGCTCGTCAACACATTCGTCCACGGAGGCGTCAGCAGTCGCGGTTGAGGTCGGGTCGGCGGTGCTGTTGGCGGCGTCGCTGTAGCGGATGATGGCCTTGATGTTGTCTGGGTTGTCGTTGTCGGAGCAGGCGAGCTGGGCGATGGCGCGCATCCAGTAGTTGTCGGACGGGGCGTCAGCAGTCACAATCACATCGTAGCGCTGGCCAATGCCGATGTTCACGACGTCGGTTGTGTAGGGCTGGATGGGGACGAAGTCGCTTGCGATCACCTCCATGGTGTCTAGAGAGAGGTTGCGGTGTTAGATCGGTCTTTCATCGGAAGTGGAGGGGGAGAAAAGAGGGGGCAAAAAGGACTGACGGTTGTCGATGGTGAACTTAAAGTGCGTATCAGCAGCAGTGTTGACCAGGCGCAGGCGGTAACGCTGCCCAGAGGTGAATTCCATCTCGTAGCGAGACCCAACGGTGCTGTTGTCCTCGAGCGTGTAGACGTTCATGCCGTTGATGAGACCGTTGGCCATGGTGGGCGGGCCAGTAACGGCCGACTGGAGCACCAGGTTGTCTGCGGTGTCGTGGTCCCAGTCCATCATGCTCACGACGCCCAGATCTTCGTCGTAGTTTGCCGTGGCTGGGCCATTGATCTGGATCCCACCGTAGACGCCGTCCCAGGCCTGCACGTAGAAGTGCGAGTGCCACCAGGAGGTGCCATACTGCAGCGCTCGCCAGGTGTAGGTGGTCGTGTCGCCGGGCGCAGTGGGACACTGCGTGATGGAGGCCACGCCGTCATTCTGGTTGGTGAAGTTTTGTCGGATTCCGTGAAAGTGAATGGAAGAGCCGTTGTTTTGCTGACGGAAGTTGTTAGTAACGGGAGATGGGGACTAAATGTAGTGATCATTCATTACTGAGAGAAGTACTCACCATTGAGTTGGTCACATGCACGACTATAGGGGTAGCACAAAGTTAGCAACTAGGAAACTAAGGTTTGGAGAAAGAGGCGCGGATCGTCCTAGTATCCTCTGTGGATACTACGTTGACACTCACCAACAGTATCACCCCAGTCACTGTATTTGTCTAAAGTTAGCTATGTCATACACCAAGATTAGGTAATTAGTGGTTTTGTACGTACGCAACAATGGTCGGGCCCGGGATACTTCCATTGACAGCCAAGACTATCTTCTCGACGCCATCTGGGGAAGCAGTGGTGTTGACGATATTAAACCAATACTCGCGGGTGACATTGGTAAAGGGGGCTTCGTCATAGTAGTTTGTGGAAAGATCATAGTCACCCCAGCAGCTGCGGTCATCTGCCGAGTTGACACATCTCTTAGAGAGCTGATGGGGCTCGACACTGGGAGCCGCCGTCACCAGAGACAGCGCAGGCAGGAGGGAGAGAAAGGCTCGAAGGGCCATAATGACGAGATGGTAATCTCTTGTCAAATAGGATATATAAGAAAAGGAAACGGGCTAGCCGGGTAGAGGGTGAATGTGAAGTAGAGAGGGATAAGTTGGATCTGAACGAGTGACCAAACAACGAGACTTCCCTGAAACGATTGAAAGGGAAGGGTGATGATGATGCTGAAGAAGGAAGACTTGATGCTATCATGAAAGAAGTCAACTCATCTGGCTCGAGGGGTTCCTGACTTTATCAATAATTTCGTCGATGATAGTCTCGGTGAGGTGCTCAGGGGGACTCATCACCAGCTCCAGACTATAGACGGCATCCTCTCGTTCGAGACGCAGGGGACTTCGCACAGAGCTTCTTGCCCCATTCTGATATCCTCAAGATGTGGAGTTGTCGCATGTTATCACACACACAAACACAATATTGACAAAGCGCAGGCAGTAGTCTCGGATGTACTCGGAAAAGTCGGCAGCAAAACAAGGCCGCTTGGAGACCAGAGTAGAAAAACAACTAGGAGTTGGTTGAGAGTAAAAATTCCTACGACAGGCCTTTGGTCTTCATCGTCAAAACCAAGTAGACAAACTGTTGCATCCACACATAAGATGATGTGGCTACCTCCGTGTGGCTTCAAGAAACGAAACGAAACCTCCCAAATGGGTCAACCGAGCCTGTGCTTTTCTCTACAACAGTTAAAAAAACCCTGGGCGATCCGTGCTCGCGTAACGGCTAATGCAAGGAAGAGTAGATCTACACGTTTTCCGGGGAATTTCTTTAGTATCCACATTACCGAATCCGTGGTGATCACCGCTCGAGACTACCAAAAGTTTGCTCGTGCGGCTCAAGAATACGATATCGTGGACAAGGGTGTAGCCGCAGGAGCCTCCAGAGGCCGCGTGGTCTGGAGATCGATGTAACTCTCGATACCGAGGAATTCTATGTGTGAATGTGAATGCACTGGTCATAGCCCCTGTATCGTCACAAAGAAACATTAACCGAGGGAGGACGTCACAACATACGATTCTGAAGGGGCATTGCATTCGATACCGATGCGAGTTTTCCCCTTGGATGTGTCTGTTCTCTGGGCCATGCGAGCTTTGTTGAGAGAAGAAGAAAATGATTGGATGCGAATTCATGAACCAGCGTCGTGATTGAAAGTCGGTGTGGAATGGGAGGCACCTTGTTGGTAATAAATGCTATATCCAGCCTCTTATTGCTCAATATTGACAATTTCCTCAATATGGACATTTTTATGGGGTATACAACCGCATCTTCTCAGCTATCCGAAAGCGAACAATATCATAGTAAGGCAAGTAATTATTGTCTATTCCGCAAAAGGGGGGCTCCGGCCCGACGACGTCTTTTCGGCCGATTGTATCTCGCCAATATAGTTTCGGGAGCAAGTTTCCGAGCCTTGGTTGGCTTAGTGATAGTCTCGGACCAATCCTCTCAATCCAGATTTGTTTCCATTGTCCTGGATACGCGAGGCATGCAGATACGAGAACTTAGTGCTCGGAACGGGGAGTTTCCATCGCAGCATACGCGTGTTTCGAAACATGTTTGTCTCGTTGGTCCACAGTACTGCGTTCCCCAGCATCATAGTGGACCATGCTTAACGGTACCTTTCTTTTTATCGTGGAGTCTCCGCTAACCTGCATAGCAGAGTGGAGAGGAGAAAAAGGAGCGCTGGCGATTAATCGTTAACCAGCTTGGCGAGCACGTATACTGTTACATATACCCCTGGATGTAACATTCCCTGTCTGTGCGCGTCCTCCACCCAGCCTTGGTGAGCAGAATATAACAGCTGCTACTGAGATTAGGGTATTCGGCATATTTTCAAGTCTAAACTGAAGCTTCCTGACCCTATAGTACGTACACCTACTAGTGGCTCATGACCCACTTACTGGGCCCTGTGTTTGGAGATCATGGCAAGCGACGATGATCACGGCGCACAGATGGGAAACCAACATCCCCTATTGATATGATAACCAGGGAAACAAGACTAGGACGCGTCAGCGGGAGCTCGTGCGGTTGATTCTGGATTGTTGAAACATTTTCGACAGCCGAGGATCTCTCGGAGTTAATCCAAGAAGACATATCTTTTTGCTTGTGTCAGAGATGCTCTTATACTCAAGGTCGCCTGTCAAAGGGCTATCATGATAGGTGATGGATATCACCAACACTTAGTCTCCCTGCTCTCTTTTCAAAAAGTCGTAAACTCTCGGCCTCTCGAATTCTCTTCATTCACTCGTTATCTTCTCTACACTCATTCTCTTTTTCACATTATTACCTTCATCACCATGTTCACCAACACACTCACTGCTCTCCTGGCATTTGCCGGTGCCGTGACAGCATATCCCAGTGCCAAGCGTGCCACCGACAATGAGGTCAGAATCTACGCCTATGGCACTGGCATCTCTGGCATGCAGATCTATCGTGGTACAGATGGTAAGTACAGTAACAGCGTGTTATACATCCTTGGTCTCGCTTATTTGACAAGTCGCACTAACCATACTTTGCACCGTTTAGGGATGGCATATATAGCCCCTGCCGAGACGGCGAACCTAACTGAATTGATCTGTGAGCATTCAACCTAGGACGCTTAAAAGCTTTTTAGCAACTTGGGGCTATACTAACAAGATGTTCCTATAGGGCAAACACCATCTGTCAGCAGCGAATGGAACGCCACCACGATGGAGAACGGCACTTCCACCACGGACAGCTCTGCCGCTTTCTACATCGTCACTGCCAGCAACTCCTATGTGCCATGCGGTTTCAAGTCCTCAAACACCACTGCCCCTACTGGCGCCACTATGACAGGATTCACGACATGTGAGTGTCTTAAAACAAAATATCCTTCCGAAGCCACCCCGGTCTAGAATCATTAAGCTGACACTAGGTTCTCTAGTTGGTTCCCAAATCGTGTGGGTCAACGGCAGCAACTATCAATCTCAGTTCTGGGCCAAGACCACCGACACTGACAATGTCTATACACTGAACTGGAATGTCGATGGAGCCAACCAGGCAGACAGTGTTCCTGTGACGGTCAAGACCGTCGCGCCGAGTTCCGCTTAAGATCTGGGGAGAATAGCGGAAACAAAGGAGGGAAAGATGATAAGAAGACTCGTAAACATCGCATTTCTTCTTCCGTTGCGTTCTAATTAGTGTTCTTGTGTATATACAGCTGAAACGATACGATGGTCTGGTGCGAAAGTTTTTTGAAATTACGGGCGTCGCGTCAATAGTTGTTCAGGTGCGACGAGGCTATTTTCAGGCACCCGGTTGATTCGGAAGTAAAAGGCCTGTCAGGTTTGCAAATTCAATTTTGTTCGATGCGGAGGGAAATAAAAATAAAAAATAGACTTGGCAGCATTGCCATTTCTACATCTTTTTGTGGCGCATGCACAGCGCTTGGGACCGCCTCAGCGATCCCCGATAACACTGGTGATTCCCGGCTGAATGTCTTCCAAGACGCCCTCCAGCTCTTCATAGACCCTGGATTGGAGGTTTTGCCCTTCTGCACTGACAACAAGCTTGCTGGGCGTGCGGACGACGCAGCTATCCATGTACTGCCCGTGACTTTCCCGCCCTGCCGCGGCCGCGGCCATCACCGTGCGGGAACCCATCTCTGCCGTTCTTCCGAGGAGGCGAAGGGTACATCTCACAATGTAGTTCAGGGGAAACGTGTTGTGACGGAACAATTCCGTCCTGCAGAAGCCCGGGTTGATGCAGTTCAGGACAACAGGGTCGTTCGGAGCCATTCTGGCGGCCATTTCTCTCACAATCCAGATGGACAACAGTTTGGACGTGTTGTATCGATCCTCGTTCATATTTTCCTTCCCCTTGAAAGCCTCCAGACCTTTTAGCTCCTCCCTTTCCCGAAATCTCGCCTGCATCTCGGGGCGTTAGTAACCGGCCCATGATTGGCCCGTGAGGCCGAAATCCAGACGCCCCTGGAACAGCAAGTGATGACGTACAAACATGTGCGAATCCGAAGAAACGATGACAACTTTCGTTTCCACATTGAACCTCACCGCCGTCCGTCTCATAAGCGGCAGCAACAGGAGAACCATCAAGAACGTCGACACGACGTTGATAGCAATAGTGCTCTCGAAACCCCCATCGGCTTCGACATACGTGCCGATGGCGATGCCTGCATTGCCCACGACGACGTCCAGGCGATCGAGCTCCGCATCCGCCCGGCGGCAAAACTCCTTTACGCTCTGGAAGCTGGCGAGGTCGACCTGCCAGACTTCGACAGCACCACCCTGCTTAGACGACGGCGAGGAGGTCTCAACGTCTGCCTGTGCGGCTCGGCCTTTTTCGACGTCACGACAGGCGAGGATCACTCTTTTCGCGCCGAGGCGGTAGAAATGACGGGCAGCTTCTCTCCCTAGCCCCACGTTGCCGCCGGTGATGAGCACTGTCTTGCCGTCATAGCTCGTGGTTGGATAGGGAAGCGATCTGAGCTGTGTTTTAAGGAAGTGGAGAGGATACCATAAGGGCCTACACTTGTTTTGTTAGCTTGGCTGTGATCTAGAGTCTAGACGCCGATCTGCGTCTTTGGTCTTGTTGGGGACGGGGATCATATGTGCTTGCATGTTGAAGTAGCCCGCGTCGGTCAGCCATGAGAAGCTGTGTCTCGCAGTCGGTGGTGAGCTCGCCATGGGTCTCTCACTCAAGTGTGGTGTTGGATATAGTCACCAAAATGTCTGAAGAATGAATCTGTGAGTTAAAGCAGGTTCAAGAAGGCAACGGCGTTGAATAAGGTGGCCGGTTGTGGTGAAACACTTGTAGCTTCAAGTTAGGATCCGCAGTCTAAATCGTGCCCCTGCTTGTTATCCACTCTCTAGTTCGGAGCCATTGTGCGTTTCTACACTAAAGAACGTCACAGGGTAATTAATTGTTTACCACTTGGTTGTTAAAGTTGACAATGGAAACCACGGTACATGGTAGGTTCATAAGGAGGACAGGAGAGAGACGAAGAAGAAGACGAAAAAAGATGTGCAATGCTCCCTGGTAGCCAAAGGGGGGTTGAGAGTCCCAAAGGTTTTGAGCGTGTTAACTGTTCATACTATTCCGTCATTACAATTATTATATGCCACTACGGAAACACCACCACGCTTGTTTCTCCCTTGCCGTTTATCTCTTGACGACTTTGTCTGTTGTTTTCCTTCCCGGCCTGCGTCTCAAGCGTTGACATCAACTGCACTGCTAGCCTTTTTTGTTTATCCCTTTCTCTCAACATCTTCACAGAATTTAGGTCTAGTCATGGTTCGAAGACAGTCGATGGTCTTCTACCCAAGCCTTTCTCGCAAGGTTTGTAGGTCAGGCTGCGATGCTGACAAGGTTGATCGCCCAGGACATTTTTACCCTTTCCATCTACCGCCTAATTTGTTCCCTTGCCCTCCCCCCACCGTGACCCTAGGTGTAGAAATAGCCAAAAACTGCGATGCCGATCATCACGATGGAGACCCATTGCAGGATCATCTCGTTTTCCGTCTCCTTCATGCCTTTGGTGACGGTGGCCTCCCAGGCGGCGTCGGGGCTGGACTTTTCCGCTTCGGAGATCTCAGCGCTGCTTTTGGTCTTGTTCTTGGGGGCGGCCATGTTTGTTTTTGCGGTGTGGTGTGACGTGTTTGGTCCTGGTTGAGGAGTCTAAGAGGTTGTGGTTGTATCTGCTGGTTTATTCTGGTACGTAATATATGACGGATGGTGTTTTTAATAAGGTGTTGAGCCGTGGATGAGAAGGTGGGCTGCAGATGAGCCTGGGCCTGATGGAATTGGCAAGCTCACGAGTCTCGAGACTGCTCCATGAGAAGAGGATAGCCTCACTTTTGTTGTATTGGTATTGAAAAAATAAAATGAAGAGAAGAGATTATATGCTGTCAAAATCTTGGGAATTTTGAGTTCATCAAATTGGCGGAGCCTCCATGTGCCGGTCTGGCTGTTCTGGGTCCGGGTGGGACGATATCGACGGCCTGTCGTACGGTGCGACAGGGGGTTCTGAATGACATAGCACGCTTCCCACTGTAATTAGCATGCTTCAGTTCCCAGATATTTACACTTGGATGCATCGACTGCAGAGAGCAGTACGAATATGATTAGATGTTTGACGGCGCTTCTTAAAAATAGACCTGAGAAACGAAATGAGTGCGAAGGGAGTTGGACAGGATGGAAGTGCAGAACTAAATTTCCAGAGGCACTAGAAGAGGCAGAACAGGGGCTTTGGCACCAAGACCACAGCAGGTCTACTGAAGACCGGCTCTAGCCAATAGGCTGTTGAGACCTTCTAGAACTGCTAAACCTCCCGTAGACACCGCTGTAGATACTGCCAAGCCGCCACCTCAAGTTACACAACGCCCTCTTGACCAGATCAATCGCAGGAGGTTTGCACTGCTCCTCTGCCAGACATTTCATCAGCTTACTATGCGTAATTTCGAGTACTACATTGTTAGTCTGACCAATTGATGAACAGATCTCGCCGAGCCCACGTCTCTGCCGCCACTGCTAACACCGAAAGGTTGTTCAGAGATCATGCCACCCGCCTCGCAATGTGGTCTGATGCCGACCCGCCTCAGAACCGTACGATGAGTAGCTGGAAAGAACCACCACGGTAGTCAGCTAGACACACACACACACAGTGTCACACATACACAGTACCATACATACACCATAAGTGGCTTGATGGCTAATGATATCTTGCTGTAAGCTCAGCTACTGGTGTTACTCTTTCTAATATAAGACTCAATGGAGAAGGTCTGATCACTCGGGTGCCATCTTACCAGCCTGCTCCCTCAAAGATACAACAGTAAATGGACACGCCTTCTCCAACTGGAATGACCAGACGCCAGCTCCTGCTCGTCATTCTCGTCACAGCCGTCACAGCCTATTTCTACCTAAGACTCAACTCTCCATCAGACCAGCGTGCAGATATCATGTCACCAGGCGCACCACCAATGCCATCCCCCCAAACCGTCATCGTCGTCGGCGGCGGACTGGCCGGCCTCTCAGCATCCTACGCCGCCCTGCGCGCAGGAGCAGCAGTGAGACTCCTAGAACGAGCCGAGAAGCCAGGCGGCAACAGCATCAAGGCCTCCTCCGGCATCAACGGAGCCCCTACACGGTTCCAGCCGGGCAAAGACACCACCTTCTACAGCGACACGATCCGGTCCGCCGGTAGAAGACTGGCCCAAGCCGACGCCGCGACAACACTAACCACCACGTCAAGGTTCAGCCGCGCTGAGAGGGAGTCACTTATAGCAAAACTCACTACCTCGTCCGCCCAGGCCGTCGACTTCCTCGTGGACGAGATCGGTGTGGACCTGAGCGTCGTGGCCCAGCTTGGCGGACACAGCTTCCCGCGCACCCACCGGGGCGGCGGCAAGCTCCCCCCCGGCGCCGCCATCGTCACCGCTCTGGTCGAGAAGCTGAAGCAGGACCCCAACTTTGAGCTCCGTACCGGGTGCGAGGTGAGGAAGCTCCTCGTATCGCCCAAGGCGGGAAGTAGCCCTGGCAGTAGTAGCAGCAGCGTGACTGGGGTGGAATTTACCAGTGCTGGCACGACGTCGACTCTCGAGGGACCGGTTGTCTTTACGACGGGTGGGTTTGCAGGGGATACTTTTGGTCTGTTGGAGAAGTATCGGCCCGATCTTGCTGGGCTACCATCGACAAACGATGCCAGGCCCGGAACGCACGGAATTCTTCAGGATGTGGGCGCGCAGTTGGTGGATATGGAGAGCGTGCAGGTGCACCCTACTGGCTTCGTGCAGCCCTCTGATCCTGACGCGAGGGTCAAGTTTCTCGCTGCCGAGATGCTGAGGGGCGAAGGAGGAATCCTCCTGCATCAAGGAAGAAGATTTGTCAACGAGATGGAGACGAGAGAACATGTCAGCAAGGTCATCATGAACCTTCCCCCTGCCGGCACTATCGCGTCCAGCTCTGAGGGCTCTCATGGTCTGACGCAGTGGGACGTCCAACTCCTGCTCGATCCTGGCGCCTGTGAAGCTGCGGCATCGCATATCGGCTTTTACCTGTGGAAGGGCCTCTTGTCCAAGAAGAAAGTCAAGGATCTGGACGATGCCACGCGGGAGGCTGTTCGAGACTACTCGAAGGTCGTGGCTGGTACCAAAGATGACTCGTTTGGACGCAAAGTGTTCGGGTCTTGGAGGTTAACGGGCCGTGATGAGGAGGATGCCGAACAGGAAGTCTGCATCGGTCGGGTCACGCCAATTACCCACTTCACCATGGGGGGCGCAGCCATCAACGATAACGGCCAGGTCTTAGCAAGAGACAGTGATGACAGTAGCCTGAAGCCGGTCGAGGGGCTGTGGGCAGCGGGGGAGATCACCGGTGGACTGCACGGCGATAATCGCTTGGGCGGATCGTCGTTACTGGAATGTGTTGTATTTGGTCGGACAGCCGGTAAAGAGGCTGCGGTATATTCGCATGCAAAGTAGCCTACCTGTCTTTGTGGCAATTACGGTACGAATAGCTAGAGTTTGCACGGGTCATCTCCTTCCATGATAATAATATTTACCTAGTCTACAATGTATACCTGAATCCCAAAGCATAGACTTCCTGGGGAGATGGCGCGTCCTCACCGGCTGTCCTGTCCTGCACCACTTGGTTCCATTTACTGTTGACTCTCTTGTAGCCCACAACCAGAACTACCCAGGCCATCATACCGGCGACAATAAAACCCATTTCTAGGCCGTGGCAGATTCTGTACCTTTGTGCATCTAGGCACGGTAGAAGTTGGATGCTTGGACTGGAGATTTCATGTCAGCTTTTCTTTCCTTCACTTGTCCTCCTTCTCAGGGGTCGACGGGGGTTTGGCTATTTATCTCCAGCCAGACTGCCAACAATAATCTGGATACCCATGCCGACAACTCTCCAGCAACGTTCTTGACCATGTAGTGTTGCTCGAGTGCGTGGAATATATGGCACACGCAGCAATGAACATACCGGCATAGATCGGTACGATGAGGAGCTATACGTCTGGCAAAGTGTAGCCCAGCTCCTTGATGGCCGTAGGCAGCAGCGGCGAGACGTCATATGCAGGACAGACATACCCCCAGTAGGCAACGATGTTGATCTAGAGCTACCAGTCGCAGAACGTAGCCTCCACGTGAGCCTACTCGAACGCGTCACCTGCGAGTGCTGTACTGTGCGTCGGTCATGTTGAGATCCTCATGCAGACCTGCGATATTGTTGTTGCCGATGTTGTTGTGATTGAGGAAGGACAGGAGGTAAAGAATTGTGAGAATATGTATGAGGTAAAAATCCAGCCTGCAGAGGACCTGGGCTCGAGATATGGTATTGGGGCTCTGACTTGGGGTGGCTGTCTGTTCCATGTGCCGTGTGATGGGTGATACATCTTTGGTGAAAGTGGCGGCAATAGAAACTATTGAAGTCCGGTCAGCAAAGAACCCGATGAGAGAAGTAGGAGTCCAAAGTGAGGATGCCGGTTAGATGTTTCAAAGGAAAAATCTGACGTTTGATTCTGTCGTGTGGGAAACGATGTGGTGTGTATAGAGCAACAAACCCTCGAGGCTCTCACCCATGCGTTATGTTGCCGCACTGCCTATGAACGGGAATGACCATCTCCTCAGCCCTCGGTCGCAGGTGAGTCGTAATGACCAGTTTCCAATACTGAGGGTATGAGCTGAGACGCGTCGGTGCGGTCTATTGGCTCCCTGACGTTGGTCTATGAGTGGCTCACCATTCTTTCTCACGAAATTGGTGATCTCTTCGCGGGAATCGAGTAGTCTTGGGCTGGGGTCCGTAAGACATGAGCCAAGCAAGATTTTGGAAAAGATTGGAAATTTTGTCATATCTGAACGAGTCTGGAAAATGCTCAAGTCCAGGGTAGCGCAGGTCTTCCTTCCAAGTTCTGGCTAAGAAAAGCTCTTGGAAAAACATGAATAGTGGGATTCACCTTCCTTCGCTAACAAATTTACGTGCAAACGTCACCAAAAAAAAACCCCCCCCCCCCCCAAAAAAAAAGACTTGGTGTAAGGCAAGCGTACCTGCCATAAGTCCACAATATGGCTCCTCCTTCTATTCGTCTCGGATCTTGGGGTCCAAAGGCTGGGCAGGAGGAGGTAGGGGAAAGAAGAAAAAAAGAGGGAGAGAAAGAACGACTACGAAGACATGAGGGAATTCTACAAGAACTCTCTACAACAACAAACCTTCTCAACCTGCAACATTGTTATGTCACATGATTCTCGTAAATTCACCTGGCTTGAAAGCTGCTTTTACGCGCAATTTGCATCTCCTTGCATATATTTTCTTCCTCACCTTAAGTTTTGTACTCCTCGTCTATCAGCCGTGCTTGGCCTGCTGGTGAAGGCCACGGTCTCATGACCTTCAGCTTGGACGCACTCAATGTGTCAACTAAGAGCCCTCTCGACGACATCTCACTATGAGATACTAGAAGATCACTTTTCGACCTGAAAGGGGAGTTCGAAACAGACTATTTGGACTTCATTCTTGTCTACAGCATCCCTTGTGGCGTTGCTGCCGTCACATTGATAAAAAGCCATCGTCAAAATGAGTTTCGTCTTTCTAAAGCCGCGTACAGAGAGAGGCTCTCACGTGGCGGCACTCAAAAATTCTCGCGATCCCAAGAATGAATAACTTCGTATGGGAAATGAACTGTATTGGACTGCGCTTAGGGAAGGAAAAGGAAGGAAAAGAAAGGAAAAACAGCTGGCTATCTGAGGCTATAGAGGTAGGCTGGCGATAGTGGGGCCAGTGACTCACCTGGCCTCGCACACACCCCCTCAGCCAACCTCGCGAGCCTCGCTGGCGATCCTCCTCATGGTGTTTTCCATCCTCTAGATCCTCCTCACTCTATCTCATGTACCAGATCCCATTTCAAATCCATTCGTCGTACCCTAATAGACAGAGCACCGTTTGAGGCCTAAGGCCTGGACGAATTAGCTGTATTTGATGGCTTCCAACGGCTTCATCAGGCTGTTAGCAGCTATTTCCTCTGTGCTTACGTGCTGAATGCTGAAGTAGCCCTTCTTTGTCTTCTCAACAACCCATTTATAATGGATATCGATGTAACGAGTTCTGGCAGCGTTGTTCCTGTTTAAAACGTTGTATTTAGTATTCAGGCTATTCGTAAACAACAACAGTAGCTTCTCAGGGTGTATACCAAACTCCTTAAGGAATAATCAGATCCAAAGCAAGGCCTGGCTGGCCGGAGTGAGGTTTACAAACTCGGCCTCCGTAGTAGATAGAGTGATGAGATTCTGTACCTTCGATTTCCACAGCACTGGTGCACCAGCTACGAAGACAACATATCCTGCTGTTGATCAATGCATTAAGAGATCATTACCAAAGGAAGCATCTGCATATACCTTGATAATATTTTTTAATAGCATCTTGCTATTAATAACGATGCCCAGATCTGGAAAGCATTCAAGATATCTGAAGAGATGCTTCTGGAGGCGTAGATGTATAGCTGAGGAGCCTACATTGCTCTTCGCTATCTTGTTAACCGTATATATAATATCAGATCTTGTATCTGTTAATAGCTAGTTGAGAGCATCAGTTCTCTTCTAATACAACTTCGTTTTCTCATTCATAGGCTCCCAGTTCTTGGGAAGTTCGAAGCTAGCAGGCTAAGGGGTTTTTGCTAGTTTGGTGGACTCGAAGCTGTATAGCTTTACAATCTTTTTGGTATATTCCTCCTGCGAGAGGAAGATGATCGCATTCTCCTTATCCCTCTTGATGTTGAAGCTTAGGAACTTCTCTGGGTTTTCTAAATGCTTGAGATTAAATTGCTTGCTGATGGCAGCAGCGATCTCGTTGATATCTGAGAGTATGAAGCCAGCTATCAGCATGTTGTTGATGTAGAGAATCAAAAGAACTCCAGTCTTCTCATTCCTGAAGATACACAGCTCATTATTGAAAAGCTTGAAGCCAAGGTCTTTGAGGAAAGGTGTGATAGTTTCAAACTACCACAGGGGGGATTATTGCATGCTGTACATCCCCTTAACTATCAGCTAGACCTTGCTATCACAGCGTCTGTAGCCAGAAGGAGGTCTAACAAAGATCCTATTGCTCTCAGAGATAGGAGAGTTCAGGAAGGCAATAACGAAGTTGAACTTCTTCCAGGTTAGGCCTTTGATAGCAACAAAAGCCATGAAGAGTTTGATGCTCGTTAAGAATACAATAGCTGAGTAGATATTCTCCATAGCTCAGCTCTCCATCTTATAATTGCTACATATAACAGGCCTTGTACAAGGAACTTTCTTGTTTCCCAAGAGATTCTTAGAGTTATCCTTAAGATTGAATACCTACTTAGCAGGAAGGATGTTTGCATCTGGATTAGAGTCTAACTAATTATAAGTATAATTCTCCTCAAGTTTGGCGATGCTCTCGTTGCACGCAGGCTTCCAGGCTTTATTAAAGTTAGACGATTGCATTGCTTGTTTATAGTTCTTGGGTATATTAGAAGTCTTGGTATTGACGAGATGCTGAACCTTGAGTGCTGATAAGCAGATGAACTCGAGGATTAGTTTATAATTATTGTAAGGAACGGTAGCGTTGATAGCGAGAGTATTCAGGCTCTTCAAGAAGTCTGGAAGATTCATGCAGTTCTTGCCTTTAGCTGCTCGTTTTAGCTGTTCCCTCGTGGGAATCTGAGGAGTGTTTGATTGAGATCAATGGAATCTCGGGATGAGCTTCTTCTCGATCAGAATATCTTCATCTCGTACTCTCTGGGAGATATCATTATAAGGAAGGCTTTTAATGGATAGCAGAATTCTAGATAGTTCTTTTACTGATTCCTTCTCTTGGCTTGTTGTATCTTGTTTCTCTACTGTTGTATCTCCAAGAACTTCTCTCTAGCTCTTTGTTTTGTTTGTAGAGCTGTACTAAGGGTTGTTCTTCTAGCTTTCCTCAGATCCTTCCCTGCCCTGCATCTTTGTATGTATTTCTAGCTCAGAGGTGCAATTTGGGCTTAGCAATTGGAAAGCTTCTGGAATCTCGGTTGGAATCTCATTCAAACTTGCATCAGGAGTATGATCTTGAGAGTCTGAGGTTTCTCAGTTCTCGATAAGCATGCCTAGTTGGATAATAGGCTTTTGGAGAGTAGGTAGGGTGTTGGCTTCCTTGAGGATCGTTGTGATCTTCGTAAACTCGTTCTCAATGGAAGTATTGCTGAATTCAGCTATATGCTTAATCTCCGCTATCTCTGGATTGTTCAGAGGGGGGTTTTTGCATTCTCGTATCTTGATAGCTACTGCTCGATAGATCTTGTTAGCTTTAGCATCATATATCCATACAATCTTCTCTAAAGATGTATCTTAGAAGAGAAGCTTAGTCTTGATACTCGTTTTGGCGTATTTGTTGCTTAACTGGCAATATGCTTTCTTTATATAAATCCAGACTTTACTGCTTACAACTCTGAGAAAGCTAGCATTAGGAATCGCTTTCTTATTGAAGTTTAGGCATTCTTCCAACAACTGAATGAGTGCTTTGTTATTCTCGTTTGCTATATATGGAAGAAGGTTGATTATGCAGCAGGCTGCTTCCATTGTGAATGGCTACAGCTGTAAAGAAAGATTAGCTGCATTGTGGGCTGTTCATGCTTTCTCGATTATATCTCAGCTAGCCTTTTCTGCCTTGCTGTTCATCTATAGTGAATGAGGAATAGTGCGAAGAATAGCAATGCTGTTCTCGTTTGCTTATCTCATGAGCTTTGAGTTCTTGAATAGGGCTGTAGCAAGGCCAAACTCTGGTTCATTATTACATCCAAGAGTCTGGATCTTCCTGCTCGATTGATGCTCGAAGAAGACAACAAACTCTCTGATCTAGCTGAATATCTTATACTTTCTATTCGCAAAGTAAATCCAGTGGAAGTTTGTATTCATATTGATGAAATGAAAGCAATAGCAACAGCCATTGTATCCCTTCTGGAATTCGATGAGATTAAAGCGGATAAGCTAGCCAGAGGCATTGTACTTGGGTTCCTGGTGTTTTCTATATACATCTGTAAGGCGGTTCTTCAGGCACAGTTCGCAGTGGAAATCCTTGTTTTTGATGATTGTAATGCCAGCTCTCTTCACTGCATCTTGTATAGCTGCTGAGCTAGCATGTATAAAGCGATCGTGAAGGCGTTTGTATGTAACTGATGTAAGCATCGCTGGTTTGGCTAGAAAACCACTCCCTGAGGGTTCAGAGCGGTTAATAGCCTTCAGAACTAGCACTCCCTCTTTCCAGTTGATCTAGCATATCTCCTTCTTGTTCGCAGTGTTGATGATGTGATTTATACAGCTATCAAAGCTATATCCATGCGCTATCAGCTTATCCACGCTGATGAGATTGCAAGGTATGCTTGGGGAGAATCTAGCATCCTTGAGCATGATAGTAGCGATCGATCCATCGTTACATACTACATTGAACTGTACTGTTCCAGCTATTTCTATCTTGAAGAGTTCTGCTGCTAACTTCATAGCTTCCTGTTTACGTAGTTGGATTAGATTTAGGAATTACTTGGGGTTGTTGAAGAGCGTTTCTGAAGCGCTTATATCAGTAATGATGCTATCCCTTGAGAGTTTTCCGTTCTCGACGAGAGCAGAGATAGCAACTGTAGCTGGTTTGCTGGCTACGCTCGATCCACCAAAAACTGTTAGTTCTGCTGTGATTAACGAACTCGTTGATGTTGGCTGAGCTGTTTGGCCTTGAGTATTGTTCCTGCAGCTTCGTCTAGACGTGCTATAGCACTTGCCACATTCCTTATAGTGTTTCCAGCTAGAAATAAGATATTTCTTGCATTGGCAATAGTAGGAAATCTTCTCGATGATCAACTTAGGCAGCTTTACGCTATTAATAATGCTTGTGGAGAGCAGGAAGTTCTCGCGAGGCCACTGCCTCGCACCCTCTTGAGCTCCTCCTGAAGCATTCGATGAGATCAACGTTTGAGCTGTCTTCTTGAAGAATGAAAAGGCCTTGTTATCTATGCTTGTAATAATAGCCGAATTGATCTCTGCCATAAGAGTGTTCCAGGTAAGCATACCCAGTTTGTAGTCCCTTCTGGCAAACGCATGCATTTCTGGTAGCACATTTTCAATCTTTTTCAGAATGATAGCAAGAAGAAAGCCCTCTGAAAGCTCCAGTTTGAGCTCCTTCAGGCATTTCTTCATATACTGTAGATCATCTCTGAAGGCTTGAAGAGTCAAGTAGTCTGCTATCTTGCAGTTTGCCAGTTGTATAGCTATTTGGTCGATGTAGTCTTCTGAGTGCTTAGGAATCGTCTTGAGAACAGCATTATATATCACATACAGATCCTCTTCTCCTACAGGGAGGCTAGCGTTCGTTAGCGTGCTCCTCACCTTGTGCAGTGTGCTTTGAAGAAGAGTAACTACTATTCCCTGCTCTTGGTTCCACTTATTCCATCCCTTAGAATCCTTCTCTTCATCAGGCTCAGGAACAGAAGATTTGATGTATTTGCTCAGGCACATCTGCCTAAGGATCGATGCTACCATTACTGACTAATTCTCGAGGTTCTTCTCGCTGAGGAGAGTAGGGATAGCGTAGGTGATCGGCTGCTATAGCCGACTTGTAGGTTCCTCCATCTTCAACGGACTGTCTTGCTGAAGGAGGAGGTTTTGTTGTTGTTATTGCTGCAGTTGAGAGGCTTCTGGCGTCTCTGTTGCAGCTGTTTGTTGTTGTTGCAAGGGTTCTTCGCTGTTCTCGACGTCCTCGCAGTGTGGTCGAGTGGAGGTTTTCAGGCCTCTTTCTCGTGGTTTTTGGTGATTTTGACCGTCGCGAGCGCGTACAAGATCAGAAATCAAAGGTGGGCTCGTAATTCAGGGTCAATTGACGAGGAATATCGTCAAATTGATGAAAGAAGAGTGTGAGGGGTCATAACCTATGGGAAATGAACTGTATTGGACTGCGCTTAGGGAAGGAAAAGGAAGGAAAAGAAAGGAAAAACAGCTGGCTATCTGAGGCTATAGAGGTAGGCTGGCGATAGTGGGGCCAGTGACTCACCTGGCCTCGCACACTTCGGGATGGAGAAGAGCAGCAGTGAAGTCCGCTCGTATTCAGTGCTACATGATGGCTCCAGATGTCATCATCCTATTTCCTCCTGCATCCTGGTCATCACTTTTCCCCCCTGACTCTTTGTTCCTCCTTTTGCCTCGCCTATCGATTTGTTCTTGCCCCTTCCCAACTGTTCGACTGTTGTCTGGGCATTCAGGCATCTGCCAACACCGTGGCCCCGTGGCTTCCTTGACATGTCAGAAAGATGATAGGCCGACCGGAAAGTACGGTAAGAGAACCGACTATGGGCGGTGACGTACCGAGACAGGTCTAGATTTGATCGGCTCAACATAGGCCTGACATGCTCTTGTCTCGAAATTCTCATTGCACAGACCCGATTTTAAGATATTCAACTGTTCCGATCATCTAGACGGTTCTGGACCTTGTAGAGAGGCGAATTGTTATGTTGGTGATGCTTTGTGAGAGGGAATGTACCCGCGTTTTCTTTATTCAGGCCCTGTGGCTTGATCCTGCCCCTGAGACCTCGACATTGCAGGCCCGCACAAAGAATTCTATACGAGATGGGCGCACAATGCTTAACAATAATATGAAGCTTCTGCAACGGTTGAAAAAAGTTCCCGCATGTCTTCCACCAAATGCAAAGGGGAAGAAAAGATTCTACCAGCAGCTTTGCCATATTCAGATGGTTGCATAGGAAACTGCACACAGTTTGAATTAAATACGTAGGCACTACTCCTTCTTATTTCTGGCCTGGAAGTCTGCATCATTATCGTATCACGGACCTTGCTTCCGAGATTTCTTGTTTATCTCACCAAGTCCTTCGGAGCCTGCCAACATGGCCGACACAGAGACCGTCTCCCCACCGCTAATGACTGGCAGCGAGCCAACGTCAAACTCGCTCAACAATAACATGCCATCTCTGAGACAGCTTCAAATAGGTATTACCTTTGAGGAGTACAAGCATCATGCGTCCATCACTCGTGCCAATGAGAAGAAGGCCAACGAGGAGCACATGCGCACGAGAGGCCCAGTCACCCTCGTTAGCCTCATCAAGGACAGATTCTCCAAGGGACATGTGCAAGCTACACGTCAGGATGATGGCATCGTAGACTTGATCGCATCTTCGCAAGTCGCAAAGCCCCAACAGAAAGATCAGTCGATTATTCAGACGCGGCCCATTAGCGGGCACGGCGACGGTGGAGCGTCAACCAGCGATGAGCTGTACTTGGCAAATAGGGCACTTCGCACCGCAGGATGGGGAAGTGTCTTTTATCTCATCACGACAGATGTGCTTGGCCCCTCAAATACGCCGTGAGTTTGCTTCATGTCAGCTCCCGTCTACATTGTACTTATGCTGACAAACTGCTCGCACAGTTGGGCCTTTGCACAGACAGGCTATGGTCCGGGCGTCGTTATGTACATTGCCTTTGGTTCACTCTCGGCCTAGTTTGTCTCCCCCCTTCCCAAATACTGCAGCACTATCTCGTCCTAACTATCCTAGCTCTGGTTGGCTGTTGTACAAGATGTTTCTAGGCCTGGACTCAGATCGTTACCCACTGAGGAATTACGCGGACATTTTCCTCCGCCTCTATGGGTCTGGAGCTGGCTATTTCGTCCATTTCGCCCAGGCCGTACAGCTGATCCTCTCCATTGCATACCTCATCCTGCTGAATGGTCAGGCGATCTCCCAGATCTCGCAGACGACACCAGGGAAGAACGGGCTCTGTTTTATTGTCTGTGTCCTCATTTTCACCTTGATTGGCATGGTAGCGGGCCAAGTTCGCACGCTGCAGCGGTTTGCCTGGCTTGCCAACTTTTCTGTTTTTATCCAGCTCATTCAAGTATTCATCATGTGAGTCATGATTTCTCCCCGTATGACGTGTTCAACTCCTTGCTGAGCAACGCATCAAATGATTAGCATGGGTCTCGTGGCGCATTTTGCACCTAACTATGCCGCAATTGAGGCATCTTTCGGTCTCCCACCGGGCCCAATCCAGACATTCGCTGGTACACCACCTGATGGACTCAAGACTGGTGGTACTGGATCCTCAGCCGGAATCAACGCAGCATCACAGGCGGTCCTGGCATATGGAGGCGCCATGTTCTTCCCTGCGTTCATGGCGGAAATGCGCCATCCCATGGACTTTTGGAAGGGCATGGTATGCGCGCAGGCACTGCTTACCATCGTCTATGTCGTATTCGGGGCAGAGGTCTACCACTTCCAAGGCCAGTTCACGTACCTCCCTGTGGCGCAGGGCATCAGTAACTATGGCTGGCAGACAGCGTTGAATGTCATGTCCATGCTTGCCGGCCTGATCGCTACCTGCCTTTATACGAATATCGGCTTGAAGATTGCCTACGTTGAGGTTTTGCAGCCTTTTGGATTCTCCCCTCTGACGACGAAGAAGGGCAAGCTCTGGTGGGCGGCCATGGCACCCGTGGTCTGGGCTATTGGGTTCGTGATTGCACCAGCAATCCCACAGCTAGCCTCCGTCTCCAGTTTTGGAGGTGCACTCTTCGGGATCGGATTCAGCTATATTTTCCCTGCCCTGGGCGCGCTGGGCTATTTCATCCGCGAAGATGCCATGGTTGCTGACATGGAGACATTTGACGAGGCAAGTCGCACTTACAACTATGTGGACCGTGGGTGGAAGCGGTTCCTCCGAGCTGTCAAGAAACGACCCTTGTTCCACTTGTGGAATCTGGTGTATTTTCTTTGCTCACTTGGAGGTTGTGTGCTCGGGTGCTACACTGCGATTAAACAGATAATACTTATCTTTCAAGCGGGTGTTGCTACAAGTTTTACCTGCACGAGTCCTGTTTAGCAGTATATTGGTTTTAGCGGATCGCGGCATGGAAGGGGAGGAGCGCGGCATTTGGAGGGTATTTGCTTTTTTTGTGAGTCCGGAAAATAAGTGGAAGCGACGTATGGTGTGAACGACAAACTTTTGCTCGGTGTTAGCTCTGCCTTGATTGTCCTGGACAAATCATACGATAAACGTTATCATATAGCAATCATATATTTTTTTCTAGCAAAAAAACCCCCCTCTTTCTTCTGCTTTTATAATTGCTATGATGGATTCAACGGCAGTAGTATTAGTATGCGGTACTTAGTCAAGAGCAATATAGAGGTTTTGGACCGGCAACCAAGAAAGTGGGGGGGAATGCTTAGGTGGGTAAAAGATGTAAGTATTGGGGGGGGGGGGGGGGAGAGAGTGGGAATAACCTCATAAATTTTAATGTGTAGGCTACGATGCTAGTGTTGAAGACGGGTGTGATGAGTATTGGGAAAACACCTACGATCTGTATGGGTGGTGGATGTAGATTGGCCGTTTGCACCGTTGCTTCCCGTCCCGTTAGGTCCAAGGATGGTGGGCTCTTACTTCACATGTGATAGGGGATAGGACGACAAGGACGACGAGGACAGTGAAGACAGTGAAGACAGTGAGGACAGTGAAGACAGTGAGGACAGTGAGGACAGTGAGGACAGTGAGGACAGTGAGGACAGTGAGGACAGTGAGGACAGTGAGGACAGTGAGGACAGTGAGGACAGTGAGGACAGTGAGGACAGTGAGGACAGTGAGGACAGTGAGGACAGTGAGGACAGTGAGGACAGTGAGGACAGTGAGGACAGTGAGGACAGTGAGGGCAGTGAGGGCAGTGAGGTTATGTATAAAGTCATTCGGTGCCTTGTATTGAGGGTGGCACAGTCCCAACTATCCTTTGCCTGGTGCCTAAGTCGAGCGTGCCAGGCTCGAAAACAAGATGTTGGGTATCTATATGTGAGCCGAGAAACTGTGAAGGCAAACTCGGAACTATGTGTTGGTTACATGAGAACTGCAATACCCAGAAACAGAAGAAACAGAACAAAAAACCCAAAACCCAAAGACCAAAAAGAAAAACCAAACCCAAACCCAGTACCTGTACCCGAACCCAAACCCGAACTCCAAACTCCAAACTCCAAAACAAAATAGGAAATGAAAAGCAAAGGCAACCGAAGACAGAAGAGCAAAACAGGAGCCAGTCTTAGGCCTAAGGGGCTGCTGGTGGTCAGTAGATCTGTTCTTGGGTGCAGATCAGTGTTCCCTTGTCTCCCGTCCAATATCTCCCCTGGACTTTTTTTTTGTTTTTCCTTTTGTGTGTCCTCCTATATCCCTTCTCAGTAGATGGACTCCTCCGTCGTCTCCGTTAGTGTGCCTAATGGTAGTCGCGTATCTGCTAACTTCCTGGCTAATGGTTTGTGAGGGTCACTTGATGGACCTCCCACTAGATCCCCTGGCTTCTTTCGTCGGGGATCGGGTCTCGGTTTGCGAGGCTTATTGGGGTCTCGGGGTGGTCGTGGTTGTGGCTTAGAGGCGGTGGTAGGAGGTTTCTTGGCCCTGGGTGTCTTTGCAGGGGCTTTGTTAATAGGGGGCTGTGTCCTGCCCTTGGGTTCCTTCGGAGCTTCCTCTTCTGGGTAGATCATGGGTCTCTTGCCCTTGGGGTCATGGATAGGGGGGGCTTCCTTCTTCTTGGTTCTATCCCTTGTGCCTGGCTTTCTTTTGTCCTTTGTATCTTGGGTTACCTCCCCGCGAGCGTGTTGGGCGATCTCTTCCATATAGCTGTCGAGGTGCCTGCCAGTTGGTGAGAAGTAGGCTGATGTTCCTCTTGGCTGCTCGCGGTAGATGGTAGGGTGGTGCTGGAGCTTGGGGTACTTTGCGGCCTCTCGTTGGCTGTTGAGTAGAACCAGTTAGTGATGATCAGGTAGGTTAGGGAAGGCTGGTTAGGTGGTTAGACTTACCAAGAGTCCGAGGACTTGTCACAGTTGTGCCACCAGGTAGAATTGCGCTTGCGAGGGCGGTGGCGGTAGCTGTCTTCTGAGCACCCCTCTGGGCGAGTCCAGTATTTCCGACCCAGCTCTTCTAGCTCCCAGGACTTGTAGCGTGTGCGGCCGAGAAGGTGATGTTTGGCTAGTTGATCGGTAATCTTCTTCTTAGCCTTTCCAGCCCCCTCCTTGATCTTGTGGGCCGCAGCCCGCATGACCGTTTTGATCTCCTTGGAAGTCATCGCGGCGGTTGTTATGGTGATGTGTTGTTGTTGTTGTTCTCAATGTTGTTCTTCAGTGTTGGGAATCGTTGCTGTTGATGCCCGCAATCGTTGTTCAGTTGATTTCTCGAGTGTTGTTCAAGTGGGGTGCCCTGTTAGATGGTGAAATTGGTGTTGTCAAAACTTCTCATTCAAAAACTGTGTTGCCCAAGCCTTTCCATCATAGTCTGTGTTGCCATAACCTTTTTCACCATCTAACAGGGTGAAGAAAAGAGAAAAAAATCAGAGTCCATTTGGGCAGGGAGACAGCGGTGCTTTATACTTTTCGAGAGCACATACGAACTATCTTGTCCACCGACATTTGGTGAAACTTCACACGCTATTCTCGACTTCAACTGTCGTGATGACTGTATTGGCGCCCGGTTCTTTGAGCACCAGCCTTCTCGCGGGGCTAGGACGGCCTAGTGTATCTTTCGCAAATAATGGACAAACACCCCACCAGCCATAGCGTTCATTGACTTGATGACCATCTTTTCTAGAGTCTCTTCTGGTTAGTAAAGGTTGATGGATGGCTTCATCGCGATGGTCATGAGATGTTTTGTTGCGGCTGGTCCTCCTGTTCTCGCACGTCTGTGATACTTTCTCAGACGAATTTACGTACTACTTGCCCATGCAGATCGGCAAAGACATGACACATCGACTAATACCTTCTCACATTACGTGATGCCTATAATGAGCGACACTTACCTTTGCCCAACGCTGCTAATCGTTCCCAATGTCTTGTATGACACTTCGGATCGACCCTCCAGTATCTTTCAACTACTTGATACTGCTGTCAAATACTAGTCATTCACTCACACCACGATACTATTCCTTTAATGGCTAATATGCAGTCTAGAATCGACTAGCGCTGGTATCCTTGAGCTCGAAATACACAGTTGATTCAATGATACTCTACGTTTAGGAGTTGGCCGGAGAAGCTATTCTTAAGGCTTTAACCACGAGATGTCTTGCTTTGAATACTCTGGACAGGACTGAGTATCTTAAGGTTGACCAAGTTAGGCTATAGCTGTGAGATCGTAACAATTCCCAACGTCTTCATGCATAAGCATGTGCGAGCCAAATGTAACTGAGTAGCAATAAGAGTCGAATTTGTGTGAAGTACGATCTTTGCTCGATACTGTCCGACGCAGGCAGTCATGAGCCCTTCAAGGACAATAGCGTAGAACATCACAACATGATCTGCGTGCGGGACCACGATCGAGACCGCCGTACTCAGAAGTCCTGACGTTTAATTGCTGTTACGCTAAGCATGTCGTACTTGTCAACGACAGCTTGCAAGGGGATACGGCCCGGCGGCTTGGATCCCTAGCGCAACGATCAGCATGAGTCCTGCATGAAAGGGGACGGGAGCTAGGCTATTGACAAACATGCACTATTATAAATCATGTTCAAAGCGCCGTTATACACCGGCACGCACCAAGTCTACGGCATCAGGTGATATCAAGAGCCGTTTGGTTGATTAGTCCATGGTCGCAAGAGTCATCCTAGCAAACTACTCAAAGGCTTTAGAGAGTTCTACCACAGTCTCTAGCCATCCATGTTCTATCGCTACGTAACGATGCTGTAATAGCGATACTGGCTGTAGAACCAATGAGCATAGGGGTGTAGTTCGTGAGTTTTTGTAAGCACAGCCTTGTGTCGAGTTCTCACCATGCAGGCAAGACGGGTCCACTTTGCAGAGACTTGCAAAATCTGACAACTACGAATTCTACAGGTAATAGTTAATGAACAAGATAATTTCATTGTCATATTTCTTGCTAGTCGTGCTGCGTAGGTACGAGATACCGGGCCTCAGGTTTCGTCGAACTCCATCTTCAAGAGGAAACCTGACAGGCAGTATTAGGACAATAGCCATGGTTGCCTGCATACGAGCACAATCCGAGGTATGAGTCGTCCTCATCGCTCAATGGTATGCAGTCGGTACCAGTCGTTGCAGGGGCCGTGTTGCCAGTCGAGCTATAGGCTGTACACGTACAAACGCCAGTAGGACAGTACCCGTAATAACAACAGAAACTACACAGACCCTCATAATTGCCAGCTCCTGTCCCTGAGATACAGACTCCAGAAGGTGTGGCTGACGCCGTGGTGGATGAGGTTGTAGTTGCCGTTGTGAATGTGCTCGTCACCGTCGGACTCGTGGTGCTTGAAGACTGCGCCGTCGAAGTCGTCTGGGATACCGTGGTACTGCTGGATGTGGCTACACTGGAGCCAATAGTGACTGCAGGCGTCGAGGTTGGCGTCACTGTCACTGTGCCGAGCGAAGGTGTGGCAACGCAGGTCGTGACCGACAGGCTCACTGTGAGGGAGTTGAGACCGTCAGGCTGTAGCTGGTCTGGCAAGGGCGTGCTTTCTGGCAGCGTGCCCACATAGGCGTTGAAGTTATAGATGCCACAGTTGCAGACATCTGTGATGTCCTTCAGGCTCTGGCCGCTTAGAACGGTCTCGCCATTTCTGGCCAGGAAGAATTTCTGCGAACCCAGCTCCATGTCGATCTGGTACGCCGAGATACCCGCCGGAGCGGCGAATTCTTGGACTTGGCTTCCCGACTGGACCGTCACCGTCCCAGCCTCAGTGAGCATGGCCACGACAAAGACGGAATCGGACACATCTTCATATCCGTTGGGCTTCCCCACAAAGTAGTTGCCCGAGGCGTTGTTGACATCACCCGCTGCCGTGCATGTGTCGGTTGCATCGCAGTCGAGGCTCTTGAGGTTCTGGCGGTACCAGTAGACCATCTCATCGCTCGTCACGTAGCTGTCTGCAGAAGTCTCCCCGTCCAGGAACGCCTCAATGAAGGGCTTGGCCACATCGAGCCAACCGTCATGAGGCACGTCGTTGGTCCACTTGGAGTTTCCATCGTCGTAGTGCGGTGAGTTTAGAGGGCCGATGTAGTGCCTATGGTTTGATTAGACCAATGCATTCCTTTCTTTTACTGCCATGACTAGAAGGAAGTTTCCTTGACTTGTCGGTCGGGCCGGGGAGTTTTCGCGAAAGAAGAGGGAAAGGTGGGAAGGTGTGCAGCTGAGAATTATCAGGATGCTTACGATTCTCCATAATCATTCCAAGTAATGACCTCGATAAACCTAGGGCCCAGGCTCAAGATCTCATTCCATCGGGTGTACCAGAGACTGGTCATAAGTCAGTCTAAACTTCCTTTTTGGCTGTCGCATGGGAGTATCCCATCCTCTGAAAACATGATAATCAACGTACAGATCACTTGGGAATACCCAATTCTTGGAGTATGACACCTCGGCGCCGAAGTGGGTACTGAACCATGCCGAGACCGCTGTGGAGAGGAAATACATCAGAACGACGACTCGTTGCAAATGGTCACCGGCTGGGCTTAGGATCAAGACTCACGTGCTATGTATGTATCCACGGAGCCCAATGCGGCGATGTAGCTATTATCTCCATCTTCAACTGTCACATTCGCACCAGGAGTGGGAGCCTTGTTGTCGCCGTTGTTGGGCCACGCCAACCAGTTGAGTGCCGCATCGATTGTGCTGAAGTCAGCTAGCCCTGGTGAGAAATTCGGAGCGACTGATAATCGTCAGCTGAAGAGTTTCATATCGCAAGATATTATGATGTGATGGATGGTCTCTCAACTTACAGAAGATGTCCACACCTGCGGCATCACGTATCGCGGCGACATCTACGCCATCTCCGGCAAAGGATGACACAAACACTTTGTCATCCACCATCAACTGAGCGTTCATGCCAGCGTATTGAGCTATTGAAACCTGTGTCAGTTTCATTGAGCGTTGCTAACCTGGAGAAATCAGCTTACCTATCACTTCACCAATCTCTGTGCCCTGGCTGGTAGACCACCTGCCCGAGTCCGAATTACATTAGCAAACTGCAGACATGATCACAACGAAATCAGCACAGCGAGATATAAGACAAGGAACAACACAAACCAGTTGAAGTCAAAGGATATGAAGACGTTCATGTCGTTATTAGCGGCGGACTCGTACGCGTAATTCAGTTGAGTGTCCGTAAAGTCGTCGACGCCGATATTGAGTGCGAACGCGGATATTCCCAACGACTTGGCACGTTGCATATCGGCGTCGTAGTCGGCAGAGCTTTGCCGATCACTCACGATGCCAATCATGAAATGACAAAAGACATAACGATCTGTCGTCTGCCTCTTTGACAAAGCATGTGTGCCATCGTTCTGGGCAGTTGAAAGCACCGTGGTGGCCAAGAGAGGCAGGGCCACAAGGAGCTTCTGAAGTGAGAACATTTCCGAGTCTTGTACCATCTTCAAGTCTGAGAGGAGTAAGCCTAGTAGTTACAAGGCTGAGGAGCGAGTTGAGACGAAGTGTGTCTAGGACACATTGCCGCTGTCGGTAGATCAAGCCATCACTCTTATATAATTCACCACTGACAGTAATTACATACGTCTATGAGGATCTCTGGGACCACCATTGCAACCTTCAGATCCATCCGGCTGAGAGGCATATAGGTGACCTACCGGATGCATCTCCATCACGTTGACCCTGCCCTTCGAACGGCCGAAATGCCGCCGCCAAGAGAGGATGCCGTGAGGGAGGGAACCTCGGGGGCATTGTCACGTTGAGCCGGTGCCTGATTGGGAACCACCTAGCGACCCAGAGGTTGACAACGGTGTCTTGAGCTATATACGTACAGGTCACCTCCCATACACTTGCACTGTCTAAGATGTCACTCGACCCCAAGTGATGGATTGGCATGCATATCCATTGTGCACTGAACACCTTGAGCAAACACCTTCCTTCGTACCATCTCATATCCAGCGGGAGCTGGCGATCACGGTTTTCAGAGGCTCCCTGTTTCTTGAATCATTGCTTCCGAATTTGGAAACAAAATGGCTTTGTCCGGGCCGTCCGCCTGAGCATCCTTTCACTTCCCCCATGCTGTATTATGTAGTCAGCTGGATCAATCTCGGGGCTGTTGAGACAACCCACAGCAATGTTGGCTCAGGGGTTGCGATTAGATCCTTGGTGATGTGGGCAAGGCTGGCATTGGCTCTTCAAGGTTTTTCTCTTGTTTTTGAATCACATGGCGCATAAATCAAAATGGGGGTGAGAGTGGCATTACAAAAGTCCAGCATGCCACACTCCCTTCCAAGAGGTCAAAGGTGGGAGGAAAAGGACCAAGTAATTACACGATTGGTCTCATATTCACACCTTCACGGCACATCTAAAATATCACATAACAGACGGATGGCACGTTACTCGACCGGACGGGCGAGTTCAGAGACAGTCTCAATCATTGCCTTGTGACACTTTTGCCAGGTAAACTTGGGCTACAGTGCTAGCTACCCGCTCTTCATGTGAGTGATGGTGTGGTGTGCACCGCTTTCTTGTTCTTTGCTCCCCATGTGGTCTCACCGCGGCGCCCGAGCCCTCTCCTCGATGAACCATCATCACACCCTCGCAATGGATTTTAGTCTCCTCCCTCAGGCCAACCATACGTGGAAAGACAACGTGGGGTCTCCCCCGGTCCCCTCCCCCCTTCCCGTCAGCAAAACACCACCAGTGGCCTCGGAACCCTGCCCGGCTTACTGGAAATTTTGCCCACCTGAGTTCTGTACATTAGTGCAAGGGGAAGCAGCACTAGGCTTCCTCCTCTTATCCAGGTACTGATCCTTCTGTATGTGGCTCGCGAGGATTCAATGAACCGTGCGATCCTGAAGGCTACATGGCGTGCTACTTTGATAGTGATGACGGTGGTTGACATGCGTTAGAAGAACACTCGAGCTTACTCAAAGAGATCGTTAGAACCAGTAGTGCTTTTATTGTCTTGAGGCTTCTTGATTAGCACTGCCTATTGAAAAGGGCATCTGGACTACTCTTAGTGACGTGTTAGCGTATAATTGCTCGAAGCCATCATTCATTGAGCGTGGATCAAAGACTCGAGCTACTTCTTCGTATGGTCGACTTTCGCTTCGAGAGCGTTCTAGCCATAAGACCTAGATACGAATAGCGCCAAATCACAAGAAAGAACGGCAACGATCGACATCAGAAAAGCAGCGTTGAAAATCGCATGATGCGTCCACGAACCTCGAAAACAATCCGGGATTAGGTAATTACAATTGCGTACGCCGCTCGCCAAGGAGCTGTTTTTCTTAGGCGGCACGGAGGTGAGAGGCATGCAAGCCCTGACCAGGTCGCACTCCGGAGTGTGCTAAGTTGCCGTGCACTGGAATTTCAGCCGGGAAGACGGCGTCAACTGCGACGCGAAGGTGAGAGGGGCCGGCTTACTCTCGGTGCCGATGCTTGTTCCGTGGTGGAGGATTTTGCGCGGTGATTGGCAGTTCATGTCGACGGCTATAAAGCGGTATGTTGGGAATTCGAGAAGGAGGAGGACAAAAAAAAAAAAAAAAAGAAGAGAAGAACAAAAACGTTCGAGTCTTTCATACTTCAACATTTCTCAATATCCATCAATACTTTTAACATCTTCTCATCAAAGCAAGTTTCAGCTATACGTGCACACCTAAAAGATAGCGATGCCGGACAAGTCAACCATTATCACTAACGTCCATGTCTTTGACGGAGAACGTGTCCTTGAGGGTCTTCACAATGTGACCATCACCGGCAGCAAAATCACCAGTGTACTGCCTACTTCTTCATCGCACAACGTCCATCAAAGCGACCCAGCAGCGGAACTGATCGACGGCATCGGCTGCACCGTCCTCCCAGGCCTCATCGACTCCCATGTCCACGTCGACAAGGAAGACCAGCTCGACAAGCTCGCTTCCGCAGGCGTCACAGCCGGTCTCGACATGGCCTCCTGGCCACACAGCCTGACCACCGCCATGCGCGAGGCTTCTGTCGCGCCCAACAAACCCCCGCGTCCTGCTTTTTTATCGGCTGGTCTCTTCGCCACGGGACCTGGCAGTGTGCACTCCAAGGTCATGGACGCGCCCGCCGATGCTGTGCTCACTTCGCCAGACCAGGCGGAGGCATTTGTGGGTCAGCGGGTTGCAGAGGGGTCCGATTACATCAAGCTTGTCGCCGACGTGCCGGGCCCGTCACAGGAGACACTTGACGCACTGGTTAGAGAGGCTCAGGCGGTAGGGAAGAAAACGGTTGCGCATGCTGCGTACCATGAGCCGTTTCTCATGGCTTTGAAGTCAGGTGCGGATTGTTTGACGCACGTGCCGATGGATATGGCTCTGGAAGTGGACTGGGCGAGGACGCTGGCGGACCAAAATAGGGTTGTTTGCCCTACTCTGGTGATGATGAAGGTCATGGTCGAGGTCAAGAACAGACTTCGGGCTGGTGGAGGTCCGAAAGGGCCAGATGGCTTGGATCTGTCGTCGATGCCCAGTCCTCTACTCGATTTTGCCCATAGCGTCGAGTCTGTTCGTGTCCTGAAGGATGCTGGCGTGCAGATACTGGTCGGAACAGACGCTAATGTAGGCCTTGTGCATGTCGAGCACGGTAAGGGCATGCAGCAAGAGATGCGGTTATTGCAAGAAGCTGGAATGAAGCCGGTCGAGATTTTGCGGTCAGCCACCAGCCTTCCTGCCTTGTATTGGGGCTTGTCTGGGCGGGGGTACATTCGTGGGGGTGCCATAGCGGATGTCCTTCTGGTGAGAGGCAAGCCTTATAACGATATAAATCATATATCAGATCTGGAAAGGGTTTGGATTGGCGGAAGGAACGTGGATGACATATCGTAGTCAGCACCACAACAACAGACTCTCTCGGAAGCTATCTAGATGACAACCAGATATAGAATTCACCTCCGTTATGGTAGACTACGACATATAGTCAAGATAGCCTTGGCATCCTGCAGACTCCCTGTGATCTACCACCACCTCAGCTACTTGCAGCGCCGAGCCACCGATACAGAGGCTCAGGCCGAGGCTCACGTCCCAGGTAGTTGGTTAACGTCTTCCACTCCGGCTGACTGCTCCCAGGCTTCAGGAGGAGCTCTCTGTATTTCCGAGCAGCGTCTTTGTTGTACGTATCCTCTCGGAAATACGTATCAAAGATGTCAAGTGCCCACATACGTCCCCTTTGCTCAGGTCAGCAGACGGACTTCCTGAGATCTCGAGAGGCATGGCAGATATTGTGTACAACTTACAAGGTGTAGGCGTAATAGCCAGCATCATAGCGGCCTGCCATCAACAGCCTCACGGAGGACTCGCCATGCGCCCAATCCCATCTGCCCTGCGCAAGCGCCTCTCCTCCGTGAACCCCGACGATCTCCCACCATAACTTGTTATATGTAGTGCAGAGGTCCATGCTAGCTAGTGCTTCCGCGCTCGGTGGATCATGGACTGCCATGTCATATAATGCAAAGTGCAACGTTCTCAAAATCGAGAGCGTTGAGGTGCTTGTCGACAGGACTGCCTGGATCAAGTGATCTGGAAGTCGCTGGGGGGGCACATCTTGCTCGTCTGGATGTCGTGATTTCCACGCATCTTTGTACTCGGGAGACACGTATGAGTAGTGTTGAGAGACCTCACGGAGGCGTTCAGGTGTCCAGAGGAAATACTCGAAAAGAATACTCGGCGTCTCGACAAAATCTCGATCAACCCTGTCGAGAGCGAATCAGAGCCTTGATGCATTACCAAGCAAAAAAGTGAGGTTGCTCGGGCCACAACACGTACCTTGTACCATGGAAGCGCGCAAAGGTAGTAACGCTGAGTAGATTATGGATCCCATGGCCGACTTCATGGAACAGGGAACGGACTTCGTTGGCGCTGAGAAGCGAGGGATCCGAACCTGTGGGCTTGGCTTGGTTCATGATCAGGGCAGAACACGGGTATGCGCGAGTGCCGTCCCGCCGCTCAAATCCCTAATGTATTATCAATGACGGTCAGTCACTGTGTGCACCATCAAACTGCCTTCGTTAGCCTCCTAAACTTACCTTCTGAAGGTTGAAGTGTCCTGCATGCGAGTATTTTCCCTCACGTGGATGCAGATCAAAGTACATGTAACCTATGAACGAGGGAGTTGACTTCAGGTCCCAAACGGCGTAGAGAAACACTTCTTCTTGCCACTTCATCTTCGGGGAATTCTCTCCGTGGAGAGTTTGAGCACGTTCCTCAGTCACGAGTTCGAATTCGATCTCGAACAGACGCGAATATAGCTCTAGGATATGGCGGATGACTGTCATTAGCTCAAAGTATTCCATGATCGACTTAGTGTCAACGGATCTTGTCTTTTCTTGGCGTAGGTTGTTGTAGTATGAAATGTCCCACAGGAAGAGCTGCGTGTCATCATTGTTCTTGGACTGGACATCGGATTTCTTCAGGGCTAGGAGCTCGCTTGCCTCTTTCTGCCCAAGTTCAAAGAGGTTGCGCTGGATTTGGCTCAGCGTAGCTCGAACAGCAGCTGGGTCGTTCATCATCTTGTTGGACATCCGAAGCTGCGCCCACGATTTCGAGCCCTTTTGCCGAGCAAGAGAATCCCGTACGAGAACGATCTCACGCGCCAGCGGTATGTTGGATGGTATCCGGTTCAGGTGTTGTATGAAGTAGTGCATCCGAGTCTCCTCACATCTGGCAAATTTGAGCATTCTCTCCCAACGTGGTTTCTTCATGTCCACCCAGTACTTTCCCTCCTGTTCCTCATCACCCTTCTTCAGGGCGTCTATGAACGTCTTGGGAAGACCGTCCAGTTCTTCCAGACTGAACCACATCCCAGAGGTGTCATTGTCAAGATTCGAGATATAATCCCTTTTCAGCGATTCGAGTCTCTTTAGATCATTCTCGAATTGAGTCTTGGCCGAACCCTCCAGATCACAACCATTCTCGGCGAATTCTGCGTGGTGCTTGGTCAGGAACCGATACGTCTCAGGCTTGACAGATGTTTCCGTGGTTGTAGAGAGCACGGCATCGACCAGGGCAAACATGTCTTTCCGCAGATAGCGGTCTACTGCTGCCTCGTCGGTGAGCTTCTTGGCTGCCTTGCATGCTTCACGGATCCCCTTGTCGGGATGTGTCGTGGCCATCAGGTAGATCACGTCGTTCACAGCCATCGTCTCGTTCTCGAGATGTGCGATGGGAATGATGGTGTTCTCAACTGTTGCCTGGCTTGGAAGGACGGTCTCGACAATCTTGTCCCATTCTGCTGTAGTCGCTGTGATGGTTTTCCTGGCATCTCTGAGCACGTTCTCGGGCGTTGGGTCGAACAGCAGCGGAAGCTGTGGCGGTACACCGTGCTCTATCATCATGTTTGATGCTTGAACTATCCTCGTAAGTGAACCGCACAATGTATAGAATTTGCTTGGAGACTTGGTATCAAGAGCTAGGAAGAGGGGAACGCAGAAGCAATGAAAGCTCAAGGAGTTGATGGAAAAGTCACGGTCTTACCTGCCAATTGCAACTTTGTTCCCGGTTGAGAATTACACTATTTCCGTCTAAAGGCGTGTTCCAACAATTCTTTCACAGTATTTACTGTGGATTCTGTCTCGCTTAGTTGTCTTAGTGTCATGCACCACGGGAAACGGCACGAGACGCCTCGGCTCCGGAGGCCGCTTATTGCTTTGGTGATCATCCCTTATCGCGGTGTGACTCCGTCCGTGAATGCCATTCCCGTAGTTGTGAAATCTCCTGCTTCTGACATTTTTTATAACAGGCCAATACTGGCTCTGATGGCATCAATTTTTGATCGGTATATACGAGCCTCCTTCAATTTATCATCGACTCTCAACAGCCTCAAAAGATCGCCATGGATGACGAGGAATTTCCGTTCGCCCATATTCAGGATGTCCTCGGACAGTCAACCTTCATCAAGACATATGTAATATGGTCCCTTGTATCCTGTCGAGCATGGAGTGGAACTCTGAACTATTCCTGCAAAGTAACGGTGATTTTTCATTAGCTGATGATGGGTGTTTCTAGACGGTCATTGCTTTGGGGTACCCGTGCACTGCCGAGCCCCAGTCCGTGATGGAGGAGCTGTATCGCGCCGCAGACCGGCTCACCAGAGCATTTCCCTATCTCGCAGGCCATGTGGTCCGCCGAGGTGCCGGTCCGGGCAAGACTGGACTGGCCACGGTGATGCCGTATCCTCCAAGCGCAAGGACGAGCCTCGTCATCTTCAAAGACTGCACACAACTATGCCAGCCTTTCGAAACGATTATGAAGCGAGGAGCTCCTATGGAGATGCTTGACGGACACTTGCTTTCTGTTCACAGGCCTTTGCCTGATCTATACGACGAATCAGAAAAGCCTGCCCCTGTGGTAGAGATCCAGGCCAATTTTGTTCATGGGGGTGTGATTCTTGCGTTCCAGGGTAATCACACCATCATGGATATGAACGGGCTAGGCCAAGTGATTCGGTTATACGCAAAAGCTCTCCGCACTGAAATTTTCTCAGATGACGAGGTTGAGCAGGGCAATCTAGATCGGCGAGACATAGTGAAATTACTTGGGCCAGACGATGAAAAGGTTGATATGAGCAGTAAGTGCCATAATATCGTTCCCCCCGGTTCCTCCCTCGCCCATAACTAGTCCTAATACACGGCAGAATACCTTGTCAGGGAGAAGGAGGTACAACAGCCCCCTTCGCAGCCCCAGACACCAGCTGTTGTTGCACAGTGGGTAGACTTACACTTCCCTGCCGATAAACTTGTGGAACTCAAAGAGCTCGCTTCAAGACCACCACCAGGCGATCAGTGCAACGACAAGACAGCACAATGGGTGTCGACAGACGATGCGCTCACCGCCTTCCTCTGCGCAAGAATCACAGCAGCACGGCTAAAGCGCATGCACAGGATGGCACCCAAGGCCATCTTTTGCCGCGCGGTCAATGGTAGACGCTTCCTGGGAATTCCCGCCGGCTACATGGGCCATCTCGTCTGGTGCGTCAGCAGCGAAGTCCTGATGGAGTCCGTGGCCACCATTACAGATAACTTTGGCAGCCTGGCGCGCCAGATGCGCGCAGATCTGGATGCAATTCGCCCAGTGGAGATCCAGTCTTTTGCCACGGCCCTCGCTGCTTCAGAGGATAAAGGGGCGCTGTCGCAGGGCGCTGGGATGGACACGGCGGATGGCTTTGATCTGATGCTGTCAAGCTGGTCTGGGCTCGGTTTCAGTGACATCGTCTTTGGCAGATTGGGCAGGTCGGTCTTTACAAGAAGACCTAAATTTGCACCTATTGAAGGGCTTCTTTATCTCATGCCGAAGAGTGTGGAGGGGAATGTGGATGTAGCGTGTTGTCTTAGGTCAGAGGATGTTTACAGACTCAGAAGCGATGAGGAGTTTGCCAAGTATGTTACGTGCTTAGGATGACAAAATCGCGTTAGTGAGATAGGACCAGCAGAGGAATGACCAGGTTTCTATATATCACATAGCTCCTGTCCCATCAATGCAAACACACGCCTCATCTTTGCTCGCAGTGCGCTATGACTTCCCCCACGCCGGAAGCAAGGTGTCCAATACCAGCAAAGGATTCACTCAGGACGAATGGTCGAATGGCTGACACAGGCTTTTTGCATTGGACCAAGAAATTAATATCATGGCAGATATGGACCTCGAATCTGTGCCTCGCCTACCACCTGCCATCCCTGAACGGCCTTGTCAGTGCCCGTCGTTGCTGACTTGTTAGACTTGAATTTCATCCGAGGCATTCATTCACCTCCACCATCCCATCTTAATTTTGCGGCTTCTCGAAGTCCATTTGTGGAGCCGACAGATGCAGGACGAACACACAGACACGCAAACTTTATTTGCCCTGCAACATTTCCGCCAAGATGGTAGACCGTCCAGTGACCATGCCAGAGAATACGCATGGAAAACTTGAAGGAACAAGGTGATCTTCCATGTGCCCACTGACACCCAATGATTTCGGCATTCAAGCTTAATGGCATGTGGACCTGGCGTGAAACTTACACGGTTGATCCCATCCGCTTGGTTATGTTGACCATGCCCAAAAAGGGAGGTCGCATGAACAACCAAGCCCATGGACGACCCCATTGATGAACCACTCGGCGGTTCCTAGGCCTTGCCGAGCTGCCATTCGCGGATTAGCCCGTCTCCGCCGTATGGACCTTATTTCGACCTCCTCGATCTGCAAGGTGTGGAATTGTGCTATGTAGCGTAGTTAGAACACCCAAGCCCCATACCTTTCAAAGCAAAATCATGAGAGAATGCCTCAGCTGACCCTGCCTTGTCGCTGGTGTCGTAATTACTAAGTATGTTTCCAGCCAAGGTTCCGCCCATTTGCACGACTGCGAAAAGGATACCTTCTCAAAGTGGCAGTCCGTTCCTGGCAATCACGACAGCGCTCGCACAGCCCTTGGATTATGGGACTCAGAAGTAGGCAGAAGGTAGGAAGGAAACAATGCATGGTAGCTGCTCAAATGTCGAGCTTGCGTCTTGGCGGTGCAAGGCCTCGTATCTGGTCCAGGTGGGCGCTCGAGATGTAATTAGATCAAGTATATGAGGCCCCGAGGTCACCCCGTTGACCTCTCTTTCTTCTCTCTCTCTCTCTCTCTCTCTCTCTCTGTCTCTCTCTCTCTCTCTTTTCTCTCCCATCCCGTTGCGCCTTCCCACGCTCGAGACCAGTCAAGCGGGCACATCAGACCCTTCTGATCGACTCAGCCGTCCTTTCTTCACTTACTTAAGACGAGACGCACTGTTTCGGTAATTCAACAAGATGTCTCTCAGGATCCTGGCTTCCCTGGGCCTCGCCAGCCTGGCGATGGCTGCTCCCAAGTCGCAGAGCTCCGAGGGCCTTCACAAGAGGTACCTCGAGACGCGCGGGGATGTGGAGTACAATGTCTTCAAGCGCGCTGGTGACAAGACTTCTCTGGCCTACGTGGAGAACTCTGGCATCTGCGTCAGTATTTCCAGCATTATTTGTTTTCTCTTTCCATTGACGATGAGTTACTAATACCCACATAGGAGACGACCCCGGGTGTGACCACCTACTCGGGCTACCTCGATGCCGACCTGAACTCGTTGAGCACCATGCACATGTGGTACTGGTTCTTTGAGGCCCGCGCCAATCCCACCACAGCTCCTCTGGTTCTCTGGCTCAACGGTGGCCCTGGATGCTCTTCCATGTAAGCCACGCAACACTTTCCTTGTTCAGTGGGCGTCTACTTTCGTTGTGCTCTCGGGCACCACAAACTGGACCTAAAAAAAAAAAAAAGGAAAAAAAAAGGAGTTTACTGACGTGATGATTTTCCCTACAGGATTGGTCTCTTCCAGGAACACGGTTCGTGCTTTGCTTCGCCCTTTCCAACTACGAGATCTGTTCCCAGGAAAAGCTGGGCTACTATTGCTCCGAGCTTGGTGCACCCTCTCAATGAATTGAGAAATACTGACATTTGACTACCTCTAGGACCATGCCACTTCGTCAACGGCTCCACCGAGCCCAGCCTGAACGAGTACTCCTGGAACAACGTCGCAAACATGCTCTACGTTGACGAGCCCATCGGTAAGCCTTTTCTTACCCTTCTCCTTCTCTCTTACCGCCTTAGTCCCCGACTCTTTCAGAAATAGCGACTAACCCTTGCTCTTTCCTCAGGTGTCGGCTTCAGCTACGGAACCGACTCGGCAACCTCGACCGTCACCGCGGCCGAGTATGTCTGGCAGTTCCTGCAGAACTTCTACGCCGCTTTCCCCACATATGAGAGCCGTGACTTTGCCCTCTTCACCGAGTCGTACGGTGGACACTATGGCCCGGAGTTCTCGAGCTACTTCCAGTCGCAGAACGCCCAGATCGAGGCCGGCACTATTGATGGAGAGGTCATTAACCTGATTGCTCTTGGCATCAACAACGGTACGTCTTAACTTCTGGTGGTGGTGGTGTTGGTGTTGTGTAGCGCAATTTTGGTCCTTGGTGGACAGTGCGTGAACGAGTGGACGTGTCCAAACGACGGACCGGCGGTTTGGAGAACGTATTCTAGTGCATCACACCCTCATCGAACGCTCGTGTATGCTGACAGTCTAATAGGATGGATCGACCCCGAGCTGCAATACCAGGTTTGTTAACATTCAGTCGTGGTGGCTGGACCGAGAACTGATCTTGTACTCTCTAGGCTTACCCCATCTTCGCCTACAACAACACCTACAACCAGCTCATCACTCTCAAGCAGTATGAGAGCTACATGTGAGTGGAGTTTTTGTGTTGGGGGCGCCGTTTCACTGAAAGGAGAGGCTTGCTAACGCTGTTAATTCTTCAAGGGATGCTTGTACGTATAGCCTGACCCAAGACGGGCCTTCGCGCGAGTCATCAAATCATGACGAGAGATATCTTGACGCTGCCCAAATTGTACCAAACATACATCAGACTAACGAATTTTGTCTTGGTAGACACCGAGGACTGCGTTCCCGCCTACGCTAGCTGCACTGGTCTTACTGGCAACAACGCCGCTTGCCTGTCTGCTGGAAGCACCTGCTCGTCCGCCACCGAGACACCTATCGAGGTAGGCCAGTCCTTCGTCCTCTTATCTTCCATGTTTGTACAAGTTATAGAAGACGCGTACTAACTGTGTAAAACAGGAGGCCAACAACTTCAACGTCTATGACGTCCTCGAGCCCCGGAGCGATGAGAGCACCGACCCGCCAGAGACCTACGCAGACTACCTCGCGGTAAGCCTCTTTCTTCGTCCACTTCGCCAAGCGTTGACGCTACTGAGGACATCATGAATTAATCACCGCATATTTGTGTTCTTGAACAGGAGTCCTCCGTCATGACAGCCATTGGCGCGCAGACGGACTACCAAGAGTGCCCGACCGGCCCGTACGCCAAGATCGTCGCCACTGGAGACGAGGCCCGGTCCTTCCTAGAGCCCCTTGCCGAGGTGGTCCAGAGCGGTGTCAATGTTCTCATCTGGGCTGGTGATCTGGGTAAGCAAACTCCCTAAAGAAGAAGAAGAAAGAAACAAAGAGGAGAAAGATGGTGAAGAACGAATCTAAGCTAACTATCTCTTAGACTGGATTTGCAACTGGTATGGTAGCCAGCTTGTGGTGAACAACCTCAACTACACGGATGCGGCCGAGTTCCAGGCCACAGAGCTTTCTGAGTACACGGTCGATGGCGTCTCGGGAGGCCAGTTCAAGAGTGTTGGCAACCTGAACTTCCTGCGTGTGGTACGTATTATCTTATCGTTTGAATTTTGTAGACCGTCGAAGGAACTCCATGCTGACTTTTTTTCTTCTTCTTTTTAGTATGAGGCCGGACACGAGGTTCCCTACTACCGTAAGTTTTGTCGACTGCAATACATGACATCTCCCTCCTCCCCCCGGATGCAACCAATAAAAAAAGAAGACGATTTTCAGTGGCTAATCAAAAATCGGAACATACAGAACCCGTCGTCGCCCTCCAGGCCTTCACGCAGATGCTCCAGGATGGTGTCATCAGCTCGACCTAAGCAGTGGTGGTGCCTTGCAGGCTCCGAAACCTGAAGCATTGGCCGACGAGAAGCTTGCGTTGACCGGGGGCCAAGTTCGTTTAGAGCCCGCGGGACCAGGTGTCAAACCAACCTCGAGCGCCAGTGTCAATTTTGAGAGTTCATGTACATATTTGGTATCTCGTAATTATATCGATGCATTCCAACATGCTTGTATGTGTGTGATTTGGCGTGAAGATGATTGTATTTGTGGCGGTAGGAGACGTTGTTCAGGGAAGGTGGCAAGTAGCTCAAGCAGGTTTAGTCATGGCCGCCTCTCCCTCCCTCCACAGCAGCCTTTTCTTCGTTTTTCTTGTTTCTCTAATTCTCCCTTTTCGACGTTGCAGATACAATCTGCTTTATTGACCAACCTCATTAACCTCTTACCACAGCAGATTCTTGCTTCGATACAGTGGGTCGTCCAGGGATTAGTAATGCCCTGCCAGACAGAAGATGGCATGAAATGGTCCTCCTGGTCGCCTGACGTTGCTACGAAAACGAGAAAACGGAAACTATGCATGCATCTACGTAGAAAAATGAATATAACATAACACAAGCATACGCTCTGTGTGGATACACAAAGACTGGCGGGGGGAAGGTCTGCTGTCTTGTCTGGTGAGTGGGTCCCCGTTTCACGATGGCGATCAACCACTGTGGATGTCAATGGCGATGGCAAGCACCCTTAACTGGTGAGGAGGAGGCTTTCCGGGTGGATTGACCCGGTCTGGCACGGAGCCTACGTTTTGACGGTATGTGTGATGAAGTCAATTCCTAGATTAAGTTGGGAATAATTTTGGGATGGTTGAATTATTAACGATGGTGGTGCTGGCAAAGAGACGGAAACGAGATGAGAAGTCATCCATCTAGCGCCAAGCAACCGGACGGCTTGAAAAATAAGACGAGAATGAGCTCGATGACAGATGTACCACGCAAGAATGGTCTATAACTATAACAAATCAATTATCATGGTGCTTGCAGATTATAGAGAGAGAGATCAATACCGCCCAAGTGAGGCCGGGATCCGCAAGGAGAGTGTTACATCTGGCGCTTAGCTTTGGCGATCATTCGTATCAAGCAGAGGGCCCCTGACAGAGGCTGCAACACCAAGGTTGACCTACCGACAAGAACACCGCGGTGGGGTTGTAAGATCTGCGAATTTGGAGGAGAAAGGGAGGAGGGAGGAGGTGAATCGGATGTACGGCTATTCAGTGTGTGCTGTGCGTGTGCTCGATCCAATAAGTGACCAAGGATGGCTCTGCAGGAGACCGTCACACGTCACAATCACACCCTCTTCTTTCCCTCTCTTCCTGCACCGAAAACAAGCCTCCTCTTTTGTCCGTTCGCTCGCTAATTGCTGGTCAATCTTTCTATTATTCTTATTTCCCTTTTCTTTTCGCTCCTCCTTGCAGGCCGGTCCCGAGAAAAGCATTCAGGCAGACCTTACATAATTTTGGGGTTTTAATCTTCGTGGCATCTCACTGCCCCACTACCCATCGCTCCTGCTGTCGTTGCGCTGGGCGCTCAACCCCGAAAGAAAACAGAGAGAACCCTCACGATCTTCGCTCCACCTAAAGTCAGCCACCGGAGCAGGGACAACATTTGAGCAAACCGAGAAGGAGAAAAAGAAAACAAGAAAGAGTTGCTTCCTTTGTCAACAAGCCGAGATCGAGAGATTATACAATATTACCCCCAAGGACGAAGTCTTCTCTCCTCAACACCATCAAAATGTCGTCAGTAGGCTTCGTGCAGCTCTCCACCGCGATCGACGCGCGCGACGCCATCAGCCCTTCGGACGCGTTGGCGGACCTGACGCTGGGGATCCTCTGGGCCTCGACCTTTTACGCCATCGGGATGATCTGGACCGTGCTGTCGCTGATCGACAGGTGGCGGGGCCCGCACGGCACGGGAGAGATCAACTTCATGTCTGTCATTGCGGCGATTATCCTTTCTGTTCCGTGGCCGGTTGTGTTGATTATTACGATGGTGATGTGAGGGAAAGGGGGCCGGGGAAGAAAATGTTTAGGGCTTGGTGTTGGTGGATGCGGGAACCAAAGTGCTTGGATGGGGGTAGTTGACGAATCCACAGAGAGAGGGGGAAAGAGGGATGGTGCGCCATTGGGCAGTCTTGCTCCAGCAAGGTACGGCAACAAGATGATGGTCGCGATCGGAGTCTGACCCGAGGTGCTCGTACAGATGGAGTCTGTGAGGCAGGAAATTTGTCCGTGGTCGTTGCTCTCTCGTACGGGCAAGGCGGAGTTGGAGTCATCATGGCGGTGATGCTGCGTCAGGAATGATGTGAGTGTTGGACCTGAGACCCGTCATTCAGCTCCAATCAACCAAGTTCTTGTGGCGTTTCCTTTTTATTCCTTTTATTGGTTGTTCAGACTATTGGCCAATTCGAATACTATTCTCTTCTTGAATACTTCATTTGTCTCTTGCTTACTGCGAGCAGCCCATCCATGCGCCGCCATGAGCCAAGATGCCCGGACTGGCTATGCGCAAGAGAATTCGCATGTTCTGATCAATTTTGCGACACGCCCTGTCTGCTTCTTCTATGCGGTAAAGTTAAACGAAGGGTGACGTACAGTGCACTACTGCACAGTGATCCATCTCAACCTTCTCACTCGAACCGGCAATAATTCAGCGGGATTGATTTAGTCATGCTTCGGATTTAACCAGTGCGGTGTTGATAAGACACACGTTACGTTCCCGATGCGCGCGAGACCCGCTGCGGCTTGCCTCTTATTGGATCCAAGTAGTTGCCGTTACCCACACTCAGGTTGAATTATTCAGCCGGAGCGGCATGATGTCGCCATCACCACTGCTGCTGCTGCCGTAGGCCGAAAATAATTACCCCAAAGTTTACCCAAACATCCTACCCTTCCCAGCAACAACAAAAAGTAGCCGAGTCACACAACATATCAGGCTATACCGAAATACATAAAGTACAAACACACATACCTCACCATGGCTGCCAACATTCCATCCTTCAAACTCAACAATGGCGTCCTCATGCCCTCAGTGGGAATGGGTACGTGATTTAACAATTACATCCGTTTCCTTCCATGAGCCCTGCACAACCACAGTTAACCCCGTCCCTTTCCTCCTCGCAGTCTATGACGTACTGACAAACACAACAACGCGGCAGGATGCTGGATGGGCAGCCCCGGCAGCGGAGGCAAGGTCTACGGGATGTGTCTCAACGCCATCAAGGCTGGCTATCGTCATTTCGATACTGCGGATGGCTACCAGAACGAGGAGGACGTCGGCAAGGCCTTGCGCGACTCGGGCCTCCCTCGTGAGGAGTTTTTTGTGACGACCAAGCTGTGAGTAGCAGCACCTTCCCCTCCACAGCGACCCCCTTGCCTTTCTCCTCTCATCAGCGTCTTTATCTGTGCCTTTCCTTTTTTTTCTTTTTTTTTCTTGGTTTTTTTTGTCTTCTTTCAAGCCTTCTAACCACACGCACAAACAATCAAAGAAACAACAAGGACCACCACCAGGTCGCCGCCGCCTTCCAAAAATCCCTCGAGACTCTTGGCACAGAGTACATTGACCTGTATCTCATGCACTGGCCCCAGGCCATTCGGGATGGCCAGACCCTGCAGCCGGACGAGAGCCCCACCATCCATGAGACCTGGGCCGAGATGGTCAAACTCCTCGACACGGGCAAGGTTCGCGCCCTCGGCGTGTCCAATTTTGGTGTGCCCCTGCTGAAGAAGCTGCTGGGCGATGACACCACCACCACCACCTCCTCCTCCGTCGTGGTGCCCGCTGTCAACCAGGTCGAGCTGCACCCGCTGCTGCCGCAGACGGCGTTGCAGGAGTTTTGCTCAGCGCGCGGCATCGTGCTGACGGCGTACTCACCCATCGGACAGCCCCAGGCTGGGACGGTGTCCCCTGTGCTGTCGGACGAGACGATTGTCAAAATCGCCAAGAAGCACGGCGTGGGCGAGGGCCAGGTTGTTTTAAGCTGGGCTGTGCAGCATGGGATCGTCGTGGTGCCCAAGAGCGAGAACCCGGAGCGGATGAAGAAGAACATTACGGCAAGTCGAACCCAGGCCCGCCCCGCGCCACCGACACATAGAGAGCACCTTGTGTTGTTTTGAAGAAGCAAGATTGACTGACAAGAGTAAGGGGGGAAACAGCTCGTGCAACTCGATGATGACGACTTGAAGGCCATTGATGGGATCCACAAGGAGAATGGCAAGCACCGTAGCCTCCTGCATTACCATAGCGAGAGCGGTACGGTCTTTGGATGGACTTATGAGCAGATGGGTTGGGGGATGGTTCCTGGAGGTATGGGCAAGGCGGCTTGATTCGTCCGACTGGAAAGGATTTGAGAGACAGCATGCTCAGGGGAGACGTTGAATCATAGCATTTTCAGTCGAGACACCTCCCTCCTGTGCTTGATGAGGGAGTCCTTGGCTTCGTCTACCCGACGGTGAACCTGTCTCAGGAGCCTCTTCTTGTCTCCAGATATAGATGCGAGGCTAGTCTGCTGCTGCTCGTCAGTGCTAATGCTGCTGCTGCAGTGCAGAGATCATCGCGCTAGCGCATCGAGAGAAGAACACGTTACAAGGGTTCCTTCATATCCCTTAAAGCCCAGACCCAGCCGTCCTTGAATCACTCGCCTTTCCCCTCCTAGTCTGGCAGCGTTTATAGCTGAAGTTGCTCTCTTCTCTGGTCTTCATCCAACCACCCAAGTCATCCTTCACTCCGCCACCAGTGCCTGACACTTGATCTCGACATTCAGCCTCACATTCGGCAGCGCCGCAACCTGCACGCACGTCCTGGCCGGAGCCTTGGCCTTGTCCGGCCAGCACTTATTCCACTCCGCATTCATAGCAGCGTAGTCACTCATGTCCGTCAAAAACACAGTAGCATCCACCACACTCTCGAGTCCCCGCGCGCCATCCGTGGCGCCGCGGATGATGGTCTCAATGTTGCGTAGCACGGCGGCCGTCTGGGCGCCGCAGTCGAGCTTGAAACCGTTGCCGTCTGGAGAAGGCTCGCAGCCCTCGTAGGTACCGTCGCCTCGGCGGGAGGAGGTGCCGGACACGAAGAGCAGGCGGCTGGTGGAAGGGGCGGTGCGGGCGTGTGGGTAGTTGGCGAGGCCTTGGGCTCGTTCGGCGGGCAGAAAGAAGCCTTGTCCGTTTGGTGATGCCATTTTCAGGGAGGGGTGTGTATATTGAAGGGAAGGAGGAGGAGGGGGAAATTGGTATTGTAATTGTTAAGCAAGTTGAGAGGTGAGAGTGGTGGAGATCTTCTTTAGTTGATGGATGATAAGAAGTGTCTCCGTGCTAGGTTTGGCATTAATCTCAGATCATTTGTCTTCTCATTGGTCCCTTCATACTGAAGATCCAAAATATAAGAGGAGAACCGAGAGCGTAAAAAAGGGTGGTGTAGTATCGCATCAAAGAGGGGGACTCACTCATCTGCCGGGCCGGAATCTTTTCCTCGACGATGTGATGATGTGTTGCGCTTGCTTTGGGCACATATTGCGCCGAGCATCCGTCTTCCGCTCCTGCTTGGCTTCCTGATCTTCCGATTGGTTCTGGGTGCCCTGTCATTACCGCTTTGGGAGGAGCTTTTGGGACCATAGCGGGGTAGCTATCGCGGAAGCGGAATGTTTAGGCGGGGTCAGCGATGCTTTAGGGTGTGAAGTTCGAGGCCTAAACGCCAAGTTTCAGTGTTCAGGGCCTGAAAAGGGAGACCGATAGAGAGGGAGAGACCTGTAGAGGGCCTGTGAAGCCAGTAAAAGATATAGGGGCCACCCGTCGGCAACAACACCTGCAACGTTGAATAACCGCCAGTAGGCGGTCCTCTTACGCAAAGTACGAGAAATACTTTCATGACTTGACGACTACCCGTCTGTTCAAGGATTGATATTTGCTCAGATTTTGAGCCTCGATCAGAGAAGTCAAGACCTGGTGGATTTTGATCTCAAGTCACGATGGTCACCCTGGATCTGGACCAACCATCCCACAGCAGCAGCGCCCTGGACGCGCTCTGGGCAGCCAACACGCCTGAAAAGGCCACCGCCCTCCTCGAGAACCTCAATGGCAAGCCAGTCACCCTCGAGCACTTCACCAACAATAAATTCACCACCGCAGAGTCGTCAAGGTACATAGACTCGTTCGAGCCCAAGACTGGAAAGCTCATTGCCAGGGTCCCATGTGCCTCAGCCGACGAGGTCGACGCCGCCGTCAGCGCTGCCAGGGCTGCCTTCCCAGCATGGAGCAAGACACCGCGGGCAGAGCGCTCACGTCTGCTTCGTAGGGTCAGCGAGATTATTGCTGAGAACCGGGAGCTGTTTGCGGTCTGGGAAAGCCTTGACCAGGGCAAGACGCTGGAGCGGGCGAGGGTCGAAGTGGACAGGGCGGTATCGAATTTCGCGTGAGGAACTACCCAGATGATTCCATCTCCATTCAAGAAAGCTGACCATGGACCCCCATGTTCTAGATACTTCTCCACATTCATCCTGCACGAGTCCACATCAGCCAGGATGGTCGACGGCGTGGCCCTCACGTATGAGCACCGCAGCCCCGCGGGCGTGTTCGTCCTCATCTCGCCCTGGAACATGCCGCTCTACCTCCTGACGTGGAAGATCGCCCCCTGCCTCGCCTTTGGCTGCACCGCCGTCGCCAAGCCCAGCGAGGTCACCAGCATGAGCGCCTTCCTGCTCGCCTCCGCCCTGGGCCGCGCCGGCCTGCCCGCTGGCGTCATCAACGTGCTGTTTGGCGACGGCGCCACCACCGGCGCGGCGCTCGTGGCCCACCGTGACGTCCAGGGCGTGTCCTTCACGGGAGGCACCGCGACGGGCATTGCCATCCGCAGGGCCACCGCGCACCAGATCCACAAGCATGTCTCCCTCGAGCTGGGCGGCAAGAATCCCACGCTGGTTTTCGCTGACGCCATGACTGCGACCACTCGGGAAAAGACGGTGCGCACGGCGGCCATGGCGGCCTTTGAGAACCAGGGCGAGATTTGTCTCTGCGGGTCGCGCATCTACGTCGAGAGGAGCGTGTATGAGGACTTTGTGGCGGGCTTCACCGAGTATGTCACTAGACAGTACCGCGTGGGCGAGACGGTGGGCGCCGTGGTGAGCCTGCAGCACTACGCCAAGATCAGAGGATACCTTGAGATCGCACAAAAGCAGGGCATGACGTTCAATACGGGCGAGGTACCGCCCGAGATTCAGACTGGAAGTGGTGAGGGAGGAGAGCAGCAAAAAGGGTACTGGATCCAGCCTACGGTGCTGACAGGAGTGCCGGCGGGTTCGGAGCTGCTGCGCGACGAGATCTTCGGTCCGGTGGTGACGATCGTGCCGTTTGACGACGAGGAAGAGGCAGTTCGGCTGGCCAACGACAGCGAGTACGGGCTTGCAGCGGTGCTGCTGACGACGGACGGTGGGCGGATGAGGAGGGTGGGCGAGCAGCTGCAGGCAGGGTTGGTGTGGGTGAACTGCTGGCTGGTGAGAGAGCTGGGCACGCCTTTTGGAGGCATGAAGAACTCGGGCACGGGGAGGGAGGGCGGCGAATACTCGAGGGATGTGTTTACGGTGGCACGTACGGTGCATCTAGCTACGGTGTAGGAAAGAATTATCATAAGCTTTACCAAGACCAGCCGGCTTCTTGAATTTGATTTGCAGCGCCTAGATGGAATTTCACCCGAGATGTTCCCTATAGACATCTTCACCCACTTACACACTCAAACATAACACATATCCGGCTGTTCCGGCATCTCGTCAAAACCCATCCACTGCCACGAACTCTTCACTGCGGATCCTCCACCTCCCCACAGACAGGACACTTCCTCACGCTCTCGTTCTCCCTCCAGTGATTGATCAGCGGCTTCAGCTGCGTCCCCAGATCCGTGCAGTGGAACGCCTCCTCCCGAATCACAGTCGGCCTCTCGTGCCCGCCCTTCTTGCAGTACCACCGCAGGCGGTCGAGGCTCCCCTCGGGCCGCACGCGCTCCATGACCAGGCCGATGGTGTCTGCGAAACGGCACGGGTTGTGCGGCGTGTTGCCTGGCAGCAGGAACATCTCGCCTTCCTTGATCTCGACGTCCTTGAAGGCCTCGTTCCCCTGGGCGTCCGTCTCGACGACCTTGAGGCACATGGCACCCTTGAGCTGGTAGAACCACTCCTCGGTCTCGTTGATGTGGTAGTCATTGCGCGTGTTGGGCCCGCCTACGACCATGAGGACCATGTCCTTGCCGCTGAAGAGGCAGTAGTTGTTTACGGGGGGCTGGAGGAGGGATTCGTTCTGGGTGAGCCAGGAGGCGAAGGCCATGGGCGGGGGGAGGGGTTGGGGTGATGATGTGTTGCTGGCCATTCTCGTTATATTTCCCTGATTTGGTCGTGTCTGGAGTTTGTCTTCAATAATTGATGATGGCTTGGTGGAGTGAATAAGTTTTCTTTTGTTGCGAGGCGAGTTTACTTGAGATGAGTGATTGGATAGTAGAGATGATGAAGTGGTTGACTTCGTGCGGCAGACGTCGGCATACCTCTTGACCACTTTTTATTCTTATTCCCCCGTCTTTCCAAGTAGCCTTTGTAGTCAGAGCCTGTGACATGAAAACGGTCTTGGCTCCCAGCGGATATGCAGCGGGCTCGTTAGAGGCACATGGGCCTCCCTGGCTCTCTAGACTCCAGTACTGCCACTGAGACCGCCCATCAGAGGAGCCTACTCAATTTTGACTTACAGAGGTAAACCCTGGGCCCTGATCCTGGCAACTTGATTTGGGTTGCGCTGCCTGCTTCCCTACAGGGTGCAGCTTCCGCCATGGACCCCGCCAACGCCTAAACAACGGGTCCTAGCAATCACTAACCTTCCGCCGCCGGTCCACCCTCTCTTTACATCCGAACTGCGCGGAAGCGGAAGACATTCGAGTGGTCCTACCGCGATGCTCCTCACCAGGAACTCCGCCATGGGCAACAATGGACGATGATCAGAACAAGGAGATTTAGGTTTGGCTGGGGGAGGGGAAGATACGCTTTTCCTTTCCAAATCTTGTTTTCCCTAATCCTTCTCCTCTCCTCGATAACTGTTCGTGGTAGCATTTCCTCCTCCTTCTTCCCTTTCTGCTTTCTCAACCCCGTTCATATACTCCTTGACATATACATAACTGAGTTTCTTAACCATAGGAAGACGAGCTGTGGAATTTGATACCTGATACTGACCACTTTGAAATAAATACTTCCCTCCTTCTTACACATACTGGCCAACTAGTGGACGGCGATCAACCATGGCACCAACCATGATCACAAAACCCTCCAGCTGCGAATGCTGCTCGGCAGGATCATCCTCCCACTCCGCTTCCTCCTCTTCTCCCTCCTCCTCCTTACCTGGATCTGGTGTCGCGACGCCTCTGACAAGCACCAGTGGCTCACCACCAACCCAATCACACGCTGCCCACCACGCCCACCGCCAAATCACAGGCGAGTCTCTCTACAGGATCGACCTACACACACACATCATGCCCTCTTCGCTCCCAGACCTCTCCTCCATCGCGTCAGAAATCAACGACAAAGACGATGATGGCGCCACTGCCGACTACCCCTGGCCAGACTTCCGCCCTTGTACCGACGGCAGCGGCGACATCGACATGTTTGTCGGTGGCTCGCACTTCCGCCGCGTCCAGCCCAACTGCTACGACCCCAAGGCCAGGACCGCCGAGATGGACGCCGCAGGGGTGGACGTGCAGGTGCTGTCGACGGTCCCGCTGCTCTTCTGCTACGACGCGCCCGTTGGACGCGCCACTGCCCTGGCCAGGTCGCTGAACGACCACATTGCTGCTATCGTCCGCGCCGAGCCGGACAGATTCGTCGGGCTGGCGACAGTGCCGCTGCAGAATGTGGACGAGGCCGTGGCGGAGCTGAGAAGGGCGAGGGAGGTTGGGCTGGTGGGCGTGCAGATTGGGACTTCGGTGCCTCTTGCGGGCGGGCGGGAGATGGACCTGGATGATGAGAGGCTGGGGCCGTTCTGGGCTGCGTGCGAAGAGCTGGATATGGCTGTCTTTGTGCACCCGCTGGGGTACTCGTGGAAGAAGGAGAACGAGGCGAGATGGGGCAAGTTCTGGGGGAGCTGGCTCGTCGGCATGTAAGTTATCTTCTTGGGGACAGGGACGGGGACGGGGGCAACAAGACACTTTTCCCAGGTCGTAGGAGTATAGGAAAGGGGAACGACGACAACTAACCACAGAGAAAACAAATAGGCCCTGCGAGACAGCCCTAGCCATGCACAACCTCACGTCCTCTGGCGTGTTCCTCCGCCACCCCAGCCTCCGCCTCTGCTTCGCCCACGCCGGCGGCGCGTTTCCAGCCCTCCTCGGCCGCATCCAGCACGGCTTCGACTGCCGACCCGATCTGGTGGCGCACTCGGCCCAGGGCATCACCCCCACCGCGCATCTCGCGTCCGGGCAGAACATCTGGATCGACAGCCTCGTGCACGACCCGGACCTGCTGGACTATGTGCTGCGCAAGATCCCATCGGCGAATATGGTCTTGGGGAGTGACTATCCTTTTCCGCTGGGCGAGGTGCCCACGGCGGGGGAGATGCTGATTGGTGCGGCCAAGGGGGCTCGGGGTCTGGATGGGTTCATGACCTGGGAGCAGAGGGCTGGGGTCCTGGCGGGGAATGCCATCCGGCTGCTGGGGCTGGGGACTGCATTTCAGGAGCGGTATGAGCAGCGGTTTGCAGAATTCCAGAAGAGGACACAAGTTGGTTCGTGTGAGGGTGTGAGAGAGAGAGAGAGAGAGAGGTGTGTTGCCCCGTGAAGAGTCGTCTATGCTGGGTTTGGGATGGATGATGCTTTGGGAAATGGCGCAGTTTGTTCGCGGTCTGACCTGTATTCATATATCAAGTTGATGATGAGATGGGATTATTGTGAGTCGATACCCTGGAACAACTACAAGAATGCAAACTACGCATATGATTATAAGTTGAGGAAGCTCACTGAGCTCGTTCTATCTGACCCCCATCAGTCTTTGCGAGCTACCTGTCCACTTCTTACTGCGAGGCATCATACTGAATCTGCTTACCAGTTACTTTTCAATCTTTACCTGTGTACTTGGTAACCTCCATCACCACTCCCGAATCTCCCCACCTGGCCCAATAAAACCGGGGCTCACCCACGCCGCAGCGCCCTTGGACAAGGCCCTCACCTGCTCTTCGTCCACCTCGATGCCCAGGCCAGGCCCCGTCAGCATCTCGATATACCCATCCTTGACATTCCACACCTCGGGGTTCTTGGTATAGCTCGTCAGGTCCTGCGCCCCGGCATTGTAATGAATCCCTAGGCTCATCTCCTGGATGGCGAAGTTGGGGCAGGTCAGATCCACCTGGCAGTTCGCAGCCAGGGCGATGGGGCCCAGGGGACAGTGCGGCGCCAGGGCGACATCGTACGCCTCCGCCATGGCCGCGATGCGCTTCAGCTCCGAGATGCCCCCGACGTGCGAGATGTCCGGCTGCAGGATGTCGACGCACCCGGCCTCGAGAAAGGGCTTCACGTCCCACCTGCTGTGGAGGCGCTCGCCCAGGGCGATGGGCACGCTGGTCTGGTCGGCCAGGGTCTTGATGCCCGCGAGGTGCTCGGAGAGCAGCGGCTCCTCGACGAATAAAGGCTGGTGCGGCTCGAGGAGCTTGACGAGTTGTTTGGCCATGGGCTTGTGCACGCGGCCGTGGAAGTCGACGCCGGCGTCCAGGCCTAGGTCTCGCACTGCTTTGACTCTTTCGACGCAGGCGTCTAGGGCGGAGGGGGAGTCCAGCCAGCCTAAGTCTTCAGTTCCGTTCATCTTGATGCAGTTGAAGCCTTGGCTCTTTCTTGCTTTTCTATCGAGAAGGGGATCATCATGAAAGCGAGTCAGTGTGAGATTCTAGGTTAGAAGGTCATCAGAGAGACGGTGCTGTTCTGATAGAGACTTACACTTCCTCTGCCACATTACTTGGACGATTACCTCCGATCCAAGCATATACTCTGAGCTTGTCACGGACCTTGCCCCCCAGCAGCTGATAAATGGGCACACCAAGTTTGCGAGCTACAACAGAGCAAGAAAAAAGAGAAGATAAATTTCAATTAGCGGACTTGGCTCCCACCATGAGGGAAAAAAGTCATAACAATCAATAAAAATTGAAAAGGGACAAAGACAAACCCTTCAGATCCCACAGCGCAATATCAATACCAGCCAAAGCGCTCATGAACACAGGCCCACCCCTGTAAAAGGACGTCCGCCAGCACATTTGCCAGATGTGCTCGATGTCATCGGCCTCGAAGCCAATGTACCGGTCGAACCAGGCGTCCAGACAGCCCTCGACGGCCTGTGTGTGGCCCTCGAGGGTGGCCTCGCCCCAGCCTGTGTTGCCGGCGTCGTCGGTAATCTTGACGAAAAGCCAGCGCGGGGGGACGCGGAAGTACTCCATGGATGCAATCTTGCCCATCTTGGCTGTGAGCACACGTTGTGCAGACGTTAATTGACAAAGCTTTGAAAATATGGATTGGGGAGTGAGTAAGAAAACCGAGAAATGAGTCTGTATTGTGATAAATACGTCAAAGTACAAATAGTCTGTCTTTGCATGTCGGCTCGGAGGTGAGGGGGCTCATGAATACTACGATTCATGTGGATTCCTGAAGGCGGGGGCGGAGAAAGACCCGCATCTTTTTTTTTTTTTTGCGGAGGTTGAATTCACCGTTTTTCACTTACCCCGATCTACAAAGAAGTCTGTCCTCGTGCTTGTGATGTAATTTGTCAAGCCTGTGTGGTAATTGAGACACTTCTTCGCTCTGTTCGCCCCTCAAATCCATGCCACGATCAAGTAGTAATTATCTCGTGAATCCGTGTGGCAATTAAAAAGACTCTACAAGGAAGTTTTCGCTCGACTTACGTTGATAAGAATCTCAGCGAGAATCCTTTCATGCTACATAGATTTTTAGATGCAGTACACAGATGATGAAAGAATTTCAAAGTATCTACGAGTCGATCCCACGAGCCTTCTTGTTCTGCGCCTTGAACTTTGCCAGGGCCTCCTCCAGCACGCCAGGCTTTGCATCCCCAAAGATGTCGATTCCCAATCTGGCAGGCAGATTATAGCGGTGGTTACGATCAAGGGCTTCGATCTTGTTGAACACATCCGGAGGAAGCTCGAAGACTGCCCTATGGTGTCAGCTTAGGAGAACAAGAGCAAGAGGAGAAGAAGCAGACACAGAATCAATGCATGTAGAAAGAGGGGGAGGAAAGAGTAAAACATACCCTCCAGGTTGGATTTAATCCGTGCAGGCGTCACCGATTTCGTCAACACCACGATATCTCGCTGCACGACCCAGCTGAGGACCACCTGCGCCGGTGTCTTGCCCAGCTTCTCAGCAGCCTCGATCACGACTGGATCTTCGATTGCCCTGGATGTTCCGTAATCAGTTTATACCCTCGAGAATTCTCCATCTCAGGACATACATGCGCACTCACTTGGGAAGGCCATAGATATTGTTGCCCAGGGGACTATACGCCTGCACGACAATGCCCTACGCAATAAACAGACATTCAGCAGTTTGTCCAATAATCATCGATCACTGGGGAGATTCACCTTGTCGTGGCAGTACTTGACAAGATCTGGCTGTGCAAAGTAAGGGTGCAGTTCGACCTGGCTCGCGGCGGGCTTGATCTCGGCTGCATCCCAGATCTCCTCGATCTTGGCCGCCGTGAAGTTAGAGACGCCAATAGTCTTGAGCTTGCCCTTCTTGACGAGGGCCTCCATGGCCTTCCAGGTCTCGAGGAGGGGCACATCGACAATGTCCATGCCGTAGGTCTCCTCGTTGATGGGAAAGCGCTCCGTCTCGTTAATCTTGCGGAAGGCGACGGGCCAGTGAATCTATTTTTACGTGTATTAGTGATGAGGAACATTTCCACGAAGGGCGTATGGATCACGAGTCTGCTCACGTACAAGGTAGAGGTCGAGGTAGTCGGTCTGGAGGTCCGCGAGGCTCGCGTCGACTGCCTTCTCGACGTCCTCGGCCTTATGATGGGTGTTCCATAACTTGCTAGTCAACTATCATTTCCAATGGGGCTCGTCAGCTTCCTGCATTGGACAACTATGATGATCTGAGGAGTCAATCCAGTTAGACCAGAAAATTTACTGACGAAGATGTTCTTGCGGTCGACGCCGGATGCCTTGATGGCATCGCCGACCTCCTTCTCATTGTCGTACGCAGCTGCAGCATCGATATGGGTGTAGCCAGACTTGAGAGCCACCTCGACGGCCTCCTTGACCTCGTTCGGCTTGGATTGCTAAATGATAGCAGCACTGTCGTCAGTGTTGCTGAATTCAACCAAGAATTCATCGAGAAGACCTTCTCACCCAAGTCCCGAGTCCCACAGCCGGAATCTCCAGCCCATTATTGAATTTCAACTTCTGTGCGAGGGGCATCTTTGAGAGAAAAATAAGCAATGGGCTAACCAACAAGCACAGTGACTAACAAATCGAGCTTATAATCTTACCTTGTCTCATAGAATCTGGCGTATACTTTTTTTCTCTTCTTTATTTCTTCTATTCTTCCTTTTCCGTCTCTTGCTCTCAACAAAGTTTCCAGATAGCTTCTCCTCCATCTTGAAACAACCACACGTAAGCAAGTGAGGAGATCACATCATGGTTACTGAATGGATACAAAGAGTGGGTCCCGTCACAGCACCACGCGTACATGTAGGAATTGTGCTCTGCGTCGAACCGCTCCTTTCCGCTATAGCCCGGGAATGCGAATGTCTCTTCTCTTTGATGGGATTAATACCCGGGCAAACGTAGAACCCGGATCTACATAGTATACAAGTCCTTTGGGCCGTGCACCGAAGTCGGGGGGTGGACTCTAACCTTTGGTAGTCCTTTTTGGACAAGAATGTTCGGAAAGTCTGTGGGGGTACAATTTTGGGGCCATTTCGGCTTAGAAGGCCCCGAGCACGGCTCCACGATAACAATTCAGTCGAGGATCGATCATACCATAGTAATCATGTGTACACACACCAGACTCATCAGATTCGTTCGACAACACTGACGAGCAAGTGTTTCTTTTTCGCTGCATCCCATTCTTTCCTTCGCTTCTACTTGTGCTTCTTCACCTCTCAATTTCTAAGAAATAAAAAGAAGGAAAAAAAGAAGAAATAGAAGACACCCCCTCATTAGAGTCAACCTACACACAATGTCACCTGGATCAGTACGCAGCCCTCCGACCGGAGTTTACGTCCCCGTCCCGACTTTCCTCCACCCGGCCTCGGCATCCTCAGGACTGCAAGCCAAGGTCGACGTCGAGACCCAGGTCAAGCACTCGATTTTCCTGGCCAAGAACGGCATCAGAGGTCTTGTGCTGCTCGGGTCGACCGGCGAGGCCATCCACCTCAACAAACAGGAGCGCTTCGACCTCGTCGCAGGTTGCAGGAAGGGACTCGACGATGCTGGCTTTACAGACTACCCCATCATGGCGGGCGTACTGACCAACGGCGTCGATGAGACGCTGGAGTGGCTGCACGATTATGCAAAGGCCGGCGCGCAGTGGGGGCTTGTGCTGGTGCCTGGGTACTTTGGCACGGCTGGTAACCAGGCCAACATCCAGGAATGGTACACGGTGATTGCGGATAACAGCCCCATTCCGATTCTCATGTGAGTGTATCCTGACTGAAAAACGAACCTCTACCCCGTGTTTTTGTTCATTTCCTCTTCATGCAAACCATTTGGGCACAGTAAAAGAAAAGGGCAAGACTAACAATTGTCACAGCTACAATTACCCTGGCGTTACCAACAATGTCGTGGTCGCGCCTGAGACGTACACGGCTCTGGCGCAACACCCCAACATTGTTGGATGCAAGATGTAAGAGAAGCCTGCTTTTCTTTGACAACCAATAACAATTTTTTTCTTTCTCTGACAAACCCGTGCAGGTCCCATGGCAACGTGTCTCACCACGTCCAAGTCTCTCTAGACCCAGCAATCGACCACAACAAGTTCAAAGTCTACAGCGGGTTCGGCCAGCAGCTCGGCCCTATCGTGCTCTTCGGGGCGGCAGGTGTGATCGATGGCCTCTCCGCCATCTATCCCAAGACCGTCGTCAGGCTGATGAACCTCGCCGAGAAGAGACCGGTCGAGCCTGACGCGCTGGCTGAGGTGCAGAGACTCCAGTACGTGGTTAGCAAGGCGGAGGAGTACATTGGCAAGACGGGTATTGTCGGCATCAAGGAGGCTGTCTACCGCGTGACGGGCATGGGAACCTTGGAGGGCGGCAGATTACCCCTTAAGGGGAAGTTGGCGGATGGGGAGTGGGAGAGGCTGAGGGCGCAGTATCTTGCTGATGTTGAGGCTTCTGAAAAGAGCTTGTAGCTAGAGCTCTTATAGATGTGACACGGGTTCTGGTAATCAGATGCTGCACAGGCCAATGTATCCAACGGGCACTTGATTATTTTAGCGTTGAGTCATTAACCAGCAGGCAACAGAGGCAAGTTCGAATACGATATCCGATGGCTTACATTGCAACCTTGAGTAGAAAAGAGAATAGTAGAAATTAGTGCACGGTGCTTGCTACTTGCGTCATATTCCTTATGCACGCTATCAGCCTGATACTGCCAAGACCCTTTTCTACTAGGAAACATCTCACTAATTACTGCAGTCATCATAAATGCTAGGTGGTAAGTCCTAAGTGGTAGGACTCAAGCTACTTACCGATGACCCGTGGCGTGCTGATGTGGGGTGGATTGCAAGAATACTCAAATTCAACGAGAAAGGAAAAGAAAAAAGCAGCCAAGATGAATAGCTATCCTTTCTTGCGGCTCTATTCTTGACTTCTGTTTATCACAAAGTCTATTATCTGGTCTAACAACCCGGTAACGAGTAAGAAAACACACACAGCATGACCTCCCCAACGAAGCGAGCTTCCGGTAATCACTATGCAACACCTCTCTCACTTCCCTCTTCTAGGCAAACTTTCTTCCAATATGCGGCTCAATAGTCTTCTCCACAACACGTCATACGATACTAATGCAAACCATCCTCAATCTGCTGATCTCGCTTACCAGCAGAGAAGAGCAACCTCCCCTCCATCACACTGCATCAAGCTTGTTGCCAAGACACGAGCCTGCAGAATCCTCATGTTCTCTGACTCTTGCCTACGCTTGGGGCCCGGAGGATCAAGAAACTCTGCGGGAAGATTGGTTGGCTCGCTCTGCACCTGTTAACAAAACCAGCTACTGCACATGCAGAAACATCGTCGATTCCCTAGTTTGTCCAATGGTCAGCATCATGTCTCCCCCCTCCCCCTTTAATTGTTCTGGACCCCGTGTCAGGATGTGCGCGGTGATTAGGTCTCACTTTCCCCCCCACTTCTCGGTGGCTGGCCCTCGCATATAAATATGTTCCCATCAGAAGTCTCTCCCCCACACTCCTTCGTGTCCAGGATCGAGGGCGTGTGGTCGTGTTCGTTGGTGTGGCCCCCCTTCTTTCCCTTATCGACTACTCCCCGCTGCCACACTTTCTACTCTCAACACATTCGCTCGCCGAATTTCTTGACATTGTTGATACTCGTAGCCAGGGCCACTGCTGCCCAAGATGCCTGGCAATCCCAACTGTACCTGCGTCAGCTGCACTCTGGCCTTTGGCCAGCAGCTGGCCAACATCTTCCATACCTGGACCGAGTTGAGTTCCCAGTTTGAAAAGACAATGGCCCACATAAATTATTCCATCGAGACGAGCAACTCGGCGCTTCGACAACTCCAGCCGTTCCTCGGTGGCAAAGGGGCATGTGATGGTGCCGCGACCGCCCCAAGCGGTGGCTCCCAGGTCTTCTCGCAAGCGGGATGGGAGGAAATCGAGGCTCTCGGCATCAAGTGTAGCCTCATCTTCAAGACAATGATCTTGCTGGTTCAAAGGGCCTCAGAGAGGCAGGCCTCTGAGGACTCTGAATCTGACTCTGACAGTGACGACGGCAGCGACAAGGATGAAGAGGAGGACAAGTCGGACATACTCATCGGGCCGGTGCCTGACTTGTATTCACCTAAAACGTTGGGTCTCATTTCCAAAATCCGTGGCCAGCGGAAATGGTGTGAGGCTCGCTTCAAACGCTGCCACAACCAGCTCAAATGGGTCAACAAAGGCCTTTTCGTGCAGGTTCACATGGCCAAGCTTGCACAGCTGAACAATGGGTAGCGCATCTCTCCCTTCCGTCAACTGTGTTACCATTATGTCAAAGTTTGGTAATGAATAAGTGTTTACTGATACGGTCCCCACACCCGCAGCACAACTCAGCGTCAAAATGGAGCCTTCGAGTCTGAGGTCACAATCAGATCTGCCCTGTTCTACACGCGCGGCGCACAGCTGAGATTGACCAAGAAGGGGGCCGAGAAGCAGAAGAAGAACCAACGCCGTCGAGAGCGCCTCGCGAAGAAGAGAGAGAAGGAGGAAAAAGAGGATGACAATGCTTCTACTACAAGCTCTCACACATCAGGAGAGACAGTCGTCGGTGAGACGCCCACTGTGAACCACCCGCCCGGAACAGTCGGTAAGTAATCTCATTGCCGGAGCCTTCTTACAGATGCAATGCATATCGATTAATACGTGTTGATACCATAGAATCGCCACCATCAGGCATTGCCGAGATCACTCAGGTCCAAGATGGTGTGTCTGGGAAGGGTGAGCCTGGCAACAATAGTGTAGAGTCGCCAAAGAAGCTCAACGTGGCCATGCCCGTCCAAGACACCAAGCCTGACAAGAATGTCAAGAAAAATAGCCCTAAAAAAGTGTCCTTTACGCTCAGCCAGATGAGCCAGAACCTCTCTGATATCATGGAGGAATGGACACACCGCATTTTCGGCAGGTACGATGAGTTCACCAGAGACTGGCCGAGCGATGAGCTCGAGGCCTGGGTTACCCGCGGGCGGCCGTACAGCGTGCCGATCAAGGTTCCCTTTGGCCACCGGCGCCTTCAGGCCGGTCTCAAGAACATCAACGCTGTTGGCAAAGAGACCGACCTCCGGACTTTTGGTCGGTATATAGTTGGAGGGCCGCGCACACAGTACATCGTCGACGACGTGGTGTACGCGGCCAACAAGCTGCAGAGCCGAGAGAGGGTCTGTCTGGCGTTCCGGGAACTCCTTCGCGACGATGAGGCCGACTCCTTTACCGTTGTCTTCTTCTCCATACAAAAGGAGAAAGCGCCCATCTTGCTCACGGATGTGCTGGGCCGCAAGACGAGTATCCCCTTTGAGCTCGGCAAGGAGTGGGAGGTATGTGATGCAACCTTCTTTTGGAAATCTCCCCCCCCCATCACCAATCAGAAGCACATGCATGATGATTCTGTCCGAAGGAATGCTAACAGAATAAACAATGAAAAAAGAATATAAAGGATATAATCCTGGACCTCTTTGTCTCTGTTGCTGAGATCGGACCGCATATTTTGGAAGGGCATTATGACTTTTTCAATGTCAAGGGCGAGATCGTGCTCCCCCGCCTGTGGACCGACAGCGTCAAGCCCGGTGACAGCATCAACATGAGACTCTGGCCCATGGAGCTGAACCCATTGCGGCGCTTCTACCCTCAACATCCTCCGTTCCCCTTCACCAGTAATAAGGCTGAGTCCAATAATAAGGAAATGGAGAGGCGGGCCGCGCGGCTGCATAACTGCATCATTGGGATCTCACCGGGCCCGCCTGGTCGTGCACCCCATCCTGCTCGTGTCGGATACTCTGGTGAATACCCTCGAGGCCCCCGGCCGGCGATTCGCCCTCCGCCTCCGCCAGCACCCGTCAATATGGGGCGTCCACCTGCCATGATGCCACCACCGCCCATGCGGCCATCCATGCCACCTCCGCCCATGCGACCATCCATACCGCTACGGCGGACCAAGCCATTCAGATGGCAGCGCAACCAGCTGGACGGCATGAGTCTGGCTGAGGATAAGGAGCTGTCGTTTATAGATTATGTCAGCGAGGCGGAGAAGGCCAAACGCGTTACTATTGCGGATCTCCTGACAAAGTTCACGTTTCTGACTGATGTTGTTGGCGATAAGTGTCTGGATGAGTGGAGCTGCGATTTCAGCGGGTCTGATTCTGATTCTGATTCTGGTACCGACTCCGACTACGATTCCGATTCCTCGTCGTCGTCGTCTGGAACCCATTCGATCGTGGATGATTGATGCTTGCGTGGTCTTATGTTGTTTTCTCAAAGATGGAGGGGGTTGTGATTTTGTTTTTTCTTCTATTCTTCCTATGGTCTCGTCAAATCTGTTGGTTTTCCTTGTCAGTTTGAGTTTTGTAATGAGCCATGACCTTTTCCTAGCAATATACGAATGTTCCTCACATTACAGATATATATACTATTCTCATCATGTTCAGTTAACGTGACGGCCTGTAGTAACTTAGTGCCAAAAAATTTATTACATTGCCCTATATCGCGGGACCTGTTTGTTGTACACACTCGTACAGCGTAGACGAAAATACAGCATTATTTTTGTTCCTTGCGCGTCGACAAGATTGCAGTAATGCTCTGTAGATACGGTGGTGTGCAATATATATATATGTACAGTGAAGTGAACGAGGTGCAGGTTTCCCACGTCAGAGAGCGGCCTCCCCTCTGTGGTTTTCTGTCATGCCCCCTCTCATCAGACTTTGGATGGGTATAGCGCGTCAATGGCCTCAATATGATCCACAACCATGCAGTCCCAGTTGCCCTCCTGATAGTAGACCGTGTTGCCGTCGTCTGAGGTCTCGCAGCTGCAGCTGGGGAGCGTGTCTCCGTACTGCCAGAAGCTGTCGCCGGCGATGCCAGTGCTGTTGAGGGCGTACTGTTGCCATGGGTTCTCGACGGTGCAGTTGTTTCCTCCACCGTACTCCTCGAGGTAGCACGGCTTGCCAGCCGCCACACAACCAGCCGCGTGGGTGGTGACCCAGAGATCGCCCCAGCTGTAGGGCTCAGCCCCTGAAATTTTAACAGACCTGGTCAGCACCGGCATTTGTTTTCTTCTCCTTCGCGGAGCGGGATAGTTGGCAAAAAAGGGCCAGTGAACTTACAGCTGTCGGGATACAAGTGGAACGTGCCAAAGTCCAGGGTGGTGATGTTCAGATCATCGGCCCAGGTGTAGCCGCCAGCATCGGTGGTGTAAGGGTACGACCCGTCACCTCCAGCCAGAGGTCCGAAACCCTCATCGCCCATGGTGACCATGTGGTTCGAGTCGAGAGACTTGATATATTGCGATGTGTTCGTGGCCCAGTTGTAGATGATAGAGCTGTCTGGTGTGTCAGTCACAGATTCCTTCTTCTTCTTCTTCTTCTTTCGAGCAGGAGCTGCAGAATTATGAAGGGAACGTACGTGTCACACCCAGTGCATCTGGGCTCGTTGGCCAGCTCCCACGCAAATACAGCTGTAGAGGTCTTGTACCTGCTGACAACGGCCTCAATGTATGTCTGGTACTGTCCCTGGCAGGTAGAGTCAGTGAACCAAGTAGTGGCAGAGCACCCAAAGGCCGTGGTGTAGGCCGCGATGCCGCCGTAGTCACTCCAGTTGTTCACAAAGTTGATAATGAGCTTGAGGCCGTACGTCTCGGCAGCGGCGACCACGGCGTCCAGTCTCTCCAGGCCGTACTCGCCCGTGTTGATGGTGGATCCGCTGGAGGAGAGGTACTGGAAATAGACTGTGCCGGTGGATGGGACAGAGGTGACGTCGTTGAAGCCCCAGACGCGGATGATCTTGAAGCCCGCGGTGGCCATGTGCGAGAAGACCGTGTCGACATCATCATCTGAGGTCAGGAACGAGCACCAGTAGCAGTTCGTGCCCGCGTAGTACTTGGTCACACCGTCGATGTTGAAGAGCAGCCCATCCGTGGTGGCGAAGGTGCCGCTGCTGGTGGCAGTTGAGACGGCCGATGTCGACGTCTTTGACGCGATCGAGGACGAGGTCTTGCTGGACGTCGTCACGGCAGAGGAACTAGACGTGGACAATGTTACGACGGATGCCTCTGATGAGGATGCAAGGAGATCATTCCCGCCGCCCCGCGCGTTTCCTCCTCTTCCAGACCCTTTCCGAGAACCGGGGCCAGCCCGCAACTCTAGAGGATGTAAAGAAACTACTGACGATGTGCTCGCAGTTGTCGTCGCCACCACTGAGGTGGACGTCGCCGGTGAGCTACTCGTTGCGGTCCCCGGGACACACTGGTAGTAATAAGCATTTTGTGACGAGCACTCGTAGCCAGACGTGCAGCTTGTCAGCCCAGTATAGCCGGTACCGCCGCATTGGCCATAGGCCGACTGCTGAGCCGCGGCGCCGGTGGCCAGCAGCGACAGGGCGGATGCCAGGCCCTTCCTCATGGCTGGAGAAAGATTGCGACCAACAATCCAAGAAGGGAAGTAGGATGGTTGAAAGAAAAAGAGAGAGAAAGGGACAGAAGGAGAACGCCGATGAAGGATGCTCTGAGGAGGTCAAACTCCACTCCGTGACCTGGAAACCAGCCAAAGAAGGGAACGAAGCCCAAGATATACCTTCGACGATGAACACACTCTCTTGATTTACTTACTTATTACGTTCCTGAATGGGGTCGTTTCGTTTCTAACACACCCATGTGCCCCCGTTTTATCGGCAAGGTTCCCTATATTCCTGGCGCCGCTGTGGGTCCTCGTTTGCATGTCAGTACTATTGTGTCAGCGTCCGTCCCTTAATAGGAAGCCAGCGCAAAAGAAGCATAAAACCTCCGTTCTTCTTGGCGATCGAGAGGATTCATGTTGCTGGAAATGAGCAGCTGGGAAGAACAGGTATGCCGACATCATGAAAATGTCCACCAATACCGTCGAGGGCGAGTAGGTAGCGCTACGGGTGGCGGACCGGCCTGTCACCTGAAAAGGGGTACTCGGAGCATACCGAACCGCGTCGCGCCCCATGACCGGCAAATCCGCACAACGGAGTAATGACAACAGCGCAAAGCCAGTCCAGTCTCTGATCAGATTTCTGAGAGTCGAGTCATGCAGCAGTCGGTTACCGGCAGCCTTGGATGTCTCATGAAGCCGTCATGTCCTTCAATGTCGACTGGCGTAGACATTCTTCCCAGGATGTCATGTTGAGGTTTCCCAGCCGTGAGGTCAGAGTCTGCGGAGGATCCACAACCGCCCTCTCAATCTGACCCGTGTTTCATGGAGATTATTCTGTCAAGCAAGGAGCAATAAACGATGAAGGACATTTCTTGAGGATATTCGACCCGCAGCGCGCGCAGGGCCTGATTTCCATATGACAGATTCTGGCAAGTAAAGTCATCCGATCCTGATCAACATCGAATTACAGACACATAGGGATTCACATCTCACCGTGTGCCATTTGCATGCAGACTCTCCATATTCTTTACAGGACATTGGTAGTGTCTCAGACTATCGGGGAACTGCTGCGGCCCCACGCTTTGCCGCAGTGTGACAAACAATTGGGCCTGTCAAGCTCTGGACCAGTCTCGAAGTCCACAGGCTCGAACCCATCGATGAGCTTTGTATTATGGACGAGTATGGCGTTGGCTGCGGTCCTTTTACCAGCCACTCTGACCGCATAGGTATAGAAGTCGTCCAGGCGTCTTGCCGTGATGACGATGTCAATATCCGGGAGATTGAGTCTTGGGACGGAGAGCCTCGATGGCCCCGAGGGGTAAGCTTCCACTAGTACTTTCCCACCTCGAAACGATGACTAGATTCCAAGGCGGCTCCTTCTCCCCCAAGTGTCGGTGCTGTCTGGTATTCGGCAGGAACAAGGCGGTGTCCGCCATTCTGGTGACGACCCTAGACGTAGACTCTAGTATGACGCTATATCTCGGGCGTTATGTTTTTTGTGACCTATATAGTGTTGAAGCTGCCCGGGACCTCATATTCAGCCACATTCAAGACAGGCTCAAGTTTCTGATTCTGAGTGGGAAAGTAGCACTGAGTGGACTAACCGGAGCCCGGCACGGGAAGTCGATAAACGCTTGCTTTGAGATGCCTTTCAATTGTCAATGTCGACCTATCAGTTTATTATCAGTCATCCGTGATCATCAGTTCAAGTATTCTGAAAGAGGTGGCCGAAGAGACACGTCGATGTAGGCAGGTGCCGATTCCGACCTGCCGCGAAGGGACATCTCAGTCAAATGGCGTACTTCTGGCCGAAGTGCTCATGAAGCGGTTTGGGGCCAATAGTGGGAATGTATCATTGGAAAAAATATCCCATGCAGAGACAAAGAGAGATCCTTGGGGTATCAAGGTCAAGGGAAGAAGACAGAGAGACAGCAGGCTGGCGATTCAATGTTGACGACGGTTGAGAAGAAGACAAAGATCTGCTACTGTACAGAGTCAGCACCTACGAGGGTGGTCTCTAGGGCGGACCTAACCCTCCCTTGCCCTAACCCTGACTGAACCTCGCGTACCTGCTTGATGAGAGCCCCTCCTCTTAGCGATGACGACCTGCCCCTCTCCTTCTTAAATCAATCTGACACCTTGAAGAGAAGGAATACAGTAAAAAATCAAGAGAAAAGCATCATGAACCCACGAAATGATGAACCAATCTAGTCTTGATCTCAATAGTCTTTGGCTCAACAGCTTTGCCACGATATACCATAATTTTAAGTAGTAGGCAGGGCTTCTCTCGCAAGCCGACACGGCACCGAGATGACCCCGGTTCTCTGCTCGGGCGGTTCAGACTCGATCTCGTTTCAGCTTGGAGAGAGGATTACGCACACGCGACGAAAAAGAAGGGATGTGGCAACACGGCAACACGGCACAGCAGATACCACCCCATTTATCAATCAACTTTTAGTCTGCGATGAGTGGTTATCGGGTGCAAACTTTCTTGATGCATGCCAAGCCAACGACGCCTGTCTAAAGCGGTGACTGTGCTGGAGATGGCTGGTCCAGATGCGCTACTACGAGACCCTGAGAGCTGCGTGAGGCAGACAACCGCCGACGAAAGCGCACACAAGGCGTTCGAGAAGGCCAGAGACAACCCCGACGAGGTGAGAGCGGCATCATCACAGCCGTCGTCGATGGGAAGCGCCGATGAGACGGGCTTCAATGGACACGGCAGCCTCGTGTTGGAGAGGCTCAAGAGACGCTTGCCACCGTCTATCCAGCGCAGGTCAGATGCCATCTGTACCTATCTGAAGGGACCCGACCCCCCCAGGATCTGGAAGATACGACCAATTCTGCCTCGTCTTCAGCATCTGCCGCTGCGGCTGGTGGACAAGTTCTGCCCTAGACAGTGGCAGCGCATTCTGGCCCTCTTCCTCTTTTACGTCTGCTGGATCGCCACCTTTGGTGCTGTGCTCCACAAGTCGGCGGTGGCTGATGATGTGAACGGCTATGGCCAACCAGTTCAAATACAGTGCGGCGGCGTATTCTGGTTTGGCTTCCTTTCCCCCCCCCCCCCTGCCCTGTGGTTCAATTCTTGGGCTTGATTTCCATTGGTTGTACTGACACGTGAGGAACAGGGAGGAGAATAACGATTGTGGGCTCAATGGCACAGATTGCCTGCCCTTCGCAGACAGCTCGTTCGCCTTCCGATGTCCTGCGAACTGTATCAGTGAGGAGGTGCAGAATCCTCGTGCAGTCGGCGCGCAAGAAGTCATCTATGAGCCACTGGTGGTCGGCGGCCCAACTTCGGATGGAACCCATGACTTTACGTACCGCGGCGATTCTTTCATATGCTCTGCCGCCATTCATGCTGGTGTCATCGCCAACGGCGTAGGCGGCTGTGGTGTCGTGTCCCTCATTGGTCAGCAGAGCAACTATCCCTCGGTGACACGGAACGGCATCTCGAGCATCGGGTTCGACTCGAGCTTCCCATCGTCTTTCACTTTTACGTCGACGACTGCTTCCTGCAGGGACCTCTCATGGGACTTGCTCGCCGTTTCTGTCGTGTACACGACACTGCTGTCCCTGTTCACCCGATCTGCCTCGGTGTTCTTCTACACGACGGTTGTCGGGTGTTACCTCCAGGCGGCGCTGGCTACGGACACGCCCGAGTACGCCAGCATTGCGACGCTGGTGTCGACAGCTATTGGCAAGCTCCTGCCAGCGCTGTTCATCGCGATGGTCATGTATAGGCTCTATATCCGGCGTACCTTGCACGACCTGACCGCCCAGGTCGAGAAGACGATCCTGTGGCTCGGTCCATGCTGGGTGGCCGTGCTGGCGGACTACACCTTCGAGCTGATCCCGCTCGAGAGGCTCACAGAACACGATCTCCGGCAGGAACCAGGCGGGCTGGCCTCGCTCATCATCATCGTGGTCGTCCTGCTCTGCGCCTTTATCGGACAGGCATGGGCTTTCAGGCGAGAGGGACGGCTGCTGCGGTACCTGGCGCTCTACGTGAGCCTGGGCATCACCATCGGCCTCCTGGCCGCCATACCACAGGAGGACCTCCGTCTGCACCACTACATTCTGGGGCTCCTCCTCATCCCTGGCACCTCGCTGCAGACCCGGCCCAGCCTGGTTTATCAAGGCATCCTCGTAGGGCTCTTCATCAACGGCGTGGCCAAATGGGGCTTCGACGCGATCCTGCAGACGGCCGCAGAGCTGCAGGGCGACGCGCTGGACGGCTCGGCGCTGCCCGTGATCACAGCGCTCAATGCGACGGTGTCCAGCATCACCTTCACGTGGCCTGGCGTTCCTGCGGGCTGGAACGGGACCAGCGTCCTCGTCAATGACGTGGAGCGCTACCGAGACTACTCGTCCAGCCAGGACGAGCGCTCCTTTACCTGGCAGAGAGCGATCGCCGGGGAGCCCGAGTACTTTCGGTTTGGGTTCTTTGCGCTATCAGCAGCGTATGGGCTGGAGACGGGCGACTATACCATGGGTGGCACCTGGCTTGCAAATGGGACATGGATACAGATGGCCGCAGGGGCAACGTGAGCCAACATGTTTTTTCGCCGACTAGCCAGCATAATATCCATACTATCATGTGCCATAGTATTGCAGTAATCTTCTCAATGCAGAGATCTGCACCGGAGGTGCGTTATCCGCCTGGTAGAACCGCGATTGTCCCCCACGCCACGACCCACTCTGGGCTTCCCACGCAGCCCCGGTATATAGGTCTGGCCCCACTGCTCGTTCATCCCTTGTTATAGCCATGTAATCCGTCAGTCTTCTGGGACACTGGCAGACAAGGGTGCTGTGGCCAGAAAATTCTATTCTTTAACATGCTTGAACATGTCTTCAATGAAGGTTAACATAGCATAGACGCTGCTCCTTCCGCAACCTCCACTTCTTTTGGGCACTGCGTACCGACATCCGCGATCCCAGCATCGCTGTCGTTCAGCTCGTGAGATAGCACAGAGGACCGTGCCAACGGCTGAATTGCAGCTTACTAGACCGCACAGGCATGGCGGGTAAGTCCACTGTTTATGCTGACACTTTTACTGATACGAAGGTCCTGGCGAAAGGGTTGTTCCGTCTTGGCCAGGAGATCTGGTGAGTTCAATGCTTAATTCACTAGTACGGCTCAGCAAGGGCCATGATCGCCTAGTTCAGCGCCTCACGAAAAGCTCCGTCGTTTCTCTCGCGCTTAGTTCCCAATACGTGGGGGGGTCTCGTGCTCGGAGGCCATTTTATTTTTTTTTCTTTCCCTTCTTCTTTTTTTCTTCCCTCTTTTCCCTCTCTCATTCTCCGTGCGTTGACGCAAGTACTTCTTTTGACAGCCAAATCATACGGGCTGTTCTGCTATTCCCAGAACGCTAATCGTCACGGGCACTTGTGATGACCATGTCCGCCGAGTAGAGCCCGAGCCTGATCTATTTAGGGCCAAACCGTAGGCCCGGGCGTCGTATTAAGATTGGGTCTAGCCCGGCGGCCCGGGGATCTTCATGGCCGGGTCACCATTCCCGCCCTCGATCCTCGCCCAGACCGCCACGATCCGCTTCTCGCTCGCAGGGCGGCAGTTCCATGGGGTCCTCTTCTTCCCGCTGCTTGGCATGGGGAATGGATCATTGTTTTTTCCTTGTGTGTGTGTGTCTCTCTCTCTCTCTCTGTGTGTGTGTGTTTCTTCGACATGCCACACAACACCGCCGTAGGGAGGTTTGGACATAAGACGACATAAACCGTTGAATAATAACAAGGGCAGACGCCACACTTCTTCACTTGAAGTACGTCTCCACACCCACCAGCAAGGGTGAAGGAGAGGGGGAAGATGGTCAATATTCTGGGCACCGTCCTATTTCACCCTATATACCATAACAGGCCCAGGTTCAAGCTTGATCTTGATGCTACCTCTTCCCTTTCAATTGAGCCAGTTGTTCGGTTCTTTGATTGACTGACTGACTGATTAACTGCCTCTCAAACTTTTCTCTCCGGCCTGCTCGCTTTTCTTCTTCTTGCTTTGTCTTTTCTCCGTCTTTCATTCTCTTCTGTGTTGTGGTAATGCTATTTGTTATCCCACTGCCACTAATCTACTGTGTTGACTTTCCAATTATTTTTGCCCTCTCCTCTGCGAGAGTTTCCGAGTCAGCAAAAGAGGTTCAAGACTTGCTCTTTTCCGGAAGCGGAATCCATTTCGAGATCATGCGCGGTTGCTAAGACATCCGGACGGCAAAACTACAATTCGGCGGACTATGCACAGTCCCCTCTCCTAACCACCCAAGTCTCATGCTAGGTTTTGCGCCGAAGCACAACTCAACTCGTTCGGCTTGGACCTTTCTTTTTCGTTTCCCATTCGTCACGAGACCATCTGGAGGAGAAGAAAAGGACATACATCCACGACGACGAGCCAAGGACGTCGCATTATCTCCGAGCAGTATTATATTTTTTCCCCCTTGAGGCCGATTCCATAATCGCCAATCTACTACACCTGGGTACGACGAACCGTGCCTGTAACCCTTTTCCATTGGACGCCAGCAGGGGTTTCGTTTTGGGGGGTTGTACCGAATGCATCCTTCTCCTCAAAATCTCGACCACCGGCCTACCTCAGACTCCTCCTCCTCCTCCTCCTCCTCCTCCCCCTCCTCCGTTTGCTCTCAGAAACTCCCTCGGATATTTTCCCATCCACGGCAGATCTTTCTCTCAGCAACACTACTTGCGCAGTAGGCGGTTGTCCAACACACATGGGGCCTTTCGCGGCCTCGACGCACTCGTCGCCGCTGTCGCAGCAATCCCACGCAGCATGGTGGTGATGCGCCCCCTCCTCCGTCTTGCGCCCAATTTCCGGGCCAGACCCACTACAGCCACCATCGCTTCGACAAAAAACTCCTCTTTGGGCAACAGCAGCAACAGCCACAGCAGGCGCCTTCTCATCCTCCTCTTCAGTATCTTCCTCGTCCTCACGTTCGGGTCCACTCCTGTGGCAGCCCAGTCCTCAGCAGGGAACCTCTCGTCATGTGGAGTTCGTCTTCCTCTCTCTTCCTCTCTATTTGCATCTTTCCGCCCCGTCCCCGGGCCCCTTTCTATTTTCCTTCAACCCCCCACAGAAGAACTCTCTCTCTCTCACACAGAGAGGAGACTGACTCTGCTCCCTGAACACAGATTACCTGCCTCCTCGAGGGGCTCAGCCAATCAAGCTGTAGCCTCACGGATGTCGCGTGCCAGTGCGAGAGCGCCGTCCTGGCGAATACCGCGTTGGACTGTTTGATGGCCAACTGTACCATGCAGGAGAGTCTCGGTTCGTCTACCCATTTTTTCCTTCTTCTCCCCCCCCCCCCCCCCTCCTTCTCTTCTTAACTTCTCCGTTTTTTTTCTTTTTCCCAATCTTTTTCTCTTGGTCCCTGCACAAGCACGTACAAGTCATGTGGCTTGTCCAAGGAGAAGAAAACCCCACGCCCCCCACGCATCTATCTCATCCATGTCTCAAGTCACCTCCGTGGCCCGACCCCCCGGGGGCCAACTGGCTGGGTTCCAGATTGGCGGGCGGGCAGTACGGCATGGCCGCCATACAGAGAGCACAACAAAACATGAAGAGACGGGAGAAGAAAAAGAAGAAGAAGAAGATTGGAAGGAGGAAAAGAAGAAAAGAGACAATCCAGCTGACATGACCCTCGAAAACATAAAGAAGTATCTCGTTACGAAGCTTCAGAATGTAATTACTCGCACACCTCCCGGTCGGAACAGGTCGTCGTAATTATGTCGGCACTCTGGTCCGTCTCCGCCCTCTTCGTCCTCCTGCGCGTCGTGTCCAAGACCATGTCGAGGACGTTTCACACTGAGGACTATATAATCATCTCCGCGATTGTGTTGGCCGCGGTGGTGTACGCCTGTGCGCTGCGTAGTGAGTAATTGGATTCTTTCTTCTTTCCTTCTCTTCTCCTATCATCCCCGTTTGTGGTGTTTGGTCTGCATAAGTACTCCATCAAGCCGTGTGCCGAGAGCCGTTTTACTGACACGGTGCTTTCCGTAGTGGCCGGACTAGGTCTCGGCAGCCATGTATGGGATCTCGCCGACGGGGCTTTACAACAGATCCTGAGACTATGTAAGCTTCTCCCTCATTATCATTTGACGTCCCAAGACGATTATTTCCTCCTCCGTCCCCATACGAGCACTCTCTCTTTGCTGACCCTGCCTCTGCTGCTGCTGCTGCTGCTGCTGCTGCTGTTGCACCAGTCTACATCTCCGAGATCATCTACGTCGCCGCACTGGCTTTGACCAAAACCTCCATCATCTCCATGTACTTGCGCATCTTCGACCCCCACAAACACTACCGGTTCGCCTGCCACGCCGCGCTGCTCTTCATCCTCCTTCCCAGCATGGCAGTCCTCCTGGCCACCATCCTCTCGTGCCGGCCCATCTCCTACTTCTGGGACCGGAACCCGCTTCAGGTTCCCCACGGGAAGTGCCTGAACGTTGTCGCTCTTGCGTACGCCAACTCCGGTCTCGCCGTTGCACAGGATATCATCCTCATCGTGCTCCCCGTGGGCATGCTGTGGAGGCTCAACATCTCGCGCAGGCGCAAGGTTCTCATCGCGCTCATCTTCGCCGTTGGCGGGCTGGGTCTCGTGGCCACCATCATCCGTCTGCGCACGCTGTACGTCTTCGGCAGCCTGAAGGATCCTACGTGGGACTATGTCCCCGTCGTCTACTGGACGACCGTGGAGCTTGCCGCAGGGATTCTCTGCGCGTGTCTGCCCGCGCTGAGGATCCTGGTGGAGAAGATATTTGGTAATGTGTTCCACCTTGGCACAGGCGACCGGTCAGAGGACGATGCTCGCGGGATCAGGATGGAGAGGCGGAGACGGCCGACGGTGGAGGTGCCTGGGGACGATGTGGAAGAAGAGGAGGAAGAAGAAGAGTGGAAGGTTAGCGGGTGGGAGGAGGACTGGGCGAGTCAGAGGCGACTGAAGACCACAGGAGATGATGGAGAACAGGCGACGCAAAGTCCGTGCCTCAAAGGGTCGTTTGGCGATGCGCCTGCGGAACCCAGTTCACATGACCCTGAGCCTGAGCCAGATCCTGGACAGCGCCCGAGTGCAGGTGATAGCTTCGTGAAAGATTGAATTGACATGAAATTGGGCATGCATGTTCCCTAAAAGTTGGAAAGGATGTCCAGATTATTTGCCCGCTGCCGGCGTATTCGTAAGCTGCATGATTAAGTCCGGCCGACAATGCGTGCACGTTACGGACGCCGGGGCCCGGCGCGGCAGCATGCCACAGAAAAGAGCTGTAATACATAAACATGTCTATCCCGAGACCGCGTTGGAGCCGGAGAATAGGACTGCTTCTCATGCCGATATCAGCGTCTCGACGAATAGATGAGGGAGCGTAGGTCTCGAATGCATTGCATTTGTCACCGCTCGGACAACTACTCGCGACGAGCTGTCCGAGCTGAGCCGACCGAGCTCAGCGTCGGACGAATCTGTGCCCGAGTGTGAGTTGTGGCCGTCGGCAATTACATACTGGAGTTAAGAGCTTAGCTGGCCCAGGCCTGTGCTGCAATACACAGCTTGGTACTATGTACACCTGCGAATACTGCAGGGACAGATGCACCTTGCTAGAGACTGGACAGCACCTCACCGGAGATAGGATTGCAGTAGTTCTTGGAGAGATAAATAACCCCCGTGGTCCTCCTGCATTCCGGACGATTATATTTGTCTCAAGTCAACAAGCACTACCGATCTTAAGCATCATTACGAAGTACAAACTCAAATTCTTGGGAGAAAAGGGAAAAAAGAAAGTCATGTCTTCCCGCAAGTACAACAACGTAATCGTCTTTGGCCCTACTGGCGGTGTGGGCTCTCAGGTCGCCCTCGAAGCCAACAGGCGCGGAGCCAAGGTGTGGCTCGCGATGCGGGACCCTACCAAGACCATTCAAGACATCCCCGCCGATGTTGAGAAGTCCGGCAACTTCGCCCGTATCCAGGCCGACCTCACAGACCCGGTGTCTATAGCCAAGGCGATCAAAGAGTCTGGGGCAAAGGCCGCGTACATCTACTTGATCCACGGGGCGTCGGATGGCATGCGTGGAGCGCTACAAGCGCTGCGCGATGCTGGCGTCGAGAGCGTTGTCTTTCTGTCAAGCTTCTCGATCACACCGGCTCATGAACTCCGCAAGATCCCACAGTCGGCCTTCATTCCCTGGCTCCACGCCCAAGTCGAGATCGCGGCGGAGGAGGTGGGCATACCCTACTTCACGGCGCTGCGGCCCGCCGCATTCGCCAGCAATCACTTCAAGAACTTCCTCGACCGGTCTGCGAAGCCACCCAGGGCGACGCATATCCGGGACGACGCCTGGGTCGACAACATCACTCCGGAGGATATGGGCGCGGTGGGGGCCGCCGTGCTCGTGGAGAGGCCTTCGAACGGAACCGAGATCATCTACCTGGCCGGACCGGAGCTGATCACCAAGGCGCAGAGCTGGGAAATCATCAAGAAGATCACCGGTCGTCACGACATCAACGCGAACCCTATCACCAAGGAGGAATTCCTCAAGCAGGCTCAGGCCCATCATCTCCCAACTAAGGTCGCAGAGTACCTGGTCACGGTCGACGATGAATCAACCGAGCGTTCCTACCTCTTCTCAGAAGCCTTGCACCGTGAATCCGTCGCAAACATCAAGAAGTACTCTGGCAAGGAGCCACTCGGATTTGCAGAGTATATCGAGGCGCACAAGGCAGAGTGGCAGGCGCTATGAGACGGAGAGGCAAACAGCCACCCGAAAGCCACCGGCAGGGTGATCTGGAGAGGGTCAGGAGCGCGGGTTAGTAGCCTTGTATGATTCAATCAAGAGCAATACCAACATGGATGCATCAATAGTGCGAGTGACTCCCCAGCCAAGTGTCAGGTATGCTCCTTGTGAAGCGAGTGCACTAGAGAACGGGCTAGATGTTGAATGTCGTGCCATCGTAGCCTCGTGATGCCCCGTCATCGTCTGCTCTTCAGTGGACAGCACCTCAGCGCCGTCGCGGCGGTGTTCTGCGGGAGCGCCGGTCCTGTGCGGAGAGCTCCTATAGTAGGCACGCAAGCACGCCAGAGCCTCGCATAAGGACGGCGAGGTGGTGTGACGCATCAGGCCAGAGAAGGGTGCAGCGAAAGTGGAGTGCAAAGTGGATAATGACGCTCTGGTATTCCCGTGTCCTCCCGAAGCAACGCATTCCAGCAGTCCCGTTGTCAACACGAACGAAGGAAGAAAAGAGATGGAAGAAAAGGCGTCGGCTGGGTTGGGTGATGTTTCACGTCTGCGATCCCTATTGACACCACGTCTCCTCAGCATGCCTGTGACCAATCAAGGGAATTGGGGGTTACTACTCTTTACCAGGGCACTGCCTTTGGGTGGGTGGGTCGTTCCCTACTGCATTTCCCCGGATTTTCCCCAGGTTTTATCGCGATGAAAAGAGTATAGGGAAACACAGGTGACAGGCTAGTTCTCTTCAGGGGAGCAGGATTACCCACTCACGGAAATGGCCATCGCCCAGGGGTCCATAACTGCTGAGCTGATCGTCCGTTGCTCCATTACTGGTAGTGGTCCCTGGCCGGTCACGCGATGGGCTGATGTGTTGATACCAAAGCCCTCCTGATCAAGGAGCAACAAAAGCAGTTGTAGTGGGAAGAGGAGGAGGAGGAGGAGAGGTGGTGGTGGTGAAATTGATGAATCTGCTAGAAATAAATGCCAGTAGCCTCTGCTGTATATTGGCACTGGTGTAGATGAAACTGTTGCAATGACCAGCCAGCCCCACCCCTCTTCAGATGGGTGTGGAAAAGGATGATGGCGATTGATTTGGTGGCAGCTGGCAGGTGTGTCAGGTTACCCCGCCTGATCACGCACACAAGTACACGAATGCAAAGAGGCAGCCAGCAGCCAAGAAAAGAAGAAGGAAGGGGCCCCCCTCACTCAACCTGGCACACACCTGAAAGAAGCTCACGCCATTGATGGAGGGGGCCGCCACTCATCCGTTCCTGCCGTGCTGCTCGTTTAGGTCAATGGTGGGGCTGCTGCTACTGTTACTGTTACTGCTTGCTGCTGCTGCTGTTACTACTGTATGTATGTACTGTAGGCCGCCACGGCTGCTAGGGGAGCTCCATCCCCCTCCCTCGCTACCTGCTACCTGCTTCTCTCGCGTGATGACATGAGATTCGACAATACAATGTGCCTGCCCTGTCCTGCCCGTGCCGCTGCCCTGAGGGGCAACGGACCAATGCCAATGCGGAATGCGAGGAGCAGGGGACGTGACCTATGACCTTCCCACCTTCCCCTCCTTTTGTACTTGAACAGCTCGTCTTCCCCTCTTCTGTTCCCTTGCTGCTGTTCTTCTCTGTTCTTCTCCAGCTCAGATCAAATCATCCACAAAGCCCGATCTTCAATTAAGCCATCTCATCAACACTGCGGATACAATCAGCCGATCTTCCCAAAGTCAACTGATTGCTCTGACAACACACACAACAATACCGCATCCAGCCTTCGCACCACATCTTTCTCGGTCATCATGACAGAGCCACTCGCCAAAGTTGACTCCGCTGTCGATGGCGTCGACGTCAAGGATAACAAGACGGTCAAGAAGCCCCGGCAGAGCACTGTGGCCGCTGCCGGAGTGTTCAAGCTCGAGGATCTTGGTATGTCTCCTTGTTGGTCACTTTTCAATATTGTAGACGGACCTGGCTGACTGCTATAAACAACAGTCGAGGAAGGAAAGACAATTCAGATCGCCAAACAGACCCAGAAGACGGGCTGGTAAGTCAGAACGTGCTACTGATGCTCGGACGACCGCAGGCTAACCCGGTTCCTCTGATGTCTTGTGTAGGAAGATCAACACGTCACCAAACACCGTTGAGGACAAGGACATCCTCAAGCTTCACCTGACCGAGCCACCAATCAAGAAGATTGATCTGCATTTCCCATTGGGTTTGGAGGTCACTGCACGAAACCTGAAGGGTGTCACCATCAAGGATGCCATGGATGCCATCCACAAGCCCTACAAGAAGAAGGTTCGTCCGGCTCCTCCTCCTACCCTCTCAACAAATGATCCTCTACCTCCTCTCTGTCTCCTTCTCAGTCCAGTCGCTGACCTTTTCCTCCTACCCAACAGCAAGATGACGAGCTCCCGGAGGCCTACCTCAAGGGATTCGAGTATGACCCAGAGGAGTCCAAAACCCGGCTGGTAGTGCACCTGACATCGACTCCGGAGGTCGAGTCTACCGGTGGTAAGAAGAAGAAGAAGAACAAGGGTGAAGAGTAAGCCATCCTTACATGCAGGCGGGCCACAGGTGGCAGGATCTGCACTGTTAAGCGTTGACAAGCGGCCTCATGGAGCTGACTGCCATGATATGTTGCTGTGCTCGGCCGCTTAGGCCAGTCACATTGACACCGCTGGCTGCAGTAGTTGAATCTCATATCTATGACCAGTCTCTAGTTTCACTGAGCTGTTTGCCTTTGCAGGTTAGCTGCATCAGTGCTAAGAAGAAGAAAAAATGGACCGTTGTTCTTTCTCGATGACATTGAACATGACGCAGATAGCCGAGCTGTCACTTACAGACGATGACCCCCTTGGCATCTGTCGCTGTATCCAAATCCTTGGGTCGGCTCTACCTTCCTGCTGCCCTTTTCACGTTCGTAAATAATTACAACACGAAAGAGAGACACGACTGACAGGACACACTACTGGACAAGAGAGGCACTCCGTAAAAGGCGTCCTGCTGAGCTAATGAGCGTATCCATAGTCGGTGGCCTCATGCTGATATCGCACAGACTTGCCTCATTCCAGTTTTGAGCACACCGGAATTTCCCAAATGCCTACAGACGAGACGCAATATACGCATACACACGCACACCAGAGCTACTAGATATCCATTGTCTGTCCAAAACGACTGATTTCCCTGCGTCCAAGAGGGAAGAAGAAGAGAAGCAAGGGACCGGCAATGCGGCAGGGCATTGCCACGTACGTGTGTAACAGGAGATTAGGAATCTGTCCGCCAGGACTACCACCAGTCTCGCTTCCTCTCTATTTTGAGATAGAGAGAGAGGGAGTTCCCTTCCGTCATCCGTCTCCAAGAGTCTTCTCCCTGTATGTCATTAGAATTCAGACTGAACAGCTACCGCACCTCCTCCTGAAGCGATATAGTCAGTGGGGCGGATTGAGTCGGCCCCGCGATCTCGACGGTGGATCCTTGAGCAGCCACCAACCCCGCATCCACCGACGTTAGCCGCCCCGCACCACACCGCGGAATTGAAGGGCTTCGGTAGAAGAAGGTTGTAATGCACTGACTGCTTGGGGGGCAAACGCCAGAAACCAGGACCAACGCCTCCAAGAGCCGAAGGGCGAGGTGCGAAAGGCGCAAGCTGCTGCTTTCCATCTGAACGGTACGAGTACATGGCAACTCTCTCCAACAAGATGGTCTCACACCTTCTCTTCGACAATGACTGATTGTTTGTGGTGCTATCGGCTCTGAGCTCTTTCCCACTGCATTGATTATCATCATCGTCGTCGTCATCGTCGCTATTGTGACTATCGTCGTTCATCCTCTTCATCTCCCTGATCTTCTTCAGTAATCTCTTCCTCGAGAGGGCAAGAGGGCAAAAAGACATTGCAGCCGCAGTCCTCCGCCCAAGGTCAACATGCCCGTGACACAGTTCGACTTCAAGGAGAAGTATCGTTACCAGAACGGCTTCAACTCCTACCTCGAGTAAAGACCCAATCAGCCTTGTCTCCTTCTCCCAGCGAACATGTTGTTTTACTTGCAATGGAATGCAGTGGCTCGGAATGCTTTGCTGACCTTCTTGTCTCCTCTCGCTTGATCTCACAGGACCGAAGCAGTGCCTGGCGCCCTCCCTGTCGGCCACAACTCCCCCCAAAAGCCGCCTCACGGCCTCTACGCGGAGAAGCTCTCCGGAACCGCCTTCACCGCGCCTCGACACGAGAACAAGCAGACATGGCTGTACCGCATCCTCCCCTCCAGCGCACACCCTCCCTTCGCCCCCGCTACAGACCAGCCGCTCAACGGCCACACCGAGCCTGGCCAGGCTGTCGACTTCAAGGAGTCCGCCGCTACCAAGATGCACTACATCCCGAACCAGCTGCGCTGGGACCCGTTTGACCACGGCTCCGGCGACACCGACTTCGTGTCTGGTCTACACCTCGTGGCTGGCGCTGGCGACCCCACCATGAAGAGCGGGCTGGGCATGTACATCTTCGCGGCGGGGCGGTCCATGGATCCCAACCACGCCTTCTACTCCGCCGACGGGGACTTTCTCCTTGTCGCGCAGGAGGGAGTGCTGGACATCCGCACCGAACTGGGCTGGCTCCTCGTCCGCCCCATGGAGATCGCCGTGATCCCCCGCGGCGTCAAGTTCGCCGTCTACCTGCCCGACGGCAAGCCGATCCGCGGCTACGCCCTCGAGCTGTACCAGGGCCACTTCGTCCTCCCCGAGCTCGGCCCCATCGGCTCCAACGGCCTCGCCAACGCCCGTGACTTCCAGGCCCCCCTGGCGAGCTTCGACGAGGATTTTGGCTCCGTGGCATCAGACGACGGCGGCGCCCACGAGCACCTGGTCACGGTCAAGTTCGCCAACAGCCTGTACGCGACGCGCCAGCGGCACACCCCGTTCGACGTCGTGGGCTGGCACGGCAACTACTACCCGTACAAGTACGACCTGGGCCGCTTCAACACCATTGGCTCCATCAGCTTCGACCACCCGGACCCGTCCATCTTCACCGTGCTGTCGGGCCTGTCGGACCACCCGGGCACCGCCATCGCCGACTTTGTCATCTTCCCGCCGCGCTGGCTCGTGGGCGAGGACACCTTCCGCCCGCCCTGGTACCACCGCAACACCATGTCCGAGTTCATGGGGCTGATCTGCGGCGGCTACGACGCCAAGAAGGGCGGTGCCGGCGGTTTTGTGCCCGGCGGCGCGAGCCTGCACAACGTCATGAGCGGCCACGGCCCGGATGCCGACAGCTACGAGGGCGCGCGCAACGCCGAGCTGAGGCCCGCCAAGGTCGGTGACGGGAGCTGTGCCTTTATGTTTGAGAGCTGTCTGATGGTGGGCGTCACAGAGTGGGGGCTGAAGAAGTGTGCCAAGGTCCAGGAGGAGTATAGCCAGCACAGCTGGGGCGGCCTCAAGGTCCACTGGAAGAGGCCAGAGGGAGCCAAGGCGGACGGGCACTTGTTGAAGTAAAGATATATATATATATATATATAATATGTATCACCTCATGCTTTACCATACATTGCGAACCTTCATGGCTTGCGTTCCCAACAAGAAAATTTTCCGTCCTCATAGCAACAGCGTTTCCACCCAAATTTGTAGTCAAACATTATAAAGTAGCCCCTCACAGTGAAGCCCGTCGCAAAACGAGAAGACCCTCCATTGGGTATCTTTGAAACACATCCGTCTGCATGTCATGACTGAAACAATTTGCCAAAGACCGAAAGCCACCCACACACATAATCCAAGGACTCGAGCCACAAGCCTTTTTTTTTTTTTAAAAAAAAAAAAAACCAAAAAAAACAGAGGGAAGGGTAGTAATGAAAGAGAGCCAGAGGATGTTCACCGCGACAAGTACCTCTCTCAGGTCCCTATGGGACCCAATGGAGCTGGTACCACTGTTGGCGTCTGTCCCTGCACTTGGCCTGCGTCAAGAGGTTTCCTGCCATAGACCACAGTAAAAGGGAAATAGGAGTGGATCCCGGCGTCGTGAAGGCTCCTGCGGACATCGACAAGGAACATCTCCACCTGGACATCCTTCCAGCCGAGACCCTGGCAAAAGGGGCGCTTGCAGATGGCGCTGAGCCCCTCGAGGAGGATCATACGCAGGAACCAGATGCCCTTCTCGCGCTGACGGCGGTCGCGCGCCCAGCGACCGATGGGCAGCTTGTGGCGGACCTCGGTGACGTCGTCAAACCTGCCCTGGCCATCTGCGTTGTCACACCCTGCCGAGCGGAGTATGTCGGGGAGGCGGGTGATAGTATGCAGGTTCAGGCCTAGGTTCTCGAGGCCGAGCTGCATATAGTAGCAAAAGTCTCGAAAGGCGTAGGGCGTCGACGGCGTGAGGGTGTCGTCGTCGGCCTGCGGCCAGTAAGTCATCTCTTGGAACTCGAGGTAGCCACCTGGTTTTAAGTACCTTGACGGGCAAGGAGAGCGCATGTGAGTGAAAATGTTGTTTTCCTTTTCCTTTCCTTTCTTAAACAGAGAGACATGTGCGCTCGCGCGCAAGACCAGAGAAAAGAGGGTTAGGGACTCACTTCCAGGCCCGCTGTACCAAGGCCGCGGGGTCCTTGATGGAGAAGGCGGTATAGCGCATATGTATGTAGTCGAATGAGTTCTCGGCATAATCCACCCAATCCTCCTCAAAGTCGGCCGTTGAGAAGAAGACATTCTCCCAGACGTAGGCCGGTTGGATCGGCGAGATGTCACAGCCGAAGATCTGGGACTCGGTGTACCTCTGAGCCACTGTGCCGCCACTGTTAGCCAGTCGTGTTTTCTTTTCTTTCTTTTCTGACGATGCTCTCTCTCGTCCATCTTTCTCCTTGCGTATCTCAAAGCTCTCCTCCTCTTCGTCCCGAGGCGTCATAGCTGGCGCTTCCAGAGCGCAGCGGGCAGAACGCGCCTCTACAACACGGCGAACTGCTGCTGCAGTCCATCGAGAAGCACGACGCTCATCAGCCTGAGACGAACAGGAAGACAACACAAGATACGACCAATATTCAGAGGAGAGAGAGAAATATCAGCGCAAGACGGACGCCACACTCACTCTCCATGGCCCATTCCCCCGTTCCGGTGCCTGTAGAGTCACACACAACGTTGTCAGCTAGTCTGGTATCTTTCTGTATCACACTGCGTGGACAGGTGAGAGCTATGAAAAAGAGGAAAGAAAAAGAAGAAAAAAAGGCGAGAGGAAGCACAAAATCCTGAGATATAGGTATAGCCATTTTCGATGGCAGGGTTGGGGGTGATCGCAGAGAAATTTGTATCAATAGAAGAACAGAAAAAGAAAAGTAAACGCACCCAAGTCAAAGACGGCCCCGCCCCGCTTCAGGGTGTCCTCCACCGGTGCGTAAAACAGCTTCTCATGCATCATCCAAAGCGAGAGTTTGTGCTTCATGTCGTCGCGCTCCTGCTCGGACTCGTCGTTGGGCAGGGGGTACAGCACCCGTCCGTCGGTGTTGGCGTGATACCGGCGGCCGTACTCGTAGACGAAGTTGGTGTCGTCATCGTCGGCGGCGGCGTCGGCGGCATAGTTGTCTTCCTCGTCGGCCTCGGCCAGCTGGATTGTGTTGGCTGGGGTGATCCAGGTACTGAAGGAGACCTGGTCGGCGGGCAGGGCGGGTGAATGGGGATGATGTGGATTTTGATGTTGGTGGTCAGGATGGAGGTGATGATGATGGTGAGAGCGGTGATGTTGATAAGGCTGGTCAGACAACGGCTGGGGGATGCGCTCGGGGGCGCTGGCGGTGTCGCCCGAGACGAAGTTGTAGATGGTGGAGATTGGCGGGAGTGTCAAGGCTGTGGAGGAGGTGGGGGCGGCAGAGGAGGCCGAAAAGGAGGAGCCGGAAGAGGAGGCGGCCGAAGAGGAGGAGGAGGGTCCTCCTTGGGAAGGCTGTTGGCTCATGATTCTAGGCGCGCTAAAGCACCCTTCGCCCCTGATGAGCCTGTGGGCGAGGAGGGCCTGTGTGCGTGTATATGTGTGTGTGCAGAAAAGATATCATGTATTGGTAGGTGGTTTGTGTCTCTTGTGCGTCTTGTCTTGTGTCGTATATGCGTGTGTGAGTGAGTTATCGGGGGGTTGGTGCTACGAGTGCCCGCCCAGCTTCTTTTTTGGCCAGCCTTCCTCCATGTGCTGCATAATGATCTGCCTAGCCAGGAGAAGGGATGATCAAGTAAGAAAAATGTGTCATTCGAAAAGCTCTGCAGGATTCCTAACGCAGGATACCGGTGTAGAGAGATAGAAGCCGTTGGTCTGTTGACTCTCTTGCATCGAGATGAGATGCTGCAATGTATGGTTCCGGGGCGGAGGACGGGATTGGCAAGGATAGATGGTGGATGGATGGGTGCATTGGAGAGAATTCACTAGAAAGAGAGATGGACAAATAGGCTGAGTGCTGGAGGTGCTAGGCTGGCTAGGGTGGCCACTACCGACCTTGTTTAACAGTGGCTCAGAGGCCTGGAAGGGAAGACCTGTGAGCCTGAGATCTGTCGGCACTCTCCGTCTTCTTGTCCTGCTAGGCAGTAGAGGAAGGGGGGGGGGGGGAGAAATAGCCCCCACCCAAAAATGGGAACCATCATACTGTATTGCCAAGTAATAATGTACCCTACATAGTCCTATAGTATACATTGTAATTATACATTCATTCATTCATTCCGTTCCTTCAAATTATACGACGTTGTATGTATCGTGTACGCAAGTGATGTCGTATAAACAAACATATATTCACAACCCAAACAATAGCACCAAGAACAAAGTACAGACATGTGCATCATCCAAAGTTTCGTTATCCGAGTCCCCTTTTAGCTTTTTAGCGCCTGATCCCCGCTGCAGAGATGGCCTGGCGCGCACGGGAAAGAGGGGCAACACGCCACAGGCGTGACATGCCCCTTGCTGGTGACTGCCAGGGGACGGTTCTAGCATGGGCCCACTGTAATCGATGCAGTAAAACATGTTTGGGGGCCATCTTCTAGTGGTAGTTGGCGAGGAAGCTTACTACTGTGCTTATCCTCTACTTAGATGACCAACACGCAGCACACAAGACACAGCCACGGGTACAATGTGAAGCTGAAGCTGAAGCTGGCCTTGGCGGTTATTGCAGATCATCTCGTTCAACCATGGGAGGGTCAAATACTATACTATGACCGTAGTAGCCCATTCACACCAGAGAGAACGGCATCCCTCAGCGTTCATCTCGGCCGAGAAGCTCCGGTCTATGCTTTTACCATGCAGATCAAGGATTGGGGGCGAGGTCCATTTTCAACCCAGAACCTCACCCTGAATGCCGACCGCAGCAGCGGCTACAGCGGCTCTCACGGACGAGACAAGTTCCGAACCAAACCGTGGCAAACTTTCTTTCGCCAGGAGGAGAGACAGGTTGGGTTGCCACCGCTGCGGATCCGCCATCCTGGTGAACTGGAATGAATTGGAACCCGAGTCCGGAGCCGAGAAAACCCCCTCTCTTTGATCCATCTGGAAAACAAAGCGTCACACCCCCTCTCCTCCTCGTCTTGTGTGCTCGCCACTTCCCACAGAGCCTATCTTGACGAGGTCGATACGGCTGACGCTGATCGCCCACCCAATCGTCCTTCTCCCTTAAGCATACTATAGCACGTTGTATTTGTATCGTCCACGGCCGCGCAAGCTCATGCATGCGCCACAGATTCCATAATGATCTGACAGCTCAGCCTGCTCAGGTGTGTCTCTCATACTCAGAAAGCACGCAGGCAGGGCCACGCACCCATTCAAATCTGCTTTCCCTGCTGGATCCTGGGTCGATCACGTAGCTTAGTCTACGGTGGTGGTGGTCAGCGAATCCTCGGGACTAGACTTCTCTGACAACAGTACGGCTCATCGGGGACTACTGCTACTGAGAGAGCACACTGCCACACTTGAGCTGCATTCTCGGTATTTTGCCCCCTCTCCCACACACACACACAGATGTGGAAGGAGACCCCTAAACAAGCGATGGTCGTCAGCGCATGCATAATCTGGCGAGGCACTATTGGCATCGACTCAGGTTGTGGGCATGTGGTCCAAGGTGGCCCAAGATCGGTTCATTATCTGAGCAGGACTCCGCTGGGAGGACTACACCACCACTACGACACATCTCGTCTCGTCTCCTGCATACCACTTGCAAACAAGAGCTCGGCTCGCGCCGCCATGAGCTATCCACCTATTAGAAAGCACACATTTCGGGAAGGATTCTGTACCTTGCAAATCTGTCTCCTGAGACTGGTGCAGCGTTGAACCTTGCCCGCCTGCCGCAGGAAAATGCGGCGCGACCCCGAGACGGCTGGCGGGCCCTGCTAGGAAACCGGCTGCCCCTGTCGCCGGTCTGGCCCGGCCTGGAAGACCGTTTTTCAAGTGCAGACAGGGACGCACGTTGCGACAGGACAAATGCTCACCATTAATGCCTGGTCATAGCTAGCAACCACATCTTAGAGACCTGCTACACTTCCAAGAAGTGGTATGTAGCCCCTTTCACGTCAGCATAATCTCGCGCATAGTCCGCGGTCTTTGAGGTCAAGAAAAGAAAATAGACCAGGAAATTATTAGCCACCTTGCTGCGATATCGATGTATAGATGCTAGCACTCGTCAGAAAGACCCAAAGAAAGATATCAGATTTTCTGGAGCCTTTTCCATATGGTCATGTCTTCCTATCTCAACCCCAAGCAACTCAGGCTCCTACTTCCGCCTCCTGAGTTTCGCTGCAGATTCGCCTTGACGAAATTGGCACCCAGCTCGGCAACTGTATAGACGACCAACATAGACAACTGCCTGAGGGTTCGCAGTCAGCTCAGTAGGCACAAGGCTTTGTTGGTTCTGGCGTAGTCGGGCACGGCAGTGGTGATGTTTACGGAGCCGTGCGAGAGACGCTGCGAAAGCGGGTGCGGCAGCGTGTGCGAAAGCGGATGTGAGGGCTTGATGGCGACGGAAAAAATGCTCTTCAGATGCACAACAAGTCAGGCTAGGAAGAATTGAAGAGAGTGCGTAGTGCTGCGACGAACACATAGTTGCCAACAGATTCCGGAGGTATCTGTGTGGATGGAATAAACAAACTCCTCGTGCACAGCGACGAAGGCTGGCGTGGTGAGAGGGATAGGAGAAGCGTCCTTTCTGTCAGCGCCGAAGAGGCCCACAGTAAAGAGATGTTTTGAAGGTTCTCACCAACATGAGGGCTGTCGACCACCATGTCCATCTCCAGGCCCATGAGCAGATCAGATATTCCGATCTCTGAAATCTCGAGGGCCCGGGGGGAGTCGATAGCCCTGGTAGAGATGATGACCTTCTTGCGCGCATGGGTACTCTAGGCAGCTCCATCGTTGGAGGCGGTGAGAAGTAATCAGAACGGGGCATGCCCAGGATAGAGACAGTTTGAAATCCTCGGTGAAATTTGCCAGGCATCAATCATGCCTCGGGTGTACGTTTTTACCATCTCGACCGTTGACTCGGCCCCCATTTTTCTCTAGTATTTACCACAATATATCTCACATGTAGTCGCACAGAGTAGGTACTTATTATGTAGGCTAAAGAGTCTAATGCAGTGAGAGTTTGAGGCACAGACAGATGTAAAAACTGTGCCGTAACAGTACATAAGGCAGAACACAGTTTGTTGCAGGGGTTTTCGACGCGCTGGTGGCATGCATTTACTATAACGTATTACTATGGTAGAATATAAGGCAGAGATCTTGCACATTCTTGGTCATGCTTAGTATGATAGATGAACGTTTTATTATCCAAATAGACTAGAAGGACTTGACAACACTCCACGGAACACAGAGCTTGCCCACGACTCATCTTCGGGCTGTGGAGAGAACTACGCACATAAATCTTTGCAGTCTCACAGCCTGTTTTGAGCTATAGAGACATACCATCTCCATATTTGATCAGGCTCATTCTCAGTATGTCTCCTAGCCACGCCCAAGGATGAGCACTGACATATTCAGTGCATTGGCAACTGATACATGTACTTCTATGGCATGAGGCCTACCCGCTGAGTGGATTCATATGCTAGCTGTAGCAGTAGCAGTCATCACTACTAGCCTTTCAGCGATAGTATTCTATTTAAATGTGCTTCTCAGGTCCACTGTTGAAGGCCCGACGATTCCGAGCCCCGCCACCCGGGACAGCCGGGGCGAGGCAAGCTGTTCAATCTCGAGGTCGTCGTCACCATTTGTTTCTTAGTCCCTCTGCTCGGAATTTCCGACGTGCAAAAAATTGGTATTCGAATAAGGGTTTTGGCGTGGTGAGAAAGCCATTGGCAGGAGACAGAGGGAGAAAAGATACTGTCAAATCAACACGGTGGGAAAACCAAAAGTTCAGTGTGCAATAGTTCGAAGCAAGATCTGTCAGGGAAAAGAGATCAAAGTTTCGATGGATCAATGCTCCCCACTCTATCTGACAACCGCTGCGTTGCTTTTGATGATTAATGAATTCATGCAAATGCAAAACTTGGCTTCGAGGCTCGGGTTTCACAAATGCAGACATGCAGACATTAGATGTGGCGTTTATCTTATCCATCCACTAAGAGTGAAAGGATTCGAATTTCGACAAGTGATAATTTCGAGTCCGGCTTTGCCTTGATATTTATTCCGGGGGTCGGAAGCCTTTTGTTGCTCATATGAGTTTTCGATTTTTGGTTTTTTTTTCTTTCGCCGGAATATCCGGCCGGGAAAACCTAGTCAGTTCATCTTTCAGGCTTTGTATGTGAAAAATCTCGTGTTCAGCAACGTGTGGTTCAAAGGTGTGTGACAAGAAGTAAGCCGGTAAATGTAAGTGATTTGTCCTCAAACGAGCGAGCCGGGACTGTTTGTTTCACCCGCCAAGAGCTCGGTACCGAATTGGGCACAAGCTGTCAATGTGATGCGCGGCGCAGTTCCTAATGGAGCACTTGTTGCGGTGGCGTCTCGATTAGAGACCACCCCGCGCCTCTCTCGATATGCTGTGCGATATGCCACAGTATGACATTGTATTATTGATATCATTGTAGTAGTAATAACCATTACTTGGAAGTACACATGGTTGCCAGACGTGGTCGGCGCTCGGCTGCCCGGATCTCGTTCAAGCCATAAAGATCAACATGATGCACTGGATCAGCTGAGAAACGTCAATCAGGTCCCCACCAGATGGGATGATCGTCCCCAACTTGCGCAAGTACCGAGGCGCTACGATGGAACAGGGGCTTGAGGGGGTGCATGTTTGAGAAAGCCACGAGGGATTTATCCTGTATCGAAAACGGGCCCACATCGTTTCCATCGCCCCAAAAAAAATTATTTTCCTTTCCCTGGCGTTGCTATTTTAACACTTAGGACCTAAAGACAATTGTTGTATGAATGTCTCAAGAATTAAATGATTTCCTCAGCCGTCGAAAGAATGCTGGGGGAGGGGGATGTAAGAAGAATTGTTGAGAAAAGACATGTCTGGTAATCTCTTTGACTTTTCTACGGGAAGTGTGGCACACCAGAGCAACCACATCACACCCATTGAAACAAAGTTTTGGATGTGCTGTACATCACACCCAAAAAGTAAAACAAACACCTTGCCGCCCGCTGTCACGTTAGCTCGACCCAGATATACGGGCACTACTATAGTACCACATACATAACAGTTGATCATGGATTCAGCTTGGCGATCACTCGGACCTCGGACGAAGAAAGAAGAAAAAAGAGCCCCAGACGAATCGAGCACCAGGACGATCCCTACCGGTGGCTCATGGCAACCAGGGTTCTTGGAGAATGTGGCACCTGGATTGGTCTTGGAGACAAAAGCGTCTGAGATGGCTGGGGACAAGTTTCCAGATCAGGGTGTACACATTTCCTCTACACCACCACAAATCGTATCATGGTTCAAGTCTAGCGCGTGTTCGATCCAAAGCAAGCTCTGGTCCGTAAGGGGGGTGCAGACCTTCGCCAAGCTTTCTTGCATCCCCCACACCACACGGCCGAGCTAATGAAACGTGTTGGTAAATGAGAAGTGGAGCCTCAGTCGCCTGCGTGGAGATGCTTCAGAGGCCCGGGAGCCTGGCGACACGCCTCTCTGGATCGGCACGGCACATCGATGGCGCGAGCACGTCCTTGTTCGCAATAGAGTTGTATTTGTGTATTAGCTCAAAACAGCCGGCTCAGACTTGGCGCCGTGTTGTTTGGATTAGCAGCTTGCTTTTTCTTGAAGGAGAAATACCATGCCATGTGGCTTACCAAAGTACAGAGGAACATTGCAAAATGGAGTATGTATCTCCGACCTTCAGGGCTTATTCCCCTGGTCTGGTCCCTGTCCATAGGCAGTCATACAAAGGGGGAGAGGGGAAGGGGGGGGAGGGGGGCGCCTGTTGGAAAAGAAGGAAAAACGAAAGATGCAATCCTGTCACCAGGCTTTTCCGTCCAGGTCACGTCTCGCATCCATCTGGCACATGGGGTACCGGGGCGTCACTCATCAAGTGTGAAGCAGGAGACAAGTTTTGTGGGAACCCGCACGGACTATGTGATCCATACGAGGTTGTGGGGTGCGTTTGTCAAATTTGACGATCTGGACCTCTGGGTCTATTCCTTTTTTCCCCTAACTTCCGACTCGACACTGGGAAAACCTAAAGGTTATTTCAAACTCTTATGAGGGCTAGCAGGTCCAGATCCCCCTTCGATCATGACCTGGCTGACCTGTCTTGCGCTGGTCGTTCGGAACGAGCCAAGGGCAACCACTTGAACCATCTCTTGTCTTTGTCGTCCATGACAAAACGAACATGCCTCTGGACGATGGCATGATAACAACAGCGGCCGTCCCGAGAGACACTGTCCTCCATTTCGTCAACCCATCCGTCGAGGTCAACGGCGGTATCTGGAGTCTCTGCTTGACCGCTTCCGCATTTCTCGGGCTACGGATATGGTACAAGGTCACTCACAAGCATGGAATGTGGTGGGATGATTACGTGCTTGTCGCCTCCTGGGTATGCCGTCCATCCACCCGCGCACATACATATACACATCATGCATACACGCACAGACTCGACAGCGAAACCCGATCGAAAGAGATACAGGACAAAAGAAAAGAGACGACGACCATATTCGCTAATGGACTTATCTTGGTAGCTGGTCCTTTTGACGACATGTATATTGATAAGCATCGAGTTCGGCACGGGCTATGTCACCAAAACCTGGGATAATCGCATGCTCATCCTCGTCTCGGTCTCGTCCGTCCTCACCACCGTGGGTCAGGCATGGAGCAAGTCAGCCTTCGCCGTCACACTCCTCCGGCCCGGCATCACCGAGGGCTGGCAGAGATGGGCCCTGTGGTTCATCATCGCCTCGCTCAACATCTACCTCACCATCACCTTCTTCCTGCAGTGGACCAATTACTGTGGGGAGACCCCCTATTGGTGGAAGATACCTCGAGTATGCGCCCCATACGAAACAATCGCCAACATCAAAGTGGGAAGAAACAGTAAGTATGGCCTGAGCCCGTTCCGATGTCCTTTTTTCTTTTTAAGATATGCTTTGCGTTGCGTTGCAGCAACAACAACAACATGTGGACTTGGAGGCTCATGCAGCTATGCAATCATAATAGTGTGGAATATCATTATGGACTTTGTTCTAGCCCTCTTCCCATGGTTGGTGACGTGGAAACTGCGGATCAAGCAGATCGAGAAGATCGGCATCTGCGTGACCATGAGCTTGGGGGTGGTCGTTGCTATCGCCACAAGCTGGCGTACAGCCTGGATGATGAGTCCTGGGTTGAATGATTATAATGAATGGTACTTTTGTAAGTTTCCCAACCCAATCCCCCCCCACAAGGCGTCTCCACCTCTCTCCCTCTTTCTCTCGCGCTATCTTGCATTGTCGTGCTCTTCTTCTCATATGATAAGAGGACAAGAATGAAGGGGAGAAGAAAAAAAAGTTTTGGAGAGGAGGAAAAAGAGAAGGAAATAGAAGAAGAAAAGAAAGAAGGCAGAATAGGAGGCACGAGGATCAGCACCAATCGAATCTCTCAAACCAGAACAGGAACATGAGAGCTAACCTTTTCCCTTCCTTTGTTGCCGATCATCACAGGGCGTCAAGGCATGAGTATGGTCTGGTATCAATCCGAGGTAGCAGGCACCATTATTGTGCAGACACTGCCCGTGATTCGTCACCTGTGGCGTGACAAGTCCGGGCAGAGAACATTGGTGTCGGTGGAGCTGAACGAGATCAGCACTACAACTCATAATAAAACATTGGCCGGAGAAGGAAGAGGCGGAGATTCGATCATGGCCTGGAGCTCAAAGGATCTGGAGTCTGGGTACTTGAGCAGCGGTGAAGCACAGTCAGATTTGAGACCGTTTCGTAGTCCTTTTAAGCCGCCGAGGACATCGTGGTCAACGTTTAGTATGAAATATGACGATTCGAAATGATTTGCACGGTCCCTCCCCCCCCCCTGGCCTCGCTCACCCCGGCTCGTAAATAATAACCTTTTTTGTAATGTTTCTATTTTTTGTACCGAGTACCTAGGCATTTCATCCTTTTTATCTCTACTATGTTATCTTTTTTTTGTTCTCTCTCTCAGTCTCCCTTGTTCGAACCTAATGCTACCTCGGGCCAACAAACATCTCCGCCGAAAGCCGTCCGGCACTCGCCCAAACCTTAGGCCCCTCCCCTCCTTCGCAACTCACGGATCCCCCCTGCCCCCCTCCTCCAATGCGGGCCGCTTTGCATGCTCTTCTCTTTTTTAGTCTTTCAGGGAAGAGACAGCTTGCATGCGATCCAAGCCATTCCAGTTCCCGAAAACAACCCGATCCCAGATCCCTGTATTTAAAAAAAAAAAAAAAGTTATTCCAGCCTCACGCAGAGCCAAACAAGTCCTATGTTTTTTTGTCGTGTCGTCATCTTGTGGGAGAGACACTTGGCTGCGAGCAAACGGGCTTTCTGCTCGCGTGTGAGACATTTTTGCCATGATGGTGCTATTATGGTATAAGAAGCCATAGGGAGGGGAAAAACAACCAAAACGCCCCCCTCCCCTTTTTATTATGTTTCTCCCGACCGCCCCTCCTCCCATCACCGCTCCTTGTACAGACTGGAACGGTCAGGAAGAAAGGGGTGGTTCGCCGTTTCCGCATAACTCTCTACATGCGGGATCGAATCGGAGAATTTGGGTTCACAAGAGAAAATCCATCTGACACTGTCCCGGCTTCCGCTTTGGCCCCTGCACGGCGGTAGCCGTAGGGTATCGTTTCCAATCAGCTATTGTTGCATCGGCGCTGGAATCCACTTGGTCGATTTTGACGGGTCCCTCGTCCAAGGGCGAATAACAAACAGCATACACACACACTCACTCAATCACACACAGAGTCTTCAGTCTTTTTTTTGTCTCTTCTCTATCTATCGGTACGAATTACATATCTGGCAATCAGCGCCGTTCTCTTCCCGTGCCGATGAAAATGTTATAAGATCATACACGATGCGGTCAAAATTCTCCCTCGATCAGGACGGGTGCAGAGCACATAAGCATACCTGAGACAAGGGGAGAAGGAGGAAAGAAAGAAAAGAAAGAGTGTGAGAGAGAGAAGGGAGAAAAAGAAAAAGAAAGGAAAAAACCGCCAACCGCCGGGATCGTGTTTTCCCTCCTACAGCTTTGTTCTCCTAGGGTCGTTGACAGGTCTCAAGGTATACATACACACTCAACAGCTTCATCATGACTCCGTCCCCTGAACGACTGGGCGAGGCTATGTCACAACGACAATCTACGTGAGTAAACCAATCTGGAGTTGAGCAGATAACAATTGGCCCCCACAGGACACCATTCCAGCGGCTGACACTTGGTGTTGACCAAAACAACAGAGGCTCCACGATCCCAGACGCATTATCGATTGAGGAACATGGCAGGTTATTCAACGCGTATCGAGAGGGGAGTGAGTTTTCTTGGCCTTTGTCTGCGTCTACTATGAGTGGCTGGTGAATTAGTATCTAACTATTGACACATTTTTCTCCACTCTAGAATATTTGATGCCTCATGACGGTGTATGAAACAGTCCACAACGACCTTATACTGTATAATCTATGTGTGATTGACAATCTTGAGCGAAACAAATTTATTAGGTCGAACAAAATCGTCTCGGTGCGCAACAGAGCCTTCTTTTCCCCCACTTCCGGAGCCTTCCCCATTTCTTCCCTCGGCACGCAACTGATTATATGATTACCCCAGATCTACAGCACCATGTATGGCAAACCATGCTACATGGAAGACTATTTTTTGCGCCGATTATAGAAACCGCCAAGGTGTTGGATATAGGGACAGGCACAGGCATATGGGCCATCGAGTTCGCCAGACAGTATCCAAGCACGACCGTGATAGGGACCGACATCAGCCTCATCCAACCGACAGAAAACCTCCCGTCAAATTGCAGATTCGAGCGTGAAGATGCCGAGGACCCGTGGATATTTGATATACCTTTCGACTTTATCAGGTGGCGTCTTATGGCTACTAGTTTCAGGTATGACATGTGCCCCCCGCCCCCAGGGAAACCTCTACAGGCGGGGGGGGGGGGGGGGCTTCACAACATCTTTTGTCTCTGGCGAGGATGAATCTGATCTGAATGTGGTTTTTCCTAGCAATCACCAGCACATGATTTACAAAGTATACTCCAATTTAGCCCCCGGCGGATGGGCAGAATTCCACGAGTGGGCGTTCGAGATCATACCGGAGAGCGCTGCTGCTCACGAGGCTTATCAGGGCTCCGCGCTGAAGAGGTGGTTGGAATATATACTGGCTGGGGCTGCAGCTCTGGGAAGAGATTTCCGTGCGCCTTTGCAGTATCGGCCATGGATGGTCGAGGCTGGTTTTACAGAAATCGCTGTGAGGCGGTTCAGCGCTCCTCTGTATGTTCAGCCTCCTTTTGCTTGTGTCAATGCGGCTGGCGTAAATCCTTCTCGGCATCCTTAGGCAACATGCTGTTCGGAACCATGTGTGCACTCCGCATTACTGTTCCTTTTCTTTTTCTTTCTTCTTTTGTCTGCTTCTATCCCCCTCCCCCGCCCCCCATTCCTCTTGTTCAATTGATTTCTTTTCTTCTGAAAGGGGGGGGGGGTCCCCTCTTGCCGGCCCTCTATCACATCTCTGTCATGTCATGACCCAAGCCAGCTACTAATTTAGTCGAGCTGAACAGGAATAAATGGCCACTCGAGCACAATGCTCGTACTTTAGGGAGCATGGCTTGTATAAATTGCCTGCAGCTAGTGACGAGTGTGACCAAGATACTCCTAGCAGGTGGTCTATCACTGGAAGAGCTTCCCGGCTTCATAGATGAAGTTCGAGCGGACATAAGGGACCAAAACATGCGGGTCTACTTTCCTGGTGAGCAACCAGCTTTCCCGCTACCCCTGGCCCAGAAATGTCACATTCATACTGATGCTTTACAGTTTATGTCACCTACGGCCGGAAGCCAGAGACACCAGTTCAACACTACAGCAGCGAGCATTCTTCTAGATACATCCAACTCAATGACTAAGGTTCACTGAGACTGCACCGTGCCTGCTTGGGCTTGATCGTCCCCAGGCTCCATCCCCCCACCCCTCCTCCTCCCTCGCGCGGCGGTCCCTCCCACAGACACATGGATTCCACAGCGCATTGCATTAGAAAGAGAATGGGGATGGGGCAATGGCTGGAGCATTAGGTTACAGGGTATCGGTATTATAGCCAGCAAATCGCCTCTCCTCGAGGCAGCTTGCCAACCCTTTCAAGCTGCTTCACCAAGTACTTACCCTTTCAAGCCTTCATATGCTTCTGAAGTCACGTACACTCAGACTGTCTAAGAAGCACTGAGACTTGGTTGGCATTCAATGCAGCATACCCAAATGACTACTAAGAGTCGGAAGGTGGGAGGCATGGTTTCATTGGTCAGGTCCTCGCTGGTCCCTTCGTGGCTCATTTCCTTTTATTACACTCACCATGGGCTTGCCACAGACACAAGACTGGCTCATGATAACAGCCTTCGGTGGCACTTTACCTGACAGCAAGGTGTTCAGTGAGAGGGAGAGAGAGATAGTCAAAGGGCTGTAGGAAGTTGTGGACTGTTGTTGGCTTCCAGATTCCTGTACGTAAGCTTAGTCAGATAAGGAGGCCCAATCGCATGAAGCAACATGGAAGGTATAGCAAAGGGATACAGAATGTGTGGTTTTCTAAGTCTCTACTTTCTAAATGGATGCCTGGCCTAGGAAAAGTCAGGGCTGCATGAGAATATGTCTGTGCCCACAACCAGCAGAACATCTTTGGTCAACCTGAAGCCGGTGATTTGAACGCCTAGAGCAAAACTTTCCACTTTAGTTATAGTCCTTCGTTGTTGCCTTATATGAGATGTTGTGCTCGCCTATTTGAATGGAATAAAGTCCTGACCAAATTAACTCAGTTTCTCGTCATCCTCCCCCCACCGACCCAGATCGGATTGGCTGATATCAAAAGCGCCCGAGCACCCACTGCGCTCCTGAATTCTCATTGAGATTCCTCAGGGCCGGCACAGGTGGATCATATAAATCCAACATTTAGGTTATGAAATGTAAGGCAATGCCTAGACCCCTTCACAACACTCAACACGCATCTTCGTCCTGAGAACTATGAGTGGTCGCTAATTCTTTCCCCCTCTTTGCATGGTCGCAATGGATATGCTCATCATCAAGACCTGAGGCAGCGGATAAGAGGGCCAACGTGGGCGATGAGCAACCTGAGAGATACTTCTGAAGTTTATGGGAGCCACCTGGGTAGTAGCTAAACACCATATCGGTTCATACTAGGTCTACTTTTCTCAAATACCACACTGGGCACGAGACTGACTGCAAATCATCATAACAGACCTGACTGATCTCATTGACTTTGTGCTTTTCTGATCCTCCATAAAATTGTGCTATTGTGCTGTAATCAGGTAGGCACGCCCTTTCTTCCCGGTTCATTCACAGCTTCGTTACGTACACACAGCAAGCCCGCGAATCTCCGACCTCATACCGCGAAGTACCCAGTCCGAGTAACTCACTTCACCTATTATTCATATCCTCCTTGCAGCCGATGACGATGATTATGTACTCATCCTTTCTCTGAGACTCATCAACGAAGTCTTTCAAGCGATGCCGAGACTGCTTCAACGTCCTTTCCTGCGCGATCGTCAGGCATGGCGTATGTCGCAGGCATCTGTCTTTCCCCCTTCTCTCGACATGGTTTATCCCATGTTACACGTTCATTTACACAGAATGCAATACTGAAAATGTGGGAACAGATGCTCGAAGATTACTAAACCATGGATGCTGCATACAGGACGGATCTTGCTTGTCCCTCGCCCGCACGAGTCCCCTGCGCCACAAGAGGCCTGCATTCAGGATTGATGGACATTTCAACAGTGTTGAATTTGTTCTTAGGAGATTTTCAAAATGCTGCATACTTTATGGAATCTACCGTATTCGTCTTCATGCCTCTAAGGCTTGGCGCACTGCCTCCTTGGTAGCCTCATCGATATCCTCTTTTGGCAGCCCAAGGACATCGTTCTGCAGACCCTTGGTCTTCTCATAGGTAGAGTTACCCTCAGGGAAGAAGATGCGAGTGTACATCATCCGAGCGAAGCCAGCCATGTCACCTTTCTGCATGGCTGCGATGCCGTTGGCATACCTTTCCTGCGACTTCTCGGTCGTGATCTTCCAGTCGGCATCCGTGGTCCCCGTGACGCGCTTGACGCTCTCGAACATGTCGCGCTGGCTGACGAGGAAGCTGGAGATGTAGAAGCAGTTCTTGTCCCAGTTGGAGATGGCGGGGCTCTTGTCGTCTGCGTCGTCCGGGTACAGCTTCAGACTGAGGAAGGCGGCCACAGCCTGGCCGGTCTGGGCAAAGGTGCTGGTGTTGATCTTGAAGTTGCCGTCGTCAATGAAAACGACTGAGCGTTCCTTGAAGTCGAAGCCGAACCTGTCTGCGCTGCCCGCGAGACTGAACTCGTACCAGAAGCCGCTGTGCACTCTGCGTCAGCTGGAATGTGTTTTCCAAAGTCTCAAGCATCTTTGATTTTTGATTATGACAAGCACTTGACAAATCTGTTTTCGGACAAAGTGATTGGGCATAATCAAGTAAATCAGCATCGAACGTACCACGCCATTGCAATCCAGGTACTGACACCAAGAGCCTCGATCTCTTCGCGAAACTCGACTGGTTCAACACATTAGCGCTCGTTATGCCAGAACTCCAGGTGAATCCGACCCTGGCGCAGGCTCCAATTGGCTGCATCAGCAGGGAGTAACGTACTGAAGCGCTTCCCAAAGCCAATCTGCTCCGATAGCTCGTCATCAAAGGGGTCATAGCCCCAAAAGTTAGGCAGAACATAGGGCACACCAGCCTTAGCAGCAGCCTTGACCAGCTTGCTGTGGGTGTCAGGGGCCACGAAGACGCTCAGGGTGATGACCAAGAACTGCTGTCCCTTGAGAGCTTCGACCAGAGACGCCTCGTCGTCGTAATTGACCTTGGCAGGGACGACGCCCGCGGGTAGTTGGCTGGTGCTGTCCGCCCTGGTGATGCCGGTCACGGTGTGCTTGCCTGTCTTGACGAGGGCTTCGGCAATCCATTTTCCGACTTGTCCGCCGGCCTAGTGAGACGATGCGTTAGACGATGGTGTGCATAGGGTCAAGCTGTTTTGGCGGCTGCTCAGCAGTTTGACTTACGCCGATGACGGCCACTTTCTCAATGCGATTCACGAACCCGGCGGGCTGATCTTTGGCGTACTTTGGAGCCATTTTTTGTAGCAGTGATTGTGGTCAAGACTTTTGTGTTGAAGGTTGCTGTGATTATGAGTTGCTATGATTTGAATGGTCCTGAATGGAATCACTACCTTGTTGAGCCTGCTAAAGCTATTTGGAAAGAGTTATCCTGTCTTTTATAATCACCTAACGTCTAAGAGTACCTATGTCCTCAGCCTGCGATACGAATCTGGGTTAGATTGAAGGTGAAGGGTACCCAACCTCATATACGAGTTGTGGTTAGTCTGACACGACTGGACATTGCTGGAGTTAGGGCGTTCTTCAATGGTGATGATGCACATACATGTGTAGCGTTGGGGTTTCGGATTCCGGAGGTAGCACTGGCTCAAATCGGAGTTCCATCTTCCTGCAGCCATGCTTGGTAATTAATGCACATCGATAGCAGAGTAAGCAGCATTAGTGTATTGCCGTCACGGCACGGACTTAAGACAAGTCGTTCCATTCCTTAACACCACGCCCGCACGGGATATAAATCTCACCGATGTGAGAAGGTTACGAGACCAATAGGATACGCATTGAAGTGATGATTGGGTCAATGTCTGACGTTGACTATGTTGCATGGTCTGCGCAGACTCGGATTGACATTGAGGAGCGTTCCTTGCATGTACAAGCTTGTTTACTCCGAAAGAGGAAAAGGAAGAAAAGAAAATGCTGCCCCTCAATTAATGCTGGAATATTTAAGTGTGTTGTTGGGCGTTTGAATTCCATAAAATGAAATGCCGTCTCGTTCTATGGGGCATTATCTCGGTGCATTATCCTCCTTACTATTCGCAACAGTCAATTTGCTCATCGTCGTGCACTTCGCTGCGGGCTGCAGTGTCTAATATCAAATCACCTATAAGTCATTCAATATCAGTGATAAATATATGCACGGGATTTCGGACTTTGAGCCCAGCAAAAGCAGAACGACCGAGGAAAAGGGAGAGCACAAATATAGTGACTAATACGGACTGAGTACAGGACTTTCAGATTGATAACGGTGGTTCACGGTGACTCACTTTTTGAAGACTGAAATGTGAATGGGTCATGAAATGCAACGCCATACTTGACTAGATTCCTGTTCTCCTGGCGGGACTGAGCCGATCATACAGAGTAGAGGGCATGAGGCCCTCGAAATGCCTGCAGGCCTCCCATTACTGTCGATCCTGGATGCCTGGTCTCGGTCCATCTTATCCAATGCGAGGTCAAGGTCGGCGCCACCGAGATATTCACGGTGTGGTTGGTGACGCGCCGGGGAACCGCGGATCATGTGCCGCGTCTTCGGAGCACCACTGGACGCGTGCATATTCAAGGACAAGACAACGACCACACTTGCTAGATGAGTCACAATTGCGTGTGCCATATTGCAAAAGCTCAAAGTGAGGCGAGCACTGCTCTCAGTGGTTCAATCGCGTGAACTAGCACGCACCTCCCATTGCCCTAGTCCCGCGTACCGCTGATGTTGGGCTGCAACCCCTGCTTCCATTGCATGTACCAGTGCGGGTGTGTATCTATCGACGTGTTATTCGGCTCTTCTCTACGTTGACATGTATTAGAGGATGACGTAGTATGTTGACTCAAAAAAGGGAAAAAAATAGTAATGTGCGCGTTTCATCCCAGTTATGAGTCGAAATGGCGACTTGCCAAAGAGACCCATCAAAAACCAGGTGGAAGCTGGTGGAAGAACATGGATGCCGTGTCGTCGGGGGTTGGTTGACCTGTAAAAAGCCGCGACGTTGCATATGCTCCAAAGCACCGCCCCCTCCCTTTCTGTGGCGACCCGGCGCTCTGGAACCTCTGTGCACATCGCTCAAGGGTCTTTCAGGCGGGTCACCTTGTACGGCATCACCGACCTTTCTGGACTTTTCATCCAGGCAGTGTTTTGGGCAGGTAGTGGATGGAATTGGTCAATTTCACTTCTTGACCCACCACTCCCCCTGTACGAGTTTGACTGTGATGAAGTTCACTGTCATCGCTGACTAAACCTGCCGCCACCTTATTAATTATTAGTTCCAGGGAACTATTAACATGGTCCGTCAAGCCTGATTGGTTCGATGCTTGGATTGCTGGAGATCTGGTGCAAATAGGAAAACTTCAGTATGTATCTGTATGGGCATGAATATGTACCTCTTTGAGTGCGCTTCTCCTTTTCTGGGACTCACTATATGTTATCAATATTGATATGATAATGCTATAAATCCACAAGAAGTTGAAAATGTTAAGGGGAAAGCTGGATAGTATCATGGAGCAGTGGATGAGTCCAAGACAAGAGTCATAAGGCATCCCCTTTGACATAAAAATCATCTCCTTTGAATAATACCTGGAGTGCATCAGCTTCAGGAAGGCCGGGGTACTACTCTAGATGTATCTCAAGAATGAAAATCAGTGAAACCAGCCACCATGTGATGCCCGGCCCAAAATGTTGCATTTACAGCCAGTATGATGAGTATCTCGTGAGCCCCTTCGCATGCCAAACAATCGTGTTGGACACATCTCGGTGTTAGTAATCCTCTGCGTAACCGTGTTTCCTCTCTCTCACTGCCATGTATACCGGCTATTATGCCATCTCCAGACGTCAGCCACATTAGCTTTGCTCGGACCACCCAACCCAAGTCGTCGACTCTTCATGTATAAGCATTGAGAGTCTAGAGTGGATCATTCTCTGTAGCCCACCATTATCATAGTAACATAGTACGCCTGCATGCAATTGCTGATTTGATGAGTGAGAACGTAGCCAAATCTGGCCTAGGCATCCGGTAAGTGATACATCATCTATGAGCTGACACTTACACTGAGCATTACCGAAGGCGAGCTCAAGGAGGAGCAGCGGGTGGTATCCCCATGTGGATAACTGCTTTGAAATCAGAATGTTCCAAGAACAGGTCCTACCCACAACCTGACCAGAATTGCGGGGGAGCCCGTGGACTTTGGAATCAACCTGCAAGCAGCTACAAATACAGAGTCAGCTAGTTTATTTCACAGGTCGAAGGTGAGCAGCGTCTAGTGAAACTACGACTGGAAGACGACAAAGGCGCTAGCTAGGAGAACATCTACAATTTAAGACCTAGCGACCAGTATTCTTACCTCCCTTGAGCCTCGTCTACACTCCCTGGGCAAACAGAGACCACTGTCACAAAAAGCCATCACGATGTCTAAGCCTGTAGCAATCATCTACGGCTCCGGCGCCAATGTCGGCGCAGCCATCACCGCAAAGTTCCTCTCCGCGGGCTACCGCGTCGCGACCGTCTCGCGCTCGCCTCTCCCGTCCGCACCCGCAGACGCCAACACCCACGTCCACATCCAGGCCGACCTGAAGGACCCGGCCGCCGTCTCGCGCATTTTCGCCGAGCTCTCCGCAGCGCAAGGATGGCCGTTCCCAGACGTGCTGATCTGGAACGCCTACAGCGTCACGCCGCCCTCTGCGGACGACCCCACGAATCCGTTCGCCGTGCCGGACGCGGGCTTTGATGCCGACCTGGACGTGATGATCAAGAGTCCGTACCTCGCCGCGCGGGAGGCCGTCAGGGTGTGGACCGCAGAGGGGCGGAAGGGCACGTTCATCATGACGGGCAATATGTTGCCCAAGGGGGTGCTTCCGCAGAGCATGCTCCCTGTGCCAGTCGCCGGTGTGACGACTTTAGGAATCGGAAAGAGTGGTGCGAACTTCTGGGTGGGCACGGCGGATGAGGTGTTCAAGGAAAAAGGCTTCCGGTGAGTTGATTTATGTCCCTGCGCTGGGGTTTCCTTGTGGGCGCGAACCTTGGCTGACTAGAACCCGTTTACCTTGTGGTTATGCAGATTCTTTTTCGCGGACGAGCGCAATGCGGAGGGCGAGGCGATCGGCGTTGTCCCCAAGGGCGACTCGCATGCCGAGATGTTTCTGCACCTGGCCCAAGGGCCTCCTGACGTGCCATCATATGTCACATTTGTGGACGGTCGATATGTTAGCTTTGAGAAGAAGTAGATTAGATGAAGTCTCAGACAAAGCACATGGACGCACAGACCTGTGATGGACTATTGGTTATTATTTCGACGTTTCTTGTTCTCCGAAATGTGGCGATCAGTAAATAAAGCGTTAGCCGTTTGCTTCTTGCTGGCGACAGTACATGGCTCGCAATATCGACGGAGCGACTTGAATGAAAGGTGTCGTAAAAATTGACCAGCAGGAGACAATAAGAGGAGGGTCATGCGGAATGGGACGGCAAGTTGACAGCAAGCAACAATCGACCTATCCTTAACGCACGGTCAGGCCAGATCAAGTCTCGGCCCATCGTCAGTCTCGCTTCGTATGATGGTCCGGACATGCCACCAAAGAATGCATTGCCGAAAGTTTCAGACGACCCAAGGGAGATGCAACTGGGTGACTCCTGTCCGCCTACCATAGCAGTAAGAAGGGTTGAATTTTTGTTCTTTCAATTTTTTTTTTTTTTTTTTTCTTTTGAAGAAAAACCCAAAACCCCAAAAACCACCCCTACGACGTGTCTTTGCAGCTGAGACGCTGCGCAAACCTTGCATTCGAGAATCGGGAAATGAGTATGCGGGGCGCACAGGCCTGGCTGCATGTGCATGTGCATGCAGCACGGCAGAGATAAGATCATAATTCTGCGGTTGCGCTTGGGTAGAACTCGAGGGGTCTTGATCCATGAGTCGCCGGACATCGCACATGCATGGAGCGGGTGGGTGTACGACATTGGGCCTCGATGGTCTCGTTGAGAGACTGTCGGTGAACGTCATCGAGATGGAGGCATGCTGTTGAGCAACGAAACCCGGACGACGTGACCTTGAGCCCTCTCTTCCATCCTCTTAGAAGCTCTGCTGCATGCAGGCCCAATGTAAAGATTGACGTCCATTGTTCCTAGTGTGGCTTGATGACACCCCGCAGTGGTTGAAGGCGGCAAAGAAGGCAGTTGGGACAGCCGCGCAACGCGATAGAAATCGCTGGGTAAGGTGAACCTTGACTAGACCCGAAGTGATGGGCCCTAAGATCCAACGTACAATTGTACACAGAGTTTGGGGCGGTGCGTGGGATGATGAACTTGGCCGCATGGCGGGGCATATTTTGTTGGCCTTCGTTGACCCGACCTGCGACTGCAACCTCTGCAGCCCTGCACCATCAAGATAGGCGCCCGCAGGCTGCAGAGTCCAAGCTCCTCCGATGAAGTCATTGGAAGGTCCCGCACAAGATTTACTCGATCGCCGCTTTCGAGTTCTTTCTCACACTACCGTACTTGCGGTGTGCTTGCGCCAGGCGCTCTCGCAGATTGGGCTCCAATGCACATCTAACAAGAGGCTGTACAATAACGATATTTTACACACACACAATGATGATGACACCGTCAAAAAAATTTTTCAGTGTGACTCATTGATGTCTCGCCGCAGCCTCTTTGGTGTTTGTTTGACTCTCTTGTCACATCATGCAGGCTATGACCGAGCGAGAAAGAAAACAAATCTTCTGGGAGAGGGATCGGCCAGAGCTAGAGGTCAACATACCGCCAGGTCCCACCAGCCAGGAAGAGCCTTCTTCGTCTGGTCTTCTAGAAGCTCAAAGAGGGGGAGGGGTAAATTCGAGAGACAAAGATGCAGAATTGACAGACGAACGTGGGGCTGGAGATGGCAGATGGAGCAAAATTGAGTGGACACCATTGCGGCATGCGAGAGGGTGGATCACCATTAGTCTGCAGGTTTTGAAGCAAGGCTTAAGCAGCACTTCGCCTTGTTTTGATGAGCAATGATGCAGTGACCACGGTCTGGACCGCGACTTATCGACACGGCGGTGTGTGCAGTAGAGACTTTCACGATTGCCAGATGCCCTGGCATTGTTTGTCGTGGCTCTCGCTTGCTAGCACATGAAAGAGGCCTTCGAGAGGGCTGTTCTGGACGGTGCCACTGATACTGTACGGAGCTCGTGGAGCAATTCGGCCGATGAACGTAAGACTTGGCCCTCTGGGGCCACATTTTCGACACGAGGGAACAACTGTCGTTGTTGATTGGACTCTATGTATGTGTTGACACATGACAGTAGGCGCTGGACATGGCCAGTCCTCGAGTGTCTCGCAACATCGGGCGGGTCTCAGGGTGGTATCCCGGATTTAGATGGCAGCAACGAGCTGAACCCCCGGGTGGGTCTCTCGGCCGATAGGACTTTGATGAGGCCGGAAGATGGATTCTCGCCCACGTGAAGTCCGACACAGGCCCCCGGGCTATGAAGTGTAGTAGTAGAATGAGTCAGTCGGTTGCTAGACAGGCATCACCTGCCCAGCGCACCGCTATTGAGAAGGGCTCTTGCACCACGAATATGGGGCGTCGAGACGTGGAACCAGCTTGCAGGCCTCCACGCAGACGTCCACGCATGCGTGAACGATAGCCAAGCATGAGTCTGGCACCGGTGGCGGGTGGCCTGAAGGTAACTCAGGGTGATACATGACTCTGGTAAAGCTGAACCCTGATACATGCAAGCTGGAGTCCAGTATAACGCTTGCTCGGACCTCTCCAGCTGAGCCAGCATGTCCCCGATATGGCCACGCAGAGGCGGAGTGAATCAGGTTCGCCACTGGCTCAGGGGCGCCGCTATTTCGCATATTGGTTAGCATATACTTGCTAAGTTAGACTCAGTTCATCGCCATGTGAATTTGTAGCCAGGGGTTTGTGTACGCAGAGATGTTCTGTTCGGCTTCTCATGTACGCGACACCATAGCTGCATTGCTAGGAGGGAAAAAAATAAAGTGCAATTTTCTCTCCTCCCTCTTTGTCTTTTCCTCAGAAATTGAAATTTGTTGGGGCTCATTGTAGAGGTACCTAAAAGCGCTGGACAGTCCTGGTAGAGTCTTTTCAGGGCCCGGGAGAGCTCCAGCGTTTTCATGCAGGTCATCTCGCAGTTCCTTAGCTGCTAGTTGTGGGCTGCACTGTCACGGTAGGGGCCTCCTGGGGCGGCGTCTGTACCGCTTATCGTACTGTATAATAGCAGACGACATCCACATGTAGTGGCGCGCTTCTGTGTGACGATGACAAAATGGCCATACCAAAGTTGGGACGATGCCCTGCTGATCATCCCCTCGCCGCCGGAGGTCAAAGGATAGACAGATCGGCCGTTTGCTTGCTGCTATGTCTTACACTTCAGATCGGCAGGGGTAGGCTGGTGCCCCTTTTGAGAGGAACTTTGTTTTTCAACTGTCCAGCGTTTAGTGGCTATAGCGGCCCAGCCTGCCAGCCAACCAGCTAACCTCTGGCGTCGATCGATTGAGCGTGCACCGCGTAGTGAGCCAGGCTGAAGATGATGACGATGGCCGATGGCAATATGGCTATCGATGAGTTCTTTTGGTCGAGGCCCCCTTTATCGTCAGTCGTGACTTTCTTCCTCGCCCAATCCAGATCAGATGTGTTGTATCTGGCCACGTATGCAGCCTTCAGCCTGGTTTATGTGTGTGGTGCATCGACGTGTTGAGGGCATGTGATGATGATTCTCTGACGCCAACAGGCTTAGCACGTCAACTTGTCCCTTGGGTCGCGGATCTGACAATCTTGCAGGATGTGCAAAAAACGTGCAGATGTGTGGTTGGGATTCACTGTGGTTGGGTCGTGCTACTCACACGTTTTTGTCTTTCCTCTTTCGAGCATTGGCTAAAGAGGGATGCAAAGGTGGGGTGGGCGGCCGTGGTGAGGGAGGGCGTAAGAGGCAGGAGATTGGCAAAGACCACATCACCTGGCACACCTTCGGTCGGCAACGGTGTTCACATTTTTATCATTCCTTAGGCACCTGAGGCAAGCGATATCGAGTAATAGAAATGGAAAAGAGGGGGTAATGAGGGGTGGACGACTTGCTCCTTCCTCTGCAACAAAGGGCACCAGGCACAAGGGCACAGGGCACAGTGCACAGGGCCTCTACCACCTGCCATTATCCACAGTGTGACTCCCTCCCGTGAAAACGGGCTGGTGAACTCCTGCCGATTCTTTCCTTCTCCCATCACAACGCGCATCTCTTCTGTCCCCTTTCTCCTTCTTCGTCATCCTCACATTTATTCACTGGGGAATATCATCTCGATCTCGCTCTCTTGTTCTCTCTCCTAACATCGCCACCATCAATCCCTGGCTGTCGCTGGGACGCGTATTCAAGAGGCTACCTAAGTACATATCAAAATCACTCCCTTCAAGAGTCACGACCCGCCTTGCAATCTTGCACGTGTCTGTCCTTCTTTGTCGCCTCGTTTGCCTGAACCATCTCTCGCCCCCCATCTGTTCAATAGTCATCCACAAACAGCTGTGTATTTATCTATATATCGGCGGCCAGACTCCTACTCGTTATCGTTATCTGCACAGTCCTGCTGGCTGCGTATCGACGACGACGACGACGACGACATCAACGACGACAACAACACAACAGCAAGTCTCTCCCTCGGCTGCTGTCCATAAAAGCTGAGCTGCCAAGCCTTGGCCAGAGCTCACAGGCCCAGCGTGGTCCAGCCATTCATTGCAGGTCGCCTGCTGCTCGTGCATGTGACCTGCGACTACCCACAGCCCCGTGGCACACGGCCTCTCTACCTGGCGGACCCGTACAGTACTCGGTGCAGTCAACATATTGCGATACGGAGGAGGCGCACCAGTGTTCCTCGGCTTGTTGCAGGTCGCGAGGTTGCACCCAGGCGCGGATGCTTATCTCGCGGCAGAAGGCATCAACACCGGCCACCCAAACGGGCCTTCTTCTTCACCCAAAAGCAAGCCGTCTGCGTCATCCTGCGACTGCAACCTGGACGCTGCCAGCTACCTGAGGTGTCTCATAGTCTTGTCTGCCTGGCCCTCGAGAGAGTGGCAATAGAGACAAAATCTCCCTGCCTGTCCGACAACCTCTTATATTCCTTCCCTTCTGACCGACACTGTCGTTCACCGACCAATATCACGTTCGACAGGGGTGCCGTTGACCGATTCTCCCGGCCCAGGCCTTCCGGAGACTCTATCGACTCTGTTGTGGAGACGCAGTTAGCTTGGGTACGGCCCCTCTATCCACCAGTCCCCGAGTCCCGCGAAGGAGGCAATGCCCTGCTATGAGTCGATAACTCAAACGCACTGACGCCACGAGCATGGGCTTCTGATATCGAAATTGGATTTGCAGTCCGGGGAAGAACGACAAGGAAGACGAAAATTTTTTCTCTGTGTCTCTTCCATTGTTTTCCACACAAACCCAGTCGTCGCGTGTTGAGAAGCCGGCCCCCAGTCGTTGTGTTCAAAGCAATCTCGCTTACCTGGTCCCCTGAGTCGGACGATGTTCATGCAACGGCTTAACCCAGCCCACACCAACCTACGATTTTTTTTTTCTTTCTTTTTCTTTTCTAGAACGAGGGTAGATCTACCGAGAGCTTGCGATACAGTCTGTCCTCTCTTTTGCGGGATCAGAAGAAGCCAGAATCCAAGGTCTCACGGCGAGCGCTGCAGCTAAGCATCTGGGTGTGTTGCGCAGCCTCTTTCTGTTTCTATTTTCAGGAGCCGACTCACCTCACTGCATACTGCTTTCCTGCAGCTCAGCCTGAGCTGCCACCACCACCACCACCGTGGCACTGCGGTCATCGATTGGAGTATTCCCGATTCGGCCCCGGACAAACCGGAGGGTCAGAGACAGCAGAGTCGCCGACGGTGTGAGAACAGCCGTGGCTCGTTGTTCGCACTTTGGATCACTGGTCTGTGCCTGTACCCAACAGTGTGGTACGAGAGGCAGCGGGCGGGTGGCGCACTCTGCATCCAGTCCTGGTACCCAAGTACCCAAGTCTCTTCTAGAGACACCCCCCCCACCATCACCTCCACTACCACTGCTCCCACGAGGCCCCGGAACCCAATTTGCACTCATCACTATTTATCCCCTGCTTAGCGCGGACAATTGAATCCGTGCGATCCTTTTCTCTGCTGGGGGTCACATCAGAACCAACCCCCCCCACCCCCCTGGCTCGGTCTGGAAAACCAAGGAATTACTATTCATAAGGCCTTGACGCACACCTTTTCTCTCCAACCACTGCTTTTCGCGTTTCTGCTTCTGTTGCGACAAGGCAATACAGCCCACTTACTCGGATATAATTCTTCTTCTGCGTCAACGTCCACACTACTACGACGTCCGGCACTGCTCTTGAACACGCACCATTTTTGAGAGACTGGAATCATTCGATTGCCCCAGTCTCTTCCAGAAGCTACCATCAGAGGCGTCCCGCGTTCTTTGATGTTCTTTCAACCCCCTCGACCCATCTCAACACCAACAAGACCTTGACATGTGTGCTGCCAGAAGACGGTTTTCCCCCCCATTTCCTACCGACTACATAGAAAGGTGACGGTGTCACTTCTCTTCTGCGTCCCGTCATAGGCGCCTTGTATCTTCTTTTTCTCTTTTCTTCTTCCCAGGTCAATCAACAAACCTGAGTCTTCACAATCGGACACGCAGGCAATCTTAAGGCGCGTGTACCTGGCGAGGCTGAGCTGGCCCGGATTGCATTGCATCGCATGTTAGCAAGGCATCGCAAGAGCCAGGAACAATGAACGGACAATCTCCTTACGGGTCGACTCCCGGTGCGGAGTATTACTACGAAAAGGACCAGTTCGCGACGCCAACGCCTTCACCTCGGGGCCCGGTCTATTACTATGCGTCCACACCGCAACGGCCTCAGACCCGAGCACACTTCCGGCACGTCAGCTGCGGCGTGAACGACTATCCCAGCCCGCGGCCAGCCGCCTTCTCCCCGCGGTACAACAGCGAGGGCCACTACTCGACCAACGCTGCCACGGCCAATGTGAGTGCCACGCGATCATCGCGAAAGAAATCATTTTCTGGGTCACGCCCAACCCGCGACCGTCGGGGTTCCTATTCCTCCTACTCGAGGCCCTCAGATCCATATGGGGAGTCCGACGAGGACGAGTACGTCGAGGTCAACGGTATCACTTATGTGATACCAGCCAAGTCGAAGTCGAAGCGGCACAGCAGCGGCAGAAGCAACAGGAGGGGCGAGGAAGGCTTTTATTACGTGTATGAGAACGATCGTGGGCGTGGAACTGATCACCGCTACTATGCACAGACCTCACCCCCCCGTTATGATGATTTTGACAGACGCGAGACGCGATACTACGAGGAGCCGCGTCGCCCTGCCGCCCACGCCCGCCGTGCTTCTCAGTCCATGCCGCAGCGGCCTCAGACCGCTCGGCCTTCTGGCCCCCACCAACACAAGGCCCCGCCTGCCACCAGGAAGGCCACGGAGGCCGACGCCACGAACTGGGGAATTCCCAAGGGCTACTCGCTGAAGAACTGGGACCCGACAGAGGAGCCCATCCTCCTGCTCGGCTCTGTTTTTGATGCAAACAGCCTGGGCAAGTGGGTGTACGACTGGACTGTGTACTCGCGCGGCTCGTCGACCCCCATCTCTGAGGTGGCCGGAGAGCTCTGGCTCCTCCTCATCCAGCTCGCCGGCAAGATCAAGCGCGCCACCGAGGCTGTCCCCCGCATCCGGACCCAGGACAACAAGGAAATGTTCGAGGGCTTCATCTCGTCCGGCCAGCGCCTTACAGACAAGCTCCAGAAGCTGCTCAAGCTGTGCGAGAAGCCCATGCTCACAGCCGGTAGCAAGAAGGACGCCCAGCTTGGTCAGCGGTCCGGCATCGAGTTTGTGCAGACCCTCTTCGGCAGGGACCGCGAGCTTAACAAGACGGAAAAGTTCATGCAGTCGGTCCGGCTCTGGAACCTGCGCTTCGATGCCAACTGTGAGGACGTCCTCAGACATCCCGAGCAGTAAATCAACACATCACCTCAAATAGCCATCATCATCATCATCATCATCATCATCATCATCACAACCAAACTGCAAGACAGACAAGAACACATAAAAACACAACAAAAAAAAAAAAAAGGAAGAGAGAAATATCAAGACAAACGGAAGGGGGAAAAACCAATGTCGGAGCGGCGCTGTACGATACCATCTCTTTCTTTGATCAACGGGGTTTTCCTTTGGGTCACGGGTTTCCCTCTTGGTCATACAACAATACCCAGAGACTCACGTCTCGCGGTGGCTGTCATCTTTCTGGTCTCTTTTCTATTTTACAATGATACCCAGGGATCTTTTTTTTCCTTCAATATCCTCCCTCCCCCTCCAAACGTCGCATGTATCAACACGCTTCACGCGACCAACAAACACACGACCAGAAGCAGGCGACAGCAACCGTCCCTTTTCAACGGACGAGCACAGAGTTGAATATTATTATTTTGTCAGGAATATAAAAAGTTTTTGATTTGGGTATGACTCGGCAATGGAATGTACAGGATACAGAATTTTTCCACCTATTGTTTGCTTATCTAAAGCGGGAGGCCGCGGTATGATGGTACAACAAGCCTGGATGTCAAGAATGTAATGGAATGTATAGCGGTTAAATAATGCTTTTTTATTATGGGAAATCAATCAACAAAATACCAGGCGTTCATTTACTTGGTCTCGTGTTCCGTTCTGCACTCGAATCATTCAAAGCCCCTCGCTCTAGCTATCTCGGTGGGCTGTGCATTGACAGGGACAAAAAGATGATGCCTCTCCTAAAGTGTCTGTCTGGGCCTATACCAGAAGAATAGCAATCACGAGTACACAATTTCTAGGTATTCATTTCGATTCGAGATTGTTGGGTAACCCTAGCACACACGAGTTTCTGTTCCACTTGTTACTTGCCGTATCTCCGTTCTCGTGCAACCCAAGGTTTTGGGACATTGATGAATGACGGACGCAGTGACTGACCACGCCGGGCACAGGAAGACGAGACAAGCGGTAATGGGAACGATTCGTGCTGTGAGGCTGTGTAAGATAAGGGTCCAGGCCTGGATAGATGGGTCTGGTGACTCTTTGACTGTTTGACTGTCTCATCATTGCACTGCAGCCCAACATGATGAATCAATCCCGTTGGGCATGAAACCATCCGACACTTCATATCTTCGATTACTATAAATTTTGCACCACCACCAGTAGTAAGCAACGCACAATTTAAATAAACTAAAAACAAAAAGCAAAATTCAAAGACAAAATACCACACAAACAAAAATTTCTTCAGTCCCTGTCATGGCGTCTCGGGGTATGGGGAGGGGGGTGTTTCAATCATTATGGTAGGAGGGGGGGGGGGTAAAACCCTCTCACTTGTAAGATTCCGTGTTGCATTTCAATTTCCCAGAGTTCGTGTTCTTTCTTGGACACCAACGGGAAGTAATGAAAGGAGGGGAAGAAGAGAAGGGATCAAGGGGTTTTGCGGCCCGGAGGATGGAAAGAAGGCCGGGGGGGGGGGGGGGGCGTGTGTTCGTTGAAGGATTTAGTATGTGAATGATGATGATGTACCGTTGGCAGCATTTAGGATGCTGTCTAGTACTATGGTACTGCCGTTACTTATCTGGCAGGTTCGGGGATGTGTGCTGGGGTGGCCGGGATTGGGAAATTGAAATGTCAGATTTTTTTTCCTTCTTCTATTCAGGTGTGTGATGTAATTTTTCTGTTTTTATTTTTATTTTTATTTTTCTTGGTAGTAAAAGGAGGAAAAAGAACACCATGGTTGGCTCATGGAGGTAGAAAGGGGGATCGAGATGTTATTGGACTTCAATGTTGGATCATAGTACGTACTTTTTGAGGTTGGGCGCCACGCGGTTCAGGTCCTGCCCCTGAGGCTAGAGAAGAAAGAAAGCTACGTCTAAGGAAAAAGGAAAAAGAAAAGAATGGCAGAGTTAGCGAGCTGAACCATGCATAACCCTGCCATCTTCCCTCTTCCCCGGCGTTCATGTGTATCACCCATCATCGATAGACCCGGGAGAATGAGAGACATTGACCCACACGGCCCGCAGACCGTAATGCACGCTTTTCCCAGGGGTACTATGCAGTTCTGGCATGTCGATCAGGGCCTGGTTCTTAGTGGGTCGACCCCCTGTGCCTCCTCTGGGCAGCACAGTACACGCCCCCAAGCAGGCCCACCCCACCCAACCTGAATACACATGCTATCGCTACAGTATGCTATATACCCTGCCCTGGCCTGGGCCCCGTCTGCTGTGGGTGGTCGTCAGTGTCTGTATACGAGATGTCAGATAGGTTACAACCAATCAATATATTGACTTTTAATGATTGATTGAATCTTCTTTGCAATGTCTTACTATAGAGTCTCGTGTTATTTGCTGCCTGACTGACCATGTCGGGGTCTGGATGCTGGAGGCCTGCTCTCCTCACTCGCCTTCTGCAATAGTTGGAATATAGTCGTACGAGGCCGGCAGGGCCTTGCATATTGCTCAGCACGCGCACTAGTATGCATTATAGTGGACATCATGGCAGGATACGGTAACCTGTCAAGCTCGTCATCTTCATCATCACCATCATCATCATCCCAGAACTCATGAATCGTTCCGACTGATTGCTACTCCCACGAGAATACAAGACAGTCTCGTCTCGGGATCTCAACAGTTGTGCCAAACTTTCTCTGGTGCTCCAGCCATGTAACAGCAGTCTCGGGAGAAAAAGCCCAGTGGCTGAATACGAAATGACTACCAAAGTCAATAGTCGTGGGTTCATTTTTATTCGATGAAAAGCGAGAAGGACCGGCTCAACTATCTAGATGCTCCTGTAAGAATGAATAGAACAATAATCTAAACCAGCAATACACTGAAATCATATGCACCCTCGCTATGCACCTCGTTGATCCACAGTCTGTGCCTCTGAGTGAGAACCATCTTAAGAGGGACGAGGGGTGGTAGGTGGGTGGTAAATTGTGTGGGCTGGTCAAGCCTGCAATTTAACGACACAGAAGCATGCAGACACAAAGTGCATGCGATCTAGAGTATCTCCTCACATGGAGTGACTGTACTTATTGTAAGTATTCACTGATTCACTGTACAGATCACGAACCTGATTACTGTCATGTGCGCACCGGATGAGTGCTGTCCCTTTTTTACTTTTTTTTTTGTCCCTCTTCCCACGTGGACAAATGAGTGAGATTGGTTATTGTTTGCCAGGGTGGTTCGCAATAGAATTGCGTGTTATATGGGTCGATCCCCCCTGGCGATGACATAGCATGACCAGAAATCCGAAACGAGATCCCCTCCCCCCACGACCGTCCATCTCAAGGGTCCTGGGAGGGGGGTTTCGTCACCCAAACAAGGTCTCTGAATGTGAATTCGACGTCATCGCATGAACATCACATACAATGCTGTACCACACAATAGAGTTTGTAGGCCACGTTATGTACACTATGCTGCCGACATACTGGTTGCCCTGTGCCCATGGACAACTGTTCAACTGTTGTTCTTGTGACCATATCTTTCCAATATGGAATGATATGACACTCACTTGAACTGCAACACCAAGAGGGCAATTGACTAAACAGGACAGAGACCTACAATCAAGCATCAACCTCCACCTCTACCTCCACCACCAACATGGCCTCACGATCCGGCGTCGCAGGCCTAAAGTGCCTCCAGTGGCTCTTCCGTGGCCTCCAGCTGGCGTGCGCCGCCGTGATCCTCGGCATCTACTCGTACTTCCTCGCCACCATGCTCGACCACGAACTCACGCTGCCCACGAGCGTCAAGGCCATCGAGGGCATCTCGGCCGCCGCGACCCTCTACGCCGTGGCCGGCGTGCTCCTGGTCTGGTGCTGCGCAGGCCACGCCGCGACCTCGTTCATCGCCATGCTCATCGACCTCGGCCTCACAGCCGCCTACATCTACGTCGCCGTGGCCAACCGCGCCGGCGCCAGCTCCTGCAGCGGCTCCTCGGGCGTCGACAGCCCCTACGGCTCCGGCTCCGCATCTGCCACGCCCTCGTCGTCCGCAGGGAGCGCCGTCGTGCGCCTGCCCACGTACGGCGTCGCGTGCCGCATGGAGACGGCCTGTCTGGCTGCTGCGTGCGCCGCGGCCGTCTCGCTCCCGCTGTCCATCCTGCTCGAGTTCGGCATGAACCGCGGCCGGCGCCGGGCGTCCAGGCCCCTCCGTGATGCAGACGGCCGGTACGCCGCCGCGCCCAAGTACTACGAAGAAGGCTTCGCGCCTGCACAGCGCCGCGACGCGCCGCCACCGGGAGGGTTCTTTAGTGCGTTCCGGCGGCGAGGAGGCGAGAACCACTGGGGCGGCGCGCCGGCGAACCCGGATCTGTTGCCGGCGCATCAGCAGCCGGCGGACTACACCACGCGGCGGGAGCCCTTGGAGCAGCAGTGGGGCGAGGTGCGGTCGCTGCACGACAGTGATATTCTTGAGTTTAATGATGGGCAGGCGCGGGGACAGCAGGAGGAGGAGAACGGCGTTCCTGTGAGGTTCACGTCTACGACGGCGCCTCGGCCCGCGGCGGACGAGTATGCGGAGGGGGACGCGCATCTGGATGGGGAGGAGTATAATCTGTATCGGGAGGACAGCCGCGGGAATGACCTGAGCGAGACGGGGAAGCGCAAGAAGCAGCGTGAGAGCAGGGCTGCGCGCATCGAGAGGCTGGAGGCGGCGTATAATTAGGGGGTTCATGGTGGTGGTGGTGGTGGTATTGGTGGTGGTGGTGGAGGAGATTTGACACGCACCGGTTTGTTACGATGGATGATGTGTTATGTAACCTTTTTTTTCTCTTTCTTGTGTGTTTGGATACCCAGTTCTTTTCTCTGTTGTCTACTATCAAATGACTTGCAACGCTCAAGATGAATTACTTTTACTGGAAACGAGGTCCTTCAATGCAAATATCCTGGGTAAAACATGACAAGCTATTCTGGATCGTCCCACTAGAACGGGTAATTAAGTCGCGGCCGTAGTTCTCAAACCAAACAAAGACAACGCAGTATCTCAGCACTTCTTACTCCGACCTCATTTATCAACTAATACGACTATTATTCGTTCTTCACGCAGCACCTGAAATTCTTGTACAACACAGTGCGCAATACTCACAGCAGGCTGGACGATGCAGTGAAGAGAGCCCTGGCCTGGAGGAGAACGAGCACGCAGTTGTACTTGCACAAAAGCGAGATGGAGGGGGAGTGGACGCAACGAGTTGCCGCCTGCCTGCACTGAAACCCGCTTTCTTCCCTCCGCTGTGCCGTTGTCCCTTTCCGAGAAATCACATTCAGCCCCGGGCCAGTTGGCCAGCCAGTCAGGAGGATGAAAGCAAAGATTCTTTGTAACCCGGCGTGAGCAGGTCCGTCGCCGCCGCCAAAAGTATTGGTGATGATCACACCCCCTAATTTTGTTTGGCGGCGCACTGGTCCCAGTTCTTTTCTGCTTCGGGAGATATGAATGATGATACTTGGTCTAGTTGGTGCATAGTACAAAAGAAGAAGAAAAAAGGACTCAAGCTGCAAATCGTAGTGATTCGTCAATCTTCTTTTCCTTTCCTGGTGGATTTACATTTTTCTAGCACAAGAGACGGCAAGCCGCAGCTCCGAGCTGAAAAAAAGCCAGCCTCGTTGGGTGCCAATTTGTCCCGTGAATCCGTCGCAAAAGAAACACCCCTCATTATTCCAGATGTAGCCTCTCCCGGGTGACTGCATTTCCGCGCCCAAAGAGGCGTAGTGAGAAGCCATCACCTGAACAAAAAATCCTGGTTCCACTCGCTTCCCTCAGACTTGGACCCCCGCGCCGTGCCGTGTGAGATTGTGAGAGTGTTGTATGTATGTGCGTCTCATCCTTCTCTTCATCTACCTCATCCTTCCAACGGTCAAACGTCCAACGATGCGCTCAACACAAGGGCACAAACGAATAGGCCATCACACACCCATCCCCCTCCCCTCCCTGCTCCTGATGGGGGCCGGCTTCCCGCTCGACCCAACTTTAATTCAGCGGCCGCAGCAGAAAGGGCCGGAGCCTGTACACATGTGCATGCACGCCGTCAGCATTCCAGAAGGCTAAGTACATACATATATTACCCAGGATGCATGCTATAAGAAGGAAGAGATGCAGTCATCATCATCATCATCATCATCATGATTGCCTTTCAGCCCTCTGCAGGATCCAGGAAAGGGAGTGGGGCCAGGATCTTTCCCCCCCCCCCCCCCTTTTTTTTTTTTTTTTTTTTTTTGGGTTTCTGGTGCGCCTCCGTTCCCTTGAGACATGCGTTAGGTCTATCCGGTTAGTAACCTGCGAGGCATCTTAGCTTCTCTCCCTCTCTCTCCCTCTCACGTCACGCACGTGTAGGAGGCTCTCTAGGCCGTGAGAATGGGCCGCGCGACGGACGGATCTGCGCGTTGACGTGCCTGGCGTGCTTCTTGGACCCGCTTGCAGGGCTGAACTTGCTGTTGCCCCTCTGCTGTCTGTCTTTTGAGTTGTTCATCCTTGCTATCTACTGTATAACATCGGATCGGACTGCCAACACTGTGATTCACATGAGACAGAAGTGTAGAATAGCATCCCCCGAGTGCTGAGAGAGGGCAATCAAGAAGAGAGGGTGGGAATGGGGGAGGAGGTTGAGACGGTAAAACAAGCCACTTCTGCCGGAACCCAAGCACATCCTTAAGCAGCCAGGCGCAGGATCGATATGATACACGCACTCCCTGCCCAGGCCTCGCAGGTACATCTAGGCTGCCAGGAATGTAGGAGGAAGGGCGTAGATCGCAGTTCTCTGTGTGCATGTTCTTTGGGGTGGGTGGGTGGGTGGATGGATGGCTAGTCGGAGGTGTGCGTGTGTGTGCGTGTGTGTGCGTGTGTGCGCGCAGTGCAGTTCAGGTCAGATGCCCACTCTGGTGCGACAGAGCCTCGAGAGAAAGTGCTGTTTCTACAGAGTCTGGGGGCCGCCAGTGGATGCAGGAAGATGAGATAAGGAATCACAGGCAGGGCTGCAGGTGGCTCTGCTTCCCCCACTCTCCCTCGCCCCGTCGGTATCAAGAGCCTCATCCATCTTGTTATCAGAGCCTTACAAGGCGCATTGTGCTTCACAATTTACTATGCCTAATGTGCTGACTGTCTCGTGCATGATCGTGCAGCATACTACAGCGTCCAGTCGGGTACAGCCTTTCTGAACTCACCTGCTGCCCTGTTCACCTCACCGGTCGGATGTGGTGACACAGCAGACGCTTCTCAACACGGCTTGCGGGGTGCTGATCTATTAGGCTCTGTACGGTGCGATGTGATGGATAAGTCGTGTGATTATCAACAATGACTAGATAAATAGGCTGGCTGGCGCGTAGATTCTTGGACCACATTCTTGTACTGAGTCCAAATGAATCCTAGATAGGGCCAATCCGCAACAAAGACCATTCTGATCATCGGTATGATCACCACCACCACCAACACCACTACTATCCGCCCACAGCCCCAACAGGAGGGTATCAACAGGATCAAAGTGTGAAGCCCACGAGGAGGAGGCAAGATTCTCAGCCGCAGCTTGCTGGAGGAAGAGGAGCACGAGGGTAGCACTGGTGCCACATATCAGGTTCGGCTTATGTTTTTTGATCTTTTTTTTTTATAGATATATCCTGAGTCGGTCATGGCACAGGTCTTCTGGTGTGGGAGTTGGCAGTGGGGTGGGTGGGTGGACGGTAGCATTTGAGTGGCACTCTTACTAGTGCTGCAGGTGGCATGGGCCATGTCGGGTTAGGGGGGATGGCAGCTATCACGCAGGTGTGGTTCCAGGCGCTTACAGTGGGTGCTCACTGGCTAGAGGGCCCAATCAGTGGCTGACCTGCCCGCTGCGGGGTTCCAACATGCTGTTCCCTTCAAGCCCCGCTGTGCCCGGGTGCCTGGCGTGCTGGCCTGCGGGGGTCAAGGCCTATCCCGTGCCGCTATCCCGGCCGATTTCCCGACCAGGGATCTCGCCCAGCAGTATCAACAGCTATCATGTGCTGCAACCTGTGCATTTCAACCATAATCCATTGTACAGATCTCTATACCTTTGCACATTATTCTTGCGTGCTTTCTGCGTTGATAGACTCACACCTACCCAAAAGTAGACAAGATGAAAAAGGAGGAAAGAAAGAAGAGAAAACCCAAACATCGCCGACCTTGCAATCCCGTCAAACTCGCCCGAGAGGTGACTCAGAGTGGTCTCATCATTTAGCGATCCGAACCCTGATCACGAGGCGGGGGGCTGGCTGAAGGCTGCCACCACAACAAAGACGGGCCGACAGCTGTGAAGCAAAGGACACCAATAGCAGCCTGCGATCACTTCCTTTCCTTTTTCTCGAAGCTGGGAATTGCTGCTGACGGAGGGTTCATCCACACATGTGCTGACATTTCTTTTTGGTCTTCCCACACGCCAACCCCCCTACTCGGACAAACGATGCTGTGCCGCCCGAGTGCGCTGCTCGGTTTCCCGGACTGTGAGGTCAGCAGGTTGTGCGTGTGAGGCGGGGTGTCCTAGGGCAGGTTACACGCCGAGTCCTATCTTTGGCTCTTCGGTCTTCCCCCGCTTCCGGGGTTGTGGGATGGACAGCCAATAAGAAAAGGGGCCCAGACAGGCAAGACAACCCATCTGGATGGGGGAGAAGAGGGTGTACTGCTTGCTTACCTACGTAGGCACGCAACCACTGCAGGATTGCAAGAAGCTAGCTAAGGTTTTTTTTTTTTTTTGATCGAGACACGCCCCCTCTTGCCCTGTACTTCACTTACTCCATGGGTACATGCATTGCAGAAATGCTTACCATAGTATAGTCCTACTAGTACTGTTTCTATTACTGTATAGCAGCAGCACCGTAGTCATTACTTACACAACTTGCTCTGTCCTGCCATGCCGTGCCACACTTGCATGTGTACTATGGATTGTAAATGCTCGACTCCGTTCCAGATTGGGACGAGACAATATAGCCTGTCTCCGGAATCAAAATTGCCATGACGAGAAAGGGAGATGGATCGCTTTGCTGATCGAGTTGGGGGATGGTCTTGACGTGATTATCCAAAGAAAAAGAGGAAGAACAATCCACCCTGAAGACTGTGAATCTATGTCTTCATTATCTGGCTAAAGCTTGTTGTTGTTTAGTCTCCTCCGGGAACGGTCCTGACGGAGGTCGCCGGCCCAACGGCTGGCCCCGGCCCCGCGACCGGCCTGGTATCTTGACGGCTCACGCCGGCGCTTGTTTAGTTGCTCCTCCTTATCACATAAATTTAGAACCATATATGTCAACATATCATATATGCCGTGACGATCTAAACATGCTCTCATACCTCATGCATGCTCCTTACACTCTGGACGTTAGCCCAAGTCCATAAGCATCTGATCTAGAACTGAACAATCAAGCGCACCGACCCATTGTGTCCTTCCAGCATGGCCACCAGCACCATCACCAAAACCGACCCCTCGGCCCTCCTCCGCGCCATTCTCACCACCACAGAAGAGCACATCATCCCTCTCACCCGCCAGGGCGTCACCTCGGGCTGCAAGCTCTTCGGCGCCGCCATCCTCCGCCGCGCCGACCTGCAGCCCCACACCGTCGCCACCAACAACGAGCGCGTGTCGCCCCTCCTGCACGGCGAGATCAACTGCATCCAAGAGTTCTTCACGAAGCCAGGAGGCCTAGGAGGAGAAGGAGGACGACAACGGGAAAGCGCAGACGTGCCCCGGCCCGAGACAAAAGACTGCATCTTCTTCGCCACCCACGAGCCCTGCTCGCTGTGCCTGAGCGGCATCACCTGGGCCGGCTTCCGCGAGTTCTACTACCTCTTCACCTACGAGGACTCGCGCGACCTGTTTGCCATCCCGTACGACATCGATATCCTGCAGGAGGTGTTTCGGGTGCGCGCCGAGGGCGAGACGGACGAGGCGCTGGGCGGGCGGGCGCTGTATAACCGGCGCAACAAGTTCTTTTGCGCGGGCAGCCTGGCGGAGCTGGTCGAGCAGGTCGAGGACGGGGCGGAGAGGGAGAGGTGGCGGGGAGAGATTGCGAGGGTGAAGGGGCTTTATGGGGAGCTGTCGGATACGTATCAGGAGGGGAAGAGCAAGGGCGTCGAGACGGCCAGCGTGTGGAAGTAGGGAAGGCTAGGCCTTTTGTGTATCTGTGTAGGTATTGCGCGGTTGTAGGCTCGATGGAGGGGGTTCAAGTGACTGAGTGGGTATGATATCCAATAGAATAAAGTGACAGCTTGATTTCTGCTATGCTGAAAAATACGGCCAGCTCAAATTGTCACCCTCTTCAGTGATATTCTGATCATGACATGGATTTCTGGCAGAGCCGTTTATATCGCAGCTGTACATGGCTGCTGTAACGAGTATTGTTTTGAGAAGCCTCAGTGCTTGTGGTCATGATATCCTGAGATTTGAAATGCTTCTTGACCAGTTATCAAGCTGTTTGCTAATCAATCGAGTAGTCGTAAGTTAGTAGGTAAGTACTTAGGCTTCGATGCAGCATCTTGACTGTTATTTGATTCTAAGAAACGTGAGAGGAAAGATAAAGCAAAGGGGGAGAAAGTCATTATTATCATGGCCACTGGGTGCATGCGTATGTTGGCACAACTACGAAGTGATGCGCGTTAAGATAGAATTCATAACTTTGAAAGAAGAGCTACTCTAGCTGATTTGAATTGATCATGGTATCATCATACTATACTGAAAGCCTTGATGACCTTGCACATTGAACTCGACAGTGACCTTTTATTTCCCCCAACTAATCATTGCGCCATTTCCATCATGTACCAATACGCTTCCCAGGAACGGAATAGGCAGATGACAACGAAACTGCAAATCATGGGCATTGGCTCCAAGTTTGGGTCCTTCCCATAGACAACCGCCACCGCATCAGTTAGACATGTATGATCGATATGTTTGAATTCCCCCTTCGATGCTCTGCAGCAGCCCAAAGAAGACGGTAAGTGTGATAGCCGCCCAGAGAGAATACCAGTGAGCACCATCTCGCCTATCAAACCAGGCTCTTCTCAAGTTGATATGTCGAGGATGCTCAAACCTCTGCAAGAGTGTCACAAGGGGGTCATGCCAATATTGAAAGTCTTCGATGTCGCGATGTCTCTGATCACAAGAGAGTACAGCCCTGTCCAGCAAGTTGTCATTTCCCTGCCTGTCGTACCACTTCTGCACTTCCACGTCACCCTTGGGGAAGAGTAGTGCCAGGGTGCTAAGTGTTTCTTCCACGAGACCAGCAGGAAATAGATCACTTGAATGTCATATTAACACTAGAGACTACGAGGTCGATAGAGCAATAAGGAAAAGAAAGAGAAGGAAAACATTTCACTCACCCTTTCTGACTCAGAAGGAACGATGCGTGGTGGAATACGAAAACCTCGTCCTTCTCTGGGCGTAGTAACAGATGGTCGGCCAGGTTCGTTGTCAGCTTGACACTGAGGCCGCCTATCCGATCCAGATGCCTGACTGTTAATGAAGTGTCGAGCCTGATACCGTCATGGCTTCTCCGAGTTTGTTTCGGGAGTTTTTCATGGAGAAAGTCTTTGAGTGTGCCATTATCCCAGGTAATGCTATGGCGGCCACTGAACGACGTAGGCGGAAACCGACCAACGTCCATCATTGTCATCAAGCGGACCACCAGATCTATAGCACCGCCCACGGCCTCCACATTGTAGCCAGGGCTGCGGGTTTGAAGCAAGTCAAGGAAGTATGAACGGGAGAGATCCTTGCGTAGGAGCTTCGCGATAAATGTGATCTCGTCGTGTGTCTTGAGAGGAATCTTGCAATCGAAGGCATAGTAAACAATCTTGCATTGGTCAGTATAGTAGATGAAGAAAGACTCCAAGTTATTATCTGTGCTGCACCAAAAAGATTGAGCAATGTCAAGTTGGATTGCAGTAGGCAGAGGAGATGAGAGGATCCATGTTGTGGCAGCCATGGTCACGCGTCGCCGGACGGTATGAAACGTACACACCGCATACTTGTGTAGAGATGAAGGGAGGGAGCCTTGTATGAACGTATGGTATCTTTGGTATCTTTTAATGAAATGGAAAGAATCCAGGCTACACGGCCTCCTGGAGAAATTCGTGTGCAGATGGACGAATAGCAAGCCGCGCTTCGAGCTTGGGCGCCAATATCTGCATCAGACAGCGCTCCGCCGCACGTCAGCCACCATTACATCACATCACTTCTGCTACTGGCGAGCCCTGATTTCCCCTCATTGCTGCGGTCCGATCCAGCCACCTTCAGCTGTGCTGCACTTAGTGCCTGCCACTTCCACGCTCTCCATTTGACTGAATTGTGCTGGCCGTCGCTCTGTGCCGCCTCTCTCTTAGGTCTGTCTTTGTACTCAAGCATTGACTTACCCTCCACTGGCCCTCATGGGCGGCTTTCGTTTTGCCAACGGTCGATCTCGTACGCGCTTGAACCATGGCTTGAGGCAAGTCGTCTCACGCCGCATTTCTCATCTCATGACCAGAAATGAGCCTACGGCATGACCAAAATGTGGCCGGATCCTGCATCATCGGCAGGTGAACATCGAGGTGTCATCAAAATCAAGACTAAGGGATTTCTCGCCATGGAAAAACATTACTGGGAAGCGAAGGAGGGCAGCCCAGCCCGCAAGGCCTTCGAAGAGCTTGTCCCGGAAATTGGCAGGCTTTTACTGTCCTCTGGGAACCGTGTACCAAACTGCGACTCTATTAAAATGGATATATTCATGCTGGGAGCCGAACGGAATCCAGGAGCTTCTGCGCCATACATCATGTTCTCGTCCCTTGACAGCTGCAAAGGAGCGAGAAAGGCGGCTTTGAAGCTGGTGAAGGAGAGTGGGCTGTTGAAGGAATCGGGCTTGAAAGCAGGGCATTGGGCATACCCTCCTCATACGCCCAGCCCAGAACTCGCGGGCGGAGGCCCGATGGCTACGGGTGATGCCTCGGCTTCTCTTCAATGGGGTATTGGAGAAGCTGCGCATATTTTCAAGTACAAGTCAGGCAGTATTGATGCCTACGAGAACCATTCGACTATCGGAGCCGTGGTGCTTTATGGCCGCGCCCGCTTATACTTCACTGCCGCTCATATGCTGCTACCGCGGCGAGACAGCAGCCTGCTCGAGCCATCACTGAACGCAAGGGGCGCAGGCAGCTTGGGGCCAGTCAGTGAACATGGCTCGGTCTATGATTCCGGAGACGAAACTGAGAACTTCCAGGTCGCAAGTTCAGCAGGATCGAGCCCTCCGTCTCTGCATGAGGACACCGAGATGGCCGAGTTGGAGTCCTCGAGCGATAGTTCTTCCCTCAACTCTGAGACAGAGCTGGCAAACACACATGTTCAACATGAAGGCGGTCAGAGGGAACAACAAACGGAGACACCATATGTTAATCTCGGCCAACAAGTTTTCTTTGTTTCATCTGAGATGGACTTCGCACTGCTCGATCTCTCGGACATAGAGGTGCCTCCTTACAACCTCCCCGTTTTGGAGGAGGGCACGGTGGCTGATATTGAGACCGGGTACACTAAAGTCGAGGCCTGTTTGGGTTCAGGTCGGACGATGCTAGGAGAGTTGAGTGGTCGCCCATCTTACATCCGCTTTCCGTACGGGAACGCCTTTCAGGAGGTCTACTCTGTCATATTCGAGACAGACGTCCAGCATGGAGACTCCGGTGCCCTTGTTCGGGACCGTCAAACCAGTCGGATATACGGTCACATTGTTGCTGTTAGCATTGAAAGCCGGACGGCCTTCATTGTGCCTGCGACACAGGTACTCAAGAAAATGACCCAGGCCTTGCCGACTATCACGCCAGTTTATGCTGGATTAAATGGCTCCAGATCACAGATTCGCTTCATTCACCTGCTCCCGGGCTCTTTCAATGAGGCTATTCGCTGTAATTTGGAAACAATAACGCTTTCTATGGACACCACCCTGCCTTTCGAGGCACTATCATATGTGTGGGGAAACGACGAACCCCGCAAATTCATATTGCTCAACGGCCAACCCTGGCCAGTTGGAAGAAACCTGGCACATATCCTGCGAAGGTTGAGATATGAGGACAGGGCAAGATCGCTATGGGTTGATGAAGTCTGTATCAATCAAGACGACGTTGATGAAAAATTCCATCAAGTAAGGTTGTTAGCCAAGGTTTACAAGCAAAGTGCACGTTGCTTGATCTGGCTGGGCAACGTTGATGAGGGATCCGAGCCCTCATCTGGCTCGTGGACTTTCTCATTCCAGCATACATCTCCTCGTCAACTTTCACGAAATATCGATCCAGAGGTCACCATCTCGTTGCAAGATGCTCGTCTGGCATTTGAACTTCTCGAAAATCTGGGCACCGCTGCACTTGATTATTCAACCAAACTCTCCAGGAACCCAGACGAGCCCGGGTTTTACATCAGCTGGAAGTCTCAAGAAGCACTGGGCAAACTTATGGGTCTTGCCTGGTGGAAGCAGCTGCGGACTGTTCTGGGTGCCCTCTTGGCCGGTTGGTCCGTTTTGCTCTGCGGTCCAATGAGCATGAGCCTACACACGGTTGGAGCGAATGCGTTGAGGTTGAGGCGATTCCTGCGCCAAAGAACATGGCGCCGCCGATCCGACGGCCTTCACTTTGACGTTCTGATACCTTTCATGCAGACGGCAGTGCGACTCTACCGTTTCCGGACTGGGACACGGTCTTACAGCTACCGATTTATGCTCACCGCCTTCCAGGATCTGAATTGCAAAGATCCTCAGGACATGTGGCCTGCTCTGGGAATCATCCATCATATGCCATTAGCACTTGATACTGACACCAACGCGAAAATCGTCTCGAGGTACATTCATACTAAACAAGACCTCCTCCCTCTAGTGAGGACGACCGAGTATGGACGAGGCGCCCCTCTCCCATCATGGGTGCCAGATTGGGAGGCAGGCGTCGGGTCCCAGTTGCATTTCTATAACGAGCTCAGTTTCATCATGTCCTGGGAATTATTTAATGCCTCTTCTGGCAGATCTCTCTTGGTGGAGATGTGGCCAAACAGCATGCTCCGTCTGTTGGGTGTCATTGTTGATGAAGTTCGGACCACATATAGCGTGATGGAACCGCGCATCGATGAGCCGGTCATACGAGTCAAGACGGGGCCGAAGCGTCTCGAAGGAAATTTGAAGACATTGCTTGCAAAAGGGGGAAACAGTGAACATGTCTCAAATGACTTCTGGCGTCTGCTTACGTGCGATATCCGGCCAGACGAGAAAGACGATCTGAAATGGAGACGAGCACGCTCTTCAGATCGAGTGGTCTGTGAGCGGGAGTATAGAAATGGATTGCTGGGACACGGAGTCAGGGGTAGAAGGCTGTTTTCAGCGGGCCAGGGAGACTTCGGGCTGGGCCCAGCGAACACAATGATTGGAGATGTTGTTGCGGTACTATATGGTGGGCGGTTCCCCTTCATCCTGCGCCGAGCACCAGGCCGGAACACTTATACTCTTGTCGGTTACGCCTACGTCCAAGGTATTATGGATGGAGAGGCTCTCTCCGGGGCGGCCGAGACGGAGGAGATATTCCTTATTTAGTCTGTAGTTGCAAGTTTTATCCATTGCATATACCCACAATTTGTTACATATTGCACCTTTCGATGAAATTTAGGTTCATGTCTATTTTGGTATCATCAGGTAGATATGTATTATCTGGGAGGGGTGGGCTATACTACAATTTCTCGATTGTTATAGGCTCTCTCTGTGCAATCTCTGCTGGAACTCGAAAATCCTATCGCAACTTTTGATTTTCTGAGCTCTCCTTCGCAGTTTGCATACTAAGTTCTTTTTCTGTTGTTCTCTTAGCTCCAGTTCTTCACATTTCTTTTTGTCTTGTTAGGTATAGAGGACTGTGGTTCTACTCGTAATTGGGGAGGAGGCTCATACATTGTCACGACGATGTATTATAGTCGGCCTATGAGAACTCCCACTTCTCAAAGAGAGCGAGTAGAAGAAAAGAGGAAATCCATGTTTCTTTCTGCTTCAAATGCACTGGCCTGGGCGGTGCCTAACTCTCAAACACTCCTGCATGGAACATTCACTGGCTGAAGAACATGTGATTGGATCCCCGTACAGCAACTAAAATGTCCACACCATCACATAATTTGACGCTCAATGAAAGGTACTTCACAAAGGAATGGAAATGTTGACATGACCAGTCAGTTAGTTTATTAGTAGTCAAATGCTGATGCATTTAGCTTGTCCCCAGGGGTCTTCTAGTCCGCCCCAGGCTTGCCGTGCCAGGCTGGAGGTGTCAGAATTGCTTACTATACATTGTAGCTCCACTCTGGGGCCACCGACGTAAGCTTGTTGCGTGCCATGGTTCAGGCAGGCAACTTTACTACCTGATACAATGACCAGTGTTCGAGACATCAGTGCTCAGGTCCCAGCAAGCTGCCAGCCCATACTACTTACATTTCAGACCTATGACAACAACAACGTCTCCCTCCAACATACACGCCACTGGCACCCCAACGTAACACTCGATCTTATGACACAACCATTTTGATTTACGAATCCGGCGCATGGTTGAGCACTGCACTCAGACCTCTCTTCTTCTCCCCGTTAACCCCGACCATCCTGCGATTCCGCGACCGCTGCGGCAACCCAGATCGCATCGCGCCAACTCACGATAGCAACAGCCACAACCACATCTACAACAGCTACATCGCTTCAACATGATGGGATGGTGGTCCTCCTCGGCGGGTTCCGCCTTGGACGAGCAGATCGCAAAAGCAACGAGCAGCAGTCTGTAAGCATGGAGTCCACCGCTCCTGGCAAGCTGTGGCAGATGGGAGAGCGAGATCGAGGGAGAATGAGAGGAGATGGTTATTGACGCAATACTGTGGCACAGCGAAGATATAGCCCTGAACCTCGAGATCTCCGATGTCATCAGGTCCAAAACAGTACCCCCAAAAGATGCTATGCGCTCCCTGAAGAAGCGCATCGGCGACAAGAACCCTAATACTCAGCTGAGCGCTCTGAACGTATGGCTCCATCCTGTCCACCTCGTTGACGCATCTTGGAGACGTCATTGTTCTGACTCCCCAAACAGCTTACAGATACATGCGTCAAGAATGGAGGCCATCACTTCCTAACCGAGATCGCCTCGAAAGAGTTTATGGACAACCTTGTTTCCCTTCTCAAGGCCGTCGGGCCTGCCGCTGTCAACCACGATGTCCGCTCCAAGATTCTCGAATACATTCAGTCATGGGCAGCTGCTACCGAGGGCCGGTATGAGCTCAACTACATCAACGAGGTGTACAAAACACTGCAACGAGAAGGTTTCCAGTTTCCTCCCAAAGTTTCTGTGTCTAGCAGCATGATAGACAGCAGTGCGGTATGTTAGCAGGCCGAACAGTCTGGTCTTCATCGTGGCGCTAATAATCCTTTGCGACAGCCTCCAGAATGGGTCGACTCTGATGTCTGCATGCGATGCCGAACAGCCTTCTCATTTACCAACCGGAAACACCATTGTCGAAATTGCGGGAACGTCTTCGATCAGCAGTGTTCGACCAAGACCCTCCCACTGCCGCACTTGGGAATACTACAGCCAGTCAGGGTCGATGATGGATGCTACGCCAAACTCTTGGACAAGTCGGGAAGAGGTGGTAGCTACCCACCGGAGCGTTCTCCTACCAAGGTCTCGTCCTCCGTCAAGCGTCATTCCTCGTCCATGCAGCCTCGCAATGCTAGGGTGGACGATAGTTTCGATGAGGATCTGAAGAAGGCATTGGCTATGAGCCTGGAGGAGGTTCAGAGTCATTCGAAAGGAAGAGGATACGTCGCGCCCACGATGAATGGACCAAGTACTGACGCCAAGGTCAACGGCAACTCGACGAGCAAAGCAGCTGAGGAGGAAGACGAGGACCTGAAGGCCGCGATCGCTGCATCCCTGGCTGACATGGAGGAGCAGAAGAAGAAGCACGCAGCAGCTCTCAAGGAGTCGACAGCGAGTGTTGGCGACGCGCCGTCGAGTACCTTCACGCTACCCAAGAATGACTACGAGCTGGCGCCCGTGGAGGCCGAGAATATTAACCTATTCTCCACACTTGTCGACCGCCTGCAATCGCAGCCCCCTGGAACAATACTCCGGGAGCCACAGATTCAGGAGCTTTACGATAGCATCGGAACGTTACGTCCCAAGCTGGCGCGGACGTATGGCGAGACAATGAGCAAGCATGGTAAGTTGTGGGGTGCGGTGATGACTCGAGCGACACATTCTGACTTGCTGCAGATACCCTCCTCGACCTGCATGCCAAGCTTCAAACGGCCGTGCGATACTACGACAGGATGCTGGAGGACCGGCTCTCGAAAGCTTTTAATCAGCATAACCTAGGAGGCTACAACTTGCCCGCCCCCCAGCAGCCTTCAGGCCCGTATCCGACTCTCCACACCAGCGCCCCCACCAATATCAGCGGTCCAGCTGAGAACTTCTATACTGGCGAGCCTCAGCAGGACTACGGCAGGCCGACCGCACAACCACCCTACGCATACCCTTCTCAACCTACACCACAGTCTCAATATGCTGTCTACGACCAGAGCGCAGCTATTTCGGGCGCCCAGCACCAATATACTCCACAACCGCAACGACAAGACAGCTGGAGGGCCTCGGCGCCGCCAGCTCAGGCTCCCCAGTATACCCACCAACAAAATTATGCTCCTAGCGAGACCGCAACACCCCAGATGGGTCACCCTGCCCTCCCACAGCAGCCGCAACAGCCAAGTGCTCCCGACTCGGTAGGTACGACACCGACGACCGACCCTGCCGCATCGTTCTACACCCAACAGCCAGGGCAAAACCCACAAGGGTCACCTGGTGCGCCCGCCGATGTTTCTCCGTCTCCATATCCGAACCTCCAGCAGTCTATGCAGCAGTACCCCCAGTCAGCAGGACCAGAAAACCCTGGTTTTGTTGCGTCTCCTGGGCAGCCACAGCAGCAGCCTCAACCATCGGCACCACCGCAGCAGCAGCAGCATCAACAACAACCTCATGCGCCGTACTGGCAGCACCCTGCAGCCCAGCACGTGCAGGTGCCGGTGCCATCCTCAGCACCGTGGCAGCAACCGCCGCAGCAGGTCCAGCAGCCGTATCCTGGTTTCCAACAGGAGGCCTTTCCTTCCGCGCCACAGCACGCGCCGCAACAACCAGTGGTGGAGGAAGCCCTGATCGAGCTCTAGGAGAGGAGGTAGGAGTGGAGAGGAGGAAGGGAGGGAGAAGGAGGTGGCAAAGATTAATTGACGAATGCAAGCATGTTCCTTTTTTATTGAAATGAGAAAGAGAGACAGAAAAATTCAAAGACGTGGCCTCGGGGACTTTGTGCCGGCAGAGGCTAGTGTACCTAGATAGACAATCATATGCAAGGTAGCACATGGGCAGAAGGATTGAAATTGCAGAGGTGACATATGTACTGCGAGCAGTTTGGATTATTAATCTGGTGTTGCCCCAGCACACTTGAAGGACCTGGCAGATTGGCCAAGCGTCTTGATCATCGTGATTACTTACGAAAATGCTGTGGTAGTGGCGTCTTGTCGACTGTAGCTGCTTACATAAGACTTAGCAGGCTCTAGGGTGGCTTGTTGGGCAGTCCTTGGTCAGTTGACATTGCTCATGGATGGGCTTGGAAGAACTAGTGACTAGGTGCCTTGGTGGGGTGCTGTTGAAACCTGACAGGCGCCGGGCGGCCTATGGCTAAGTGCTGCTTGAGTACAGCTAAGCAGTGGCTAAGTCAGCAACTGCGTGTCCCACAGCAGGTGCCAGGTCCCATGCTCAATCAAGGCCGATCAGTCAGCCATCCTAACTTACTCACTACCTCACACATCCAACTCATTCATTCACACTTTGATCAGTCTTTGTTGTCACTCCTCTGCCTCCACCACCACCCCCACACATTCTTCCCCTCCAACGGCCAAGTCGACGTCAAGCTCTTTCCTGATGTCGAACTCTCGCATTCATCCAGCTGCACCATGAACCTTTCCGCCTGCCGGGCCCTCACCATCACAAAATGCCGTACAGGCATTTCTCGGACCTCGTGCGCGGTCCGGAGGACGGAGCCGCCATCATCTCCAAACCCTTGAGCAGCCTCATCGACGAGGCCGAAGCTGCTGCAAACCTGGCCCGGGCCAGCGTGTCCAGCGGAAAGCTTGACAACGCCCTCGAGGCATATATCAAGGGTGAGTGAAGACGGTCTTGCCGGTGGGAAGATCTGTTCCTCCTCTTCCCCTCCTTGCGTTTTGATCCTTTGTAGATGGCGAGATTCTCCTACCATGGGCCTTTGCTATGGGCAAGGTCTGCCCTCGAGGTAATTCATCTGACGTGTCCCAGCCTTCACCCTCTCCATCAAGGTCATCCCGCAGCACCGAAACTACGCAGATGGCGGCAATAGCCAGCGTTGTAAGCGCATCACCGACCAGCTTTTTTCATCTTATGACACGTTCGAGAAGATCAAGGAGATTATCAAGGAGGACAATGCCAAGTCTGGCGTTCGGCCCACACCCACACGAGTCTCGTTCCCTCCACTGCAAAGGACCCAGGCGTCGAAACCTGCCCCAGCCTCCAATGATGTGGCCACCTCAAAGCTGGTCATGCGGTCCCCCCCGACCACCACCGCCTCCAAGGCTGTGCCCCAAGTGCCCCCCAAGCCGCCAAAGCTGAGGACGTCGGTTGATGCTGTGATCAATTCCATGCCCAAGGTCCCAGATGCCATCTATAGCCCGGCCAGGGGCAACTTGTCCAACGAGGCTGCAGATTTGCCTTCCAGCACCCCACGCGGCATGTTCAGTCGGACAGGCCTGTCTGCCGCTTCATTCCCTTCCAAACCCAACTCACCGAATCCGAACAAATCTCCATCAGCAGAAGCTGCACTGGACAGCCGACCTGTGACCTCAGCTCCAGCTGCGTCGCCCCAGGTGAGACGACCAGCCCTTCCAAAAGGGGATGTAATCACCGTTCAGGATCTGCTCAGGTTCCAGAGGACTGCTCATTACCGTATCCTGCTCATAGACGTTCGTTCTCGCGCCAGCTTTGAGGACGGTCACATCTTCTCGTCAGCTACAATATGTGTCGAGTCTGAAGTCATCCAGCGGCCCCACATAGAAGCCTCAGACGTGGAGGACTCCATGGAGGTTGGGGCAACAGAGGAGAAGAGGCTCTTTGAGAAGCGCCATGACTTTGACATGATTGTCATATACGACCAAAATTCACAGAGTCTCGGCTCCGACCGGATCAGCTCCGCGGCCAAGATGTTTTCGGTGTTGACTGACTTTGACTACCCCGAGGGAGACCCTGCATCGAAGCATCCCAAGCTGCTGAAGGGAGGATTGGATGCGTGGTCAGACATGATAGGCGGTAACTCCCTCCAGACCTCTTCGCACAAGAGGAAGAAGTCTACCTATGACAAGCCCTGGTTGAAATCACCGATCAAACCAATTCAGGATGCCGAAGAGGCGCGGCGATGGGAGGAAAAGCTGGAGAAGCCCAAGCAGGAAGATGGCGATAGCCCTGACGGACCGGACTGGACAGCGGTCAGGACCGTCAGCGATTTCCTCACACGCTTCCCACCTGTGCAAGAATCCATGACGTCGCCCGTCAAGACCAATGGGGCTGAGGTCCACCGGCCACCACCTGTGAAACCAATACCACCACCGCACCACAGGCCTGCAGATTACCCGCTGCTTCCGTCCGAACCGATGAGACCGCCGCCTGCAGTCCCACGCCGGAGTTTCACAGGATTGCAGCCTCCCGATGATGAGCAGGGTACTTCCACCACCAAGGTGGTCACAAGAACCGACACGGCGGCACGCAGGAGAGCGGTGGGGCTTCGAAACCCCGGGAACTGGTGCTATGCAAACAGCACGCTGCAGGCGCTCTTCGCCTCAGGTGGCTTCGGGGAGGAGCTTTTCACCCAAGCCTGGCAGAAGTTGTATAAACCGCAGAAGAAGGCAGACGAACAGATACAACCACCACAGCTTCTGATCAAGATTCTGTCAAACTTGTTCCTATGGATGGGCACTGCCAAGTTCGTTATGACGGCAGACACTTTGATGGTAAGCTTTCTTCTTTACAACGTCCTACTCTGGGCCTCTCGGGCTGGGCTATCTTTTCCCTTCGTCCGGCTGACCCAGAATAGCGATACCTGCGGCAGATCACCTCCAAGGGCTTTAAGGGGCAACGACCGGAGGATCAGATCCTCGGTGGCGACAGACAGATGGACGCACACGAATTCTTGGTCAGGCTCTTCACAGAGCTGTCAGATGAGACGAACCAGCATCGCGACCGCCCTGACGAGATACTACCGCCGCCACCCACCAACAAGTCGATCCTTGAGGGCGCTGTAGATATCTGGAATCTCTACAGTCAGGCCAATAACTCCATCATAGACAAATACTGGCAGACTCTCGAGTGTCTCATCACCCGCTGCGACCGCTGTGGTCACGTCGCATACCGCGTCGACCCACCCAAGAACCACCTCGTCCTCTCCCTGCCCGAAACTAACCAGCCACAGTCCATCGAGGGGCTTCTTAGCAACTACTTCTCGGCGGAGGCCTTAGACGACTATAAATGCGACGGCTGCGGGCGCACGGGCGCATGCCGAAGGACGCCAAGGTTCGCGCGCCTCCCGGACCTCCTGTGTATTGTCTTTGGCCGCTTCGAGAACAGGCTGCGGAAGAACAGTGTCTACATTGACTTCCCGCACCGAGACCTGGACCTCACCCCCTACAGCATCCAGGGTCAGCAACCGTATTCGTCCTCGCTACTCACTTCCAACAGCACCAGGACCACTGGCAACGCCACTGACCAGCCGCTCACTTCACCCACGGCCGCCAACATCACAGACCACCACTTCACCAAACCCTTCAAGTACGACGCGTACGCCGTTGTGCAGCACGGCGGCCAGCTGCTTGGCGGCCACTACATCTCGATTATCCGCGAGGGGGGACCAGACGAGTGGCGCATCGCGGATGACTCGCGGATCCAGCCAATTGGGCTGACCAAAACCCTATTACAGCGACAGGGCGGCATGGATGCGTATATGGTATTCTATCAGCGTAAAGATATTGGGCTGGTTTAGGAAGAGGACAGAGAGATGAGCATTTATTGTTGGATAATTTACTATAGCATGTTGCAGATTCGGGAAGAAGCGTTTGGATATTCTATCCTTCCTTGGCGTCCGCTTATCCATATCCCCTAGTACATATTTTGATTCATTATAGATATAAACAGCCCAAGTACGTAGTCGCCATGGACCATGGGTAGGACGAGCGCACCCACCCCCCCCCCCCCAAAAAAAAAAAAATCCAGCGAGTATCAATAGCAGACCACCAAAACACCGACATCATGGAGCTATCCCTACCAGAGGATTGACGGTGCTGAAGCGATAACTGTTGCCCCATGTGTCATGTACCATCCATTCATCCGGCCAATCGACTCCAATTTTGGTATGCAATGCTTAGAGCGACCGATGCGCAGCCCGCTGTAGTCCCGCTGTAGTAGGTGAAGGAAGACATTTTCAATCAACGCAGGAGGCGATTGTATTTCGAACGTGGATGCGGAAGGAGAGGGCAGGCATCGTTTTGCTCGGCCAATATTCTAACGATCTTCCCCCTTTGGTCATTGGTTCCCCTCTCAGACCTACTTGAACGTCTTCTCGATGTCCGTCTTGTACTTCTCCCTGCACGCACGACGGTTCACCTTCTGGGTAGCCGTGACCAGGCCCTGCAATCATCGTCAGTATAAATGTAAATCCCCCTTGTTTTTGCCGCTCATAGTCCGCCAATCGAGAAAGTAAAACTCACGTTCTGCGGGGTCCACTCCTCATCCGTCAGGACAACACCCGTCACCAGCTCCAGGTCGCTGAGACCAGCTGCTTTCCCCTGCGCCAACAGGTCTTTGAGCACAGCATCGGTAACACTCTTGTCCTTGAGCATGCCGTGCTCGTCGGGATGGACACCAGCGGCCCTCGCAATATCCTTAACAGCGGGCTCGTTGACAAAGATGACAGCGATGGGCCGCGGGTGTTCGCTGTCGCCGTGTACCATGATGTTCTGCACAGCCTTGGAGCTGCGATAGACAGACTCCAGCTTCTCGAGCGCGATGTACTCTCCACCCTGTAACTTGACGAGGTTCTTGACGCGGTCGATCACCTTGAGGTGGCCGAACTTGTCAAACTCACCGATATCTCCCGTCTTGAACCAGCCGTCTGGAGTGATGGCCTTCTCGGTCTCCTCCGGATTCATGTAGTACTCCTTGAGGACTGGGCCGCCACGGAACCAGATTTCTCCCTGTGGTGGGGTCGTGTTCGCCCAGTAGTCCAGCTCGGGGATGCTGACCAGCTTGCACTGGATGGAGGGCGATATAGGACCGCATGAACCGTCGAGGGTGAACTCCTGGGGTGACATCACGGCACCGTTGCCACCAGTCTCGGTGAGACCGTAGCCCTGAATCATGGGCGCCAGCAACATCGACATGAAATGAGCAGTTTCTTTGGAAATGCCGCTGGCGCCGTTGACGATAAACCGCAGGTTGCCGCCCGTGAGCTTTCGAACCTGGCCAAACACGAGCGAATCGAAGATTGTCTGCCCAGGTAGGTTATTCTTAACCAGAAAACTCTTGGCGTTGACGGCACCCCAGAACATGGCACGGACAACAGGCGAGGATCCGTTCACACGACTTATGACACCCTTCTTGATGGTCTCCCAGATCTGTGGCACGCCTACAAGGAGAGACGGCCCGAAGGCGCGCATGTCCCCAGCACAATTCTTCACATTCACGTCGGACAGGGTGCGCGTACTGCCGTAACCCATAGTCGCGCCGAAGAAAAGGACCAGGTTCTCGATAGCCATCTCAAGGATGTGTGCAAGCGGCAGGTAGGCCAGGACCATCTCGTTGGTACTAACACTGTTCCGTAGAATACCCACGAAGCCGGCCACCGCCGCAACAAAGTTTGCATGGGTCATCGATACACCCTTGGGAGGACCAGTCGAGCCGGATGTGTACATGATGCAGTAAGTATCTTCAGGTGACGGTTCAAAAGGAGGGACTGGGTTGGACTCGCCAAGGGAAGCCAGCTCGGACGCGCTCAGGACGGTTAGGTTCGGGTGGGCTGCTTTGAAGGAGTCGATTTCGGACTGTTTTATGGGCTGTATGACGGACTTGTCGTTGTAAATCACGATCTTGATGGAGTCTGCCTTGTCCAGCGCACCCGAGGCCGTCTTAAACAGGTGGGGGTCGGTGAACATGGCCTTGGGCTTGCTCTGGACCATTGTATGCTCCACGCCGGCCACACCCAGCGTATCGTATGCAGTGACAATGGTGAAGGTCTGGGAAGAACAGGCATGTGCAATCGCCAGCCAGTTCGCACTGGTCGAAGCGAACATATGCACCTTGTCACCCTTCTCCACGCCCAGCTTGCGCAGCCCGGAGGCCAGGTTAAGCAGGTACGTCTCATACTCGGCATATGTAATGTATGAATAGTCGGACAGCTCAAAGTATTGCCATTTCTTGTCGACCATCTCTTTCTTGCCGTCGATGATCTTGGGCACCTTCTTAATCTCTTCGTGGAGCTGAATCAGCTCACGGGTGCCGATACAGCGCTCATTGGCGTACTTCTCGGCAGAACGCTTGACAAGACGAAAGACAGTATCGACTTCTGGGTCGGGGCGCGTGACGAGGCCATCTTTAGCAAGGGGGTGTATGCGCGGCTTGGTCTCTCCTTCGACTTCGGGTGCGCCGGGAAGCTCAATAGTGAACGGGGGCTTGGAGATCATGTAGAGCGGCCCGATGCCATGTCGCCAGGTTTCCGGAACAGACATCTCAGAGGTTTGTCTGGAGGGAGAGGAGAAGGGGATGTCGAAGATTTGTACAGCGAAGAAGGATACGATCGCTGGGAGCAAGACGATTGCGAGCAGTAACGGGGAAAGACGGCCTGGGGGACCCAATGGCATTAACAGCCGGATCTGCAACAATCATCAGTCTGTGTCTCTCTATATCGCTCTCACACACCTCTCCCTCGCTCTCTGCCCCTGCACGTGTGCACATGTGGGTGTCTGGCACTGGACAGATCAGCTTGGGCTCTTGCGTACCTTTGTCCTCTCGGTTGTCCCTGTCCAAGCCTTTCCAAGCTGTCAACCGCCAAGTGTAAACAGCGTAAGAGAGACGATCTGCTTGGAGCTGCCCAGACCAGATCAGCTAGAGCTCAAATATAACAACAGTTAGGGGGGCCAAAGAGAAGCACTGACAATAAATACAAGAGAAGGATGGAGGATGCTGCCGAGCAAAATGTTGAGGACTTAAAAGTTGCGCAGGCAGGCAGACTGACTTGACTACTTTAGGATCTGAGTCCCAACAGCTCAACAGAACGTTTTGGGGGTCTAAGCCTCCTAGATGAGGTCAGCTCTGGCACTGAAATGATCTGGTGGTGGTGTTGGGGTGTTGGAGCTGGAGCTGGAGCTAGAAGCTGAGTGACGTGAGTATCGAGACAAGCACTGACATAAGAAGGGCGGCAACGCCTGCAGGGGTTGGGCCCGATGAGGGCTAGTGGACGTTTGTAGGGGACCTGGGAAGCACTAGCTCTATCAACAGGGTGTTGCTGCTGTAGCGTGTCAACTGCAACCCTATAACGGCTGCAGGGCACAGGCCACCCTGAGGCTCTACGGTATTGATAGGTAATGTTTCATTGAAGCTCTGGAAGCTTGTGACAGTGGAGCTGTTTCCACCTAGAAACCTCGGGACACAACAACAATCTCTTCACAGGTGAAGGACAGAATAAAGCTCACACCAAGACAAGAAAAGCACGAGCACATAACCCAGAACTCGTCTTTCTTAACCCCCGGCCCAGCACTTTGCCTGATGATGGCAATGCTTCATTGATCTCAGACCTCTCTAGCCTCGGTGATTACCTTCTCTGCTGACAAGCCGAGGTTTCCCTCCGTCCCTCTTTTGCGTATATCTGACAAGACATGCACCTTCCTTCAAAGCCACGATGAGGGAACAAAGATGGAGGATGGATGGCTTATGGACCCCAACCCCCACCACCCACGTTCAAATTTTATCCTTGGCCTGGTTGATCGTCGCTGTCAAGAAGCAAGACATTGCCGATCCATCTAATCCCTGCGCATACCTATGATCTTCTCAACTTGACTCATCATGACCTCCAAAATTTACCATCAGTCACAGGCCATACAAAGTGATGGCAATAAAAACAAGCTGTCCAGAGGGCTTGACCTGAGACAAGGTTCTCTGGATACCTCTTGAGGCCGAGCAAGCCATATAGAACAGCTCATCCTCACAGCTACTTCAAGTGAGATAGATGGCAAGGAGAAGTTGTTTGGGTAAGTCTTGGTAGTCGAGACTGAGTCCCATATACACAATACATGATTTCCGCCAAGTATTCTGTCTGTTTCTCTCTTTTATCCAACCCCCTCCTTTGTTTCTTTTCTCTTGCCCCTTATTTTTCAACAAAGAGGCTGGGGAGGTTGCCCTCGTGGTATCATGCTGATATTAATTACATCTCAGTATACGTGCGGATAGCTTGTCGCCTATGTACACGAAGCCTTCTTTTTGTTTAAAAACGATCCTCTCATCTCTACACCTGCTTCTAGAAGTTGATATCGACGTAGGAGATCGTCCCGGCCACCGTCACAGTTCCGTTGATAGGCAGTCCCAGTGCTGTCAAGGGTATTAGTATCAATGCATACACGTCTGGGGGAAGAAGAATATAACCACTCACCACCACTGGTAGACAGGTACAGGCGGTTGCTGTCGTTCGAGGTTCTTCCGAACTTGGGCGACGACACGCCAGCCAGGATGGTTGAGATGTTGTTACCGGCGATGGGCACGGCAGTGACCTCGGTCCCGCTCGTCGCACCATATGCCAGACTGAGCGTATCCTGCTGGTTCTGGGCGACAAAGACAGTGCCGTCGCTGCGGAACTGGAAGTCATCTGCCTTGGCCAGGTTGTCGACCACGATCTCGGATTCGCCGGTGGGCAGGCCATCGCTGCCGACGGCGATGCGAGCCAGGAAGCCGCGCGCCGTGTTGGTCCAGTAGAGGTAGCCGTCGAAAACCTTGAGCCCGTTGGAGCCCAGGTTGGTGGAGGCCGCCGAACCGTCCACAGAGAACTTCATCAGGGTGTCGTTGACGGCCACCTGGTAGTCTCCCGTGGTCGTGTCGATCAGATACACGACACCGCTGTACACATCGCCGACATAGATGTGCTCGTCATCCAGCGTGGCCATGCCGTTCAGGAAATCCGCCTCCGGAATGTCTGTCAGGTGCGTCACCGTGGCGTTCTCCTCGACCGTGACGCCGTCCTCTGCCAGCGCAAAGGTGCTCATGTTCACCTCGAAGATGCTGTTCACCCCGCTCGTCTTGACGAAATCGTCCTGGTCGAAGAAGGCTGACAGGATCACATAAAAGACGTCGGTCGTCGTCTCGGCGATGCCCAGCGCGCCGTACCACTCAGTACCGTCCCAGGTGGCGACGGTGGTGGGGGTGCCGGTGAGGTGGTTGACCTGGTACAGGACGGGCGAGGGGGCCAGCTGTGTGGTGAGGATCTCGCCATTGCTGCGGATGGCGAGGTTCTCGAGCCACGTTGGATAGGAGAAGGTGTGCAGGGCCGTCACGTTGAGAGGAAACTGGTTGCAGTTGGCCGCAGCGGGTCCAGTAGCCAGGAGGGCGGTGAGGGGGAGGAGGACGAAGGAGCGCAGACGGGAAGTCATCTTGAGGATGGGTGTCCTGGGTGCAGCAACGAAAGCGAGTCTTTCTCTTTCTCTCTCTCTCTCTCCCAACCTTCTCTTTCCTTCTCTGTGAGAGTCTGGTGCCGAGGCGAGAGACGGCAGGTGGTGTTTGATCAGCGAAACACACAAGACACAAACACACCAACCACGATGCACCGGGTAAAAGTGATAAATTAGTTGATGGTGTAGGTTGTGTGATGATTTGATGGACTTTGCATATGCTGCAGTGTTGCGTTCCCAAGTCACGTCAAGAACAGGCTTGGCACACACACACAGATGAGTGAGGGGGAGGACGGGGAGAAAAGAATGATTAAAAAGGGAAGGAATAAAAATGAGCGGATAAAGAATGAAGAGACCAAGAGGCAAAAAGTGAGAGTGCAATTCGTTGGTATTATCTCAATTGGAACCACAAGCAAGCTGGCGTGCTCAACGGTGCCTTGTACTCGCCCCTAGCCCAGAAACTCAGGGGGTTAGGTAGCATCTGGTCTATTAATGGGCAACTATCGACATCAATTCTCGATAGTGAGCTAGATCTCCGCTGGGAATATTAAATGATGCTTAGAAACAGGACATTACTCCTGAGCTATTGGAGATAATATTGCCTGGCGGGGGTGGTTGACGCGGTCGTTGGCACCGGGGCGGGGAAGAGAAGAGGGGGGGGGCGGGCGTCGGCCAGACTCTTCGCAGGACTCTCATCTCAAAACCCTCAATCTCATTCTCTCTCTCTCTTCCCAGGGTGATGGAATAAGTTCCGGCCTGGGGCTACCGAGGCACACTACAATTCTATACGACATACTATCATGCTATGGTACGTGGACAGTAATACCGCATAACGGCCGCCACCGCCGTTGGGCACCTCGAAGCGAGCTACGGTTAGGTCGGATGCTTCTTTTTCTCTCCCTTCTTTCCTTCCAAACTCCACAATACAGAGACCCTCTTCTGCTGCTATCACCACTTTACTAACCAGAAATCGAGACATGATCTCTGCTATTACCATAGTAGCACTAATGATGTGCTCATGTTGGTGAGGACGAGGAGAGAGCCATGTCCACTATTGGAACAAGGTGGGTATACATCCATGCAGGTCCTCGGTCCTTAGCTCATTAGATGGCCATCAGTTCAGTTCCTCCCCATTTTTCCTCCAAGCTCCTTGTCTCGAGAGGAGAGGCTAACAGCCATAATCCTAGCCCTAGAACCATGCGATGTTACGACGAATGGCCGGCAAAGGAAGATACATCCGGCGTCCTATTTCGGTTCCAAGGGTGGTCTTCATCTTCTCTCCGTTCTTTCTTTTTTCGACCTTACTAGATTCAACCATGAGTTCCGAAGACAAGCAGACAAGGACGGGTTTGGTATTCAAGTTTTTAAGTTTCATTCAACTCGCAGGTCTCGCTCTCGTCAACTACATTCGCCTCAAACGCCGATGCTAAAATACAAGCGAAAATAATCACCAGTCCCCCGCCCCCCACCTCCTCTGCTTTTTTTTGAAGACAGGTAAAACGTCCGTCAATAACAAGTAACGAAAAGAAAGAAAAAAAACCCACCCAAAGACAAAGGTTGAAGACGCGTCTGCTGAACCCCAGCATCGCCAATGATAATCTTGCTGCCCCTGCAGGTACACCTGCATGCAGCTGATCTGCCCCGCCTTTATCTTTTTTCTCTATTTTATCGCATCCATCTCCGAGCCGAAGGGGGCCTAACTCGCACCGCAGCGGACCGATGAGAGGCGGAGAAAACTGCCAGCTTCTGTTCCCCTTCCTCCATCCCACCACCCTTTTGAGCACCGCCTCTTTGGTACACTATGCATGCAAGGTCTCCTCATGTCCATGCAACTCTCTTTCCGGTCCCAACCCCCGGGATCGTGACCAGATCGCCCATGATCGATCCGTTATAAGCTTGAATCCGCTGCTGCTATGTATCATTAGTATTATCTCGCCAAAGGGGGCGCAGCATTCGTCTCGTCCTCCTCTTTTTCTTCTCGCCCTGGCCTAGACCCAACCCCAACATACGCTGGCTTGACTGGTTTTTTGGTAGCGAAAGAGGGGAAAGGGGCAGATGGGATCGGACGTAGTACTGTAGATGGGAGTATCCGCCTCGCTAAGCCCCTGCAAGACCTCCTTTCCCCTGGCCATCTTTCTTTCGTCTGTTCTTCTTTTTTTTTTTTTCATCTCATGATTTGTCCCGGCTCCATGCCGAGACGGGTGAATGTGCCAGTTCCCTGTCGCTTACAAGCGACGGTTCACTTCCGGATCGTCCCTGAGGGTGGTGATGATGGTGGGCCTCTTCAGCTAGGGACAGGCCGACCTCAGCACCACCAGCAGCATTGCCAACACCACCACCAGTACGGCTCTCCTTCTCTTCCCAGCCGTCCTCCTTGGCCTCGCTTGTGACCATGTACTCCTGCTTAACCACGATGCCCCGGGCCTGCCGTCTCATCTCGGGCCAGCTCTGCGAGTGCCGCTGTTGCTGCAGGACCAGCGCGATATCCTCGTCGCTACTGGCTGCGTCGAGTGCCGTCGAGCCAGGGTAGCGGGGCACCGTGCCGGCCTTGACACTCGTGCGCACCTTGCTGCCCAGCTTGCTGAAGCCGGACGAGTCTGTCTGCACTGCGTAGCGCGGCAGGTCGTACGAGTGCGGGTCGTTCGTACCCCTAGTGGAAGGAAATGTGTGTCTGAATAGGGGCCTGATGAAAGGCGCCGAGGCTGCCATCGCAACAAGTGTACCTTCGACGACGATCCATGTAAACATCGGCACCGTGTTGTAGCTGTAATCTCCCGTGTTGGAGAGAGCGTTCAGATAGACGCATTTCATGATAAGACCAACGAGAGCCCTATATTGTTTAAAGCAAAGATTAGTCAATGTCGTAGTCTAGAAAGAGAGAGAAAGCAAGAGGACCACTCAAAGAACCATTACCCAGGCCAAGGAGCCAAGCGTGTGGGGAGGAGAGGCCAAGGCCCCAAGCAAAAGACAAGACTTACAGCGCTGACATGCCAAGCAAGATGGCCACGCCGATCTTCAACCTTGTTGCCATGTGGAGGTTCCACACCATAGCTGCTGGCAAGATGGAGAGGAAAAGATCACAGGCCCCATTGAATGATGTATGTGCCCAACCGAGATACTATTCATAGAAGAGAATGGTGGTTAGATCAACCAGATATCAAAGCTTTTCCCACTTTCCTCTCACCCCAGGAGAAAAAAGGAGCAAAACAGGCAATGATAGACATAGACGAGGGTAAGGGGAGGAGGGGGAAAACTCACGGTCTGCACGTACGAGGGCCAGCACTGTGCATCAGACAGAGTAAAAATGTAGAGAGCCCTGGGGTCATTGCACTGGGCATAAATCGCGATAACCGTTCCCAAGTTGGTGATGATTTGCGCGACAAACATGACCCACAACGTCCACCGGACCCAGCGCTGGCTTCCAAACAGGACCAGCATGAAGACGATAAAGCTCATGCGGCCAAAGGTGCTGCCCATGATGCCAAAGGACTGTCCGACAATATTGAACTTGATCTGCGTCTCGAGTTTCTGCAGGTCTGTGATGCAGGCCTGGTGCCGGCCCCAGCCATAGTGGTACTGTACGGAGATTAGGGCTGCGAAGGTCGTGATGATGATGACGGACACGAGCATGAGCCAGTCGCTGAGGCCGAACTGCTTCGTGATCCGGAGCTGCGTGTACGAACGGGTTGCGACCGTCACAATTGCGAGGGTTACCATAACCCATATTACTGAGAGACCCGTTCCTCCTGGAGGAGGGCGGGGGCGAAAGGATTGCGTTTCGTTAGTAATGCATGAATGACAGACAAGTGCGGAAAACAAAGGATTCTGGGTGGGTAGGATGTGTATGTGTCTTGTTTGTACGTGGCATTTTAGAAGTTATTTGTGCTCACCTATGTTGATCTCGCAGTCCACCGCCTCTGCCCTGTCCGTCACGGCCTCGGTCATCCAGGATTGAGACATGTTGGGAGCTCAAATTGGATGCCTTGTATGTCTTGTCTTGTCTGGTTGGTTGGTTGGTTGTCTCCCCGTCGAAGACGACGAGACGAACAAAACGGTGAAAAGAACAATAATATTATTACTACACTCGAAAATAGGGCGAGTTGGACATTATCAAAATATCTAGAACTGTTCAAGAGAGTGAACAAGAAGAGGAGGGGGATCCACCAATAAATCAACAATGTGCCAAGATGACAGACACACACACACACACCAAGGTGGAACTCCTTCTCCTCGTGCTTCATTCTTCTCCTCCCCGTTGTCTAAACTGGGACCCTGTACCGGACCCTCGCTCTTCTTAGCTAAGAGACGATTACGGATGCAGCCGAGAGGGGAAGACAAATAGTTGGTACGGTACGCGAGTACGCCACGCCTTTCTTGTTCCTGAAGCATCTCGGCCGCCAAGGGCATAACCCCGTCCTCCAACCAGGGAATATCATGCCACACAATTTCAGTCCCACCCTGGACGGCCGAGAACCCAAGGGGCTGGTTCATAAGAAAAGGGCATGGCCACACACCCCAACTCTCTAGGCGGTCGTCCCGTTGCCTCTTCTGGGGTCTAGTCCTAGGTCGGTCCCGGAAGAACGTGGGTTGGGACACTTTACTCGGTTAAAGACCCGTGGAATCGCTTGACTTAGCATCTTCTACTAGCTTCTGGCCCGTCTCTCCCTTCTTTTTCTTCTCCCTTTTTTTTTCTTCTCTTTCCATTCTCTCTCTGTTGCTCTCTCCCCTATTGCGCTGGCCGAAACATGCCGAGGTCTAGGCCCAAATACCCCAGTGCCCTCCCTGTTTCCAGTATGATACAGGCCGTCAAATCTTAAGTATGCCATTAATAAGTGGCGAAGCCCTCAATATGTCCCTCCAGCTTGGTCTGCGCCCGTACTTGTGAGCATGCATGGATGGGAGGGAACAACACGTGAGATAGGCCAACATCGGAGATTGTTCCTGGGTGTCTGTCCGGAATTGTTCTACTGTATGACTATGGGGCAGAAGGATATATGGGGCAACGGCCGAGGAAATGGTTCATGCTAGTACTATTGCAAATACGTACTGGACTTTTATGGCATGACTCGCCCCGCAGGAGGGAAGAAAGATGGAAGAATGACGAAGAAAAATGAGGGCCCCTATCTACATACGTTTGTTAGTGTTCCGGATCCTCGGCCGCGCGGCATCTATACCAAGTTCGTGAAGTTGATCAACCGCGGCGGTCCATCTAGCAGGTGGAAAATTCTCCTAGGGAGGGATTGTGCAGCAGGAGAAAAAGAAAAGCCATGCCTGTTGATGGTCACCTCCTCTTTTCGAATACGATGCATGCACTCTACTCAGGCACTACTACTCTGGTACGGCAAGTGCCGTCAGTATACTCAAAACTGCTATCTGGATCTCGCTGGCGTATCAGCTTGCAGACACACCCCTTGGTCCAGGGGTTCCCCCAAGCCACACGCCCCACAGCGGATATCTGTCAACGCCCGCGACATCCGTGGGTGAGGGGAGAGGAGACTCGACACACAATCAGTAGCACGGAGAGGGGTTGGGCGCCCTCAGGTTGTGTTTCACGAGCAGCTTTAGATAACGGGAGGGACGCAAATAGGCTTTATGTGATTGCAACACTACTGTAGCAATATACTTATGCAGCCAGGGCGGGATGAGGGCATCAAACAGTCAAAAGTGGTCGCCCGCTACTGCAAGTTACCAATTTTTTGAGCACAGACAAGAGTCCGCTGACCCTGGCACCTTTTGTCTTTCTGAGATGTGACAGAAGTGAACGCCTCAAGGTCCATATCAAAGATTGGGTGGGTCTCGAGTAATTCCCAGCCTCGGATGGTAGACACCGGCTGGAGGGTAGTACAAAAATTGACCCAAACATTGTGCTTCTCCGGGACCCAAGTGTCGATACTCCAATTCCACGCATCAAGCTTGTTTTTCCTGCCTGAATTGGAACGTCGGTCTAGGTTTGTGGCTTTCCAAGGGAATCCTCTCGCCAAGAAGTTCAGGGCCTGCATAGACGAACGATCAACGTTATATGGGACCTGGCATGTCCAACTCATGATTGTTCGCAGCTAGAATCTCTCGGCACGTATGCTCGCACGAGGCCTGATAAGTGTTTAGTGGTTTTCCACGTACTTTAGACATTACTTACGGGTCCGATGGACTTGACCCAGCTTGATTTCTATCCGGGGGAAGGTAGCGAAATCTGACGGTTGAATCCTTGGTAGCGAATATTGTTGAGCGACTTATGAGCAATAAGACTCACTACTATTGCTATGGATAGACTCCAAGAGTTCTAAAGACCTTGGATGGATCTCACGTCTAGGAACAAGGAATCTTCATACTACAGTTTTATAGGGGTGAGTGTGTCGGGTTGAATCAGTGTCTTCAAGATCCACAAGCCGTCACAGCTTCTCCCAGGGCAACACAAAAGCCGATCTTGTTCGGGAGCTCGAGGAAGCCCTGGAGGCCAAGACTGCATGTGTACTCTCATGTTAGTGGGCCTTTGGCAGGTCCTCGACAGGAACAAGAAGCAGGATAGCACACACGGAACCATTGATCAGGCTTGAGCTTCACTTATAGACCTGACACATTGCGTGACGTACAATGCCTCTCGTATGATTGTTGGCGTGGTTCTGAGGAACATGGTCACTGTTCCTCCGCATCCAAATTAACGACACTCGGGTCTCCGTCTGTCAATATATTCTGGGAGAGTCTCCCTCTTGCCCCTTCCTGTGACAGGTGACAGAAGGTCAGGTCTGCCACTTTCTTCCATCCACAGCGTTCAGCTCTCAGTTAGCAACCCATACTTCTTATTTAGAGTCCTGGTGCTTGAGCCGGGCCGGTCTTTCCAACTCAAAGGTGTCGCTGAGTAGATCAAATGCGACGTTGTCTTTCGACTCCTATCACTGTTGAGCGCTAGTTCTGCCGTGGAAGCTCAACAGCTTCGGAAAAGCCGGCTTCGATTGGGTACCCCTGACAATTCGTAGATTGTAGCATGCGTAGCTCTCGACTGTACCATGCACCTTATCAATTATCACCCATGCCGATTGCAGTTCTCTTTCGTTCAAAGGGAGGGCTGGCTGTGGCGACCAGTAGATGGAGGGCCCTCCTGCGATACCGAGGTATAGTACCACAGGATCAACATGAAATAATTCCCCAAAAGCAGACCTTGATAACAGCATGGATCTATTATGAATCCTTGGGTAAGTGTTCGAGATGAACTGAGCTCAAGGCACCCTCAAGCGTCTTGCATCGTTTAAGGTTTAATAGTGTTGTCCACAAATGTCAAATTTCTCTCTACCTTGATTATAATTACGGATCTATGATCGAGGCTTCTTGTAAACTCCCTTCGGTGCTTCCACTGACTTTCAACTGGAATAGCAGGCACTGGATATCTGAGCCGGTGGCGGCGAGCTGCCGATGTCAAATTGACAACGCATGCAGACGCACTTCGCTCTTATAGCTAACGTCAGGTCTGCTTTGGGCCAATTTGAGGATCAGGCCGTACCGAGCTATATGAGGATCCATTCTAATGTATAAATAACATGTTTTAGGACGCATTTGAGCCTTACGATCTAACTATCATTCGCATTACATCGTCAACATCCGGTTATATGTTGACACAGCATCAAAATTAAAGTGAAGGATCCAACTGACGGTCAAGAGCAGACCAAGATTCTGTCCTCGTGATGCCGTTCAAGTTTTTATCGCAGTCAAAGAGCGAAAGTATACGGACGAAAGTTACAACGGCCGCATTATGAGGTTGTCAGGTTTATCCAGATTTTCCCCAGACATGAACCGATCTCCAGACAAAATCAGACCAAAAAAAAAAGACTAGAGATCCCCATGAGGCCACGAAGACTCACTAAAAAGAAGCACATGATGACAGTCGCGCAAATTTCGATGATAACCCAGCGGCACAGGGCACATACAGGACGTACGACTCGAAAAGGACGGCAGCTAAGGTCGGATGATAGTGCCTCCACCAGCTTCACATGGAGTAAAGGATTAGACGCGAAGTCCTTCGGATGGAGGCAACGCACAACCGCTTACGAGGCCTGTGCCAAATCCTCGGGTGAGCAGCTTGAATCTCAGCTGTGTGAAAAGATCGAGTTGTCCTTCAAATTTTGGCAAAGCTCATTTGAGCAATGGAGCAAATGGTTTCAGAAAATTGAGGAATTCATATATCCGAGAATGAAAGCTAATGTTTCTGATGGGATTTCGATACTAGAAGCAAAGACTTGAATTGGGAGATATTGTTTAGTGTTCGAACATGGGACATGATGGTCGCCGCCATCTCGTGAATCTGCTTAGGCACAAGCTCTTGAATTGCTTCGTCGAGAACGGCAGCCATGCCACCTTATACATGATAAGCTGCATACAAAAAGAGGCTGTCAAATGAAAGCGAAGGAGCACTTGCTGAGAGTGGCTGGGGATATGTGTAAGACAAGACAAATTGTCATCCTGGTTAGGGCGTCCATGTGCTGGCACGAGCCTTTGAAAATCTGCGAGTCTTTTGAGAAATGAATCATGTGTTGACCGTCGTTGCCGACATGGACCTCTACCCATATACCATATATAACATAAATTAAATCACTTTCTTCAACCAACGATCGCCCATCTCGGCATCTCAGTCTCGTTCAGATGCGCCTTCACCTGAAGTTTCTCTGCTGGAATTGGCTAGAAGGTGGCAACAGAAATCACTCCTCAAAAGAGGGCCACCACCTTATCCTGACAACCCATCCGAATGTGTCGCCATAGGTTCATGCTCACGCATGCAGACTTGTAGTGTTGGTCTTGATCGCGCGCTCGGATACAGCGGCCCTTCTCATCTTCCCACGCGCAAGGCCGGAAGCCCTGGGGAAGAGTAGTCTTAGGTCGATTTGGCGTTCTGCTCTGGTACGGCCATGTTGAGGACAGTCTGCGAGAGCGGGAACGGTGATTGATTCCATTTTGATGTGTAGGTGGTGAAGTGCTGTGACTTTCTTCAGAGCTGGCGGTGATCTTTATCGATTTTTGCTTTCTTTCTTTGGACGCGAGGTCTTAGTGGTGATTGAGGCGCAGACTGATGGGACTGGGCTTTGATCTGCTCTTATATATCGTAGAAGATTTAGGAAGTGTGATTGGTGTTATTCTCGTAGTATGTTACCTAGAACCTGTGAAAGACATGGCGAGTCTTGAAAACTCCGAATCTTAGAGGGGGCTGACGACTGTTTAAATGGTGTGATCTCACAAGCAACAAGGGTACTTCCTTTTTCTTTGCGAGACACAGCAGAGGCAGTTTATGTTCTAGGCTGATACCTATCCAATGACCTATCTCATAATTCTCTTGGATGACGCGAAGCCCGCTCAGTAAGATATCTAGTGGTTATCACAGCCCCGTAAGGCTGCGCTTCCCGGCCTCCTCGTTGGGGAGGTGGCCAGCCTATGGTAGGATCGACATACGTACTATGGTACAAAGAACAACACAAGGCGTCTTACATGCAGAAGCGAGCTGATGTAAGCGGCACAGCAGCCAACAAGAGAGACAGGCAGCCAGAAAAAATCAATGAGGTTCCATTGAGCGGTCTTAGACAGACCGCTACTTGGCCTGTTGGGTGGGGTATTGAGAATCCAGCGCCTTCAGCCTCCGGGTGATTGTGGTCCGCGTGGATCTGAGTAACAGCCCCGACCGGTATGGACCATGGAGTCACCACTTGAGGTGCTGAGCAGAAGAGCGTTCAGGGCCCGACTGAATGTATGACAATCGTGAGTGTTCAAGAGGGCGCAGTGAAGAAAAAGTAAATCTGACAGCATTCTCGAGACTGCAGCCTCCGCCGTGCGAGGAAATGAGTCTGGTTTCTCGCATGCACAGGGTTGTCACAATGTTGAGATGGACAAACAACTACGATACTTCACGCGCACTTCGTTGGAGGAGTGCATCCCATGGCGAGAACACGCATATTAAGCCCCGAGTCTGCCGTCTTATCAAATCATAAGTATCAGGACGTTCGTATCGATCCTGATTTCACCTCAGGCACGTGTTGGAGCTGGCGTGCGTGGTGGCTTGTCCGCAGGATGGCCGGTGCATTGGGGACCAGATGGCGGAAGGATGCTCATATGCATGAGAATGAGGAGCTCGTGGATCCGATCATCATCATCGGATTCAACACGATCGTATCACAGGCACAAGTACGCCCAATGAGGTTGCCTGTTGAGCGGTCAGACTACCAACCAAAGAGATCTGATTCTTCCTGCAGGCAACTTGGAACCCGGAAGTTTGAACACCGATGCTGAGAAAGAATCGAGGGTTCCACGTGCACCATTCATTACTCAAGGGGCCCAGCTTGACCGATGAGCAAGAAAAACTGGTGGTGTGGGACAAGTGTTGATATCGAGATCCGCTCGAGAGGATGCTACATCACTCTGTACCGTTTCAGCATCCGTTTCTGCATTCACGACCGTTTTCAAGGAAACTAGAAGCGTAGAGAATTAATGATTCAATTATTATTATTTTTCTTCTTTTTTTTTTCTGGGTTCTTTTGCCTCTTCTCCCCCTCTTCCCTATTCCAAGTCTTTCGCCCTGCGTCGTGATGGTGGTTTTGATGAGTTGTCCTGGCATCGCCCTGTCCAGATGACCGCCAAAGCTGCTGAAGTTCATGCAGGTCGCTGCCAGGTGTCAGTCATCCCACCCAGGCCTGCAGCGAGAGGGGACGAATCGACAGCGTACGAGATGACGCTAGGGGCCAAGAGGGTGGTGTAGGGGGAGAGGGGCCCCACGGCACCGGAGCAACGGGATCGGTGGGGCAGCCGTCCTGCTGAGAGGGGTGGTTTGCCTGGTCGATTCATTCTCCTGTCATCCCGTTACTGATTAGGCTGGCTATAGGCTGCGATCTTGGACATGACGGTGAGGCGAGTTCCGTCATACACCATGTGATGGTTTTCACGGAGGCTAAAATCGCGGACGATCCTGCACCCAAACTTTCGGGACACTAGGTACGAGGGATTTATTTATTTACTCATTTATTTATTTATTTATCTTTATCAAAGAGGAAGGCAGTCATTCATCTTGGGTGTGCTCACCGATGTGGTGGTGGTGGGGGTGGACCAGCAAACATCGTTGGCTTCGTTGTCGATGCCGGTTATCAATTCTCACCACCGACAAGATAAGTAGACTATGGTAGTAGGCACGCGCACACCTTGGTGAGGCGATTGCACCATCGCCCTTGCGTAAAACCTGCCAATAGGTAGGAGAATGTCAGGATAGCCTCGCATCGTCCAAGGTGGCTTCTCGCGTTATGAGTCAAAGAGATGCGTTGGACGGAGTATTCGCTATCTTCTCTCGACTCTATCTGAGCACCTCGGCGCCTAAAGCAGGTATGCGGGTGTGCTGCGCGGAATTCCATACCCAATTCAGTAGGTTTTGTCTTTAGAATGATTTTTGTACAGATTCATGTTCAGCATTAGTTTGTTGATCACGAGTGAATAGTTCCCTTTTTCCATAATAATAACAATTATTATTATTATTCTTGAAACACAAAGTAGATCACCTCAATTATCCACAAGTCAGGTTGGTTTTTCTTTTCCCCCTCCTCACCGAACCTCTCCATTGTGGTGTGCAGATCCCCCCTCTTCGATGTCACCTCACCTAGCAATGCCCCTGAGGTTGTCACCCGCCAGGCCGAATGATGCACGTGGCATATGTGCTACATCGATGTTCAGATATAAGACAAAGGGGAAAAAGATACCTCGGAACTTCAGAGTAGCGCGACCTCACAACACTTTGTCTAATATCGAGGATTTGGATTGGGTTCGTGCTCAAGACGAATGATATCATCCTCCTACAGTTGGATAGGGCAGATGAGACCCCCGAGACGCCACAGCAGAGCCTCCCACACCCACTAAAATGGCGCAATGCTCGACTAGGGATCTTGGATAGTAAGATGGACAAAATAAGAAATTGATAAAAAATTTACATATCTCATCTCGAGATCAGATATGTCAATTGCACCACCCTCTAGGCTGATCAGAAGATAATTTTGGGCACTATCATGCTAGGCAGAATACCCTCTTATCTGTCATTGACCACAGCGATATAAGCCAACTTTATAAGGATCTGATGCCGCTTGTCGTCATGTCATGTTTCCACATGACTGGTTCCTGGCGCCGCTGTTCTTGGTCGATCTTCTTCAGCTCTGCTTTCGAGATCAAATCCTTCAAGAAAGAAAAGAAAACACCAGTGAGCTTCGGTCGTCGGCCGTGGGGGCACACAAGAACACCAGGTTTCGTTGTGTCTGCTGATGACTAGTGCCGTGTGGATGCCCTGCTTTATGATGGACGGATCAAAGCAAGCCTCGTCTGGCTCAGGTGTGCCGATATGACGTTGCTGCGTTAAAAAGATATGCAGTGTGTTACTATCACCTGCCCAGGCGAAGCAGCGAGTCGAGATACGGAAATACAAGAATGAATGAACTAATTTCACTATCATAGTACTATTGTACTGGAGAACACTACTCTTCAATGCGCAGCGGCCATGATCTGCTTCTGCCTAACCTCCGAATCCTCCAACGCAGACTCGATGTGGTCATTCATCCTGTCTTTCACAGGCCGCAAGAAACAGGCCACCACAGCATTCACCGCAACTACAACAGCGATGGCGATCCACACATACTTCCAAGAATAGGTGTTCGCATCCTCAAAGGCGCTCAGACACGCCGGGATGAGCTGTGCCGGCAGGCCCTGGATCATGGCCAGCGCCTGTGGGGGGTTGGCGGCGCTGAAGGCCGCGAGGACCTGGGGCAGTAACTCGGAGACGTTGAGCTGGGCTGCGCCGAGGACAGCTGCCACGTCGGTAGGGAGAACCTGGTCCATTTTGTTGTTGTAGATTGCTGTGAAGATCGTGATGCCGATAATGCCGCCAAAAGCGCGAGCGGAAATGCTGAGGGTGCCGGCTGTGCCGAGCAGGAATGAAGGTACGGACAGCGACAGTGCAGCAACTTTGTGAGAAGAGTTAGATTGTGTGGTTCTGTGTGTGTCTTTTTGCACGGTAAAGAAAATGGCTCACCAGGAATAACTGTAGTGACGGCGGTTCCAGCGCCGAAGAGAGCAGAGAATGCAAAGAGCCAGTTGAGGCGGTTTGGGTTCAGCAACGCCATCAGGCCTATACAAAACAAGTTAATACACACACTTTCCTTTGTCAATGGCAGAGAGTAGATGGAGATGGACGAACCTGTGAATAGACTGCACCATGCTAGTGCAATGACGAGAAGCAGCCTGTACCGCTGAAGTTTGCTCATGATATATCCTGCTGGGAGGCACCCAAAGGCGGAGATGGCCAGGTACGGCATCAGATACTCCGCCACCTTCAGTGTATCTGAGTTGAAGACGATGGCAATCTGCTGGGCCAGAAGAACATTGACACCGAGAAGCAGCATTCCTATAATAACCGACAAGTTAGAATCCTATCTTATCTCAGAGCATGAAAATATAGGGGGAAATGATGTCGAGCGAACTGTAGGGAGATTCCATCGCCAGGAGAATAAAGAAAAGCTCACCATCAATTGCACACACGAAGAGAAGGATGGGGAAATTCCGGTTGACGAAGAGACGGTGGTCAAATATTCCCTCAGATGTGCCGTATGCTTCGTATAGACCAAACCCAATGAGCCCAACACAGCCGACGATGAGAGACGCCATAACCTGCTTGGAGTTCCAGGCATATGTTGTGCCGCCCCACGTAAGAGCAATCAGCAGGGAGGCCAGAGACCCTGTGAAGATTACAATGCCGATGTAGTCGACCTTGGCCAAGAAGCTGCGCGCGCTCGAGTTCTGGCGGCGGAGACCGGTGGGAGGCGGGTGGTAAAAGACCAGAACAAGTAGACTCGTGCAGCCATAGACGCACGCATTCAGATAGTACGACCAGCGCCAACCCTGATTGTATTTCTTAACAAAGTCTCCTGCTGCCAGAGTGCCGGCTACGACAGCAATGGAGGCCAAAGTCATGACGAAACCTTGAACCTTGGGGCGATGTTTGTTCGGGGACACTTCGAGTGCAGTGGGAACACCGATGATCTGGAAAAAGGAAAGAGGAACAAGAACAGTCAGCGATGTGTTGCATAGATCGCAAGTACCAGCAAGATGAATACACATACGCAGCCAGCATTTGCGAGACCGGTCAACACCTGTCCGGCGATGATTGTCATGGTGCTTTTCGCGGATCCAGCGACCACGGCCCCAACAACACCTATTGCCGCTGCCGAGACGATGAACCATTTCTTGCCAAACCTGTCACTGAGAAATCCCTAGGTAGTTTGACAACGTGTTAAAAAGTCTGGCTGGGTCCATTTGTCATGCAATTTGCGAGACAGCAAGGCTGGACTTACAAAAATAGGCCCAAAAGCGAGGGTAAGGAGAAAGTTGGCATTGGCAATCCATGACGACGCGGCTGAATCGCCGAGACTGGCAATCTCGGAGCGTATGACGGTGTTTGTCTGAGCAAGCAGTTGGATGAGCACACATTTTGTACCTCTCGAAATAAGCATCAAGCGTGCCAATATTATGTGGACTCACTGTGTTCGATATAGCAGCACACACATTCCCCATAGCCAGGGCAAAGATTGCTGCCAGTGTCCTCCAGTGCACCCGGTATTCTGACGAAGGCTCGAATTCGCTTGCGAGGGCGGACGCGTGAGCCTCATGGATTTCCTGGTGCTCCCGGTGGGTAGACCCAGGCATCGATTTCTCTTCGTCCATGATAGTCCTTGGTGGTCTGTCAACTGTCTGGTCAATTGCTGCTGCCTCTGTGTAGTTGCCGGAACACGTAATGCACTATCAATGAAGCTACCGATGATGGAGGGAAAGATCAAGGAAACATCACTTCCACGGGAGATTGAAAGAGAAGAAAAAGAGAGAAGGGAGCAGGCTGGTGGACTATCCAGATACACAAACCAGGCAAATAAAGTACGACGCGAGTCTCACTTTGCCCGTCAAACCCCTTTCCTTCTCGCAACAACACGCATTGCCGCCTTTCAGCCCTTATGAGTGACATGGGGAAGTGGACCCTAGTGGCCAACGCTACCCCGTGGGGGAGACGGAGAAGAGGATCCAGCAGAATGGAACGCTAGACCAGCGGCTTTTCCGAGTCGACGGCGCCCATGGTAATACCAGCCTTCCGGAGAGGCTAGGCCCCCTTGCGCAGACGCAAACTAGGCTTTTCCGGCTGCGGAGCTCTTTGTTGTTTACTCATCTATTACCTTGTCCATATACTGTAGAACAAGTACTACCGTAACACAACAAACAAACGCCGGTTTGAACACCAAAGCTTGTGGCGTCTCCAAGTGAGCCTCGTGAGTATTCTTAGCCGTGCACTGTTACGCCTAACTTCTGATGAGCTCCTGATGGAGTGAAACTGCCGTAGATGGCATCCGAAGTCTTGACACAATCCAGCATCTTCGGGCAGCACAACTGATTAAGTCATCAGTGCTCATGTTTAAGTAAACAAGTAAGTATAATCACCACCTATGGCACATTAACGCGGGATATCCGGACGAGAAACAGCCTACAGGACGAGATGGATCAGAGTGGTATTGAGCAGGGATTCGAAATCTACAGGGTATGCATCTCAGTAAAAATGGATATGCCTCTTAAGAGGGGCAAGAGAGAGACAACAGTCTGCGATTGGCAAGAGAATAAAGGAAGCAGGGAGGCATCGTGAACAGCTGACCCATCAGAATAACATCGACCCTCCCTCAAACGCACAGACCTGTCTGCCGTGTCAGTGAGAGAATGGTCTAGCCTTGTACCTCAGATCCATCTCTGGTGTTCCGGCTGGGGGCACGTCCACGACATCGGGGTTCAAATAAAAAGACGGGTCACCACCCCCTGTAAGACAAACGCTGAATCCATTGCCCAGCCAGCGTAGACGATTTTGGTCTTTGGCCTCAAAGTCAAAGTCCTCCCAGCGCGGTGCCCTGAGGGCCTCTAGCAGATGCAACATACTTCCCGGCCAGAGGGCTGAAATGCGTCCCCCCGTGCCGCCCTCGGTCTTGTACCAGCTCTTGCATTCGTCCATATACACAGTCCTCTTGAAATACTCTCCAACAAGGTCGGAAAAGTCCTCTACCCTCGCTTTCTTAGGCGCCATCGTGAGATAGTCCTCCTTTTGCAGCTTGCGGATGCATTTGATGATGTAGTCTCCCTCGGCTTCCAGGACTGGGTTCAGAGACCCAGCGGCGATGCCTGAGTTTGGTCCGAGCATCATGAAGTAGTTTGGAAAGCCGTCCACCGCTAGCGATAGGTAGCTCTTGGGGAATGGCGCGAACTTGTCCGCAATGGTCACGCCGTTTCTGCCGACCACCGTAAAGCCAGGGATACACGAGGTATCGAAGCCGGTTGCGCAGACGAGGACATCGGCATCTATTTGTCGCCCTTCCACTACCAGGCCAGTTTTGTTGATTACCTCAATATTCCTGGTAACGAGGTTGACGTTGGGCTCGCACAGGGCCTCTAGATAACCCGGACCAGGGGTGATCCTGCGACAGCCCACACCAAACGGCGGCGAGAAAACGTCAAGCAGGTCAGGCCTGTTCAAGAGTCTGTCCTGAGTCACTTTCGAAAACGTCTCTATGAATGTTCTTTGCATGTCGGAGCCGGTGAGGGAGGAGAAGTGGACGAAGTTGCCGTCATCGTCGAGTAGCTTTCTGAATTTGAGGTACGCTTCATCACTTTCCTCCCATTCTGCTTTGCGCTCATCCGAGACTGCGTTGTGGAAGTCAGCAAAAGAAGCAGAAGGCCGTATACTCGGATTCTCCTAAAGAGGCCGGACAACTAAAATCGCTCACTTTCCAAGTCCTTTGTATCCCATCCCATCTGGCCCATGATGTAGTCTCCGAACCGGTTTATGATCCAGGTCTTGTTTCGAACAAAGACGTGAAGCTGAGCGCCGTCAACTTTCTGCAGCTCTGGAACGATCTGGATGGAACTGGAACCGCCACCTATCACGGCAATCTTCTTGTTGCGGAAGTCGTACCTATTTTACGGTCAGGCCGCGTCTCATCAAGATAATAGCGCGCCGCTTACTTTTCGTTCCATGCTGAAGAGTGCATTTTCTCTCCTTCGAAATCATCGATTCCTGGGATCTGTGGCCACTTTGTCTTGTTCAGGGACCCACGGGCGGTCACCACAATGTCCACGGTCTCCACAATGTCCTCTTTGGTGTCCAGGCGGTGGACAGTCACGCGCCTGGAGTCAGAGTCAGTGAAAGCTTCAACTTTGCAACCATTACACACGTTGAACAGCGAGTGCGTTTTTGCAAGATCTACCCACCATTGTTTGAGACTTTCCACCCAAGTACAGTCAACGACTTCATGGTGCAGCTGAACAAACCTCTTCGCCCCATACTTCTCAGCCACGCCATCGATGTACTTGCAGATCTCTGTTGAGGTGGCGTAAAAGCCGGACCAGGCTTTGTTCGGTTCGAAGGTGAACTGATACGAATGGGCTTTATTGGACCAAACAGTGAGCGCCAGATGATATCGGGCGCGGCATCTGCTCACAATTACTCACCTGGTATGTCACAAGCGCAGCCGGGATACCTGTTCTCCCACCACGTGCCGCCGATGCCGCCATTCTTCTCATAGATCTTGAAGTCGATGTTTCGTAGACGCTGAGGGATTCTGATGCCAAGGTAGACGCCCGAGAGGCCAGCTCCGATGACCCTCACCTTCAGTGGCCGTTCGTTCTCGATGGGCTCCTCTTTGCAACGGAAGGGGGCTCCGGCCTCTCCGGAGATAGAGTCCCCCACCATCTCTACACGACGAGATCTTGAATACAATCTGATCAACGAAGTTGCTTGGGCCTGTTGATTCGGATGTCGAAACATGTAATCATTGCGGTCAACAGTTGTGGTACACACTGTTTCAATGTATCATTTTCAAATGAAAATAAATGGCAGATAACAGCGGACCCCGCATTCCACGGTCTGGGCATGCATGTACGACACGATCCACTCAACGGACAGCTTTACCGACTCGGAATGTCGGTTTCAGTCTACTGCGAGGGCGGCCCCCAAAGGGCGTTCGTGTGCAAGGAAATCATTTTTAGCGTTGTCAAAAGCTCGCTAACATCATTCGGTAGTCTTGAACAGCAACAAAAGAGAGAGGTTGATGGGAAGATGTGAACGTCAGGGGTTCCTCGCTTGACAGCCTCGCAATACTAATCGATTATGATGATAATTTCTGCTTGTGCCCACCTTTACCCATTCTAAATAATCAATAAATCTACCATATATTTGATGAATATTTGGCATCTGAGCTTGTTGGAGAATATTCTCTCCTTTCTTCTGTCTTGCTCTTTTTCTTTTTTGTCCATCATCATAAAATGGTTTGCCATGAAAACAACGATCAACGGCCGTATGATTGTCAAACACTCTCTACGCTACATGCTACCTTTTAATTACTTATATCAGAAAATGACCATGATGAGGATGCATAATGTCAGCATGCTAAATAGATTACAGCTTAGAAAGATATCGAATCCGAAATCAAGGTTCATGAGAGAACATACAAATTCGCGGACACGCCTCAGTCTTCTTCAAGTGGCAATATAATTCAAACATAGCAGCGCTCATTTCAGTCGGTGGTTCAGAACTAATTTGAGATACTTTAGTCATGACCCAAAAGAAACACTTATCATGAGTTCTGAAAGTGCTGAATTCTATTTGAAGGTCTTGGTGTGATTTCCAAGGTCATAGTATGTGATAAATGGTCAAGGCCATTGCCTTCGCAACCGCTGCTAAATGTGTCCGGTGGGCCAATACTGAGGAGGCCAGTGTGCTTGTTGGCTCTGAGGTGCCTGCCGTGTACATTTTGTTTTTCGAAACCGGACTTCGTTGTTGAATCCACTTACAGGATCGACTTCATCTGAGTGAGTCAACATTTGGAATCACACTCGTCCTGTCACCACCTCTTGGTCAGCTTCGCGGAATTCGGCAGACTCAAAAAGAAATTGACAATTCAGACTCGAGGTAGGTTGGGTGACATGCAGCCTACTTCAATCTGTCCTCTTGACATATCTGGCTAGTTAACGTAGGGTTGTACTTCTGATCATGTTACGCTTCAGGTGTCTCGTTGCCAATTGAATAACAAGGCTGTGGGAACGGCAGCGGGGCATCAGGGTCCCACACCTCCCTACAGACACGGCAGAGAGATAATCGATTGGGCAAAAATCCAAACTATTTGGGAACTGCTGACGTGTTAAATTGCTTATTTGCATCAGTTTGGGCGTTCAGTCATTCCCAAAATGCAACTCTGCCTGCCAATATCAAGAGACAAACTGTCCGGGTGGTCTGTCCCGGTGAGCTCTAGGTTTCTTTCGCAATTTCTGAGACTTGCTACTTACTTGTACAGCTACATTTGGGTTGGAGATTTTTATTTATTTATATATTCCTCGACATCAAGTCTTTCGTCCAGTTGTACTGGAGCTCTAATATTCATGTCTGTAGTATTGATATGGTTGGCGAGAACAGGTTATTCTGGCTCTTGCTACCTTGGATTGCAAGTGAGTTGCCATGCACTGTGCTCGAACACATTAGTTACCTTTCATACGCATCTGCATGAGGATCTCGAATAGTTCAGGAGACCCAACCGCGTCTATCTTCGGCCCTTTTATCCCGACCAAGCAGAAGTGGCTTGCAGACGTGCTAAAGGATGGGTAGCAATCGCTTAGAGGCTTGATAGCTCGAAAAGTCCAGCGCGAGTACGGAGCAAAGGAAAATTGCTCGTAGATGCAGATCCGGACCCGATTTTCAAGTGTGCTGAGCCTTACAAGTATCCCCATCACCCAGGTTTGCAGGATGTTTAGCACATAATGTGCATTATTGAATGCTATATTCTCTCAGGCTGCTCAGTTGAATAGCTTCCAAATTGTTACGCAATACCTTGAAACCGTCATTCATTACCGAATTATAAAATGGGCACACGCAACGGCAAATCCGAGTTGGTGGAGGGAATCTGCAATGGACTCATTGAATATGACTTTGAAGGAGTTCGCACAAGATTCTTACCCGAAGATGTGATTCACAATCTCATCAACGAAGCTTCTGTCAGGAATGAACTCAATTCTAAGGCCCGTTGTCTCGTGCAATCTCTCACCAGTCGAGGACCTGATGAACTCACAAAGTTTATCACGAATTCGAAAGACCCTGCGAAAAAGGTGTTCGCAGCTGCGATTCTTGCAAACATCAAAGATCAAGAACTGAGGAATTCAATGCGCGGCTTCAGGGACAAGAAGTTCACTGACAAAGACCTCCCTCTCCGAGAAGGGAGCGACATCCTTGAGAAGCGAAGCTATGATTTGTTCCAGGAAAAACAATTCCAAGTCTCTGCACACATTTTCACAGAGCCTGAGTGCGAAAAAGATTTCAGGGTCAAATTAAACACGTTCAGTATCTTTCCCTTCGAAGAAGTTGAGTCCAAAATTGGAGCTGGTGCATTCAGTAAAGTCTACAAAGTTCGGATACACAAGTCGCATCAAACAGTCAGTCATCTAAGCATGGGTACAGAATCATTGCTGATGTGTCCTCAGTTTCATGAAAAACAAGAGTGGTTTGCAATCAAGTCCATCACGGCTGACAGCCTGGACTGTAAGGCTACCGAGTCTGCGTTCAACCAAGAGGCGCAAGCCCTCTACGAGACGAGTCAGCTCAAGCACCCGAATATAGTCCGAGCATTTGCAGCAATAAGCAGGGGGAAGGGACGCTATTTCCTATTCGAATGGGCAAACAAGGGCAGTCTAGATGACTTCTACAAGTCAAAGGAGCCGGAATTGAGCCGCGGATACATCCGCAATATTGTTTCACAGCTCCTAGGATTAGCTAACGCCATACGCCGTCTTCATCATTTCGGAGGCGGAGAGTCATATCGCCATGGCGACTTGAAGCCGGCCAACATTCTCTGCTTCGGCGACGACAATGATAGCATTGGACGTTGGAAAATCAGTGACTTAGGGTTAGCGAAGCATCATATGGAAGTCACGGCTCTGCGAGGTCCAACGCAAACGAGACACAGCACGATACGCTATGAAGCACCAGAAACGACAACTTTACAGCAGGGAGGGAGGTCTCGCCAATACGACATGTGGTCCCTGGGCTGTATCACTCTGGAGCTGATAGTCTGGTTGCTGTATGGACACAAAGGCCGCGATGCCTTCAACCAAGACATTGGGGATAACAGCTATTACGAAGTCCACGACACGGGCGCTGTCGTTCATCCAAGCGTGAAGTTCTGGATGGACCATATCCAGGAAAATGACCCGGAGTGCAGTTGTGAATCTTCTGCTCTGCGCGATCTGCTGGGAATGGTTAATAAGAAACTGATTGTTGTCGCTGTCAATCCAGGTTCGAACACATCTGAAGAGTATTCAGTCAACACTTCCGAACACCCCGTCACCGTCACGGTAATGCAACCAGACAGCGGTGGTCCAGTCCAGCAGCAGTCATACCGGAGCACTGCGAAAGACTTCGATAATGCGCTGCGTAATATGACTAATCAACACCAGGATCATGATGATCCCTATTGGTTCACCGGAGCTAGAAGAGACCAAGTCCAGCGCCCTGTAATCCCCAAGCAGAGACAGAGACACGGAACTTATCTTAAGGTCGCCGATGCCATGAAGCCACCTCCGCGACAAAGGGAACCAGGCCTCCAACCGTCCCATGTAAGGAGAAACTATTCAATAGGGTCATCTTTTTGCTGATTCAGATATTTTCAGACTGTGCGTACGTGTCGCTGTCGACTCTAAGCCCCTTGGCTGACATTGGAAGCATCAATATTAGGGATCCTCACAAGACGTATGTCGACAGCCCCAACATTGTTTCAACGAGCTCCTACTAACCAAGTGTGTAGTATGTAAGACACCACTGCATTTACTGAGAGGCTGACAAACAAGCACCTAACAAGATCAATTCTTTCAATAGAAGGTAAGCCTGAAAGTTGCCCATCCCTTTATTTACCTTGGACTTTTTTAACGAATTCTGTTCTCCGAGGGGGGGAAATGCTAATATCATATTTAACAGCATGTAAGTTGGACCAGAAAATGCTTGCACGGGAGTATGTGAATTGCTGAGGCCTGAGCTGACTTATATTGTTTTCACAGCCGGTGAGAATCCAATTTGGTTGACCTACCATTACTGCTGCTGATTCGAAGGTCAGCCCGTATGTATCCCTTTTACATATAGACACGAGCAGTTCGCTGACAGATATTAGTTGAACATTGACGTCTGGAAATTTGAAATCGACAATACTTTTGCCAAAGAGACTCTCCGCAGGATTTCCTTGGTCGATTCAGAGCCTGTGGCCTCCCAAAAGCCCGCACAACTATGTCCAAAATGTAGCAAGATGAAATTCTGGGAACCTGCCTTCAAAATTGAAGAAAGAGCGCTTGATTTGGAAACTCAGTCCACAGAATGCGACTTCTGCCGACTTCGGTTGGAGGTCTGTCCGAATAACGCGTCTGAACGTAAGAAAGACAGTCTCCAGATTCGATTTGATCTGGAAGACAGCGTCTTCAAGTTGGCACCACACAACAAGCCTGTGCTTTCACTTCTCAGGAAACCGAAGAGTGGTACGTCAGCACAGAGGCAAACACACATTCAGCATTAATTCCTGACTCAGGACTAGAACTGGCACCCGTGTCGATGTCGAACATCCAGATTGGTGTGTCCCAACTTGCCAAAACTGGAAGCAAGGCACAACTTGAGATAATCAGACAATGGCTGGAGCATTGCGACAAAAACCACTCAGAATGTTGCCCTGCTGCCCTCTCAACCAGCGGCTTCTCCATCCCGACCCGGCTCGTCGATGTGGGAGAGCCACAATGTCCTTCAATCAAGCTCGTCAAGACGAAACCAGGCGACCAGATGAGATACATTGCATTGTCACATCAATGGGGGAAACTGAAGCACTTTTGTACCACGATGCAGAATATTGAGCATCACAGAGACAAGATCAACATGCACGAACTTCCAAGTACATTTCGCGATGCAGTGAATGTAACAAGGGGGCTGGGCATCCGTTATATATGGATTGACTCGATTTGCATCATTCAAGGAGCGGACGGCGATTTCCACCAAGAAGCTCCGAAGATGGAGGGAGTGTTCAGCTCAGCGTATGTGGTGTTGGCAGCGAGCTCGAGCGATGGGCAGAATGATGGGTTTCTCAAGGAGCGTGGAAGTCGGCAATGCATCAGGATCCTACACGAGAACATGCCGGACTTTTACATCGGTCATTTTATTGACGACTTCACCAAGGACGTCATAGACAGCCCGCTGAATAAACGCGGGTGGGTGCTTCAGGAACGAGCCTTAGCTCGCAGGACAATCTACTTCACACATACTCAGACATATTGGGAGTGTGGACAAGGAGTGCATTGTGAGACTTTCAGGAAGATGCATAAGTGAGTTCTCCGTTTGGACTTTAAGAAAAGCTTCTTGGCCAGTTGTTTCTAATACAAGATCTAACCAGCGAATTGTCATCATTCATTGGCGACCCAAATTTCCCAATGGTAGCCCTCAAATCCACACGCGGTGCTCGGATTCGGTTGTTCCAGAACTTGTACAGACAGTACTCTCGCCTTGATTTCACAAGGGACTACGACCGCCCTCTTGCAATCGCCGGGCTCGAGAAAAGGCTAATTCAGGCCTTCAATACGTCTGGAGGATTCGGTATCTTCGACGATGGGCGCGGTCTGCTCCGACGAAGCCTCTTGTGGTATCGCAGCAGCATCGACACACCCCTTAAACTCATTCAGTTTCCGAATGACTGGAAGTTGAAGGTGCCCAGTTGGTCCTGGATGGCCTATCAGGGGGGGATTGAGTACCTTGAATTGCCCTTCCAGGGGGTGGACTGGCTATTAGAGGAGATGACGCCGCCATGGTGCACGTCCGAGACTACATCTACCTGGCGTACAGGAGACGAAGAAGAAGTCCCAGAGCTGCATGCGGTAGCAAGAAGTTTTGATTTGGGCCGTATGGGCAGATCAACAAGAGGAGAGGCCCACGCCATATATGACAGACCTGTGGGCGGGACCAAGCCAAATTCCAGCCATAATTCAGTCAAATGTGTGGTCATGGGCAGGCTAAGGGATCCCGCACAAATCGAGCGAAACCGAAGACATTACGTTCTTTTAGTGAGAGAAGGTATCAGTGGAGGTCAGCGTCAGAGGCGCCCAGTCTGGGAGAGAGTAGGCGTTGGGTACTTACCGGGAGGCTGGATTTCATTGAATGACGACGGCATGGATGTTGTAGTTCGTTAAATCTACCTGTTGTCAACCCCTCAAGTCTCCCTGTATCTTGAGGATTCACAATAAAACTTTCGCCTGACTCAGAGTCCACCGTCTCCGAGAATTCATTTGATCTCACAAGTCTACAGGTCTTGGCGGATGTGGATGATGAATGTCCCTAAAAGCATCAAGAATAAATAGTGTTTAACTTCCGCTTGCTTATATGCCTCAGGGTGACAATATTATCTGAAGTCGCTAATCATGTTTGTTACATAAGCAACAGCTGTCCCTATCCCTTTTGACCAATACCAGAGCATTTCCCAATGCTTGGTCTGTCAGAATGGGGGTTGAAGAGCGAGGCATCACTCGACTGATTCCCGCACGTGCACAGCCTCTTTAGGATTAGCATCGATGATTTTCAGCTGCGGGATACAGAATAACGCAGGTGCTTATCCCCGCCGATAAGAGCCCAACTGGTAACTTTTGTATGCCCAACGCTTTTCCTCTGTGCTCTTAAATACACGATCTGCAGGCACGCAACCATTTTCTGTGCTCTGAGTGTTACCGAAGACTGCCGTGTGGATCAACACAGGGTTGCATCGCAGGGAACCGTCTTCTTTGCACACCTTCCTTTCACGAAACGGACACAGCCCATGTTAGACAGCAGAACGAACACAGCCCATGTCAGACAGTAGGAGGGGGCTGCCCTCGGGCACCCCTACGAACTCTGTGATGCCGCTTCGAAAGATGTACTTGGTGTCTCAAGTTGGTATACGTCGCGATGTCATCACGCGCGACATTTGCCGTTACCTTGGTAGAGACGCTGTTGTTCACCCCGGAACTTTCCTAGTAACTATACGTACCTATAGTAGTCGCGGGGGTTTTTGTGTTTCTTTCTGTGACTGACACGCTGGTGTTTCCGCCCAGTTCTACGACCATGAAACCGACCAACATAAGGAAGCCTACCGCATCGATGCCTCTCAGAAGTTGACTCCTGATATAATACAAAAGCTCAAGAACAATTCCACCCGCTTAGAGCAAGAGGGGTGGGCAAACTCTAGTGGAGACTCCGAGTCCCACCGGTCCAGAGGTGCATACAGCCCTCCCTCATACCCTGGAAGAGATGCTCCCGGCTACAGTGGCAGCTATGAATCCGCATACAATCATGAGGAATACGCGATACAGTCCTTGGCAGGATACAGCAACATTTCAAACTCTTCACAAAGCCAGAGTCAGTACCCTCAGAGTCAGACGGATTATGGAGTTGCACGTAAATCTCGTCCTGTACACTCTCGAAGCAAAGCGCCCAGCCATAGCAGCAGCCATGGATCCTCATACCATCAGCAGGAATACGCAGTACAGCTCTTAGCAGGATACAGCGATATTCCAACCTTTTCGCAAGACCAACATCAATACTCTCAGAGTCAGACAGATTATGGAGTTGTACCCAAATCTCGTCTCTTACACTCTAGAAGGAATGCTCCTGGCTTTAGCGGCAGCCATGGATCCGGATACAACATTGCCCTGCACTCTTCACAAGGTCAGAGCCTGGATTCCCAAGATGATCCACTGCAGGATATGCCTCTAGCTACCATGGCCGATGGGGATCACAAACGGTGGCAGCACAATCAAGACAGGATGAGGGACTTGCCAAACATTCCGGATTGACCAGGAAAGAGAAGCTTTGTTTCGGTTTATCAAGGTTACATATTAGTTTATCGGCCAGAATAAAGTACTTGTTTGACTTTTGAGCTGAAGTTATATGCTATTCATGAATACAATTACTGGAATACACGTGGATAGATTGAGAACCTTATTTCTTTTCTTTTCCGTTGAAACCCATCTTACCCAAAGACGCGAGTGATTCAGCTCCGTTAAGGGGCCCAAATACAGCAATGAGCGCTCATATTTCGCGCCATCTGCAAACCAATAACAAAAGCTAGACTTTTATGATATTCTAGCCAGGAAATTTTGACCGAGCCCAGCCCCAAGCCCTTATGATGTGCCAGCTCATCCAGCTTAGCAATGTAGCTAGAATAGACATCAACCTCGGAGTCAACCAGCACAAGATAGACAATCCTTCCCAGATCAACCAAAACAAGATGATGTTTTCATATTCTTCTGTTTTTCCTTTATCCGATTCTTGATTCCCATCTGACCCGATCCCATCATCAGATCTTGCCTCCGGCGCCGCTCCAGGGATAGCTACGAGATCGCTAGCGCTACTTGCGCCGCTGCTTCTGAGGTCTTCGTCAGGCTCACCGGGAGGCTCACTAGGAGATTCATCGATCTGTTCGTCTCTAGGCCCTGTCGACAAAGTCTCTGTAGCATTCTGATTAATAGCCAAATGTGCGTGTCGATGACCGGGAGCAGTTAGGTTCCCGGAACCCTGATGGGGTGCTTCTGGAATAGGGGCACCATCTGAAGTTCCATAACCGGCTTGGTCTTCGCGTTGTTCAGAGCTCGAGGATGCCCAAGACCACCTGAACGTCTTAGGCCAGCTTAGCATCCAGGATGGGACCGGAACGAGCAAAATCGTTAAGAAAAATGCCAAAAAGTCGACATTGCGGTGGCTGTAGCTTCGAAATTTGAACAGACCGCATAGGTTTCCCGCTTCTCTTGGCGTCTTCTCAATGTACCCATCAGCGCCTACATGCAACGCATCCTCTCCGCTGGCGATGCTCCAGGCGTCGAACTGTATACGTGCCAGGGATGTTTCAAATAGCAACTTTGCCTCATCAACCCACTTTGTCGTATCAGAAGTCAGTAAATGTCTATCGAAATTTCGATCACCAAGCAAGCCGACAGGAGACTGCAGATTCTCACATGATTTTCGGGTAATGCGGCCGATGTAAACTGCGAGACCTTCTCTTGTGCAATAAGAGCCGATCCCAATCGCTTGGCTATGGAATCGTACGTGTTCGAGGCATTAAGCGCGAGATCCATGAGCCAGTATGCAGGTGGGAGGCCAGATATACGGTTGTCCCTCGACCAGCGCTTCTGCCCATCAGGGGACCGGAATTCCTAGCCGCCGATTAGTATCCAGTAAATGGAATTGGAGTAGAACGGAGAGTCATGGCTTGGATTACAAGGTTGGGAATTGAAAACAAAATCTTTCTGGACTAACATAACTATCACTGCAGACCAACACTCGGTACCTCGGGTCCGACTTATAGTACCAGAGACTGCCATCGATATCGATGTCGTTGTCCGTTGGGAAAATCGGATCCGTGCTGGGTTTGACAAATAATATTCGCAGTGACGAAATGAACATAATCGTCAAAGAATATCCTTCCATTGTGTTGGAGCGCAGGCCTTCCAGTGGCGTCCAGTAATTTGAAGTTGGCGACTTGGCTGGATCCCATGTATAGGCCCTAGTTCCGTGTCAATCTTCCCAGTAATGAACCTGACGCCATCCCCTTGAGAATATACTCACTCGACATTGTAAGCTGGCAATCGAATGTTGAAGGGATTCCCGGTACTAGAGAAGGTCGACTCCTTGACGTTTTCGCCGTCATGGATTTGACCATAGTAATAATCGAAGACCGTGGAGCCATTCACATCTTTGCTGCGCACGTAAGGAGAGCCAATGCTCAGGGGTGTGCATGTTGAGGATCGGCGAAACTTGTAAGTCTCCTCAGGTGGAGCGTTGATGCCGAGCAGACTTGCGTCTACGAGACCTGTGTCGAATGTAACAGCTTGCGTGCCTTTCATGCAGAGATTCCGGTCTTTGAACGGACACTCATAAGTCCACGATGACGTACTGAAGCTGATGTTGGGCTGATAGAAAAAGTTGCAGAACATGGACTGAAACGCGTGCGGTGGGCTGTAGCAGCTCTTGGCGTAATCTCCTGCCCGAGACTCTTTCCCACGATCGAAAACGTCGTGCCGCGAAGCAGCGCCGTCCCCTGAGTTGTCACTGTCAAATTCCCAGACACCACAGCGCGGAGAGTACCACAAAGCAACTCCATCCGTCATCACTTTTGCGGCGAAGACACCTCCAATGACACGACCGATCCACAGTGCCACCAAGATTATATAGACGAGGATGAGAGGCACGAAGTGGTATCCGCTCGTTTGGCGGCTTGCCTTCCGTAGAGGCTGAAAGAATTCGCGAACGCCGCCGACATCCTTTGTCTGTTCCAGGAAATCTCTGGCTGATGGCTGTTGCTTATGGCGCAACAGGCTTTGACTTTCAGGATCCTGTTTCGTGCGCCTTCGTACTTGACTTGCCCAGTCTATGAATCGTGCTGCATTTATTATGAGAAATAAGCCTATCTTGAAAAGATACGGGCCCGAGATAGCGAGAACAACGCCTAGAGTCGTCGTTAAAATGGAAGCCCAATGTTCTTCCAAGAGCAGCTTCCACTCTGTTTTTTGTTAGTACAGTAGAGACCGGGCTCAATGCTGAATGCGCGGATTCCTTACGGTTTGAGTTGAAATCCCACCACAGACCCGTTTTGACATTTTGCTGGGAAAGAAAAGGACTCGACTCCATGTCTCTGGGCAAGTAGTTATAGATTTCTTTTTCTTCATCCGAGCCCTGTCGTTTGTATGTGCTCAGGACGAGATATTCCGATGTGAGAAATCTTAAATGCGGCTGAAACTGCGTGTCACGTGAATAAGCACTTGTTATAATTATTGGTTATCACAGGGCCTCTCAAACTGCCAGGTGGCTAGGGGAATGTTATCTTGGCTGTCAGTACGGACTCAAACTCTTCCGGGTTATTTGCTCGCTCTGATAGGCAGCAGTCATCTTCCACGACTCCTTTCCAGCTCGTTTCCACGTTGCATATTCCCGAGACTTGGAAATTCGTGAAAACCTAGGACTTAGCGGTGGCTTTTTATCTGAGCATGGAAGTCCGGAAGTCGTTTTGTCTGCGGTAGTTATGTCCCCGGTTTTTCCCAAGCTGAGTATCATGACCAGTGTGTCTGTGGCGCAAGCTCGGAATGGTATCTTTTTTTGGCCGCCAAGGTTGATGGCAGCCAGAGTATATGGCCCTTACGGCAGAGATCCAGAATGGCCTCAAGGGCGACAGATACTGACCTCAGATTATTATTATTCATACGAAGGCAGAGAAGGCTGACCTGTGACCACGGAGGAGAATTTACTACGCCCGCCGACTCAACAGGTGGCCAGACTGGTAAAGCCCTTTTCGTATAGGACCGGTCACGGCGTCTACTTGAGGCGGTTAATAAAATACGTACGAGGCGAGCACCGCCAGAAGCCGCCTGCGATCAAGCTCTTGCGTTGTTCTTAGAGATCCTCACGTCTCTAGCTTCGGCCGTGGAAGAAGCATTGGGCGCAGAAATGAGCCGCACCAAACACGGCTCCCACCAGTTTGCCTTCAGCAAGAATGAGGTCCTCATGGCATCGCCATGGGAGTTCAACATCCCCTTTTCGCGTGCTATGCTCTTGGTAAAGTTGGAACTCGTTCTGTTGGGACCTCTACACCCGTTCGTATCGCAGAGGCCAGGCATGTCGCAGCACAACCACGCGAAAACGAGAGGGACTATGGCGGCGAGCGCGGTACAGTATTGGCCTTCGAGCAGGCGCGGGAACTCGTTTGGATGCGCGAGGACGATGCAAGCTCACGATGGAGCGACTACGAAAATCCATGTGGGAGTTGGATGTTTCTCGAGGGGGAAGAGAGGGGGAGGGAGATGAAGGCCAATGGGACGTGGGTTGAACCGTCGAGGAAAGGCGTGCTAGAGTTGCCTGTGAAGAGCTTCTCAAAGGTTTCTAGACCTTCTTCAAGGCGACGCCAGAACTGGCAGAGGACCTGGAATGCTGGAGATGGTATTTTGGCAATTGATAAGAAAAGAGGATCGAGAAGAAGTAGTCACCGGAACCAATAGTGGGCTGCTCAGTGCTAAGATAAATAAATGGGTGGTGGTGTCATTCTCTGTACTTGGATCTTGCGGGGCTGTGATCGCTGTACAGGGGGGACCCTACTGTAATCTAGGTAGTCTAGCGCTAGCGTGAGGCTCGCCTGAACCCTTGTCGAAGCTCGTCAAGAATGAATCATATTCAGTCATCATCCGCCATATTTGACGACGACAACAGCAACGACATCAACAACACGTGTACACTTCTTCCCACTCGGTTTTTTATAAGTAGGAGGGGAAAGACTTGCTGTTGCACATACGATACCATCCACCAGCTTCATCAGACAACTCATCTCGCACGCTCAACATCCTGTATCGGAGGTCTTTCGTTCTCTTGCCTTGATTAGAAGAGTTAAGCTTATTTGGATGAGCGCCGCATCGTTGGAGCCTCAACAAACCACCCAGACCAGCATCATGATCTCCGCCACCAGCCGTCCAGAAGGTGCACCAAGCCAGCCACAAGCTGTGACAGCACCACCAGCCTCTCGTGTTGTCGTCAAGCCCGTCCCCAAGGCGCAGCACGACGATCCTCGAACCTACCAGCTCAACCAGCTGCGGAAACGGTACTCACCAAAAGAGTCCACTGTGGACAATGGAGCTGCCACATCGCTGGTTTTTAAGCTGGCGCCGTCAGATCCAGACTTCCCCTTCGAGCTGGACCACCTAGAGTGCGACCTCAGGGTGCCCAAGAACTATCCCAAGGAGGGCTCACCCCCGAGACTGACCGTCTTGAACAAGGACATGCCTCGAGGTTTTGCCATCAATGTCGAGAAGGGTTGGAGTCAGCTCGTGGAAGAGAGGAAAGGAGCAACACTTCTGGCGCTGACGAATGCTCTGGACAAGCACCTTGAGGCCTTTCTCTCGGAGCAAAAGGCTGAGACGGTCAAGGTCACCATCTATAAGGACACCAGGCATATCAGCGCCGCTGCTCCCGATGTGCCCCAGCTGACTTCTCAATCGGCGTCATCTGGGCCCGTGTCTGTGCCTGTCAGTGTTCCTGTAGCGCCTAGCAGACCCTTTACACAAGAAGAGACATACACGAAGGAGCAGATTGCCGAGGCGAAGGCTAGGCGGGCCCAGGAAACGAGGCAGATCGAGACGCGGATGGGTCGGCTTTCTCACTACCATAAATCGAGCGACGGCATAGTCTACACGTTATCACTTGAACCGAAGCGCCGCTCAGAACTTCCCGCCGGCCTGCGTGGTGTCAACTCGCTGCAGCTGATCGTGCCAATCCTGTACCCGCTACAGCCACTGCGCATCTTGCTCAACGACGCCGACTCCGAAGATGCCGAGCCTGTTGAGGAGCTATTCGCTGAGAAGGCGAGAGAAAAGAAGGAGCTGACGCTGATGAGCCACGTCAATCTGCTGACCCAGAGCATCCACGTCCTGGCCAAGCAGGCACAGTCTCGCCAAAAGTCTGTAAAGCCAGTCGCTCAGGACGCAGAGGAGGCGACTGCTACCGTCTCCACTGAAGATGATGCTGCCAAGATATCAGATGCCATCGAGACTGGGAAGGGCAATGTGCAAGTCATCCCTCGGCCTCCCGAATGGTACACGGACGCCGAGGCCGACCACACGGGCGAGGACTCGTATGAGTCCACAGACTCATCAGAAGACGAAGAGGGAGGCGCCGCTGTGTCTCCTGAGCAGCAGCCCTCTGCATCGAGCCTACCGTCGCAAACATCCGAGCGGGGAACAGCCATATCATTCCCCTCGGTTGAGCTTCACGGTATCGAACTGCTTCAGGTCTCGATTCTCTCGATCGGCGTGAAGTGCGATCGCTGCAAGACCATCAACGAAATCGGTGGTCTCAAGCCCAACACCGCCAAAACGAACGAGTCCTGCCGCAAGTGCGCCACGCCATTTACGGTCACGTTCCGCCCCGAGCTCGTCCACGCCAGCTCCACACGAGCCGGCTTTCTCGATGCTACGGGCTGTACCGTCTCGGACATGCTCCCGTCCACTTTCATCCCCACGTGCGGCAAGTGCTCGACACCCACGGCGCAGGGCCTCGTCGCCGTGCGGGGAGACACCACGACCAACGTCTGCCGTGAATGCCACGCACGTTTCACCTTCAAGATCCCCGAGGTGAAGTTTCTCGCGTACAGCCCCGGCAGCGGTGTCTTGCCGCCCACTTCTGGGCCCCGGCGCCGCCAGGAGAAGCTTGGTCTACATGCTGGCGAGCCGCTTCCCAACAAGGGCGCGTGCAAGCACTACCGCAAGAGCTACCGCTGGTTCCGGTTCAGCTGCTGCAACAAGGTTTATCCGTGCGACCACTGCCATGAGGAGGCCGAGGACCACATCAACGAGTGGGCGAACCGCATGATCTGCGGCTGGTGCTCGCGGGAGCAGAACTACGCCGTGACCAACTGCACCTTCTGCGGGCGGAGCGTCGTGGGCAGACGCGGGCGAGGCTTCTGGGAGGGCGGCAAGGGCACCAGAGACCAGAGACTCATGTCGAGGAAGGACCCGAGGAAATACAAGAGGATCGGGGGCGTGGAGACGAAGAAGGGCGAGTAGTAGATCAGCACGCACGAGTCTCAACAATATATGACTGAACGGGGACCGATATCATTCCAAGCCAGGAAGAACGGTAATTACCAAACATTTACAAACCTCACAACTATCATGATGCTGTTTCATTCTATCTCAAGACGCAGTTCATTGTTCATGATACTTTTCGCAAATGCAAGAACTTGCCCGAATCTCTACTACTCTTCGTGCCTCCCACTTCAGAGACGGCTCGAGATTCTGCTGACTACCTTTCTCATCTCCTACAAAAAATATGAAGCCGGTTGGTCTCCACTCAAGTTCCTTTGCAGAATGAAATGAACTACTTGCGAACTACAGAGCAAAGCTTCGGCTCCCTTCACTAGCAAACTATGAACAATACATGATGTACAATGCGATGGCCCCGTGGGCCCTACAGCTCCGACTATGTGGTCTAGAACCAATCATAGTTTGATGCACATGCGCAATTAAATACCGTATGCTTGGGTCTTGTGGAGGGTCGCAGGCGAGGGAAGACAAAACTCCTCGGGATGACCTCTCACCTCATCGCTTAGGTATGGGTTACGAAAGGAGACCCCCACGGGTGTGCAAGTGGCTTGCATGCATATATTCATGGTGTGGTATCGCAATGCTTATCGTTCAAAAGGGTTCTCTTGAGGCGGTCTGTCAAATCCTCTGTGCGTCAGCCCATGTTCAGGAGTAATACTGTCAATGTCATTTCAATTACGAGTTGTTATTGTGACTTTACCTGCTTTCCTCCGAGTCACAGTACTTCTCAGGGGCAGACTGGACAAAACAAGATGTATTGGTGGGTAAAGAAAGTTAAGAACACGTCGACATGGTCGTATCGGCTGTTCACCTCCTCACATGCACAATTCCCAATATTTTGCTTCGTGCTCGCTGTCCAGGATGCAAGCTTTTGTCCATCAGCCAATCACGAAGTTGGCCCATCTTTCGGCCTTTCCACCTCTCTCAAAGCTACTCGTACTCGCAATACGGCACAGCGGGACTGGCAATCTTTTCTCTTCTTCGACTCAGCGTATGGGAACAGCGCTGCTGTTGGCAGTTCCGATAGTTCCCGGGGACGTGATGCCTCTCTTCTTTTTACAGGGGATAACAATATGTGTGTCAATTATGGGAAACTGACGGGAAGATCACATCTTCTCTTCCGTCCAGTAACTCAACATAAGAATACAAGTACATATCACATATGAGCGTCTCGTTGACCCTATCTCAAGGCCTGCAGGTGCGTGCAGCGTGACAAAGACAAGGACAGGCTGCAGCAAAAAAAAAAAAAAAAAAAAGAAAAGAAAAGAAAAAGCAACAGCAGCAGCTGTCCGCCCAGTCAGAAATTGACGATTTGGAACCCCATTCACACCTAGGGTATGGGGCCCGAGCCGTTTACGAAAATGCACACCCCACGCAGGACCCCCCATCTCCCCGTGCAGCCGGGTGGCTGAGTGAGCCGGATTCCGGGGAGCCGTCCCATTCGCGGCTCAACTAATTACAAAAAGGGAAGAAAAGGGAAAGAGGGGGGGTATAAAGAAAACGGTGGGAAGGGTGGGTGGTCAGGGTCGCACTCCCACCCGTGTCCGTTCCTTGTGGTGGTGACGGATGACCGGGTTTGAAACGAACATTGACAATGTATCCCCTGACCGGTTTCCAAAAAGGGATTTCTCACCCTCCCAAAGGGCCACCACGTGCAGCATCAACCTTCAGACCGGCTGCAGGGTATGCGGCATGCTCACACCCTCTACTTCTCTTGTTGTTGACCCCCCCCCCTCCCCTTTTCTCCTCTTGGTAACGTACAAGGGAGGCCCGGCACCCCACCTTCTCTGTTCTCTTTCTGTTCATCTTTCACAACCACTTAGTGATGCAAGGAGCCGGATAAAATGAGGAGAGGATGCGCGTTCCGTCAATCAGTTACACCGAACAATGATCCTCTTTTGTCCAGGGAGTAGACAAGTCTTGACTTCTTTTGACCTTTGTCCTGCGTCGCTCGTCTCAGCCCACCTCATCCTTTGCCAACCTGCATAGTCTGCTGTCGTGTAAGATGACCAATCATTATTCCCCCCTCGTTGGAATTTCTGCCCGTCTTTGGTCCCCGTGGGGGTAACAGAGAGTGAGACAGACAGACATGGAGAGTGGTGCGCATCTTGGGACGGTGACGGCCGTCCAGGTTATCGTACATAAGCAATAATTACCTACAGGGTTTCTTTGCTCCGCATTATGTGTCTCGCAACGACAACTCTAGCAACAGCAAAGACCCAGTATGCCCCTGGGTTTAACCGAGATGCTATAGTATACAACCGGAGAAACGGGACGCGAAGCGCTGTGCATGGCCCGCGGGCAAACGTACCCTCAGACAACGGGTGTATATGTGGTTTGGTCCGTTTTGCCGTATCCAGTCTGGTCTGCTTTTACATGCTTGTTCTTGCAGGTGATTGCTTGTGAGAGATGACGACAAGCAATAAAATAGATGGGTGGCACTGAGGTTTTCTCAGAATAGCGGTCAGGATGGATGGCATCAAAGCGGGTCGAGAGCGAGTTGTCAGGCTAGGACGTATTCTTTTCTTCTTCTTTTTCTTCTCCTTTGTCTCTCCTCTGTAATGACTTGTCTCAACTTAACGTTGGTCATGACAACTCTACTGTTGGGCATGGCAATATCATCAGCCAAAACATGCTCACAAGTCGCAACAGATGCTCACGTAAACCTCCATCCATTCAAAATCTGCTACTACATACAAACGTTATTTGTGTTGATCTGCACAATTTGATCATCTCAGCTGCCCCATGGCTGACACGTTGGCGTCAGAGGAGGAATATCAAGACCATAATTGTGGCCCATTTCTTTTCCAGCTACCCATTGGATGCGGAAAGTTAGACGACTTCGTAACAAGTACAACGATCTGAAAACTCTGGGGTACATTGTACCATAACATTGTCGCTGTTTGTTACCGACTTTCTTGACCCTGTCTGGAGCATTATGTGATATTCAAACACATGTAACATGATGTGCGTTGGCTCAACAACTCACACCCCCCTCCTTGGGAACCTCGAATCCACTCAACGATCTCACAAGCTTTGGCTTGCCTATCGGTAAGAAGGGAAGAGAAGGGTGGGGTAAATGAGAGGTACGATCTGCGCTGAATGGACTGGCTTACACAATACCGGTTGACGGCATCCTGCTGACCTGAAGGAGTGGCTCTCATCTCGTGATGGATCAGCCGGGGAGGGGGAAGAGAAAAAAAGACAACACCAGACACTCTACAGTACGCCACGCCGGCTAAAGGTCACGAGACGTGGGCTGACGTCCATACACATGGATATTGTACATATCCGGATCTACCGGCCTACCAGAGATCATCCCGTTCCTCCTGTAATGATACTAGTAGCGAAAGGCGCGCGGGAAACAAGCTGCTTGACTAGTTCCAACTTCCTGCTTCTGCTTAGCCATCATCATCACCTTCACTTGGAGAATCCTGTCTCTCTCTCCACCAAATAATCCATTTCATGAAACGAGAGTCGTCAGACGCGACATGGCCCCCGCCAGGCACTCCCGCCACGGGCACAGCGTATCAAGGCCCGGACCGTCGTAAGATTCGTCACCCTACAAGCACGACGCTCGCTTAGGTCCGGGTCATCCAGTGAGCAAGTAGGACGGCGAGTGCCATTTGTGCAGAGATTACACCATGTCCCAGGAGCGTGGGTTGTGTGGTGACCGTTGAGAGTCTTGTGATGGTGCTGAGGAGGAAAATGGTCAGGCTGCTAAGTGAATTTCTCTTGTGGGTGTTGTTGTTCTCTCGCCCCCAACTCTACACAGTCAGACTCTGCCGCCCTTGTGAGCATGCTTGTCTGAACCCCTTCTCCGTCACCTCAAATCCCCCCAGCGCATTCCTTTTCTTCTTCTGATGGCTGAAGCAATGTTGTTTCTTTTTTCAGACTGACCCAAGGGCTGAACTCAGTTCCGAATCTTCATCCTTCTGTCTGAGACTACTCAGACAGTTGTTGCTCAGGAGTTTCTTCAAGAGCAGCTGTCCACCGTCTCAAACTCCAGGATATCTTCTCCATCTGAGTATGACTACTCCGCGTGGTGTCTTACCTTGCTCGTAGTTATTTCACTTACTCTTCAGCTCTATGAGAACCTGGGGTATGGTACAGTCATGACCCTCTGTATGTGGTACAACAAAGTGTGGGCCTGTCTGTCCTGTTCCCCCGATGCTCGACATGCCGAGTGTCTGAGGTGAGGTGATCTCTTGCAGTCCAGAAACCACAACTCAAACCTCACTTGCCGATCAGACCGCGCCACCCTGTCGATGATGAACAGCAGGTCTTTGGCTCACTAAGTAGATATTGCCTTCGCCAGGTAGACATGTTTGCTCGTTTACTAAGACCTTGGGTAAAGGTTGGTCTTTTGGTGCCAGCAGCGGCCAATGGGCGAAGCTCCATGGGGTCAAAAACGGACTGCGAGGTCGTACTGATCTTACCTGCCAGCACAACTCTAAAAGATGATGTCTCAGTGATACTTACACAAGGCAGGAATTGTGCTGGAGGTGAGCTGATGGCCAGGTTCATTCTTTGCTGCCTTCTGAGACACCCCTCTCTCTACTACTCTTGGTTCTCTCATCGTAAGCCCTGCCATATCCAGTTGAGGTCATCATTGAACCCAGGTTCAGCATAATCATGAGTCATAGTATTGGTCTCTGTCTAGTCACCAAGACTTGAATAGTCAGTCATCCATCAGAACAAGTACGTTTTACGCAGACATTGTATCCCCTCAACACATCTGGAGCCAAAATAGGCTGAGAATGTCGGACCATTGTCCGAGCCCTGCCCTCCCCTCTCACAATCATGATTCCCAATCCGATGGACCGGCTCCGAGATGTGTAGTACAACACATACTCTATGGAGAACACCCCTTTCTCCGACGAGTCTACATTCTACATCGCCCCTCCATACCTCCCCCCTCCTCTCTTCGCACTCTCGTCTCCAAATTCCACACGTTTCAATGGTCCGATGTAAGGCTGCTCTGGGGCTGCAGTGACACCCTACAGACTGCCACAGCCAAACGAAACTTATTCCATCTTGGGAACCGTGGCGAGTAAAGAAAAAGAAAAAAGGCATATGAAGGAGGAATGGTCAGACGGGGCTCCGCTTCGTCCTCCCCCGTCTCCATGTCGTGCTACCCCAAGATTCGCTTGCGGGCTCGTAGACTTGGTTTTAAATGATACTCGTGCCACGCTTTTGATTCAGCACTGGTGTCACGATGGCAGAGGTCAAGTGAGGACGGGCACGCACCCGCTCTGGGTCAAAGATGGCGTGGTGCATCGCTGAAGCGAGCTGGGCAAGCTTGGTCGACAGCCACAGATACGGTTAGGAGGAACCCTCACCTGAACAATAGACTTCCACTCGTCTGTCTGGGATGAGAATAAGGCAGGTCGAGCCGCATCGGACTCTTCCAAAAGGCAGGTCCAAGAGTGAACTCTCCTCTTTGTTCTGTCTCGGCGCCCTGTAATACCCTCTTTACGTCGTTTCCCGCGCCTCTTCCGCTTCATGGGCTTAGACAAGCCATGTCCGCCAAATTCAAGGGGAAACGAGAATGCCACGATACGGGGACTCGCCTTCAAAGACGAAGCAAGTATATGAGGAGGAGAAAATATGGGTAGTAATTTCGGGAAAACAGGCAAAGATTTGCCTGGTTACATCAGCCACCAGGGGATTTTGCCACGGCAAGTGGCTGGCTGGTATTTCTCTGTTCGTTTTCCCCTGCAGCATCCACACTCAGCCGCGCTGTACTATGTGATAACCAGATCGTCGGGACCAACAAGTGACAGAGAGAGAACACCAGGGAAAAAAAGACATTGCCACCTACATTGATATCGTCACCATTAGGTACTAGATAAGAAAGGTTTCTCGGCAAGGGATTGCCGTCCTCGTCAACGGTGGACCTAAGTTGAAAAGGAAAGACGGAAGTGTTTTTTTCAGGAGAGAGAGAGAAAAAAAAAAGGAGAGGGAAAAGGAGAGGGAAAAGCAGAGGGAAAAGGAAAGGGAGAAGAAATCGACAAAGAACAAGAAAAGGGTACAAGACCACATTCTCTCATCCCCTTCATCTTCCCACTTCCAGTATGAACACGGGAAGGAGGAAAGGGGGGGGGGGGTGGATGGGATTCAAGATGTTGTGCACACACAAGTGCCACAGAGTCATAAGACCGGCATCTTGCAGCGATATAATCTCACCGCATTTGTTCATATGGGCGGCCGTCCCGGTAAGCCTTGTCTTCGCCGCCCTTGCCTCTCTCTGTGTCTGTGCTCACCGCACCATCGTCATTATCACCAACAAAGTAAGAGAGAGCCATTGCAACGTTTCCAGTGAGCCAACACTTGTTGATCGGACCCCCCCCCCCCTTTCCCTCCTGTTGCTGGCTGGCTGGCGCTGCTGTGCTTCCATGGCTAAGTCCCGGAACCTGGGGAAAACTCGATGCTGTGTGTCTCTGAGTGTGGATCTTGTGTCATCGAATCCCCGTAATATGATCTCGTAGGCGTGACTACATTCCTCTCTTTCCTCCCCTACAGTCTCTCTCCATTCTCATCCCGTTCACCTGTGCACCGTTGCATGGGCACAGATAGTGGTACGGGAAGAGGAGTGAAGCCCAGTTTTGTTAGTTCTTCCCACCTCCCCCCCCCCCCCCCCGTCCGTTCGTATTGCGTCTCAAGTTGAGGCAGAAAAAGAAAGAAGAAGGAATAAGAAGCAACCCGGCCGTAAAAGGCCCCCTGGCGGTCAGGTCCAGCAAGGAAACCCAAACACGTGTGGCCGCCCGCATGGCTGTGGCTGGGTGGGTGGGCCGGCCTCCCACGTCAACTTCTTTCGACCAGTACCCACCAGAACAGAGCATTGCGAGGAAACAAAAAGGATTTGGGACATTGCGGGCAGAGCAAGTCTTGTACCACGTTGCAGCAGAAGCAAGAGAAAACGCTCAGCTGGTGTGCTACGAGACACTGTGGGCTGCCTCGTACGTGAATCAACAGAGTCAGAAACGGAGGGGAGGCGTTATCGATCTGATAAAATCAGCTGAAGAAAACGGGAAAAAAAGAAATAGAAAATAAAAGAAAGAAATAAAAGGAAAATTGAAAATTCCTGGGAAGATAAAATTTTTATTCTCCCAAGGTGTGTACACTCACCTAACCTAGCATCGTATTCTGTCCCGCTTTTGTATGGATGGGGGGCACCAGCGTTGCACAACATGATGCGCCTCTAATAGTCTGACGTGCCATGGAAGTTCTCCAGAAGCCCCTGAGAATCTTCCGAGAGAGCAACCACCGTGCAGCTGCGTTCCTCCTTTCCCGTACTGCGACGAGTCTGTCTGTTTATGTGTGTGCCTCTCTCTTGGTCTCTCTCTTTTTGTTCTTCTCCGTTCGTCATCGCGAAATTATCGTGACCTAGAAGTAGAATACGGGGTCGCACAGGCCGCGACCATCCTGCCTCAGCCAGCCATAAAAGTCCAGGATCGGAGAGAGACACACAGATAGAGAGAGAGAGAGAGACAGAGAGTAGAGCTTCTCGTAGTCCCATGAATGACGGTGGGCAACGTGATGGATGGTGAACGGTGATTCTTGGACTCGTTGGCGTTTGTACGAGGGGTTCCGCCCCCCTTACCATGATCGACAGGACGATGGAGGACGACGGCGGAAAAAGGGCGTTTGTGGCGGAGATCAGATGATGACGTGAAGTCAGCTAGGCTGGCTCAATATTATGGAAGTAAAGTATTACGGTGCATACCATGTACCACATCATAGTGCTGTCATACGGTAACTGTAGCACTTGTGGTGGTCATGTCAGACTGGGGCCCCATCCGTGCGCTTGGGGAAGAAGGACAAAAACAAAATAAGCAAAAGAAGGGGTGGGTGGTTTGAACTACAATACTATAATGACATAGTACCATTCCATAGTATCAGGACACCATAGCAAATAGCGCCTTGCACCGTTTTCTAGGCGGCAAACGGCTGAACCCGCTGGGACTTACAGGGGATTTTCTGCGAGGCGTCAACGAGAGGGGGTCTGCGCCTGAATCAGGGGGAGGAGTATATTGGGGTGCTTATAGAGGTTCTAGCAGTCTCTCACCGTTCTACACTCGTCATAGTTACATGCAATCAAGTTTTAAGAAGGAATTCAAAATCACCTATACAGGGAATGTTCCGTGGACAAGCAAGCCCCAATGTCCTCTTGCAGATCAATACATTGGGTTTGGGACTGCTAAGCCACGGATTATTAATTTGTTTCTCATCAGGATTAAGTCCTTTTTCTTCAAATTCTTTCCTATTTTGGGTCAAATTCTAATTCCCCTGGCCTGTGCCGTTGAATCAAGCGCACGCGGACATCCTGAAGGATTCGATCCGCGCGGGTAGGAATTAGTAGGGACGGCGACCCATCCAACGCCGATATCACGATGGCCACATGCAGGCTCAGCAGGACATAAAGAGCCTTACCGTATCAAAAACGTTGGTATCATGATGACAAGTGATTCATATTCGTGTTGCACAATTGAGGCCCCCTCTCCCCCAATTGCCCCGTCCTCTCCTCCTCTTCCTCCTCCTGCTCCTACCCTCCTTCTCAGCATCATGGTCCCCGCGTGCGCCATGTTCTCGGGGATACTTCACGATGCATGACCAAGTACATACTATGGTACATGCTCTTACATCTGTAGTGTGTGGTACTATGTAAGCAGCTTGGGACCCTGCCTCTCTTCCATCAGTCCTGCTCCTCCTCCTCCTCCTCCTTCTCTGTGGCCCAACTTCCTCTCACGTGGGGGGAAAAGAAAATACCGCCCCCAACGTCCATACCCCCCTCCGTCTCCGTCTCGTCTTCTCCTTGGCTGAGGTTCGTGCCGTGCTGACCGACCCTAATCTCTGATCATGGGTGGCGAACGCCGATGAGACGAATTAGAGCCTCGCCTGAGCCTGTGCCGCCGGGTGTCATCTGACGGGTAGCTGGGTAAGCCAGGCACCAAGCGAGGCTGACTCGGCGACCTCCTCCCCTTGCTGCTGCTGGTCTGTCAACCAACCAACCACTGCTACTACATGTGTGTATTACTATGTACCGTTGACCCCCCCCCCCCCACTCCTTTTCCTCTTACTCTTCTCAGAAGTCAAGTCATCCCGACTATGTCTGTTTGGCTAATTCTCTTTTACACTAAAATGGCAATACGCCCAACACGACGTGGCCAGTGTCAGCCCCCGTGGGGGGGGGGGGGGGGTTGGAAGATAGGCAATGAAGACATCGTGGCGTAAGAGGGGAAGGACGGGGGTCGGGAGAGGGTGAGACGAACCCGCCCACTTCTCTCTTACTCTCCCCAGAGGGTTCTTTTTTTGATTTACCACCCCTTTTGGGTCAGAAGAGGATCAGATCATCTTTTCCTTTTCTGGCCGTTTTGTGAAATGTAACTGTGGTTTTCCAAGGAATACTATCCTTCCAGGCAGGTAGGTAGCAGTAGCACCCAACAGCGCTGTAGTGTATGGGTGACACTGCCCCGCTGAGGACGGTATCCGCGGTGGTTGGCCTCTCTTTCTTTGGGATGCAATGCCAGCGCACACCGGGAGCAGAGCGACACATGACCCTTTGAGGGGAAACGGGGGGGGGGGGGCTGGGCTTGGTGGCAGTTGCCCTAGGACGGTTGTAGGAGGAGAGACTTATCTCGAGCAATACCTGAGTTGTTACTAAATTGGGGGGCAGTGGAGGAGAAGAGATAAAGAGCGAGAGCGAAAGAGCGGGAGACCTGTGATCTGCTCGCTTTCGCCTTCTATCTGTACATGCCGGCATAACGTCTTCCTCCTGCGCTGCCTTTGCTATGTGTCTGTGCATTTTATTTTATTTTTATTTGATTCGCTTCTCTTATCTATGGCGTTTGTAGTTTATGCCATGTGATCTGGTCAATATTGACTCAGCCCGGGGATCGAGGAAAATGAACCATTCTCCGCAACTTTGTGGGCATCTGCCTGGAGATGTGGCATGAGAAGTGAATGACGACTTTTGAGTGAGCACTACTACTTGGCCTAGTAATAGCCAGGGGGGTGGGGGGTAGGTATGAGTTCAAAAATCTCCGGATCATTGATGATGAGGTGAGCATGGTCTCATTGCAGTTGGCAGCGCAAGGAAGTGTGTCGTGGTGGTGGTTGAATATGTGAGCTGGCAAAAGAGATGTCTCGGGCAGTACACCACCACACGACAGATCAGGCAGGATTAGAATTTCGAGGGGGGAGACAAAAGTTCGGACCTCCTCGATACAAGAAGGGGTGAGCAGTTAGTGAGTTTAGGTGCCCGCAAGGAGGGAAGTCATGATCATGATCCACCGCGAATGCTGCGGTCTCATTCTAGGCTCACCAAAGGACCATGAGCCGTCGGACTTTGGGGGGGGGGTGTGAGTGTGAGTGTGAGTGTGTGAAGATGAGTGACCCCGTGTTGAGGGCTGAAAAGACGGCAGAGAGATAGAAAGAGAGAACGGTGATACCAATCGTGCTATGCGAGGAAGTTGAGTGATCCGACGATGATGGTGCATTGTTTCTCGTCGTGTATGGCCGTCTCACTCTCCATCTCTTTCCAGAGGCCGTACATCTACTGGCATGGGCAATGGGTAAGATGAGCGCATCCGTAGACCATAGTCTGCATGTCGTTTTGGCTTCCTCCACAGAACAACAAGACGTCATCTGTTGTAGTAATAAATAGCTCTACGTACTATTGCTACCACCCATGGGGACGTTGTAACGGTAAGAAAGTGCTCGTTTCGATTTTGAAGTGCCATTGCCATGGTGAGTGGTGAAAACAACATGCTGCTGCCCCTGAAGAGGGGGAATCGTGAGAAAAAAGGTGTGTGTGTGTGTGTGTGACGTTCGAAGGATCAAAACTGTAATGGATGTGAGTGTGAGGTGGTAAGGCCCGTACCTATTTTGGGGGCGGCATGCTCTTCCCCTCCCTCGTGGCCGTGAGAGCCCTCAACCTTTTGGGTCGCAAAGGTGTCGGCGTGGGCCGCAGCGCACGGCACAGAACGCGCACACACACACTGCACACCACAGGGCTGAGAATAGCAGCCTGGACAGGTCCCATGATGCACCCCCGCCCCTGCGCTACTCGCTAGTTAATTACATGATAATATGCTATGCTATTTTACTATCACCTCCCGCCTTTTGCTTTACTATTGCCTGGCAGAGGGGGTAACCCTCAGAACGTAAGCGCGGGCTTTCGAAAATGGGCTGGCTGGCAACGGACGGAATGCCACCCACACACGAAAAAGACAACCTATAGAGCTGAAAATAGGATACCGTTTGTGTGCTAAGCTACGATGCTGTGCATACACCGCTCCGCCTCCAAAACATGGCTGGTGGTGGTGGCTGGCCTTGACCTCGATAGAAGAAGGGGCAAGAAAAAGAGGGGGATGACCGCCTTCTGTATGTACGTATAGCTAACCTTGGAATGGCTGTCAGAGCACAACGGCCAGCAGGGACCGCTGCTGATTGGGTTGGGGTTGCAGTCCGTCACAATGGCTTGACAGTTTGTTTTTGGAATTTGAAAACATGAAAGGATGGGGAAGAAGGGGGGAGGGCCGCAGTTTAGCGAGTGTATAGGGCTGAGAGGGGGATGCAATTCGTTTCAGGTCTCAAGCTGTCCGTGGCAATGGTATCCAGACTGGAAGCAAGAAAAAAAAGAGCATTTTGTCGATACTTGATCTCATCTGACCATTTCGACACGATGATCTTTCTGCCCATGGCTTATGGTCATGGAGCACGTGGGAGGTAAGTATGGATCAAGTCATCACCCGACGGACTGGTACCGTTCACTAGAAACGTGCATTATTTTCAGACCAAGTACAAATGGGCCTATGGAAATTCGATCAAGCGAAATACAGTTACTGTATGACTTGGATGATCGGCAGTTCCCAGTGATAAGGCAGAATAAACCACCGGTAGCAGAAATTACAAGAGTACATTCTAAGTTTGTAGTAATGTAACTCAGGACTGGTCACCTGAGGTCTGGCCAGTGGACATGTTCGGCAGCAGCCCGACCGGCGTGAGAGGACTAAGCAGTGAGACTTTTGCTGCGCCGGCGCTCGTGTCAGCCCCCAGGCACGGCTGCGACGAGCTGAAGCCGAGGCAGAGTCGGCCCAAGTCTCGGCTTTTTGGTAGGTGCTCAATCCACGTGCCCATATTCTTGTTTCGGCCCAAAGGCAGAGAGAGTAGCAAGGTCCCTCCCCGTTTCGTAATGACACCGAGAGGAGAATGACGAGAAGATTGACCCAGGGTTTCTTGTCTCTAGAGCACCTCGGGAATTTTCTCTCTTCAGCTCCCAGTGTTGTACCGTACCAAAGTACACGTGGTACACACTGTGATGATCTTCGTTGTACCTGACCTTTTTTGGCCATCAAGCGTAATGCAGTAGCCACAACCGTGGCTGGCTGGCCGGGCCCTTGGAGGAGAAACACCGGGGAAATAATTGTGGGGAGTGGAAAGGAACCCTCCAGATTTCCGTCGTTTCGGACCCTGAACTCCAGAACGCGGGGCAGACAAGGTCACGAGATCACCATGGGAGGCCAGATTGTGGCAAAAAATAACAAGGGGGGAATGGAGATCCCAGGCATAACAAGTGTCCAGTAATTCGTACGTACAGTACATGCCTCGCGTCCTTTGGGCGGAGGCTTGTGATCAACAGAGCAACGCCATGAATTGGAAACAGTCATCGGGGGGATTTTGAGCGTCATGGTTGATTTACGCCC